GGAAAGTCGCATGGTGATAGATTCACTATAGCTAGAGATATAGTGATTTACATAAGAACTTCAGATCTCGATGTTCTTCTCCGAATTTTTCTTTTTTTATATGATAAACAATTTCCAAGTGTTTGAAACATCGATCGGTTTGCAAATCATGTGTTGTAGATAACTGCATGATACTTAGCTGTTTATGCTATACGAAGAATCTACATCTACATGATCATATTACTAGCTATATGTGTAGAGATTTTCAGACTATATAGATGCTACGTTGTTGCGCAATTCATCGAGACACATCAAGAAATCAGATGTTTGGTCGACTTCAAAAGTTCGAATGGAGCGGGTGGCAAAATGCCACGAATTATGCAACGGAGAATATCGGAGACCGGAAGTTCTTTTTGCATTTCTATAGGCTACTTCAAGCCTCATATTATGGTGGGAGAGTAGATGCAGAGATGAATTGAGAGTTCCTTGATGTACACAATATCGCGTATGCATCTATGAAAATGCATGGATATGTTTGGAAACAACATGAGTCCAAAGAAGGCCTGGTTTTCCGCGAATATTATAAACATGGAGGAAGTTTGAGAGGTCTCTAACGCACAGATATATCATATGTATCTATCAAAATGCATAGATATGTATGAACCCAAGGTGAGTCCAGAAAAAGCCCTGTAATCCATGCTTTCCAATGGACGAGGCCTTATATCTTGAGGATATTGTGCATTTCTATAGTTCAGATATCATGTGTCATTTGCGGGGCGAAGGAGAGGAAGCTTTTGTTTGCTATCCTGTTTGTAAGACCACCATGGACAAATTTAAATCTCGGCAGGTACACATTCTGTCTGCTAGACAAAGCATGCAAGTATGTACGTGAATTTGAAGTCGACTTAGGCTGGTAACCATTTGTATTGCTTCAAGGCTACCAAAGGAAAAACTGCAAAACTCCATCCCGGCGTTACTCTTCCTCTCTACTGCAATGACTGCAACATGGCAGCGTATTCTGCCTCCTCCTCCTCCTCCTCTTTGACCAGATCCACCTGCTCAATACAGGTCTCGGTGAAGGCCTGCAAGACCTCGGCTCTGATGGCAGCCGCAGAGCCTGGCCACTGGTCGCGGGTGATCTTGGAGAAGCACTTGCCTCTCCACATCTCCATGGAAATGTGGAGACGACCAGGTCCCCAGATCTTGCGCCAGGAGGTCTGGACTGCCATCTCGGCCTCCTTCTAGGCGGCGACAGCGGCGATCTGCTCTGCCATGATGGCCCGCATGGCGTTCATGACCAGTTCTACTGCGTCATCGGAGGAGCCGTTGACGCGAGATCCTCTTGAGGTCTCGTCGTCGTCGACACCCTCCTCTGCAGGTTGACGGCCTCTGTTGGAGGCGAGGGCGGCGGCAAGGAAGGCAGAGGGCCTAGGTGTGGCCGTGCCATGGCCCGAGGGCGAGCCGAGGGAGGGGCTGGGAGAAGTTCTCATGTGCCTGTACGCGTAAAATTGTCAGTATCAAATTGCGCAATACTTTGTCATACGAGGATGTATCCGTAGAGAGCGGGGTGGGACAAGAAGACATACCTCTCAGGCTCAACATTGCTGGCCTCATCTCTCTCGGCGGAAGAACTATGATAATGTCAGCATCACAATGCATAGTCGAGTAGGACTTCTCTAGTGTGTCCACTGAGAGCCTTGGTCACTAAGTGAGAGGCTATATGGCATACCTTTCTGCGCCAGAAGTACTGGCACTAGCGGCATTGATGGAGGCAGTGGTGGCGGCAGCGACGGCGCTAGGAGCAGGGGCGGTAGTGGTGATAGTAGGGGCCGCGGGAGGAGCAGAGGTGGCAATGGTGGGAGCAGTGGTAGGAGCAGGAACAGTACCAGCCTGTCTAGCTCTACGGCGCTCCTTAGCCAACCACTTACCCATGCCCTCCCATTCCCACCCAATCTCCTTCTCTAGACGGTCCGCATACTTCTTGACGAAGGCCTCGTTGTCATGGTTATAGATACGGCAGTTGTTGATGATTTGATCGAAGTCTGCCTTAAAGGCTGCGGCATCTGCGTAGAGCCCGTTTGCGAGCTTAGTGCCCATGGTACCCATATCCATGGGCTCTCTAATGGTGCGGTAGTAGTCCGGGGCATTGTTTTCTACCTCGTCGACGGGCTGAAGGAAGGCTCTTAAGAATGGAGCCTTGCCGTCACGCTCGAAGCCGAGGAGCTTTTGCAGAAGGTGGTTGCAAAAATCAAGCTCGGTAGCCATTGCAGCGGTATTTGAGGTGAGTATGAAGGTTTAGGGCCTAGCAGCATGGTATTGTAAGCTAATAGTAAGACACAATGTCTCTAGACAACGCAGCAGTAGAGCAAAGAGCGCGCAGAGGGCTATCTGTGTTACTTACGAGGGTGTCTGATCAGCCGCTATGGTACGCGTAGGCTTAAATCTTTATACTGGAGGGAGTCAGGTGGTTTCCGATCGAAAGAGGCAGGAATATCTGTATAGGTGGTGTGCTGGAGGGTCGAGAACACGTAGGGGACATTAGACAAGTCACGGCAGGCGCGAAGAGAGCTTTTCCAGTGTGTGACACGAGCGGGCGCACTCAGATACTGGCCAAGAGTCAATGATATTACCCCGGATCTACGCAACAGTACTCCTTGTCTGTGGTTGGCCTCGAGTCTCTCTATATCACTTGCTCCTACCCAGGAGCATCTCACGTGATCACTAGCGACAGAACATCCCTTGCTTCACCAATTCCTATCACTGTCAGCTGACTTTCTCGATTACGGACCACCTAGCTGGAGGTAGAATAAGTTTTCAGCAATCACTACGAGAAGGGCATACATGAGCCTCAAAGCAGACTACGTGGCCAGGAGAAACAGGACTACCAGTGTGATGCAAACCATATTGGCCGACAAGGAGCTATGGTATGGCAAAGAGACTAACAACCAGACATGACAGCAACATCTGAATTACATCAAGAACCTGACCAACACGGGTACTTTCTTGTACGTCGACTATATCAGCAGTCTTTCCGCCTGCTTCTGTCCATCAACTGTGAGTAATGACTAGTTCAGATCAGTCCAGGAATATGGGCCATCAGCAGGGACTACTACTGCGCTTCAGCAATCCAAATCTGTCCAGAAAGGCAGAGATCCTTTGTTTCTGTGTACCTGTGGTCGGGTGCTTGCATTCGATTGCTGCTACTCATCTCTACTCGGCCCGTCAGCAGGGACCAGACTGTTTCCCTCGTGCGTTGGTTCAACATCAACCCTGAGGCATCATGGTCGTCTATCACAAAAAGGATTGATTGGCCCTGAGTCGTGGCCTCCCAACTTTACATTTTTACACTACTTCAGCTTCCACGTATCGCTCTATGCCATCTATATGGTGTCAGCGTGTGCAAAACAACAGTCCCGCAGATTAGAGAGTACTTAATCATGCGTGCCCGAGGAGCTTTATTTGTAGTTGCTTACTACAGCTTCATCTAGCCTCTGCTCGCACGTCAAGATCGTCCGGGTTGTTTTTCTCGTGCATACACTCAGCATACACTGCAGGAGACCACCAGCCCTACGCGATGTCTAGAGTGGGTTGAGCCCGAGTCGTGGCCTTCCGTGTTGCTGGGCATTTCTGAAACTTTCCACCTGTTAAGTGTTCCTTTCTATGGTCTTTATGCATCTTCAGTGGACAGCTACTCTCTAGGCTACTTTCTGGTAAGGTAGCAGCAGTGAGTCTTCACTCGCGCGTGCCCGAGGCGCGGTGTGTGCATTTGCCTGCCACAATACCGTTCTTCCTCTACTCGAGATCGAGATCTTCTAAGTTATTATACTCGTGCATTTACTTAAAGTACAGTCCAGGATACCGCCTTCTTGCGTGGTGCATAGATTCGGCGGAGCCCGAGTTGTGGCCGTCCATGCTGGTGTACATTTCCATATGGTTACGCCTTTTACGCGTCCCTTTCTATGATCTTTATGCGTCATTAGCGTATAGTTGCCTCTTCTAGCACAACAGACTGCTATGAGCCGGGTGCGTTCACTTACACGTGCCCGATGTGGGTGTTCTCATATTTCTCTAACTCTTCCGCATCCCTCTTTATGGCCCTTATGCGGTTCACTTATGCCCACTCTCTAGCGGGCCACTACTAGTAGAGGATGTTAAACCTACACGTACCTAAGGCACGGACTCTGTCGTGCTTGCTGCAACTCCGTCGTTATCTCTGCTCCACTAACAGCAGCCATATTGTTAGCCTTATGCGTTAGCTTAACGTCTCCACTCAAATACTCTTAATTACAAGTCCTAATGGAAATACTTGCCACCAATTTGACCCAGGCACGAGCTCACGCGTACTATCAAAGGTTTTAGGGTCTACTTCGATGAGAGCCATATATCGTTCCCTTCTGTAAATTAGCCCTGCCCCAATCTCAAGTGCTATAAGATTTCTTTATGACCGTGGCTCGAATGGTGGTCGTAACAATGACTCCAGCCACGAATGGGATTCAAATAGTAGTCGTAAACACCGTTCGCATGACCATTGTTCCTCTTGCCACCATGTGCTTCAGTACATTGACTCAATACTTAACACAACAAACTCCATTCTGCATGTGACATATGAGAGGCTCATCTCGAGTCTAATGCCCAAGACGCGATCTCACCTTCCCCATTTAATGATCAAGCTTGCTCCAACGCCTTTTACCTTTCCCTACGTCTTCTTTATGCGTTAGTACTGCATGATTTACCCACTCACGCGAACGACTCTACTCTATTCCATCACCCCCGTGCGTCAACGCAATATCAACCACAAGATCCCGCGTCCATATGCGATATGCAAACACAAACACCCGTCGACGACCCGAAGCGCGGTCCAGCCTTCCCTATCGGTGCTAGGGAGTGCCTATAAGTGCCTTTTCGGCCTGTGGCATCGACGATCCTGTACGATCCTGTCGACCTCATCCATGGGATTGTTGATTGTAGTAGAAACTGTTGAATCGGGTTGGGAAACGTCTACTCTCATATTTATCAGTCACTGTTTGATGTCTGTCAATCCCTGTTGGTGGCTGAATACCATCCATCGCATGTACCCAGATGTCTTCTTTTGTGCCTCGGGGCCGGCTGTCCTGACAGGTCGATTGTCGCACACTCTGCTGCAGATCCGAGAACACAAACAACAATAATTGCACTTGACTTCTTTGACAGTGCAAAAACATTTTTTCGATTCGCTACACTTGTACCTCCTCGATCCTTCCACTCTACCTAAGGATATACACAGCACCAGAGCGATCCGCAGAAACAATCATACCAAACGGATACTCCAACAACGCAACAGCAGTAACGGTATCCTTATGCCCCTTGAGCAACTGATTCGCCGATTTGCGAATAACTTCATACCTCGCCACCTTGCCTTCCCTCTCTTTCTTTTTGCCCTTTGATGCAGTGCTACCTCTTTCACTCTCTGCATCGTTGGACACAGGTGACGCGCGGCCAGGTGCTGGACTAGACGAGTGTTTTTCCTTCTCAGAGACGCTGTCGCTGAGGGATTGTTCAGTGTAGGCGGAAATATCGTTGCCAAATTTGGAGGCTGTGTAGATGGCTTTGTCGTCTTTGTCGTTGACAATCATGGACGAGGAAATGCGATCGGTGTCCCAGAAGCGGATCTTCCAGTCTGGGCCTGTGGTGACCAGGAAAGGGTGGCGAGGTTCCGAGCTGTCTGGTGAAGTGTGCATGGACATGGTGAATGCCTTGACAGCGCCTGCACTGCCGCCCGAACCCCCTCCTGATTTGTCCTTACCATTATCGGATGGGCGAGCACTGAGGTGTGGGTCTGTGGCCAGAGAGCCGAGAATGCGAGATGGCATGGCGCCAGACTTGTCTTCATCGACATTGAGGAGTTCGAAGTCTCTGGCTTTCAGCCCGGTTCTGCCATCGCTCTGATCAACGTGATATACTTCGAGACAGACGAGCTTCTCCAAGTCCCATACAGACACATGGCTTGGAGATGTCAGACCAGCAACGCAGATCTTGACTCGCTTACTGTCCTTCCTGCTAGGGTGTAATGTAAGTCGTGTGATGGGAGCTGGACGTGGTACGGTCCAAGCACGAAGTCGAAGGCGGAAGCGAAGATCCCAGATGTCGAGAACGCCATGCGATGTGCCTACCAAAAGCCATTGCCATCGTTTCGAAATGCAGAATGTTGTTGGTGTGCCGTGTTGTATCGGATTGACGAGCTCATACATCACGTCCATCAAGTAGATATCGATGAACAGGATGCGGCAGAGGTTTGTGACTATCACGCAAACAGATCTACCATCCATCTTTCCGTGTTCGACGCCAATGGCGTACTCCTTCTGCCCAGGCTTGGTAGGTATCACCCAGCTACGCAACACCTGGAGTTTGCCATAGCGTAGAGTGCCATTTGCTTCGGTCACTTCTACCTTGACGATATCGACAGTGCCATCAGAAGCGGTCGAAATGAAGCTATGCGTAGACTCCACAAAGCAAACACTGGTAATTGGTGCTCCAGAAGCATGTCTATGGGCTTGGCGCGATCTATACGCCATATTGCGTTCGAAGCGGCTGGTGTCCCATACTCTTACTGAACCATCATCGGATCCGGTGAGGAAGAATACCTGATCTGGCGAAACGGCAATACAGTTGACTTGTGCTTCATGTTCCTCGAGAACAGCAGTCAATTGTCCTTCGGGCTTCCAATATCCTTGCGATTGTTGGTTGGGAGCATCCTTGGTTGTCACACGAGCACGAGGTCTTGTTGACACTTTGGGGCCAAACTCGCGGTCACTACCAGGATTGGACCCAGTATAGACTGTGTCTAGCAACTTGAGGACGGTCGGATCACCGCCGTGGTAAGAGTGCGTCGCAGAGATCTTAGGTCGTGCTGGCTTTGGGGTAGGGGTCGCTTGACCGGAAGGTGAGGGCAGAGCAGACGCTTGGTTCGCAGGGATATCAAGTTTGCCGACAGCAGTGGTCGAGTCTGTGCCTGTTTCTGCGTATGCCTTTGTCTGTTCTGTGCGTTTCATGAGATTCATCGCGCTTGATTTTGAACGAAGAGCATGGTTATGTCCACTTCTCACAGACATTGTTGATGCCGGAGATGTCGAAAGATATGTAGGAGCATCAATACTTGCCATCTGTTTACGATGATTGGGTGCTTTGCTGTTGATGGGTGTGGCATTCGATGGTCCATCTGCGCTTGGTGTTTGCTGCGAGGTCGAAGGATATGGCTTGCCTCTTGCTGGATTAAACAGGTTCTTGCCATCCTGATCTGCAGGCGTAGCAGCATCGCGTAGAGCCTCCTCGAGCGAAGTCTTCACATCCGGCTGTGTTGTGTTGGCTGGAGGGCGGTATGTCTGGTAAGACGTGGTGTCCGCTTCGAAGAAAACGTTCTGTAATGGTACTTGTATAGCACTTAGAGAAACAATCTGGTTGAGCTGAGAGTCATTCTGCTTGCCACCTTCTTTGTCAGAGCGCATAGTGGTTCGCCAGATATAGTCTCTTAGCGCAAGAAGCTTGGGTTCGTCTTCAGTACGCATTCCAGCCACTCGGAGCTTTGCGAGCCACTGCTCATCATCATCGTTCTTCATTGCTTTGCTCAACACACGAGTCTCGCCATCATGATAGAAGTCGGATAGAGTTTTGTTGCTGCCCGCTTCAAAAGCAAAGCTCCTGACCTGTTGTGCTTGTTTCCAGAAGATGCTCTTGTCAGCTTTCTCTGCCCAACTCTTTGCTAAATCGTATGCTGGTCGAGGGAAAGGTTTCTGGAGAGCGTCCAGTAGTTCGTATTCCGAGAGACCGGCTGATGGCATCTTCAACACAGGCTTTAGTAGCGGCATGATCATACTCCAGACATCTGCATCAGAGAGGTGTGTGGAAGATGCTTCGATGAACTGCACAGCAGCTTCACGGATCCATACATTTGGATGTAGAGTGAAGCGTGATACAATGAGGACCAGTTCCACTGTCGTCCACCGCTGGAACAGTCCAAGATGTGCCATACTTGACAGTGATCTTATCACCTGTTCAGTCACAGTCTCTTCTGGATCAGTCAGTGCTTGAACCATCAGCGGCAGGATGAAGTCTTCCAAACTTGGGCCGCCGATGAAAGCAGCAACGCCAACTATGGTCTCGAAGAAAGCACACTTGAGCGTCCAATCCTCCTCATTCAGATATGTGTTCAGATGGGTCAGAATCAAATCGCTTGCGATGTTCTCGCCGAAGAATACGCAGAGGCTTGTGACAGAGCCTAGGAAGGCTCGCTTGACCGAAGGATCATCGTCTTGCAGGAACAGCTTAGTCTGGGCTTCGAAATGCTGGATGAGGTCCTCGCGGGTGGTGTCATAAGTGTTCTGATACGCAGCATATGATGTAATGTCGTCTTCTGCTTCTGGGTCAGTAGAAGGCAAAGAGCCATCAGCACGCAATGCTTGCATCATGTCCAAGAACCTAGCGGCTGTCGTGGCTAACTTTGCAAGACAAGTTGCATACGTCGCTCTTAGTGGTCCTGACTTGCGGAACATGGGGCTTGCAACAAACTTTTGCAGACGCGGCAGCAGATAGTTGGGGAATATGAAGACGTTCATAGGTGACAACACACTGACGATGGCCAGTAGCTGGGTGATGGTTCTCAGCGCAGCCATTCGAACGCTTTCTGACTCATCTTCGAGCAGAGCAATAGCAAACGGCAGTACTCTGTCAAGCTTCGCTTCGTCGGTCAACCTTTCTCCTAAGGCCAGAAGCAGCTCACAGCCTCTGATCTTGGAACTTGCACGAGCAGTCGTCCTCAAAGCCGAGATCACGACGTTGAGGAAGAGAAGAGCTCCGTTATCCTGAACACTTCCAGCACGATCTGCCGCATCGTGTCTGTTGTTCGGTAAATCCACCTGAAGAGGGAAAAGATCAAGGCCCGAGGTGATCGGTGCGCGAGTAGACTTCTCTAGCTTCTCCACGTCGGAGAATCCAAGGAAGTACGAGATTTTGTCAAAGTCGGCATTGATACGCTCAATGCGATCGTCCGAGCCTCCCGAATTCTTTGCTCCAAAGACTACCGGCTTTCTACCAGAAGTTGGGTCGGTAATGAGATGCATGTATTGATGCAAGAATGTGTAGAAGTAGTCTGGGAAGCACTTGGCCCGCCAGAACTGCAGATAGTCCTCAGCACTGTACCGCTTTGCCGGATCGAGTTGGATCATGTGAGCAACCATTTCTCTGATATTCTCATCTTTGATATTGTTCAGGATAGTGTGTGTTGGGTCATAGTCTCCGCGGCGATACTTGAACAGTTGACTGAGTGTAAAGGTGGGCTTCTCGGTGAAGAGCTCAGCGATGACACATCCGACGCTGAAGATGTCCATCGGCCAGGTGACTTCATGCCAATTCTCTTTGGCCTTCTTCTCGTATTCGTCGTCCTGCGAACTTGGCTCATGTTCCCTGAGTTCTTCATCATCTACAAACCGCTCAGGGGCAACGTAACAGATGCGGCGGCCTGTAGTATCGAAGAAGATGGAGAATGTCGCAGGGTTGTTTTCTGGTAGTCGACCAGGTTTGAATGCAGTGGAGAAGTCGGTCAGGTACAGCCAATTCCAGGTAGTCACAAGCATGTTCTCAGTTTTGATATCTCCGTGACAGATGTTCTTCGCATGACTCTCTCTGACCGCGCACAAGAGCTGGTACGCGATCCACTTCCTCTCAACATCCTCAAGAGATGGATTAGTGCTAATTCTGTCGTAGAGGGAGCTGTGAATGTATTGGCGGACGAGGTAGCCATTCGTTGCTGTTTCAATGATTCGATGGTACGGCAAAGTGTTTGGTACATCTGAGAGCTCCCTTCTCTGGAGAAACAGCTTCTGAGAATAGTCCTCGAGTTTGAGGTTGGGGTATGGCTTGATAAAGACCTTGGCGATTACAAGTCCGTCCTTGTGTCTTGCGCGGATTGTTTTCATAAACCGTACAGCGCCGAGACTCCTCTCAGTCTCCAGGTCGGCGAGTTCAGGGACATCGATACCAGCCGAGCCAGCAGAAACGTTGATAGAATAACCTTGACCCATAATGGTGGTTGTCTACGCGCATGTTTCGCGTTCTCGGAGTCCTTAGGGTATCAGAATGGGGGGAGCTTGTGGCACATGGCTTTGGCTCGACAGTCAGATAGGTGAAAGGTCGTCAGGTATCATTCAGAGGCATTATCAAGAATTTGTGCGATTGCAATGTTCAATGCTAATCCAGGTGTTTGGGCAGTCACATGGGGTTGGACTGGATGCCAAGCAAACATCCCACCTTCGAGCCAAGCCGCCTGCTCGCGAGGCGTTCAGGCACAACAGCAAGAACTCGCGAAATGCAGGTGATCGACATGAAGGTTCTGAATCGTCCAAATATATAGCCTGCTCGTTGCGTATACAGCTGTACGAGAAGATGTGCGGTCAGTTGTCCGCCTTAGACGGAGTTGTTGTCAATATCACACAGTACACATAGTCACAGACTCGAAAGCGCAGGCAAGATGAAGTGTTTTGAAGTATTATTTCGTTGATTCATGACCATCAGGTATTTCTACTCTGATTCGTATATATGCATTGAAGCATTCGCAATGCTTCTCATATCAAATGAGGTATTTGCGTTTTGGGGTCGAAATAGGTTGTTTTTCAAACGAGAAAGGGATGCATGGGTATCCTTGAAAGTGCTGGCTCAGAAAGGAGAGAGGAAGCATTTAGTTGGAGGGACCGAAAGAGCCCTTCTTTGCGAGCTCGGCAGCCTCCTCTTCGGCAATCTGCTGGTCGATCTTGGCTCCCTTGCTGGGCTCGTTGCCGTGCGATCTGGCCTGTGTGGTGTGTAAGTATGTTGTTGTATGATGGTGGATGTTGTCTTGAACGTACGGGAAGAGTAGCATCCTTCTCGATCTGCTGGGCCTGGAGAGACTTCTCCTCACCCTCCTTCTCGCGCTTCTCCTCACGCTCGAGCTTGTTGGCGATGGTGCGCTCGTCCTCTGATATAGTGTTAGTGAATGTGTACAAGGCATGTTGACAAGTGTTTGTTCTTACTGGAGTCGTTGGCCTGGTGAGAATGCTCCTTGCCCTCATGGAAGCGAGCCTCCTGCTTGGCCTCGTTGATCTCAGAGTCCTTGTAGGTTCTCTGGTCCTGAGCCTCGTAGACAGCAGAGTTACCGACGTTGGAAGTTCCAGACATTGTGATTGATTTGTGGTGGGAGGTGAGGGGTTGGTGGGGTGAAGTTGTTGGTGAATTGATGGAGTTGTGAGGTGTAGAAGTGTGATGTAGGAGGGAAAAGAAACGTGAAAGAGTGTTTTGCAGAGGTTAAATGTGTCTTCACAGCTCCTGCAGGAAACCACGACGTCACTGCCTGCTTGACATCATCAAGAATCTTCTCCAAGACTGGCAGGTGTGGGGTTGGTTGGAGCTTTGGGCAGCTACAAAACCCACTTTGCTGTGACACACACGCGATCGAAACTCGGAAACTGTCTGTGTTTGTTGAGCAGCACTCCGTCATGGGAGCGCCTTGTGAAATTGATATTTTTTCCATGCCTTGCTACATCTTATGACGAGACAACTCAAGTGTCTTTGGGAATCATCCATCTAAACGCCGGCCAGCTTTTTTCATGCATGCATTTCAGTTCCAGTAAAATCATCAGTAAAAACGCCAAACAAGCCCAATCCCCCCCCCCACTCGATTGCACAGAAATTCTAGTTGTATCGTGCGCTTCGCTTTCCCCCGATTGCTTCGGCCCTACTCCATCTCGATCGTGCCTGGTGGCTTGCTGGTCACTATTTGGCCGTTAGTAAATTCATGTCCAGAAGTTTCTGATGTGATATTGGTTGTTATGGTGACTTACCCTCGTACAGCACGCGACACACACCGTCGACCTCGTTGACGATACGAGTGCTGACCTTGCTCAAGAACTTGGTGGGGAAGTCGAAAACGTCGGCGGTCATGAAGTCAGTGGTCTCTACGGCTCTCAGAGCAATGACTTGAGCGTGGACTCTCTTGTCGCCCATGACACCGACAGCCTTGACAGGCAGAAGAGCGGCGTAAGCCTGGCTGATCTGCTTGTAGTAGCCGGCCTTCTTGATCTCATCAATGAAGATGAAATCAGCCTGCTGGGCAATGCGGACCTGGTCGCGAGTGACCTCTCCAATGATACGAATAGCAAGACCTGGGCCAGGGAAGGGGTGTCTCCAGACAAGGTCCTCCGGAATGCCGAGTTGAGTACCAAGAGCGCGAACCTCGTCCTTGAACAGTTCTCTGAGAGGCTCAATGAGCTTCAGGTGCATGCCCTCGAGCAGACCACCAACGTTGTGGTGAGTCTTGATGGTGGCGCTGGGGCCCTTGAACGAGATACTCTCGATAACGTCGGGGTAGAGAGTACCCTGGAGGAGCCACTCGATCTCGCCCTCGTTGGCAGAGCCCTTGGCAGCAGCAGCAATCTCCTTTGCCTTCTCCTGGAAGATCTCGATGAAAGTGTTTCCGATAATCTTGCGCTTCTTCTCGGGGTCATCCTTGACACCTGCGAGCAGGTCGAGGAAGCGGTCGCTAGCGTCAATGACGGTAAGGTTGATGCCAAGTCCAGCAGTAAGAGTCTCCTTGACCTGCTTGGCCTCGTTCAGGCGCAGAACACCGTTGTCGACCATGATGGCGTGGAATCTGTCGCCAATGGCCTCGTGCATGAGCTTGGCGGCGACAGTCGAGTCGACACCACCGCTGACAGCACCAATGACTTGTCCCTTGGGGCCAACGAGGGCTCTGATTCTGTCAATCTCCTTGCCAACGAAAGCGTCCATGGTCCAATCTTGCTTGGCGCCGCAAATGTTGGCGGCGAAGTTCTTGATGAGCGGCGTGCCCTTCTTGGTGTGGGTGACTTCGGGGTGGAATTGGATACCGAACCACTCCTTCTCCTCGTGGGCAATACCGGCGAAAGGTGCGTTCTCGGAAGCGGCGACGGTGACGAAACCGGCGGGGCGCTGAGAGAGCTTGTCACCGTGGGACATCCAGACGTCCATGTCCTCCTCGAGACCAGCGAAGAGAGCATCGACATGGGCGGTCTTGCCAGTGTGCTTGTGAACGTTCAGGATGGCGTGGCCGTATTCACGCTTCTCGCCAGCAACGACGTTCTTCTGGTCGCTGTGCCATGCAATCTCCTGGAGACCGTAGCAGATGCCGAGAATTGGGACACCCAACTCGAAGACAGCGGGGTCGACGTGGGGTGCGTCATCCCAGTAGACAGAGTAGGGACCACCGGAAAGAATGATACCCTTGGGCTTGAAGGAGAGCTCCGAGATCTTCTGGGTGCAGGGAAGCATCTCAGAGTAGATACTCAGCTCGCGCAGACGGCGGGTGATCAGATGGGTGTATTGCGATCCGAAGTCGAGCACCAAGATGGTGTCGAAGAGGGTGTGGGGCGGGGGAGGAACATTGGTGGTTGAGTCGGCCATTGTAAGAATTGTGTGTCCTAGATGCGACAGGCGGCGCTACAAGACAATAGAGAGAGAGTGTGGTAGGTGGGATGACTGGTTGGAGATCAATAATTTTTCTCTCTTCAGAAAGTAAAGGTCAGGGTCCGACCTCGAAGATAGACTGACACGCTTTACCTGTTTGGGTATAGTGTCTTGGCCTTCGCTATCTAGACCTTATCGCGCTGCGAGGACAGGGTGATACTGGAAACCACTGTCTACGAGCAATGATGCTGATTTTCTCGTCAACCTATGGTATTTATCTTACTCTAGTTTGCTAAGTATATCAAGACTGGTCGTATCCAGGCTTTGTGATGGTCTCAATTCAATTGATTCAGCAAATGGTCGTCGGTGGTCGAAAACGCAATTCGGTAAGTCGAGATTTGAAAAGTGGACTCGAACCTGTCTGACCTATACCGAGTCAATCTCAACACACGAGCCCATTAACCCAAAACAATTGGTCGTTAGTGGCATTCAATGCAACTTTCGTTAGAGACTTCAAGGAAGAAGACTACCGCGGCAAAACATGTGTCTGGCAAACTTGCGTATCTCGTTGCGACATCTCCGTGTTCAATGAGCTTTAACGCGTGGAGCTGTGGAAATGCATAAGACTCTGGAGACTGGACCGTAGCCATCGAGATGCAACCTAATACAGGCTCTCTCTCTCTCTTTCTGGATCTACTGCTAGCCTAGGGATTACTATGGCTTTTCAGAGCAGCACATGGTGAAGAGAAGATCAAAACCCATGCAAAAAGGGACCAAGTCGCGTTACAATGTATCACAGACGCGTAGTTGGATGTATGCCTTTGGTATTGTATTTTTCGATTCTTCTCGTACATCAACACCATCAGTTGCCCGACAGGTACTCTCCAACACCCTTGATAGCATCATTGAATCTGCTCGCCTCGACCAGAATCAAATGTCCCTGCGGCCTAATACCCGCCTCCTGGAAAGCTCTCTTCGCATCACTCGCCCCCTCCTCGCCCACCTTGTCATGATCAAAGTTACCATGACCCACTCCAAATCTATGCAACGCCTCGTCCTCCGGGTGGAAGTAGAAAGTCATAGCGTCCTGCTTCTGCTGCTTTCCCTTTTTCTGAGGACGTGACTCTTGAGCGTCAAGTTTTGATTCCACCTCTGTGTAGGTTTTTGAGAGAATGAGGTAGTGGGAGAAGTTGTAGGGTTCTTTTTCGTCGATTGCCCATTGGATTTCTTCTTGCAGCATGGTGTACATGGGTGTGACGATTTCGGAGGGCATGTTGATGAAGCGTTCGGTGAGGATGAGGCCGACTTCTGCTTTTGAGTCTGCGGCGAGTAGGGAGGGTAGTGTGGACAGAGAAGGGATGGTAGCGGCCTTTCGTGAGAGATAGTTGGCGAGGTCGGCGATAACGGGGTTGTCTTTGTGTTGGCGCATGTTCAGGACTGTGAGGAAGGCGAAGGGATCGCTTTCGTTGCCGTCGGTCTTGACGGTGCTGCCGAGCATGGGTTGCGAAAGGATCAGGTCGGCGAGGGCAGACAGATTGAAGAGTTCGTTGTCGACATCGAGGAGTTGGCGGAGGAGAGTTTTGAGGCCGTGGAAGTCGACAGCGGGTTGCGGGTCGAACCATTCAAAGTCGACATCGATCATGTCCTCATCCTGGTAGTAGCTTGGTTAGTGGTCTGGTCGTTGAGTCCGAGTCTTGGGACTGTCTAGTCGTACATCGCTGCTCGACTCGTCATCGTCGCGCATCTTGTGGTCCTTGACCGGTGCGTCCTCTGCTGTTGTCTTTCTCTTGGGCATTGTGTCGGATATGTTATGTAGATTGTGATGAGATGCAGCAAAAAGTTAGGTGTAGATCAAGGTGCATCAACTTTTGAGAGTGCACGGACCCCCTGCAATGCAATCGCATGTGATGATGGTCTTCGTCCTGATCATCCTCATTCGGCAACTCTCCCGAGGTCCACAAGCGTCGAGCTTCATTTTCTGGAGAGACGACTTCTGATAGAATTGAGTTACATGAGCCGATCGTGAGCTCAGACTGCTTTCCATTCTTGTAGCAACAAGCGAGTTGACTTGGCAGATCAATTGAAAGTCACATAATCATCTATCCTTGTCTTGATACGTTTTCCCCTCTACCTCTAGCTACATACATATCCACACAATCACTCAACATGGACTCCCTGACCAAAAAGACCCTCGATGTTTCTCGCAACTTGACATACACTTACTACCACCACCCACCAGCTCAGCCTGAGAACCCTACTGTTCTCTGTATCCATGGCTTCCCCGACGAGGCAGCGGAATGGGCAGATCTCGCGACCACCCATCTCATCCCAGCTGGCTACGGTGTCATCGCAGTCGACTGTCTAGGCTACGCCGGCACCTCCAAGCCCCTAGACCCAGCTCTTTACGCCTTCGAGCACATGACCAAGGACCTCTCCGAAATCCTCGACAACGAGAAACTCGAGAAAGTCATTTCTCTCGGCCACGACTGGGGCTGTGCTCTCGCCCAAAGATTCTACAACTACTATCCCGAACGCGTGCTGGGTCTCGTAATGGTCAATGTATCCTACAATGCCCCCGGCGATCAACCCTTCAACCTCGGCGCCACAAACGAAATGACCACAAAGTTCTTCGGCTACCCTGCTTTTGCATACTGGTACCTGTTGTCCAGCCAAGACGGCTACAAGACCTTGGATGCAAACATCTCGGGCGTCTTTGATGTGCTCCACGGCACTCCAGACTCCTGGTTACAGACAGTCTGCGCACCCGATGGTCTCAAAAACTTTTTGACCGAGAACAAATCTCAAGCTACCGAGTCTTACGCCACTGCACCAATGAGAGAAGCATTCATCTCTCGCTTCTCCCGCGATGGCTTCGCTGCACCATCATGTTGGTACAAGGCCACCGTGAACAACCACCAAAGCTTTGAAGCTGCAAAAGTAAAGAAGAGCGTTGTGGAAGTGCCTTCATTGTTCGTCGGTTTCGCCAGCGATAAAGTATGCAGGCCAGAGGCAATTGGAATGGCGGTGATGAAGGGGTTGTTGCCGAAACTCACGAATGTTACACTGGAGGGTGGGCACTGGGGTTTACATGCCAATGCTGATAAGTTTGGCAAGACTGTTGTGGAATGGCTGAAGAAGGAGCTTTAGATGGTGTTGCTAGATGGTAGGCTTGATGTAGAACTGCATATAACATTCAAAATTAGAGCCTATGACGATGACGCACTACGCATATTTGATTGAGCGAAGAGTTGCAAGTTTGAAATTTCTTTGAATTTTTGGTGCTTTTTGTTTATCTTCTGTTGTTCTTCTAACTATGCAAAACGTTCGCAAAAAACCGCTCGGGCTGGCTCATTAGATAGCTTTTCAATCATTGCATGCTTCATGACCTGATGATATCATTTCCTCAACAGTGCTCGAGTATGGAGTATAACCAGAGACGCAACTGTACTTCCCCAAATACAGTCGAAAGCTCGTGTTCATCCCTTTCACTCAGCGCTGTTGTATGTAGTTTAACCCAGCAATTCGACGTCCAGACCAATAGCTCTCATGAACAGGTTGACTTCGCCCAATTTTCTAGCAGCCATGTCCTGAGGCAATTGCTTGCTGATCTCAACAGTAGCCATGACTCTGTCCTTGACGCCGAGAACAAGACGCTGTTGTTGTTCAGGGCTGGCACTGACACCCATGGTAGCCAAGAACTGCCAGATCTCAAAGTCGTTGCTGGTGTTGACGTTCTCAGTGGTGAAGATGTATGGGAGCACAGGCTCAGCAAGGTCGAAGAGGCGGTTGTAGAGTTGTGTCCATTGTGCCCAGTCTTCGTCTGAGACTTGAGCGCTTGATTGCTGTTTCACGAGGAAGGCACGAGATACGAGCATTGTGAGCATGGCAACACCAATCTTGGTGCGAACGATGGCTTGTACGTTGACGCGGTCGAGAACAAGGCCAACGAGGCCGGAGATGATGTTGAGAGGAGCATCACCAATGTAGGCGAGCAGAGTAGGAATGACAGCTTGACTGAACAGCTCGACCTCGTCACGAACAGCGCGAGGCAGTTGAGGCTCGTCAGGGTGAGGGTAAGCCAAGCGGATGACATCCAGAATGTCGAGATGGATAATGAGGATGGTCAAAATAGTCAGACGCTGTTGATCGTCGATGTGACGGAAGACACGCGGGATGGCCTTCTTTCCCTTGGCGTGTGACAAGATGGCGATGAATGGATGAGGACTCGAGGGGTTTTGCTGGATGGGTTCCATAACTCGTAGGTTGAACCACAGCTTCTGATTAAGCTCGTGAGCTCTTTGTCTCCACTCAATATGACGCTGGATGGCATCAGGATGGCTCTCTTCATTCGGCGGCGGAGGCAGGTGACGCTCGTGATCCTCCATCTGCATCAAAGTCTCGTAGACGTTCTCGATGTTGCGGAGGGTAGACTTGCGGTCTGCAACGCTGGGCTTGGCGACTCTCTCCTTGTGAGGTCTGCTCTCGCTATCGGGACGCTTGAAGCTCAAGAGAGGACGGGGAGTCTTGGAATTGCTGAAGGCAATCTTGCCCAGACTGCCCTCTACAATCAACTGTCTGTTCTTTGGTCTAGCTTTGGCAGCCTCGACCGCACGCTGGACCTGTTGCTCCATTCTCTGCATGTGGTTGTCTCCGCCGCGGGGATGTCTGCGACCAGCTCCGTAGCGACCACCGGTCTGGAAAAGGTATGTCTGGGCAAACTGGTTCAGGGGTTGACCAGGGTGCTGCCTAGGGGCACCACGGATTTGAGCGTAGACTTGGTAGTAGAAGTCTTCGGCAAGCTGAGCATCCGAGGACTGCTCGTCGACACCACCAGTGGCAGTCAGGAGTTGTTGCAGCTGAATGCGGGTGATGAAGTTCTTGTCCTGAGGGGTCATGAGGCCGTTGTCCTTGGAGAGCAGGAAAATCTTGTGGTTGCGCTTTGCACGCTTGGCTTCTTCTGCGAGGAAGTGTGCACGCTGCTCGTCAGACAGTTGCATCATTTGGTTGGCCTGAGTGATAGGAGGTCCAGAGTAGGAGTCGCGGTGGCCATGGCCTGATTCGCCGGGTGGGGGACCGGAGGGAGGACCAGTGGGAGGCATCTGCTGCTGGAGCTGCTGAGCGATCAAACCAGGGTTCTGCATGCCAGGAGGAGGCTGGACGGGCATGTGCTGTTGCTGAGGGAAGGGGGAGCCCATCTGAGGCTCTCTTGAGGGCTGTCGCGGAGTGTGCTGTTGCATCTGCTGTACACCGGGGAAGCTGCTACCAGGAGCGTGGAAAGGCTCTTGAACAGGGGTATGGTGCTGAGGCATGTTGATGGCACCGGACAGAGGTCGCGACTGTTGGCGCATCGAAGCCTCGACCTCCTCAAGGCTCATCATCTTTCTGCTAGAAGGAGTCGAAGGCTTGAACTGAGGCTCTTGTTGCTGCTGCTGCTGCGACGGCTTCTTGGACGGCAGGCCCCAAATGCTGGCATTGGCTTCGAGCTGGGGAATGTACTCGGGCTTGGAGTAGTTTTCGTAACCGGAGCGCTTAGGTTGCTGCTGCTGGTGGTGGTGTTGCTGATGTTGGAAGCGCTGCTGAGGCTGCGAGGGCTGACGAGCATAGTGCAAGGCCTGTTCCTCTTCGATGGTTCCGGCAACCTTGTTGGTGGTGCCGAAGAAGTCGAAGTCCTTGCCTACACGGCCGCCGTCGCCAAAGGTATCATCGTTGAAGGCATCGCCAGCCTCGTCGAGCTTGTCGGCTAGGGCATCGTAGCTGTCGTCGAAGTTGAGGCTGATAGAGGTTCAGTCATGGGTTGGAGCAAGAGGCAGTGAATATCGTGGACTCACACATCACCTTGATCGGCAGCATTGTCGCGGTTGGCGAAAGCAAAGGCGTCTTGCTGGCCGGCGAAGAAGCCACGACCAGCGTCTCTGTCCTGCTTGTCGCGAGGGAGGTTGGTGTCGAAGCCAAAGAAGGACATGGCGGACTGCGAGAGTGAAGAGAGGGGAAGAACTAGGGAGCAGTCGACCAAAGACGGCGCGAGTCGTAGGTTGCCGACTCAACCACTGGAGATTGATACGGGCAATCGAAGGTATCGCAGGCGCGGGGTATGCGCTCGTATGAGAGGATGCGGCGGCGATGTCAAGCGGCAGCAACAATGATGATGCGGCGGGCGGCCAGCTTGACTCTCATCGCTCTCGACGAAGACCGGTGATGACATATACCGGAGAATAGCCGTGCGCGGTGCTCGATCTGCCAAGATCGCTGGACCTGGATGCTTTCGACCGTGCAACCAGATCAGGTTCATTAAAGTCACGATAACTTCAGCTGCATGCTATAATGTCTATCTAATTCTGGTACAGCATGGCGGCCACGGCTAGGGCTAGTACGAAGGAGCCAGGTCGGGGATGCGATTTCTGTTGAACCGTTGTTTTCCACCAAGAGAAAGTGTAGGCAAGGAGAAAGCTCGACCGCTGAGCACCAGAACGCGCGGTGCAGTCGTGCTAGCAGCTTGACCCCTTTTCTCCCTTCAGCTGAGATAGATAGAATCGACCACGTTCAATACAAATTGCACGCCTCTCGCATCTTGGAGTTGCGGCGATTGCTTCCTTCCCTTTATCTTCCTGCCCTGCGGCTTTTCTAGCCGTTCATTATATGGGACGTTAGGGACTTGTCTTACTCCCAAGTCACTCCTTTTAACTACTTTGGCTTTTTGTCCCCGTACCCTTCTCCACAAATACGCGCAACCAGCCGGACTTGCTTGGTGCTATTCTAGCCTTCGTGGCATTTTACGACAACTCTTCTCTTCACCTGCTTCCAACACCATCGCAACAATGGCGGCCAGGTATCTGCGATACATTGTCTTTGCCGTCGTCGCTCTCGTCGTCCTCTTCTTCATCTCCAGCTCCTCATCAGTCCCCGGACACGAATATGCCACAGACTTGATCAAGGACTCGAGCTCAAGATGGCGTGGCTCGGGCTCGCAGGAAGCTGCTCACGGCGACGTCAAAGAGTCCCACCCTGACCAGGCCACCACTCCCAACACCCACGCCGGCCTTCCTCCTGCAACCAACCCCGGCCCTCGCATGAACGCCACCTTTGTTACTCTTGCCCGCAACTCGGACGTTTGGGAGATTGCTCGTTCCATCCGTCAAGTCGAGGACCGCTTCAACAAGAAATTCAACTACGACTGGGTCTTCCTGAACGACCAGCCTTTCGACGACCAGTTCAAGGCTGTTACTTCAGCTCTGACTTCCGGAAACACAAAATATGGCGAGATCCCCAAGGAGCACTGGTCTTTCCCCGAGTGGATTGATCAAGACAAGGCTGCCAAGGTGCGCGCCGACATGGCCGCTAGAAAGATCATCTACGGAGACTCGATCAGTTACAGACACATGTGTCGCTACGAATCCGGCTTCTTCTTCCGTCACCCCTTGATGCTCGATTACGAGTGGTACTGGCGTGTTGAGCCCAGCATCGAGCTTTTCTGCGACATTGATTACGATACCTTCAAGTTCATGGCCGACAACAAGAAGAAGTACAGTTTCACCCTCTCTCTGTACGAGTACGTCGAGACCATCCCCACTCTGTGGGAGAGCACCAAGAAGTGGATGAAGAACCACCCTGAGCACATTGTTGAGGGCAACTCTATGGGCTTCCTCTCCGACGACGGTGGTGACACCTACAACCACTGCCATTTCGTGAGTACTCACGCAAGCAGCCACTTCAAACAAGCATACTAATCCATTTCCAGTGGTCCAACTTCGAAATCGGCAACCTCGACTGGCTCCGCAGCCCCGCCTACATCGACTACTTCGAGTCCCTCGACAAGGACGGCGGTTTCTTCTACGAGCGTTGGGGAGACGCTCCCGTCCACTCCATCGCTGCCGGCCTCACTCTTAAGAAGGAGGAGATCCACTTCTTCAACGACATTGCCTACTACCACGTCCCCTTCACCCACTGCCCCACCGGCGAGCAATACAGAATGGACCACAAGTGCCACTGCAACCCCAAGGACAACTTTGACTGGAACGGCTACTCATGTGAGTTCTACATACCCTTTCAGGCCACAAGAAATAGTTACTGACATGGTAAAAAACAGGTACCGCACGCTACTATGAGCTCAACAAGATGGACAAGCCAGCAGGCTGGGAGCAAGAGAACAGCTGACGGTCTAAGCGACGCTATGCTTGGCCCATCATCCTGCTTATCGTGCTTTCCGTGCTCGTCGGCTGTTTCATCCTTTTGCTTTCCATTCGCCCTCTGCTCAATGCTTTACACTCTATGCGCAACAAACGCAGTCGCTACGAGCCACTTGGCTCCCATAAACCCATGTCGGAACGAAGAAATATCTATTAGAAAAAGGATTGTCGGCTGGCTTTTGCAAATCTTTCTTATCCATTTTTTTCTTGGGCATTGGCGGAGATGGGGAGTGTAGGAATACATCACAGGGCGGAGGCGTTTTTGAGAAAAGGCTTCGGTGTGCATGGGGCATGATTCGCTATCAGTGTTTTTGAGACACAACAACCCAGAAAGAAAAGAGATAAAGATTCGTGAAATTATATGTTTGAAGAACTGATTATTGTCTGTTGTGATGATACCATCCGTATCCCCTATGTGCTGTAAAGTATGTCAACACTCACATCCACTTTTGAAGGCATAGATTCGAATCTTATTACCTATAGCAATGCATGGTTGTTTCCAGAGTAAAGGCCTAGTTCAAGGAGATGGAGTGAGACAGTGCTTTCTCGATGGAAACGGTTTGGCTCTTGAGAAAACTATGCATTGCTATAGCTGACGCCTCTCTCGTCAACAGTCAAGCGGAGCTGAGCTATCAGATGCAACAGTTCCTTTCTAGACGACAGCAAAGGCCATATACAGATGATGATGTTGTGGCTCTCGATGGATGCTTCCTGATTACTGAGGGGATTGTGCGTTTTCTATAGATTGTAGCAAAGTCCACAGAGAGAGGATGGTGTTGTGTACTTTCTGTGTAGCTATTGAAAGAAACTATGCCTTTGTATGGTCGCCTAGATGGTGTGAGTCGCATACTGGGGAGGCATGGTATCGCGATTTTTTGGAGAATTGATAATTATTGATTCGTCATGCTGATATTATGATTTTGGCCCGTCCTTGACCGTCCTCTTTGCTCACAGTCATTAAGTAGATATGCAGCTTTTCGAAAAAAAAAATCTGCTGTGATGCATGTCTTCCTGTCATAAGTCGTCGCTCGTTACTTTCCGGTTTGCATCTCTCCATTCCAATATCCCATGCTTCCGATTAGTGGTTTTGCTTTCTGTCGTCTGTCTTGTTCCACTTTCTGTCGCCTTGTCTCGTTTACCCACTCCCTCACTTTGGATCAACAATCTCGATGTGCAGACCTCCCTTGAAAGTCAGTGCCTCGATCAGCTTCTTGGTCTGCATCCAAGGAACCTTGAACGAGCCAGAATTGATCTTGCACATCCAGACCCCCTTGGGCTTCTTCTTCAGCTCCTCAAACTGCTCGAGCATATCCTGCAATGCGCTGTCCGTGCTATCCAAGATAGCCTCTTTGGAATCCTTACCCCTGCCATACTTTCTGGACGTGAACAAGCAAGCAATCCAGTGACGGTACTGGGCGCCTGACTGAGGGGGAATGATAAGGCAGGTGCTGAGTAGGGAGTTTGGAGTGCGAGACGCGCAGTGAGCTTGGTAGACTGCGTAGGCTTGAGGGTAGTTCTTTTGGAATGCGAGGGCGATGCCGGCGTTCCAGCTGCCGACGCAGTTGCAGGCGTGGACGAGGAGAGTGTTGGGTGGGGCGGCGAAGAGGTCGCCTTTGCGTTCTGTGAGGGTGATTTTGGGGAGAACTTCATCCTCTGAGGAGTCTGCTTCTTCGACCTCGTCTTCGGATTCAGGGTCGGTGGAGGTTTGGAAGATTTGCTTCTTTTTGGTGGGTGTGAATTTGGAGGCCTTGATGGGTTGCTTTTGGGAAGTCTTGGGTTTGGGCATGGATTTGGACTTTGTGGATTTCTTGGTTAACTCAACGACCTCGTCTTCAGAATCATACTCTGAGTCGTCTTCGGAGTCATGTTCGGAGTCAATGACTTGGACGGGTTGCTTCTTTCTGGAAGCCGAGCTAGCTGCTTTGGTCTTGAGCTTCTTGGGTTTAGTTGTCGAGTGAACGACCTCATCATCGCTGTCTGGGGCCCTCTTCTTGGGTAACTTCTTGGAGGAAACTTGCTTATTGACGGTCTTCACCAGTTTCTTCTTGCTGTTGGCCGAAGAAGTCACCTTCACAGGTTTCTTGCGGTTAGTCTGATCGTCGTCACTTTCTTGCTGGTCATCATCTTCATCGTCCTCACTCTGACTTTCTGCCTCGTCGTCCTCGTCTTCACTCTCAGCTAGGGATGGGATGATTTGCAGTTTGCCTTTCTTTGGTTTGGGCTTGGCAGATTCACTGGCAGAAGGTTGGGATCTGGTTGATCCACTGACTATGAATTTACTGTCTTCCTCTTCACTGTCCGAGCATCTTAGGATTTTCTGTGTCTTGGGTTTTGTCATGGTAGCTTCAGAGGTTGAGCTCTTTGGCTTGGCGGGTTGTGACATGGTGGTGGAATGATCAGTGCGCAGAGGGACTTGCAGTAAGGTATTGGCCGTCAGACTGCTTCGTCCTGATACTGTTGTGTAAGGAAGAGGTGGTTGTCGGAGAAAGGAAGAGATTAAGTAGTGGAAAGGCGGATCAAATCCAAGACGTAGTGAAGCCGGCGTGTCGAAAAATCCCGGAGATGTGATTGGCCGAGTCACGTGGCTGCTGACCAGCCGGGCAGTCGCGAGTCCAACGAATTGTTCGACAGCGACGTCTGGCCTCCTCAGTGCAGCAACACCCTCTCGTCTCTCCTCACAACCCACAATGTCTCTCCTCTCAGTCTCGACGGCAGCTTCGCTGGCTCGCCAATGCGCTCGTCCCTCCGCCGTCCGCGCCTCTGCTGCCGCCCTCCAGGTCCGCAATGCTGGATCCAGCGCCACCACTGCTGAGAGCTACACCAGTCCTTTCCGCGGCACCAGCAACCACAAGGATACCACGCACATTCCCGACTTCAAGAAGTATCGCAACACTGGCGGTGAGACCCAGAACAAGGTCTTCCAGTACTTCATGGTCGGAACCTTCGGTGCCGTGACCGCTCTCGGCGCAAAGGCCACCGTTCAGGGTATGCCTATACCACCCATTGACACGCCGTCAGACGCCCGCTACGGTTCTAACATGCTCTGCAGACTTCCTTGTCAACATGTCGGCTTCCGCAGATGTCTTGGCCCAGGCCAAGGTTGAGATCGATCTCGCCGCCATCCCCGAGGGCAAGAACGTCATCATCAAGTGGAGAGGAAAGCCCGTCTTCATCAGACACCGTACCGCCGACGAGATCAAGGAGGCCGAGAGCACCAAGTGGGAGGCTCTCCGTGACCCCCAGCCCGACTCTGACAGAGTCCAGAAGCCCGAGTGGCTCGTCATGCTGGGTACGTGAATGCTCCGTCCCAGTTGACGCGATAAACCATACTGACAACATCCTCAGGTGTCTGCACTCACTTGGGTTGTGTGCCCATCGGTGAGGCCGGTGACTTTGGTGGCTGGTTCTGCCCTTGCCACGGTTCGCATTACGACATTTCTGGCCGTATTCGCAAGGGTCCCGCCCCCTTGAACCTCGAGGTTCCCACTTACGAATTCCCCGAGGAGAACTCCATCGTTATCGGTTAGAGCCTTGTCATCGCCAACCATTTCGACTTTATAATGCTGGGTAAAAAAGGAAACCATAGACGAGAGAGCAACAAACACACAAAAAACACAAAAAGGCTTTCAAAAAACATACACCTCGCATACAGCGAATGTTCTTGAAGAGCGATGGAGAGATCTTGATTGTGTTGTGTGGAACTTGTTCTCTCAAACAGCTGCCCCATCTTCGCCTACCTTACGCACCTTCCTATCTACCGCAACCACCTCCTTCTTCTCTTTTCTCTCTCAATGTCTTTTGTTATTTGTACATGTATTCCAGCCGCATTTGACTTTAGAGCATCGTGTACAAAAGTCGCTTGCCACATTCAACTTTCCCTTCTGTTTCTTGACCCTGCCAACGTGCAACATGACTATCTGATCTCGCAACGGTCAGACGAATACAAACATGATACAGAGACGAGCATCTGACAACAACTAACAGCAAGGGCGAGTAGAAGCATCAGCAGGACAGGCTGATGGTAGTCCCGATCAATGTATAACCATGTCAAGACAGATATCCACCCAGATAATCTCATCGTGGCTTGCCATTAGGCCGCAACCATGGCCCTGCTCAGATTCAAGCACTAGCAGTACAGACAGCGCAAGGACTCGACTCGGATTTCAGAGCACAAGCAGCCGCTTCAATCTACAAGATGAAACTGAAGACTAAGGAAGGCGTTCAAGAACTACGGAAGCTCTCGGCTAAACTTGACCGCTATCTCAAACAAGAACGTCGTATCCTTGTTAAACATCTGGAGACTCTCCCTCGGACACAGATGAAGCGACGACTTTATCGTTCCATCACCTCTCCGCTATGGAATGGAAGAATTGCCCATGATCTGACGGACAGATCTCTTCTGCACCTCATGTTCTCCGCATTCTCCGCACTTTTGGTTTTTCCCCCCTCGGTGACATCGCTTACATCTTTCTTGTCGATCATACTCGATGCAGTGTTTCATATTATCCGAGTGTGCACCTTTTGTCAAGCGTCGGTGGACCTTGTGAATTCAGATGCTGCGGCTACTGAATATTCCATCAATTAGACACATCCCGGTCTTGCTTGGTTGCCGTAGAATACGAGGGCTGCCGGAGTAGCCTAGCACGTCTGAAGACTCCTCGGCATTCATTAACACGAAGGGCCCGAACCAGATGGTGACACAACGCGTAAAGGTAGAGCAAGAGTATATATGAGGCAACATGCCGCTGCCTTTAACACTCAAAAGGTTATGCCCTACTGATACACAGAAGAATCCCCTTATCCATCGAAACAATAACTTCTCTCCAACATGTGGACTGCAGTTATACCCTTGACTCTTGCCCTTGTAGGCCAGGTTGCTGGTCAGACAGTATACCTGGCTGGAGACTCTACCACGGCTCCTGGGGGCGGTGGCAAAGGCACAGAAGGTAAGACCATCTGAGCAAGACTACAAGAATCATTCGAGGACCAGACTGACATGTAGCTTCCAATAGGCTGGGGCCAATACCTACACTACTCTATGAAGATCCCCGTCGTCAACAAGGCATTCGCTGGCCGTTCAGCCCGCAGCTTCACCCGCGAAGGTCGATTCGACGAGATCGGAAAGCTGCTCAAGAAAGGCGACTTTGTAGTCATTGAATTCGGCCACAACGATGGTACAAGCAACCCCGACAACGGACGCTCCGATTGCCCTGGCAGCGGCACCGAGACTTGCAACTACACCTACAAGTATGGTTTTCCCTACTCCTACTTCTTTATAGCTACAAGAAGTACCACTGACTTGTCACTCGAACAGCGGTTCCACAGAGCTCGTCCACACCTTCCCCTACTACCTCACCCAAGCAGCAACCTCCTTCGTCTCCAAAGGCGCCCACGTCCTCATTTCCTCCCAAACCCCCAACAACCCGGACGAAAGCGGCATCTTTGTATCTTCACCCTCTCGCTTCGTCTCATTCGCCAAAACAGCTGCTACAAATGCCAAAGTGGATTTTGTGGATCATAGTGCGTATAGCTATGCGGCTTACAAGGGTTTGCCTGTGAGTGTTGTGGATAGCTATTTTCCGAATGATCATACGCATACGAGCCCGCAGGGAGCGGAGTTGGTGGCAAAGGCTTTTGTGAACGGGCTGGTTTGTGGTGGGAGTTTGTTGGGGGGTTATGTTAAGAATGATACTGCTGCCATTGAAAGAACATGCTTGAAGTAACATATTACTCGATTTGTTTTTTTTGAGGTAGAAACCATTGGGTCTATCCAAAACCTACTTGTCGTCTCTCGTACATCATGCTTACTGTCGCATCCCAGTCATTGACGTCCTTATGCGTAGACATAGTAGTGGAAGATCCTGATGATTGATAGATCTGCAAAATTGATAGATCTGCACAATTATGTACAGCTTGCACAAGACGCTTATCGATAAGCTCCGGCAAATTTCCAATCCATCATTGAACTTCTCTCACAAATACACTTGAACCACGAATATTTGACCACACGCAAATCACAAATATGACCAGCCGCAAGCGTAACGAATTCCTAGATCATGGTCTCAGCGACGAGGAAGAAGAAGCAGGTTACAACTCAGAAGAGCAAGAAGAAAGCCGTGGCGCACGATCCATCAAGCGACGAAGAGTCGACCAAGACTCGGACAACGACTCTCAATCAGACTTTGACGACGAAGACGAAGAAGCACTGGACAAGACAAACGCCATTGCACCAAAGCCCGCTCCTGCAGCGCCAAAAGGACGTTTCGAGCTAGACGACGAAGACGCAGACGACTTCATCCCCGAAGACGACGATGAACCCGACATTGACGAGAACCCCTCCGACGACGGAAAACCAGTCAAACCATTGACCCAAAAACAACTCCTCAAATCCCAAAAAGCGGCCAGAAAAACCGGCGTCGTCTACATCTCCCGCATCCCCCCCTTCATGAAACCCGCAACCCTAAAACACTACCTCTCCCCCTACGGCGACATCGGTCGCGTCTTCTTGACCCCGGAAGACCCCGTGGCTCAAAAACAGCGCGTGCGCAACGGCGGCAACAAGAAAAAATCCTTTACAGACGGCTGGGTCGAATTCTCCAACAAAAAGGATGCAAAAGCTGCCGCAGAAACACTCAATGGCAATATCATTGGAGGGAAAAAGGGAAATTTCTATCATGATGACATGTGGAATATGAAGTACCTCACTGGCTTCAAGTGGTCGCATCTCACCGAGCAAATCGCGAACGAGAATGCGGAAAGAGCGGCTAGACTCAGAGCAGAGGTTGCGAGGACGAGAAGGGAGAATAAGAGTTTCGTCGAGGATGTGGAGAGGAGTAAGATGTTGGAGGGTATGCGTGCGAAGAAGGCTGCTCAGGCTGACAGAGCTGCGGGTGATGGTGCTGCTGCGAAGACGAGTAAACCTGCGGGTGCAGGGGTCAGGGAGTTGAAGAGAGACTTCAAGCAGAATGAGGTCAAGAGTAAGAGGATTAGGGATTCGAGCAAGACAGAGCAGACGGAGGATGTGCAGAGGGTGTTGAGTAAGATCTTCTAGAGGAAGTCGCTATTGTTGCATATCAAGTCTGGATTGCATAATATATCAGAGAAAGTCAGATACCACCTCCATGTCAACCAGAACCAGATTGATAAAAGTTCGTCGACTTCAGGAAGGAACTCCCTGTGACCAGTCCACCCTCATGATATCGTGCATCGCACCTGGCCCGTGTACCACCACGAAGACATTCAAATTGAAGCAAACACCAAAAACGCCTCAAGACCACAAGTTCAAGAAGCCGCAGGCAAAAATCTCACCCTTCGATCAACAACAGCTAAACCACTTAGACCACCTCATCCACCAAGTACTTTTCTTCTCAGAAGCTTCTCCTTGCTTCCCTTCACCACACTTGCACACTTGATTCGCCTTTTCAAAGACGTCAACATTCTCCCCACCCCAAATTCGATAACAGATATGGTGGCGAGGCATGGCACGTTTCCAAAATGGGTACGTGCGTTTGTCGGGAGCAGGGCCAATGAAGATGACAGCTGTAGTGGCATGAACCCTTGGGGCACTAGGGTGGCCATGGTTGATAAGGGTGACTCCTGTACCGCAACAGCAGCAACAGCATCGCGAGTGCGGGTCATGATTTTCGGTAGATTGTGAGGTTATCTCTTGCGTGTGCTTTGGAGAAGGGGAAGAAGCTTCCACTGCATCGTTTGTAGTGGTTGTCCAAGACTCCTCGACGGTACTGGCTTCGAGACCTTGAGTGTTCCAACTACTTTCCTCTGTCGTGGCTTCTGGTTGCTCGTTCTGTCTCTGTTTCTTTGGTTGCAGTGTTTTGGGACCAGCAACGTTGTCTCTGTGGTCTGGATCTGAATCCTCTTGGGCACCGGGCACATGGTGAAGAGTCCTGGCAGCACAACGTGGACAGTGGATCTGACTATACTCCAGGACCCCACTGCAGACGTTGCAATGGAGATACGATTTGTCGCGGTGAAGGCGGGCGGTGTCATGGATAGCAGGCCAGGGCGTAGCTCCAGCAGAGGGCATGGCTTCAGTAAAATACCCGGTGCGTGTAGGGAGCGGAAAGCCGTGTCTTGGTGCCAACACTCGGCTCCGTTCAGCAGGGCGTACAGTCTCTTGTGCAGCTTCCAGACTAGGCGGTGTATCAAACTCAGCTTCCGAAATAACACGGCCGCGATACTGATCATGCAAGCCAGAGATCGAGAACGGCGCTTTTCCAGCAGGAATCTCATGCACAATAGTCGTCTGCGCACTCTCCGAAGATTGAGGGCTTTGGTGGGCAGTATACAAAGGTCGACTGCTTTGCTCTTCCAGATCAGCTGGTGCACTGTATCTGCGGCTTCCGTTGTTGGTCAATGGCTCCAGGTCATCTGCGCTGCTACTGCTGTAACGCCCGAAACTGATTATGCGGAGGAAGCGGTGGCGTATAGAGCCTGAGTGGTTGAAGGAAGGCATGGTTGGGTCTGATTGGGAGGGGACAAAAGCGGAGAGGTGGAGAGAAGTTATTGTTTCTCCGAAGTCACTGATTGTGTTACTTAAGGAGCGGAGGTGAGTGTATATTGTGTTGGCGGAGCTGTTGGTATACAGATCTGTCATGACTGCAGAGATGAACGTGAGACGCGTCAAGTGTTGTACGACAAGATCAGTGTCAGACACTCTGGAGTGTGCGTTATCTGAGACTGTTCAATCGAAGAGTATTGCATGAGATTGGAAAATCGAAGCGAGGACGACAGTTCCCTGAGCTAGAACAAAGATCAGTGGCAAACGAAAGTAAGACCAGTTTTTGTATTCTGGAGATGGCTTGTGGTAAGTAAGTGTTCATTATGTTCATACTGCGATAGCTTTGGACAATGCCTCCATCGAAGAGTTTCGCTCATTGTGCATGACACACAGAGTCATGCAGTCCACCAGATCCTTAGCTGTTTAAATGTCAGTATACGAGATCGATGACATTGCGGCTTTCGGAACTCACGAGTCATCCTCCTCACAGAGTCATCACCTTCGTCTCTGCCGTTCATTCGAGTATACATCAAGACAGTCTCGTTGCGCTCTTTGCGACATTGCTCATACAGTCGTAAACGTTCAGGGATTTGCTGTTTGGTTGTTCCTAATGGGAGAAGAACGGCCACTGAGACTGCATCTTCGATAGCCATCGCACCACCCTGTCCCATGTCTTGGATCATGTTAGCTTTGTATATTCCATGTATTGCAAGATAAGAATGTCTTACAAGGTTGGAAAGGATGTGCAGCATCGCCGATGATGGCAGATGAGCCTTCACACCATCTAGGCAGAGTCTTCATGTCGTACATGTCCCAAATCTTGAGACTGTCTCCAGAATTTTCCATTGCCGCTTGGACTGCAGGACAAAAGTCTTTGAACGCGCGAAGCATGAGGTCTGTGTTTCCCGATGTGTTGTATTCTGTCCCATGTCAGTGTGATGTCCACATTCAAGTTTGATTTAGCGTTCATACCATCTGTACTGGTGTTCTCGGGATCTTGGAACTCTGAAGATGGAGCAAAAGCACACATGTTCATGATCTTGTCATCGCCACAAGGGTAAGCGACCAAGCGACGGTCAGGAGCTGCCCACTCGACAAACGCTCCTGGTGTCTCGATGGAGACGCGGTCGGTTCTGGGATCGGCCAAGAGTGTCTCTTTTGACACCAGCCAGCGCATGCAAGACTTGCCAACAGCGTATGGTTGGACTTCACCAACAATTCGCTTGCGCGTGAAAGACTGGAATGAGAGTCAGTGATTGTAGATCAATCGCGCATAAGACTTCTGCTCACGTGTAGACCATCTGCACCAAGAAGCAGATCCCCATCGAATCTTCGGCCATCATCAAGAGTCACACTAGCATTCTGGAGATCGATATCCACAACTTTGCAGGTCAGATGAAGCGTAACCGGAACACCATCTCTCGATGCCGACGTAGCTTCAGACTTGAGCTTATTATGAAGGTCTACACGGTGCACAAGGTACCATTCCTTATATTGTCAGTGTTGCAATGTCCTACCCACAGAACACAACTTACAGTCTGCCAATGACTTCTGTCTTCAGGACCGAACTCTTTCGTATGCAGTAAATTGCCATTTGCATCAAACCGACGCATCTGTAGTAATCAGCACTGCATTCCTCCATCAAGATCGTGAAACGTACCTGTCTCAACAGTGTCCCTCCAACTTCACTGGGACGAACATCCATCCATTCTAGAAGCGCTGTGGCATTGGGTGCCATGTGCATAGCAGCACCAGTCTCGGTTGCAAAGCGTGATCTCTCGAGCACCTGAATCGAAGTCAGCCATCGGTCAATCTGCAGAATTATTACATAGATACCGTAACCACATGACCCTGCTTCCTCAGAGCAAGCGCAGCAGTCAATCCAGCGATTCCAGCGCCAATGATCGTGACCTTGAGAGGTCGTTCTTGCATAGCCACAGCCATGTTGTTTGTCTGGCTCAGTCTTTTGGTGTATAGCAGAGAAACAACATCATCGGGAGACCTTGCATCTTGTAATCGATACCAGAAAGAGTCCGAGAGTACCACACGACGGACTTCGGGTTTGGGGAGTAACCGAAGTGCGCGAAGTTGTGCAAGTCGATGGTGATCGACGAGGGGTGGATCAGCCAAAATTGGGCTTCGGGAGAAAGCCACACCCGCTCTTCCGGAGGGGCGCTAAACATCACTCTCTTGCTCTTCACACTTTGTTAGGACATTACATATGGTTTTATTACCATGTAAATAGTCCACTGCACTCATCATGAGGAGAATCTGGAGATCTGGTAGTATACAGTCACATATTGGTACACGAGCCACAAGCATGCTGTCCTCGATATGAGCTTTGACCAGTAAGCTTATTTGTTATGGTATTCTTATATCCAAACCATGAGGTAGGTATCTAGGAACTCTTGTATTCCAGCCATAGCAAGACATCCATCGTCATATGCACGAACCTCTACCATGGGTGATCTACCTCATGTGCTCAATTTTGCAAAACCTAAAGCTCTTCCCAGTGGGTCCAACGCGGCGTCCTTGCTATAGAAAGGCACAGCAGATACTGCATCGGAGACCTGTTCAGAGAGAGCCGGGATTAAGTCGTATCTCGACGGACAAGACCCAATTCTCGAGAGCTCCGTGCATTCATATAGCAATACGCGTCACAATTCTTTGCCTCTAGGAAGAATAGACTTAGGCTATCCAGGGTGCCCACTCCACTCTACCAAAACTCACCAGGCCCCATTGGAACAATATATTTACCACAATGCTCCTCCCATTCGGCCTCCTGAAACTTTTCAATGGTATCACTAACACCTCTGGCATCGATAGACCAATTTCCTTGATGAACATGACTTGCTGTCCATCCATGTTTTGAGATGGCATTATGTAATGCAGCGCAGCGCTCATGATCCAGATCTCCTTCAACACGAGCGGGATTGTCGTCGCTGACCAATTGGTCTCGAACGTCGTCGAATATTGAAAAGCGCATAGTTGATAACGTGTTCGTGATTAGAATCAAGTAAGTGTGGCTTACCAGTGTTTGCGGGACAGGAGTGACAATCGTGAGGAGGAAAATGACGCCAAGCAATCGTGCTAGTATCATATCTGAAACGAAGAGCGGGTTGTGTAAAGCAGATAGCGGGAGCGGGACGAAAAGAACTGATATTATGATTAAAATGATGTAGGGCTACAAAGACTCGAATCTACTCAAGAGTCTGGGCAAGCGGATAGCGATCTAGCAACCATATCTGTCGGTTGTGTCTAACGAATCGAGGCCACAGTGGGGTTTCGTGAAGATGTTCCTGTGGTGTCACCTTCATCCAAGGCGGGATACTCGCTGTGTCGTGTTCGCGTCTTTGTAAGGATGTGATGCGGGAATATTGCCCGAGATGTCTTTGAACGACTGGTGTTAGGAATAAGTCTGTCGCGATGGCGGAGGAGGTGGACGCAGCAACGGTTGCGAAGCGGCAGGCCTCAACGGAGGTGGACCAGGATGGAGGCCGCCGACACTAGCAGTACGGCTCCCTGGCGCAGTCGAGGGAATAGGCGACACCCCAAGACGAGAGCGAGGCTTCTTGGCCTTGTTCGACCGCCCACGAGAGGCAAACATATCGTCAGGAATGTCATTCCAATTGTCTTGCGTATTGTCGCTGGCTGTAGTGATCTTGGGCACGCCATTTGGTGAGGCTGGCGCATTTGATGGTGACTTTGGCGATTGTATCTTGTCGTCGCGGATGATTTGAGCAATGCCCTTGTTGACTAGCAACGCGACATCCTCAGATCTCAACTCAAGGGGGTTGTATTGTTCGAGAGCTTGCGATGCGCCGTCAATGCCGTGAGTCTTTTGAAGGTGGGCGATGGTTTGCACGTCATAGACCATGAATCTACCGCTGGTCAAGGTGATGGGAAACGGTTCGGCGACGGTGCTGTTGGCCATATTGATATAGTCCCGAGACTCTCGTCAAGGTCTGTACAAGCAATGTCAGCATGCGTGAAACATGCAAGGAACACGTGGTATGTGGTGGGCAGTGGAGTCAGGTTTCGAGCGTGGGTTCCGGAGCAGCATAGCATTGATGTTTGCCCATGGCCCGAGAGACCTCGAGGGGTCGAAGAAGAGGGTATTCGAGCACTGATCTGGAGCATACCTTTGATAAGAGGATAGATGGTGGGAGTGTTTGTTCAACCCATGATGCTGCTTTCTGTACAAGGACAAAGCCAAATCGTGGCAGAATGACGCCGTTTTGTTTGCCCGGACTTCAACGGACCTGGCCTCCATCGTCGAGCTGAACAACAAAGCTGAACAACTGCCAGCATATCCGTCTGGAATTTTAGATCTAGAGGACGTCTTCTTTGCATGGGCGACATGAATATTCTCGTGTTACTCTTCTTTGTTTTCTTTCTGCCCCTCGTCGCACTTTTAGGTAGGCTATTCATGCCGCCACTCTGATCAAGCTTCTCTAACATCATATAGTCTGGTTTGCTCTTTCAAGCTGCCTCGGAGACAATGTTCGAGCTCGAGTAAGCGGAACTACCATCAATCCTCGGCACGGGGCCTATGGCAGGACATACGCCCGTAACATCCCCTATCCTGGAGCCGCGGGATCAGAGGCCATTGAGATGGAAGACATGATGCAGCACGACAAGTGGGAACTTGACTCGAACGATGAGCCTTGAGAGTATTTTTTATACACACTAAAACTCTATATCGACCTTTGTGGCCTTGCCTAGCGCACCTCCTTCAGCATTGCCTTGCTGGGCCTCGGTATCTCCTTCTGCTGGCGGCAGACTGAAAGGCTTAATCACGAATCGTCGTCTGCTGACGGTGAAGGCCAAATCATCGCCCACACCGGCGGCAGCACCTCCTCCTCCACGCTCGGTAGTCACTGGCAGTTTGTGTAGTTTCAACATTCCTTGTGGCTGTTCGTCTGTTGCTCTTGCTCCACCACTCTCTGCCAAACTGTTCGCAGCGTCCATCAGATGTGGGAAAGGAGTGAGTTCGAGCACACCGTCAGAAAGAGTTTCGGCCCATCGGACAAGGGCGGACGAGCGATGATATAACTCTAGTGGAAGTGTGATCATGGCGGTCAGACGGCCGGGATATTGTCGAAGCAAGGAGCGCAACGAATGCAGGAATTGAAGCAAGTTGTCTGGTGCACCGGCCGAAGGTGGATACAGGGCGGGCGATAGGAGGGAGGGTATCACTAGGCGATGTATCGTGTGAGGCATAGAGGTAGTTAGTCGCTGGGCAACGTTCTGCAGGATAGCAGACAGCGGTGATTGAGGGGATATGGCGATGTGATTGATATCAGCCTCAGCAGGTACTGCGAGACGCTTTGCAAGGTCAAAGGTGTGGCAGAAAGCCAGCGATTGTTGTTCCTCTTGTTGCTCAGAGACCTGGACAGGGGCGGGACCACGTTGAGGGACGACTGCGAAGCAGTCAGATAACTTTGTCCTATAGCGTCTATGTATGTTTGTTCACCTCTACTGCCTCGATCGGCGTCCACTTGTCCCAATCTTTCGTATCTCCACGCAATCTTCATCTTCTTCTCGTCGCTCTTTGCTTGCTTCTGAGCTTCTGCAGCTTCGGCATCTCCTACCAAGCCTGGCAGGTCCTTGATCCATTGCTCGCCAGCACCTACAAGATGCACAGTGTGACTTTGGATGATGCCTTCAGCAGCATAGTATCGCAACAGAGCGCCAGCAAAGTCCGTGGTTCCACTCTCTTCAACAAGCAGCGATGAGCCGAGCGCTAACCCTGCATGGCCACCTAGCAAACTGTCCAGCGAGTAAGCTCCTGTTGACGTCGTTGGTTGTCCAGTCAATGGCGACGGCCGAATGCCTGAGGCTGTCGGTGCGGGAGCGGTATGTGTCTCTACTTGACCATCTGCTGATGTAGATGCGATCGGAGATCTTTGGACACCGATGTTGCGCTTGCGGAATGACATGTTGGCTATTGGTCTGAACTGGTTTGCACGACCTTCGTCAAAGACGCGACAGCAACTTCAACCTGAAGTTTTGCGCTCGGGCCGAAAGCTGGGGCTTATCTCTTATCGCCGGCTCCCCCTCGCCGATGCGGATGCTCTTTCGCAGTGCGCTCTACCACACTTCCTTTATCAGTATCATTTCTGTCATGACGGCCTTTGCGATACAGCATCATGTCTTGTCACGTTGTTGGCTTGCCAATTTGTTCCACGATTGGTTTGAGAATTCTCTCGCCACTGTGTGCAGCAGGCCTTACGACCGGTGAAAACTTTTATGTCCGTATATGATGGCAGTGGCTGCTGCCTTCCTCTTTCGGAGCGACTTTGTTAAGCTTCAATTCAAGCGTACCAAGCCCCGTCGAACCCCCTCTACCGGAGTCCACTGATGGCGCACAACTCTCCACTTTGTCGTTCGGCCGGCACTTGCCTCCACCACTGACACAAGTGGAGGCGACGCACCTGTGTGGCGGGCAGGCCTCGGTTTCGCTAAGTTTCCATCAGCACGACAGTTGTGCGTGACATGCCCGCCACGAAGCCACGCCTCTTGGAAACCTTGACGCTCATTCGTGCGTAGTCGTTGTGTTGTCGTCCTTCGCATTCGCTAAATTTTTCTTCCTCTGACCAATCATCTCTTTGCTGTTTGCAATTGAAACTCTTGGTCCCTGTCCGTCACCAACGAGCCGAGGGACGATCTGGGGTGATCGTCCTCGAACGAAACCTTTTCGTCGACCTTCTCCACGTCCGTATGGTAGGTCTGGGCTGGAGCGTTGCACTCTATGGATGATCATCATGGCCTCCCACACTTACCCTTCATGGTCAGCGTTGTTTCGGCCGCAAGTCATGTCCGTCGTCTTCAACTTTGGTAGGATGCCTCGGTGCTTGCCTCTCCGCGAAGATATATAAAGGTCTGAGTAACACCTCCAAATAATCATCACATCTTTCTAGACATCTCTTCCACAAATCACAATCATGAAGACTCTACAAATCTCATCCGCTCTTGCTCTTGCTTATGCAGGCTTGACATCTGCCTATCCCAGCATCCTTGCCGAGCTCGAAGCACAGAAGAAAGCATCTCCCAGTTTGAAGGAGAGAGCCGTTGGCATCTTTGATGCTGCTTCCCAAAAGGTCGATGTCTCTGGCGCCCACGCCTTTAACCCTCCTGGTGCTGGTGACCAGCGCGGTCCTTGCCCGGGTCTGAACGCCCTTGCGTAAGACCTCCATCAAACAATGATAGAGACTTGAACTAATTATGCTAGAAACCACGGTTACTTGCCTCACAACGGTGTTGGCACAATTGACCAGTTCATCACATCTACCGGACAGGTCTTTGGTATGGGAGTTGATCTTGCTACCATCCTTGCTGTCTACGGAGCTGCAATCGATGGCAACATCCTGTCATGGAGCATCGGTGGACCTACACCAAATGTACCTTCCATCAACCTTCTTGGACAGCCCCAAGGTATCAGCGGCTCTCACAACAAGTACGAGGGTGATGCATCCCCGACCAGAGGTGATCTGTACGTTGACGGTCAAGATTACCTCTTGAAGATGGAGAACTTCCAAGCTCTGTACGACGCCGGCAAGGCAGACGACAACTACGATCTCCAACTGTTGACCGACAGAAGAGCTGCACGCTTCCAGGAGAACATCGAGGGCAACCCTTACTTCTTCAACGCCCCCTTCTCTGGTGTAGTGGCTCAACCTGCAGCGTGGAGCTTCATCTACCGATTCATGGGCAACAAGTCTGCTGAATACCCTGCCGGCAAGCTGAACGGCGAGGTGCTCAAGTCATTCTACGCCATCACTGGTGATGACGGCAACTTCACGTACACTCCCGGTTACGAGCGCATCCCTGAGAACTGGTACACTCGCAACCAGCTTGATCCTTACGATGTTCTGTTCCTTAACCAGGACACAACCTTCCAACTGCTCCAGCACCTCGAGTTTGCCAGCATCGGTGGCAACACTGGTACACCCAACAGCTTCGTCGGTGTCGACCCCGAGCTATTGACCGATGGTGTCTTCAACGCCCAGACCCTGCTTCAAGGCAACAACCTCATGTGCTACGGCCTGCAGCTCGCCGTCCAGGAACTTCCTGACATCCTCTCCGGCCTCGTCACCAACCTTGGTGCTGCACTCAACCAAGTCAGCTCTGCCTTCGGCAATGCTACCGAGAAGCTTGGCTGCCCTGAGCTCACCAAGATCAACCAAGATCAGTTCAACAAGTACCCTGGTTACACCAAGCTGAAGTCTGACGGAACATACTAAGCTTGATGAGCAAAGAACACAAATGAACAAATACGACTGTATGATCTTTTAGTTTAGATGAAAATATCAAAATTTACCTTCTACCCTTCAATCTGATCTTTCCCTTATTTCATGTGTGATGGTGTTGCCGATATGTGCACGTGATGTGCTCGAGTACTATTTCCTACGGACGTCCACTGCAGGGTGACAGCAGTCTTTCGCGAAGCTCGGGCGAGTACGGACAAGTTGTATCCTTTGACATCTTGCCTGAACACAAGCCATGCAGCCACCACTATATATGTCTTGTTTCAGACTTGTTTCGAGCCTTGTCGCTGTTCGTATTCTCCATCAATCATAGGGCCTTGTTCTGCTGCTAGAACGCTCATTGACGGTCCATACTGGCAAGAGTAGGCGACATAAGCTACTTTTCAAGAATCAAATCCCTCGTTCTTGATGATCAGCAATGGCAAAATGTAGATACTTTCTGCTTCGACTTTATCCGCTGCCGATGAGGTAGTAGTATCTACAGCCAAAGTGTTTGAGCTATGCTGCAACCCCCTCTCAAGGTCTTGTTAGCGATGTGACATTGCAGGGGGACTCGAGACGCTCTGCATCAGCAAGTATAAAGAGCATAGCATGACCACCTCCATCCAGGACTTCTGATACTAAGAGCTGTTGGTACGATTTGAACTTGACCCACGATGAGATTCTCCTCTGTCTTCACGGCCTTGTCCGCTGTGACCAGCACATTGGCTCAACAAACATACATCAATCCTGTACTCTGGTACGACCTGGCCGACATCGATGTCTTCCGCAAGGGCAACCAGTACTACTACTCAGCCTCTACCATGTCCTTTTCTCCAGGTGCTCCTATCCTCAGATCCGGCGACCTTGTGAATTGGGAATTCATCGGACACTCAGTCCCCACACTGGACTTCCACGACACTGCATATGACTTGGCTGATGGCAAGCAAGCGTATGTGAGAGGTATTTGGGCTTCGTCTATGCAATACAGAGAGTATGACGATACGTTCTACTGGATTGGATGTGTCGACTTCAAGACTACTTATATCTACAAGGCCAAAGATCCTGCTGGGGATTGGAGCAAGGTCGGCGAGATTGGAACCTGCTACTATGATTGCGGAATGTTGTTCGATGGGCAGAACATCTATGTTGCTGTAAGTTTCCATGCACCTACTTCTTTCTAGCCATTGAACTAAACTCTTCGATATCCAGTACGGCAACACCAAAATCAGCGTAGCACAGCTCAACAACGACTTCACTCAAAAATCCACCACCCAAGTCTACTCCTCCTCAATCACAATCGAAGGCTCCCACATGAAGAAGATAAACAACAACTACTACATCTTCGTCACCCAACCCGCCTCCAACGAATACGTGCTAAAGTCTTCTTCTGGGCCCTTGGGTCCCTATGAATTCAAAATCTTTACCAAAGCAGCGGCCAGCAGTGTCCAAGGCAGTGGAAACCCTCATCAGGGAAGTGTGGTTGATACTCCGGATGGCAAGTGGTACTATCTGGCTTTTATCGATGCGTATCCTGGTGGGAGGATGCCAGTGTTGGCGCCTTTTGTGTTTGATGCGCAGGGTTGGCCATCGTTGAAACAAGCGAATGGGTTCGCCATCGCGAATCCCTATCCTGTTACTCCTGTACCAGTCAAATCTACCACTGGCATCGATAGCTTTACCGGACCAAAGCTGTCTCCACAATGGGAATGGAACCACAACCCAGACACCACAAAATACTCCTTTGCCTCTGGAGGAGGTCTGATCCTCAAAACAGCTTCAGCAACCAAAGACCTGTATCATGCAAAAAACACACTCACCCACCGTATCCTCGGTCCAAACTCCACCGCAACAATCGCCCTCGACATTTCCAAAATGAGCAGCGGTGATCAAGCAGGCCTCGCCCTCTTGAGCGACAACTCGGCTTACATCGCCATTCGCAATGGTCTCGTGATCCTCCAACGCGACCTCACTCTCGGCGCAGGCTGGGACACTCTGTCCACAGGTCGACAAGAAACTTCTGCTTCCCTACCCGCCAACACAAAAACCGTTTGGTTGCGTTTACACGCTGATATTGCACCTTCTGGCTCTCACCAAGGCAGTTTTTCGTGGTCAGCGGATGGAAAGACGTTTAAGGTGTTGGGAACACCGTATGTCATGAATACTACTTATTACTTTTTCATCGGGTATAGGTTTGGTATCTTCAATTTCGCGGAGAGTGCGTTGGGCGGTCAGGTTACGGTCAAGTCGTTCGAGTTGGCTTTGGGGTCGAAGTAGAGAGGGATTGAGAACGGGGTAGGGGTAGTAGATAGGTCGAATCTTAGTGACTTGCGTTTTCCAAGAGATCATGGTATGCGATTTGTTATCCATTGATTCGTCCATCATCAGCTCCGTGGTCGGCAAGCGATGGTGTAGAGATTGATTCTCGCAGGGAAGGCTCGACCTGAGGATGCAATGAACTGGTAGATGGTGCTGAAATCGTTTTGAGGATGATACTTGATTTCTGGGCAAAGACCATATCGATCTCGGCTGCCAGGAGTCGAAGGCGCGAGCGCTAGAGACACTGACCTACAAAGATGCGAGCTTGAAGTCACCGACGAGTCTCTTCTTCAAAGTCACAAGGAGCGCTATATTTGCATGAGATGTGATGTATATTGTTGTACAGTCTGCAGATATCGTACACACTGACAGATTCTATAGCGATGCCGATCACGCTTCCTTCGTCTCTAGTGTCTTTTTCGCCCTTCCTTCCTTCTTTCGTGCCTTTGCATCCATCTCTGCCGATGCGGTCAATTGCCTTACAGTCGGCTTCACTGGCTTAGGAAGCGGGACGTCCCAGATATCGGCCCAGCTGTCAGGATGCAGTTCAAGTGGTCCAGGCAACTCGCCAACTCTGGCTGGTTTGCCATCACCAGACTGCGGAAGACAGATCCACTGTCTGACGCATCCGGGAATATCCTCTGTGTTGTGACTGATGGTCAATAATGCCTGACTATCCTGAATGCCGTCAAAGTTGACCATCTCATTGTCCTTCTGTAGAGTGTCGGTGAATCTATGGCCAGAAGAATTCCACCTGTCGTAATGATGCTCAATCTTCTCACCATGGGCAAGGAACAACATACACTTTTCGCTGACAGCTTTGTCCATCCCGCTCAAAGCCTCATCCAAGATGATCAAGTCAGGGTCAGCCACCAACGCGCGAAGGAATAGCAACACGCGCTGTGAGCTGAAAGACAAATCTCTGAAAGTCATGGTATCTGCCCAGTCGAGATCTTCGGTGATGGTCTGAAGACGCTCAAGTCTGCGTTTCATGGTGGGACTGATACGCGGAATTTTCTCCTTGTTGATTGCAAGCGTCTGTAGCTCGCTAGTTTGGGTGGGCGAGAGTTCCGGCGCGAACCAACGTAGGAAAGCATTGACGCGAATGTCGTTTTGCCACGTCAGTCGGGGTTTTGATAGAGGCGTGTCGGCCCAGGCGCTTTCTAAGACCCGGCGAATTGGCAGGTGCTTTGGGAAATACGTGTGAACCTCGGGAGAGCTATGTCCTATGCGGGATTGAAGCTCGAAGATGCTGATACCAAGTTCTCCAGGAGAAGGAATACGAGAGCGGCCAAAGAGCTTAATCGGAAGGCTGTACGTTTGAGGGTGGTCTGATGTGATCAAGGATAGCAAAGTGGTCTTGCCAGAGCCGTTGGGCCCAAAGACGCCCCATCGTTCACCACGACGGAGATTCCACCACAAGCCCTCCTTCTCCACGCCATCAACTGACTCAGACCAATTGCCGAGGACGATCTTTTTCGTTGAGGCGTCACTCGCTCCGTACGAGACTTTTACGCCCTGCATCTCAACTAATGCTTCTCCAGGTGTCAGTGGGCGATGTTTCTCAGTGAAGCCATCACTACTTGTGATTTCGTCTTTGGAGTGCTTGGCTCGAGAAGGTCTATTAGACTCTAGAGTTATGCTTGAGCGTAGACTTTGCTGAAAGCCATTCTTTCCACGTGGTCTACCTAGAGCTTTCCAGACACGACCCTTGGTGCCCGAATGACAGACTTGGGAGTTTGTTTCGGAATCAAGGACGATGAGATGGGTGATCCAAGTGGGAATGGATTCTCCTAGGCGCAGAGACAACATGATTCTCGGGTTGCTCCGTTCAGCCATTTGTTTCAAGAAGGTAGAGATGTGCTCTTTGGAAATAGGATCAAGCCCCATGAAGGGACCGTCAAGCAAGAGGAGCTCAGGCTTCTGCAGCAAAGCCTTTGCGATACGAGCTCTTCGTGTCTGACCATTGCTGAGGTTGCTGACAGGCAAGTGCAGCAAGGGTTCCAGATTGAGGTTCGCAACGATGTTGGCCAGCAAATCGGTGTCTTTGACATTTTCAGGCTTCTCGAGCGCATTTAACTCAGTGTTCCCCTCGAGATAGTCCAGCAAAGACCAGTCGTCGACTTCGCGATGAGCCTCATAGCGTTGACTTAGGTATTGACCCTTGACAGCAGTGCCACCCAGACCAGACCTCTCGGCATCGAAGCCAATGTAGCTGATGGCGCGATGAGGAGTGGTGTTTTGTAATTCCAGGTAAGGGTATGAGCGGGCTTCCGGCGGAGTGGCGAGATATCTGCCGTTCAAGACATTGAGAAAATCGGTGCGTGACGAGTCGGTGGTGCTGATCAAGGCCCAGTGTTCGTTGGCGGTGTGAAGAGTGAAATCTATTTTCTGGAAGAGAGGCGATTGATTGTTCTGTTGTAGAGAATCCTTGTAGACTGTGGCGTTCTCAAGTCGGACCAGTGGTGTTTCGGTGGACAGTGATCGCAGACGAATAGCGATCTGCGGATAGGCAAATGGTCGTCGGCGCAATTGCGCTCTGAACATCGTGAATTCAGACTTGCGACAAATGTCAAACTTGGGCCGACGAGTCCCAGAAATCTTTGCCAAGCCAGCAGGCACGATGTTCTCGCGTGAACCTTCCTTTTTCTGTCAAAACTTCCTGCTTTCTGCTTCCTGCTTCCTGCCATCTCCGCACTCGACTCGGCTCTCGGCCTTGTAGAGCTGTCGTCCTCGAATGCATCAACCCAGCCTGAATACCTAGAAACCCTGCTCATACTTTGCCTTCTGCCTACCTCCACATCGTGTCTTGTTCATAAAACATGTTTCCAGCTCTCCAACCGTCCAGGCCCAAGGCAAGCAATTCCACCGCTCCAATATCATAGATAGAGGTCTGACACTCCCCAGTACCCGCCGCCGCAGACTGCATCGCGGCCAAACTTCCAGCAGACTCGTGCGGCTTCAAATATCACGTCAAAACCTGCCAGCCAGATAGAAGCCATGCCTCCAAACATGTCTTCTGGTCAATCTCAACCACCCTCATACAATCCTGCCACTTGCCATCCAGTTTTCTTTTCAGCTTCCTTCCACAAACCACCTTTCTCTATCCCGCTTGTGCCGTCCTCTGGTTTTCACCCTTCAGCCACTGGTTATGTTTTCAACTCAAACAAGCCGACTCCTTTGACAAAGCTTTGACGCTCTTACTACCGGAGAAACTGTGCGTTCAAAGCAGTGCATACCTCAGAAGCCTAGCTTTTTGTGAGCATACACAGCGTTGAATGCATTCGATAACCATGGTCTTCCGGCCTGCATTGCTCAAGCCGTATGCGGCATGCGATGAGTGACAGATCATGTGCATAACAGCCCGAGCCGGGCACCATGTCGGCCGAGTCAGTCGTTCAGATGATTACTCTCCAGAGTCGTGACAGGAGGCCACAGTATCTATCTCGAGCAAGATTCGTCATGGCATCTGATGCTCTCGAGTTCTCCCATACTCCAATTCCCTTTTCCAACCCTACAACTTACAAATCATCGTCATTCTGAGAGGGATCAAGTCTTCGGAAGAGCACCAAGATGCGGCAATCTCGATCCGAATCGTGGGGAAACGCTTGATACTTTCTGTGACGATTGCAACAACGTCATCACAGCGTAAGCACGGACAAAAACTGCCTAAATCATCTTTAACCATATTATCGAGGAATGTCAATAAATATTGAGCCTCTCCCAGTTTCGTCAAGGATCCCTAACCTTATATCATGTCGTCGAAAGAAAATTCGCCCGAAAGGTCGAGCGATAACGCACAACAGAATGGTGAATCAGAAAAGGGCCAGGATGAGAAACCGAAGCCCGTTGGGTTGTTCTCGCCAGAACTCAAGCAAGTGAGGCGAGAGATTGCCTGGAAATGGTTGTTAACCACTGTCACTCTCATGGCGGCTATCATGGCTGTATTATCTCTCTGTGAGTCCTCTCAAGACCTTGATGAAACATTGGAAACTGACGTCGAACAGACTGGGCAGCATTATTCCATGTGGAGTCGAACCTATCTTCATTGGTTGTGTACGTTGTAGACTTTGACGGTCAGGGACCGAACAGCGTTCCTGGAGTCGAGCCGTTAGTCGGACCCATCGTCCAAGGCCTTGCGCGTACTCAAGTGGCATCTGGAACCCCAACACTCGGATGGGGACCTCTATCTGGAGCCGACTTTGGCTACGATCCTATCGCCGTACGACAGGCTGTTTACGACTGGAAGGCTTGGGCTGCCATCATAATCATGCCCAATGCAACTTCTCAACTCTACAATGCTGTCCAAAACGGAAACACGAGCTACGACCCCATGGGAGCATGTCAATTGATCTATCAATCCGCTAGAGATGACACCAATTGGTTCGACTTCATGTATCCACTGATCTCCCAATTCCAGACTCAGGCTACATCCATGGTCGGACAGCAATGGGCCAAATTGGTCCTTCAAAACGCCACCACCGATCAGAATCTCCTGCGCAACATGGTCAATGTACCTCAAGCCATTTCTCCAGCAATCGGGTTTTCTGAATACGATCTAAGGCCATTCTATCCTTACACAGCCATCCCAGCCACCACCATCGGACTAATCTATCTGATCATTCTGAGTTTCTTCTCCTTCGCCTTCTATCTACCCATATGGTTCAGATTCTTGAATCCTCAAGGACATCCACCTCTCAGATTCGTCGAATTTATCGCTGTTCGTTGGGGTGGTACTGTTCTTGCCTATCTCTTCATGTCTCTGGCGTATTCATTCGTCTCTTTGGCGTTTCAGATCAACTTTTCCGGCGGCAATCCAACCACTTCGGAAACTCAGGTTACGGATATTGCATTTGGCAACCCTGACGCTTACGGTCATGGAACCTTCCCTGTGTACTGGATGTTGAACTTTGTGGCTATGTGTGCTCTTGGTTTGGCCTGTGAAAATGTCGCTATGGTTATTGGGCAGCCTTGGACTGGTCTCTGGCTTATTTTCGTAAGTGCCTTTTCTCCTGGAAATCTTCTCAACGTACTAATGACAATGAACAGTGGGTTATTACCAACGTCTCAACCGGCTTCTACGATATCGATATCGAACCTGCATTCTTCCGCTGGGGATACGCTTGGCCATTGCACAATGTCGTTGAAGCCAGTAGATCGATTCTATTCGGATTGCACTCACGCATTGGACTCAACTTTGGTGTGCTGTTTGCTTGGGCCGCTGTCAATACTGCTCTGGTAAGCGTCTTGTCTATTTAAATGCTCTGTGGATGATTTGCTGACTTATCTCCTAGTTCCCTTTAACCTGTTGGTTCTTGTTGTATAAGCGCAAGCATGAGATACACGAGTACTGGGCTTGATGAATACACGAGGAGGATCGATAGAGAAGAGTCTCACGCTTCTTACAGTACACATTTACCTTTTCAGCGAGGAATCTCTTGCTTTCCACGATATACATTTACCCCACATACATGAGATTTGACGGCGAGTATACAAAATTTGTAATGATCCAGCACTTTTTGTCTTTTAATTTCTGCAAAAGATAGACTATGCAGAGGTAGAGCTGGCAAAGACAGTGCGAGGCCAACCAGCCACTGAAGCCACGGGACGATGGATCAAGTATCCCAATCAATGGAGCAAAAAGTGATGTAATTCTAGATCTGACTGGAAAGAGTGACACCTTATCAAAGAAAAGTCACAGAGCCAGATCTTTCGATCGATTATGCTATCAACGCTATATCACCTTCTACTCGACCACAGAAACACCCCTCCCCATGACGCCCCTTCCAAACCACTCACTAACAGTAGCGAACTTATCCCTACTCCTGCCCAACGCATCCACAAACAACTCATGCCTATCCGCGCTCTCCTCTTGAGCCCTCCTAATCGCCTTAACCGTCGCATTATCACCGCTACACTTTGGACATTCAACATCCGACTCCTCATCACCAGCGCCAACATACAAACATCTTTCATGGAATGAGTGTTTGCAGAGGAAATGCACAGTAGGTAGGTCCAAGGGAGCCCCGCATGCAGAACATCTAGTAGCGGAGAAAGAGACGGGTTTAGAGGCCAGGGTTTCCAGTTCGTTGGCTTTGGCTGCTGTGTCGTTGCGGTAGGAGGATATGAGTTTGCGGTTACTAGCAATTTCTGCTCTTTCGCGCTCGATGGTGCGGGAAAGATACGTCTTTACCAATCCCATGGTCGCAACTTGACTTTGCGATAGCGTTTGGATGACTTGAAGCGGAGCCATTAAACCATCATCGTCGATTTTCTTGAGTACGGAGTCAAGCTCGGAAGATGCTTCGGCGAGGACTGCAGACGTGGAGGTGAAGTAGGCGAGGGCGGCTGGGTACAGTTGCGGTTCCAAGGGCCCGTATTTGCGGAGGGCTTTTATGGCGCTGGGGGTGTCGTTTGCGGATGTGTAGGAGCGAAAGATATCGAAGTAGAGGCCGCGTTGTTCGCGGACGAGAGTAGTGCCGTCGCGGAAGTTTGAGAGGTGGGAGAGTAGGAGGATGTTGGAAGTGCCCATACGTGTCTGTGAGCGAAGTCAGTGTGTTTCAATTTTTATTTAAGGCGTGTATCAATATCGATTTGAGCTTACATTTTGTTCCTCAACCAACTGTCTCGCTTTACTTTCCCACTTGGTCTTGTCGTCACTAGTCTTCTTACTGGCAATCTGCAAGTACATCTCGAACAAGGTTGTGTAGAGATCTGTCTTGTCCTCATCTTTTAGGCCAGAGCTAGCGATGCAGGCCTCAAGGAACGAGATGAACTCATCTGGATGGTCCACGAATGAAGAGAATGCCGCTCTTGGTTTGGGCACCTTGTACTCGACGTACTCGTCCTCGACAGTAGTCTCGATGACTTGCTGAGTAGTCTTGGTTCCACCAGGCGTCCGTGGTACATCTGCACTCATGTATGGTAGAGGAATCAGAGCAGCCAGATTTTGCACAGCTGAAGTTGCCATCTTTCCAATACCTCCAGATTGCTGCTGCTCCGGAGTGATTTCTTGCTCTACTACGGCATCCTTCTTGGGTCTGAAGTTGCCTGTGAAATAGTCGATGAAGAGTTGTTTCGTGTCCTCTGAAGAGTGTTCAAGAAGCACAGTGCCGTATTTGGTAAGGCTGTCGTAAGCCTGTTCAGGTTCCAGACGCCAGATATAAGCCAAGGCTTCGGCGTATCTCTTCAGATCTTCGATCAGGATATCAACAACTAAGCCGTGCTCATTATGTTTCCTGGCAAGGAATGCTGCCTGGTCTGAGTAACCACTTTGACGACACATTGTGATGGCAGTGTCGAGGTCAAACTTCAGATCACCGGGTGATTTGATAAAGTCTTCGAGCTTCTCAACGTCCTTCAACTTTGCATAGCAGTTCAACAACAGTGTAGTGTGATCCGAAGAAGCTTTGTGATGCTCATGTAACTCTTCCAGATATTCGATAAGATTGCGTATCCTTTGGTTGTCGAGAAACTTGCGAATGATTTGTGACGGTTCGGTGTTGTCGATCGCGCGAAGGTATTGTTGCATAGCAGTATCATAGTCGCCTTTTCTGTATAGGTAATCGCCATATTTGCGGAAGATCAGGTTCTGCTGGACGACATCGACCTTCTCCTTTTGCGCCAGGTTGATCGCAAGCACGAAGAACTCGCGCTGATACAGAATCTCGAGTTTCTGTTGGAACGTCTTCTCGGTGTATCGCAGGACTTTGCCATCGAGTGTGACGATGTAGACCTGGCCCCACGCAGAGAACAGAGCGTTCACTTGGCTAGGCAAAGCCTCGGTATGTGCAATGAGTTTGAGGTCAGGGTTCAGGATGGTGAAATTCGAGGTGCTGAAGAGGTCATCTGCTTGGCCTCCACCAAACGATCTCGTGGGGGCATTCGTCATGCTCTTTGGCGGCGAGACCAGAAGGATGTAATCCTTGTACGTCTCGGTGAGCTTCTTCGAGCCTTCATAGGCATACGAGGCAACTCTACCACGCGGATTGTAGGCGTAAACAGCATCGTCGCGTGCAACGATTATATCATTGGAACGCAAGTCTTTGGTCAGACAACCAACGGCACAGCCGTGTTCATCCAGTGTACGAGCGGGCTGACCTTGACCTTTGCCAGAGATGATGAGAGTGGATATCCTGCTAGTGGTGGAGATGAAGAGAGTGGTGACGTTGGCTTCTCTGAACTCCAGACCAGTGATGGGCTCGTCGGTCTCTAGTACAGTACGCTGCTTTGTCCCTCTATCATGGATGAAGTCACCTCTTATCACCGTCACAGCACCGTTCGCAAAGCCAACAGCGACTTGTGACAGATCGCGCAGTACCGCGAATGCAGATACTGGGAAAGGCTTCCTTCCATTTGTGACTGAGATGGTGGTGAGACAACGTGGTATGCCAGTCTTCTTGTCAGGACGATCCAAAGCCCAGACTTTCAGGACAGGCTCATGAGGCAGGTCTTCGGCGAGGGTGACGAGTAGTGACGAGTGAGGGATTTGGCGGATGTTGGTTAATGCACCGGATTCATGAGCCTTCCATGATTGGGTTGTTTTGAAGGTCTGGTCTAGGATACGAAGATGACCATCTGGAGAGCCGACGTAGACGTGGTCGGGGCTGGCGATTATGCAACTCACGTTGCCTTGCTAATACCAGTCACTTGCTGTTCTTGAAGGTGGTAGGCTGGGGATCGAGATACCTCTAGAATGGACTTGTCGGCGTCAGGGAGCTTGATGGGACTAACATCGAAGAATCGAAATGCTTTCCACTGAGATTGTTAGAAGCTTGCATCATGACAGATCAATATCACATACCGATGTCAAGGCCATCTTGTCAAGCCATGTCCTTGAAGCAACAGCTCGGGAACATGCAATGCGCGCATCGGCGAGGCCTCCGTCATCCCCGAGCCCGGGCACCTTGGCACGGATTAGATTGAATCATGTGATATCGCGGGGTCGCAACTTCCTCCTGCGCGCGTCTTCCTGCTTGTGAATCGGGGCCTCAGCTGTAGGCTGCGAGCACTAATACTCTAGCTCAATGTTGATTGCATCATGCCGCCCCGGCACCGCGAGATTCTCGACTCGGAAGATGAGGATGATCTTGTTGTAGCTGCTCCTACCTTGGTGGCGACCAGACCAAGCGGGGAAGACGCGCCTGTCGACACGGATGTAGATCAATCTACTGCTTCTACCGAAGAGCTTCTGCGACGAGCACAAGTCGCTTTGATGGCGCCCACTCAAGAGGATGCTCCCGTTGTCAACTTCTCTGACCTTGCTGCCACCTCAGTCGACACCTCACCTTCAAGCACACACAAGAAGCGTCCACTGGAAGATACACATCCTCAGTCTCGTTCGTCTGGGAAGCTGAAGCGCATCAAGATTGTTTCCAAACCCGCCTCTCAATATGAATCCAGCGATTCCGTCAACCCGCCTCCCATCTTGCCTTTTGATGGTACAAACGACACCATCCCTGGCCCCACCTTGCCATCTGCAGCTGGTTTCGACAACGAACAACAGACACCGAAGCCTCGACAGCGCAACTCGTCCCAGCAGCACACATCTTCAGCCAATTCGTTGAATAATCTGACTCCGTGGTCGGGAACTGCGCTTGGAAGCAGCGATAGAATCAATTCCGATGATGCCATCGGCCTACCCAAGGAACTATATGTCCCTAGACCAAGCCGCTCAAGGTCTGCACAGGTCGACACGAGTAGCATTGACTACGCAATGGTCGTCGAGAAAGCCGCAAAGAAGGCTCGACCGAGGCGCTCCATTACAGACTCTGCCGAGCATGCCACTTCTGCATCCATGTTTTCAGAACATCCTATTGACAAGGCTCCCGAGTTCGAGAGACTGTCCCCCGACCCCGAAGCACCTCCTAAAATCTCGACGCACCCTGTATCGACCGTCTCCGAGTCTGTTCAAGCTCTCTCCTCGTCAATCAAGTCGACCAAGTCAAACAAGAAAGCCCCTGCGAAACAACCCGCCAAACGTGGACGCCCCAAGAAGAAAGTCGTCGAAGATGAGGAGGACGAGCTGGCTCATGAAGATGATACTGCGACCACAAACTCCAAAATACCGGCATCAGCGTCCAAGCCAGAGGTCCAGGTCGTCATAGAGCCAAGACCTGACTTGGTAGCCACTGTGCTCGCTCAGCTTAGACAGCACAAATCGAGAGAACCGACTCCAAAGCCACTCGAGGATCGATCGCCGAAGGATGATATGCCTGCACCATCTCAAGGAAACGGCGATAATTCAGTGAAGGCCGAGCCTGTGGCTGAAGCAGATGATGAGTCTGAGGATGAGATCATAATACCTAGGAGTACTGCAAGGACCAAGGCCAACGCCAAATCCAGACATAAAGCAAAATCGAAGACTCCCGAGCCAGTCTACAAGGAAGATGATGAGTCAGAGCACGAGATCTATGACGAATATTCACAGAATGTTGTGAAACCAAAGGCAAAGAGCAAGGCGAAGCCCAAGGCCAAACCAAAAGCAAAGGGAAAGGCAGCGACGGCTGTTGTTGTGCCGGATCCACCTTCGGATCACGAGGAAGACGACCAAGAGCCGCATGCAGCAGATGATGATGGCGAATCAGAAGCTGGTCACATCTCCGAAGCTGAAGAAGAGTCGGAAGAAGAATCTCCAAAGCCAAAACTAAAGGCGAAAGCAAAGGCAAAGCCAAAACCTGAGCCCAAATCTAAAGTAACTGCCAAAAGCAAAGCGTCAACTCCGAAACCTGAGCCTGTGGCATCTAAGTCATCTCCTCCGGCGCCTGAGATGGAAACCCCGAAACCTGCCGCTGTTGAGGTTTCCGTTCCAGACGCAGTCGTCACACCTAAGGTCGTCACTATGAAGAAAGATGCAAAGTCGTCTGCAAAACCTAGCTGGCAGCAATCGACGTATCGTGTGGGCTTGAGCAAGACGCAGCGGATTCCCTCTTTACTCAAGGTCTTCAAGAGATAAGTATTGATATATTTTTGTTTTCGAAGCATTGCGATGGTGTTTTTGGTGGTTGGGCCAGGGTTTATTGCTTTCTCTCATGGCTTGGGCATTGCACGGTCAAGGCACAGAACAGACAAGGCAGGCGAATGAGGGTTATTCTTTTGACACGATTACATGATACTCCCTTGAGCTTTTTTGAGTATATCTTACTTGGCTATATGACCCGTATACCTTAATCAGTCTTTGGCAGCCGTGATGTTATTGAACGCCGCCTTCCATGTCCTGTGACATTAACAAAGCAAATTAAACACACCAATGCTAACTCAGCACCTTCCAGACTTCAATCCCAATGCATCTTTCTTTCCCTCAACCCTCCTTTACTGCTGCATCTTCTCACCAGCCCCAGCCTCGGCCTCTTGCGTCTTCAACTCCAAATCCAATTTCTGAAATGCCATGGACAGCTCATCCGCTTCCTGCAATTGCTGTGCTCTCACTCCACTCAAATCTGTTTTCAGACCTTGCGCTTGCATTTCTGCGAGATGGGCGTAGACCATTTTTTGCACTTCTTTGTATTGTTTGCTTTCGGTGCCCCAGGAGGCTGCGGCGTTGCGGAGGTTGATGAAGAGCTGTGTGATGAGGAGTTAGGAATTGTGGAGAATATGATGGTACTTTGGGAGGGTGAGGGATGTGGGATGGAAGTGAGACTGAGACTGAGTGGAGACAGTACAGATGGTAAAGAGATGGAAATAAAGATCAAGGTGAGTGAAATTCGATGGGTATGTACATTTTCTGAATTTATTTTGGATTTGTAGTGGTGATAGAAATTGTTGTTGCTTACGCATTGCAAGAGATCGTTTTGTGATGAGAAAGATGACATGTTGTGCTTGTGATTGAGTGTTCGAGTGCGATATACGGTAACGGACAGTTCAGTGTGTTATGTGAGTATTGATTAGGAGGCAGCAACTTGTACGTGACTTGTATGTTCGATGAGAAGGTGCGGTTTGACATGCCAAGACATCACTTTCTACGAGACACTTCATCTCTCTACATCCCTTCTCTGCATCAACTCTTGGTCTTGAGTAACAGATCTCGCATTCAGAGATAGTGGTTTGAAGATGGAGCCGCAGTTATCCGAAGAACATGGCGTCCGAATCGCTGTAGAAGGATGCGTATGTTGCAATTACCCCTCCACCACATTGTGATGTTTCTGGCTCACAACCAAACAGGGTCATGGCACACTTCACGCAATCTACGCGTCTATCGAACGAGCATGTGCCGTGAAAGGATGGCCCGGAGTAGATCTTCTCATCATCGGCGGTGACTTCCAGGTACTCGATTTTCTAATGCTTCTGCGAACACCAACAACAAATACTAAACTCACAAAAAACAGTCAGTACGCAATGCACATGATCTACAATGTGTATCCATGCCAGCAAGATATCGCGACATGCACGACTTTCACGAATACTACTCCGGAACACGCAAAGCACCCTATCTAACCATTTTCGTCGGCGGAAACCATGAAGCAGCAAATTATCTCTTTGAACTCTACTATGGAGGCTGGGTAGCACCAAACATCTACTACATGGGCGCAGCAAACGTACTCAAACTCGGTTCACTCAGGATAGCAGGTATGAGCGGTATCTGGAAGGGCTTTGATTACAAGAAACAGCATCATGAGAGACTTCCCTACAATGAGGGTGATGTGAAGAGTATCTATCACGTCAGAGAATTGGATGTGAGAAAATTGCTGCAGATACGCACGCAGGTTGATGTGGGTATTTCTCATGATTGGCCTAGAGGGGTTGAGTGGAAGGGTGATTGGAAGAAGCTGTTTAGGCAAAAGGCGCATCTTGAGGAAGACGCTAGGAATGGGCAGTTGGGGAGTGTGGCTGCGACGTATGTGATGGATAGACTGAGACCGCCGTACTGGTTCAGTGCTCATTTGCATTGCAAGTATGCTGCTGTGGTCGATCATGAGAAGACTGGAGAAGCATCTGGACCAGAGGCTTCTGCCAGCGGCAATGGAGCCGCTGTGGAAGAGGTGCCCAAGAAGAACTCGGACGAGATTGACCTAGATATGGATGAGGATGAGCCGTCCGCTCAGATACAACCGGCAAAGAATACGGACGAGATTGACCTCGACATGGACGACGACGAGCCAGCACCAACACCAGCACCAAAGGCCAGCGAGACCCATACAATTCTACCTGCCAACATAGACGAGATTGATCTCGAACTCGAGGACGACGCCGACCCATCAACCGCACCCGTAGCTCCAGGACAAGGACTGGACGGAGCACGAGTCCCCATCACACCTTCAGCGTCCGAAGATACCACAAACCCCCCATCCGCAGTCCCAGAAGACCTCCGCGCCCAACTCCCAGCTTCCTTCGCAAAACCTCCTCGGCGCCCCGAGTCAACTAACCAACTAATCTCACATCCCCCCAGCATCACAAACACAAAGACCAACTTCCTAGCTCTGGACAAATGCCTCCCAAACCGCAATTTCTTGCAAGTGCTCTCTATGCCGGCAATCTCTGACCCTAACGCTTCTTTCGACCGCCCTCTGCAGCTAGAGTACGACAGAGAATGGCTAGCCATCACCCGCGTCTTTGCCTCCGAGTTGAGCGTCGGCGGCAACCCTAATGCCCGAGCACCACCTGATCTCGGTGAAGCTCACTATGCGCCTCTGATCGACGCATCACAAACCTGGATCGAGGAAAACGTCAAAGACATGACTGTACCTGAGAACTTTGAAATCACAGCACCGGTATTTGATGCTGCGGCTGGCATTCATGTCCAAGGACAACCGAGAGAGTACACGAATACTCAAACTAGCAGGTTCTGTGAAATGCTTGGTATTGCCAATCCTTTTGATATCTCAGAGCAAGAGAGAGAGGAAAGGATGCAGGCAGGCCCGAGACCCGATGAGCAGAGACGGGATAGTGGCGGGTACAAGGGCAATCGTGGGGGTGGTAGGGGAGGGGGTAGAGGTGGTCGGGGTAGAGGTGGAAATGGAGGAGGGCGCGGAAGGGGGAGAGGAAGGGGTGGACCTAGGTATTGAGGACCCTCAGATCACGCAATCAGTGGAGTAGAGGGGGGAACTCAGGAAGGAAGGACCATTCCCAAGACGCAGAAACACAAGCTGTATTCTATAACACTCCAGTCGACTAACATAGCGTTTGAACAGCACTTGTGCTACTACATTGGCAAACCTCAACATCTTGATTTACACCTGAACGGCTAACAGAGACTTAGAAGCAAAGACACTTGTAAGATTGAGATTGTTAATGCGCGGAATGTGGTATATATCATCTATCAATTCCCTTCTTCCAATGCCAAAGCAAAGCCTTTTCAGCCATTCAAATATCCATCTTATCCTCTGCATCATCCACATGCTCCAGTTTCCTCTTCCTCTGCGTACTGCCATCTAGTCATTCGGTGGTGGTAGTCTCCTCAGTCTTCTCCTCACTCTGCTGCGTGTATCCATAATCCTCAGTGTTGATATCCTTCAATCCCAAATCCTCTTCTTCCTCAGCAGTCCTCTCGTACTCTTCAACCTTGATCTGCGGGTCTGGCGCAGGAGCAGTATAACTCTGCACATACGAGGAAGCCAGCGGATCTTCAATGACCACCGTAAAAGGTCTCTTGCCCTCAATGGCTTCCCCCAAAGAGGCGAAGAATTCTTCCCAGGTGCGTTTGGTATCGCTTTGCATGGAGTCTGCAGCTGCACGGAGTTCCTGCTCATCGTCGCCGTTTTCGAGTCCGAAAGCTTGGGCGCGCAGGTCCTTGCGGAAGTTTGTGAGCAGGCCTTCGACGGTGGTGAAGCGGCCACCTTGGGTGCCGGGCTCCACGCGGAGACCCAACTCTGGACAATGCAGAGCTGCTGATTCGGACTTGAGGACATCTCTGGCCAAGTCCTCGGGTGTGTTTACGGAAAGCGTGATGCGGGAGCCCTTCTCGGGCACCTCGCCACCGGTTTTGACTTCGTTGCTGCGGTAGCCGCAGTGTTCGCATACGGTGCTCATGAGGACGACTTGCTTGAAGAAGGGAATGTTTACCATTTTCATGTTTGTGGTGCAGTGGCGCGTGCAACCTGGACAACTTGCTGGGAAGGAGTAGACTTCGTTTTCGCGAATGTCTTCGTCGTCGACGTTGTTGGTCGTGACTGTGCGGGGGGCATCACCGCCTACCAGACCATCGGCAGCGCGGTATTCGGGTCTGATTTCTGTGGCGGGTGCGTCTTGGCCGTCAACAGGTGCTGCCTCTTCTCCAAGTCCGAGAGCGGCGTTTTGTTCGGGTGTTCTGTCGAATTCGGTGCGGGTGTATTTATGGCGGGCGTCGGTGGGAGAGGGTTGGATGAATGAGTTTCCGGTGGGGTCTTCAGCGGAGACGGTAAAGGGGTATCTGTTTCCATCCAACATATCACCAAGCGCCTGGATGATCTCGGCGACTTTCGCGCCAGCTTCGGGCATTTGCTCCATTCTGGCTTCCTGGTTTTGCGAAAGGTCCTCCTTGACACCGGCGAGAATACCCTCGATGTTTGTCATTTGACCTCTTCCCTGAGGGATCTCGAGATCAATGTCTTCGATTCTGAAAGCGCAGCCATCGCCCTTGACGACGGATCTTTGAAAATCGTCGGCGTTTTCGACCTTGAAGACGTATTTTGAGCCGCGTTCCTGGATTTGGCCGGCAGATGAGATCTCGGTGTTCTTGAAGCTGCAGTGGGGGCAGTAGAAGGATGAGAGGACGATTTCGCGGAAATAAGGGATGCGGGTGAGGAGTAGGCGGGTCATGCCCTGGAAGAGAGTCAGCTGTGCGCGAAAAGCAGGAGCATGTTGGTGATGATTACGTCGGCGTGGCAGTTCATGCACAAACTCTCAATCTCGTCGACGACTCTCTGGTCATCGCCGTCTTCAGTCGAGGACTTCATGCCCTCGACCTGACGACCCATATCCTCGAAGAGGTCCTTAGCTACCGAAGTGGGCTTGTTGTTTGCCGCCATCGTTGCGATAGCGTGTGTGTGTATAGATTTAGTTTTGAGACGGGTGACTCTTGTCGATGCCGGTGACTTGAATCGAGTGGATTCCTGGTTGGGTAAGAAGGTGTGAATAGCAAACAAAAAAAGTTGCACACGTCAGTTGTGAAGGAGAGACGGATTAGCAATGCGACTGGGCGTCTTGAGCGCTGGAAAAGAAGCTTCTCGACCCAATCATTGCCCAATACGCGGGGTCCATCAGCAAAATTTCTAGCTTATCGATAACAATTCTACGTCAGATCGCAGATATGATTAGATCTTGATCATCAGAAATGTATCAGTGAAGAGGTCCAGTCGCTGCAGCCTGTATGTCAGGTCGTCTTCATAAAGTCCATAAAGTCGAAAGCCTTGGGTGCTGTGGCCGGAGCTTTTGACTTTGCCAGCATGGCTTGGAGACCTCCGAGCTTCTGCTTGCGGTTTCGCTTCTTGTCTGCTCCACCACGTCCATGTTCTGAAGATGAAGAGACTGCTGTTGAAGGAGCAGGACTTGGTGTGGCTGTTGCTGTAGTGGTTGGTCTTATGATAGATGTAGTCGAGGTCTGAACAGTGACACTGGCAGATTTGCTTTCGAGTGCTGACTTCTTGGAGTTGGACCGTCTCGCAGGAGGCTGTGTGTCGGATTTGACTGTATTGATGCCGTTGCATAGAGTACACTTGTAATTGATATATGTGATTCGAGGAACAGTAGGCTTCTTTACGACTTTCGATTTGATCTTTGGTTTCTTTGAAATCTCGGGTACTCGTCTTGAAGAGACGGAACAAGACCATCCGGGAATCAGAGCATTGCCACAGGCGCGACAGTTGTCTGGGACTTTACTCGGATGCGACGATGATGTTGTTGGTTTTGATTGTCTGAGTTGATGAGCCAGGAAAGCTGATGCGTGTGGTGATGTCGACAGGAGCACATCTGATGCGGCTTGAAGGTGTCTCTGAGCAGCTGTAGTAGATTCCGTGTTCTTCCTTGACTGGTTCATGTTGGATATGCTATGTTTGGTGGTTTGCGACAAGATTGAAAAGACATCGAGGTGGATCCGCAGTGACGGAATTCATCGAAGCTTGCACGTGAAACCATGACCAAATCATCCATCGTTGCTTGTTCCATCTTTCACCTTTGTCGACCAGCACATGGTCTGACTGCTCGTCCGTCATGAATGCCGTCGACGCGTCGTCGCACGAGGAGGTGGCCGACACAGCAGAGGCTCCATCCCTGCTGACCATCATCCTCGACACCAACCCTCACGCCTGGAACCTGCTCTCATCCACTGTCCCGCTATCCACCTTGGTCGCAAACCTCCTTGTCTTCATCAACGCCCACCTGGCTATCAACAACTCGAATCAAGTCGCCGTCATCGCCTCACATTCAGATAGCGCCCGCTTCCTCTATCCCACCACCCACGATGACCTCCAACTCCCTCACGGTCACACCAACGACATTCAGAATGACGCAAACAAATACCGTCCCTTTTCGCAATTGGAACAGGCCTTGACCACGAATCTACGCGCTCTCCTCACCACAACAACCCCCGAACACCTCAAAACCTCAACATCAACAATGCTATCTGGCGCCCTCACCCTCGCACTCACCTACATGGCCAAAGCCACCCTGAACGATCCAGCAAGAGCAGGAGACGGCTCCTACGACTCGACAAACACCGCCGGCGCCTTCACAACCGCCACCGCAGACGGCACATCCCAACCCAGCCACACCGGCCTTCAAAGCCGCATCCTGATCCTCAGCGTCAGCGGCGACATAGCCGATCAATACATTCCCATCATGAACAGCATCTTTGCATGCCAACGCCTCGCCGTCCCTATCGATATCTTGACTTTATCCCCACATTCGAATCCAGAGTTTTTGCAACAGGCTGCTGATGCGACGGGGGGTGTGTATATGGCTTTGGGTCAGCGTGTGGCTGGGCTGCTGCAGGTGCTTATGATGGGCTATTTGCCTGATGCTACTGCAAGACTCAATCTCATCAAGGCTGGTGAGAGCGAGGGTGTAGATTTCCGCGCTGCGTGCTTTTGTCATCGCAATATTGTCGATCTGGGTTATGTGTGCAGTATCTGCTTATCGAGTATGTTCTTGAACATCACAGACCGAGAATCTATGCTAATCGTGTCACTAGTCTTTTGCCAACCGCCTCCAGACAACAACTGTCTCACTTGTGGCACGGCATTGTCACTATCAGGCCATGCTGCGAAACCAGTGGTGATCCCACGTAAAAAGAAGAAGAAGAGGAAGCTCGATGGGACCGTCTCTGCTGCGGACTCGCCAACGCCCGGTCCTGACACTCCGAGATGATTTCCCTGAGCATGTTACATTGAATCACAACACTCACGACCACGAGCAAATCATAATGAGCCACTACCCGGACGCCTCAACGACCCTGTCACATACAATACAGGGACGATCTTTGCGAAAAAACAGAGAAGGGCTTTTGAAGACTGCAGTCTTGATTGAAGAAAGCAGAAGAGGTTTTCGCGAGACGCTTTAACTGCAATACATGGCCAGATGACGCTGGGCCTTTGGAAGGAGAAATGCAGCAATTTCAGCAGTTCAGAGCATGTCGGTTCTTGGAGTGGCATCAATCATCTCGACTCCTAGATAGTTGCTCTGGAAAATCAAAAGAACGCCATGAAACTCCACGCTATGCCCTCCCTTTCTCAGATCGCGAGAATTGATCATTTTTCCTTTGCGCTCTTTCTGTGCCTTTTTGTGATTGTCGCTCGTGTTGTCTGCAGCCTCTCTTCCGTGAATCCGATCCTCGAAAAGTGTAGGAATTTGCCGGCTCTTTCGCGTGAAGAACTGACGATCCAGAGAGAAGTGATGTGGGTCGCGAGAACCAGAGAGCGTTGGGTATTGATTTCATGTTTTCGCAGCAGGCTGTCGCAGCGTTCCCCAGATGTGTTGAGTGCCGAGATGTCGCTACGCTCATTTCTTGATCAAGAGGTAGACGTAGTCGATGCGCAGAGGAGTCAACTTCTTGTAAGGGCCCTCGAGGTAAAGCAGGAGTCCACCGAACGAGACATAGACCTTGCTGTTTCGTTGTTGTCAGCGAAAAATGTTCATACACATCCATCCATCATCTCCAGTGCCCTCCCCAGACCACTTGCAAGATGTGAGATAGCGCTTGTACTCACATATTCTCCCCCTCCCCCTCCTCAAACCTGTACACCTTGCCCCAACAAACATAATCAAACATATCCGCCAGCGAATTCTCCTCTGCACCCTTTTCCCTCCACCCCTTGCTCACATCCTCTTTGGTGCCATCGAGATTCAGTGTCGAGGCAAGCACAACCTGCAGTGTCTCGCCAACAGCACAAGGATAGATTTCGTGGTTGATGTCGAGGGAAAGGATGGTCGAGGAATCGGTCGAGGTGCCGGTGACGCGGGATACGCGGTCGTATTTCTGAGAGTTCAGAGAGGTGAGTGTGAAGGTGTCGTCGAAGAGGGTGGCGTCGGCCATGGTTGCGGTTTTTGATGTGAGGAGTGCGAGGTGTGTGGTGAAAAGTTTGGCAACGGGTATGATGGCGCGTGGTCGAATAAATCTTTTGGTTTTGCGATGGAGAGCTTGAACAGTCGCGAGCGCAAATCTGAAAGAGCGCGGAGAATGCCGGCGTTTCTGGTCTCGAATGCCAAGGACTGGATATACTCCTCTGTCTCCTTCACTTCCACCATTGACTTGCCAGGCATGCATCTCTCACTTCTTGTGGCTCTGAATGCTTATGACCAGATATGCAATTCGTCACAATACACTACTGCTTCTCATCGGTATTAGACCTCCACAACTCAACCCGCACTTTGCAATTTATCCCCTCCAGTTTTTGACATGATGCATTATTGTGATAATACAGAATATTACACTACGACTGTTAGGAATTGTAGGGTGAGCAAGTTGTCTTCGGTCAAGCCGGCCCAGTCATCTCTGAGCATTGCGCTTCTCCCTCCACCTCATACTCAATTAACCATTCTTTCTACTGGCCCTGAATCTGATTGCACGTCCACCTTGAGCGATAGCCCCGTTGCCCGTGCTGCGAGACATGGTGCAGGTAGGTTTCGATTCTGTTCCGTGGAAAGACGCCAATGCAAATGAATCTGTGTTGTGAGCAAAGTGTAGGTATATTCCTTCGCGCGTCCTTTTCACGGCCAAGATACCGATCGCGCCGGCTGAATGACTGTTCTTGACACTGGGATGTCCTACAGAATCATCAGTATTAGGCTTCGCGTTGTATTCGGCTGGTCTCACCTATAAAGTCACGTTCAATGAACGATTTGATCGCATCGGCATCATCCGTCTCGGTAATGCCAGTCGATGTCTTCTTCACGCTGTAGAAGAGACGTTCAGCTGTCACGGTCGAAGCCATGGTCGTGGCCATATGCTCGCCTGTTCCACTTGTCACAGCAGCGACTGTATTCCGATCCTTGTCGTCCGGATCAACTGGTATAATCGCAGATCCGATGCCAACCAGAGCAGCGGGCCCAATACGACCACGGTGCTTCATACCAATGCCTCCAGATGAGGCACCACAGGCGATGTTTCCATAGCTGTCGATGGCGATGGCGCCTACAGTATCCGTAACGTGATCTTCGTCGTCTATGTGTGGCGCAGATAGGAGCGGGGCTGGGGCCGGGGCAAGATCTGGGAGCTCGGATGATAATGAGTCAATGGCCTGCTCACCTGGTACTTCAACCATCTCAGTATCGAGGTCTTCCAAAGCAGGCAAGTGTTCGCGAGCAGGCGCAAGCTCGGGACTTGGTGTGATCGAAGGTAGCTGCAGAGAGCCTGATGATACGGAACCAGCCTCATGTCCAGAGTCGCCTGAAGATCCATCATGGCGATCGCTCCAGCGTGAGTTATGTAGTCCAGACAGCATGTCGAGGTCGTGGTTCATCATGCTAGTAGACGAGAAGTGTTCCGGAAAGTAGTTGTTAGAGTAATGTCCGTCGTTTACTCTGCGACTGACATTGGCCATAGGAGAGTAGCTGTAGACCGGACGGGGTCCTGGTGGACCGAATGGGTCAGAATGTACCATCAAAGGCTCTGCCGGGTAGCCAGCCGGGGCTCGGGTGAGAGCAGTCGCTTGGAGAGCAGTTGCTTGGAGACCATTTGTCGGAGTTCTCAGAGTATGATTCTGAAGAGCAAGAGAGTCCGACGACGGCAGTGGTGTGATGGGCTGTGCTTCGTTCCAGACTCCGACTTCAAGAGCACGTGTATGTGCTCTGCGTCTCTGTTCCCGCTCACGGTCTTCAGAGTCGAAGGGGACAAAGTGCTTGGATGGTGACGAGTTTACCGAGCTCAAGGTCTGTGGCGACGAATTTCTCCTGTTCTTCTCTACATTGTTGAGATCGTTCTTCCACTGCAACCAGCGTTCCTTTGCGGCGGGAGAGACGAGGGCATCGTAGGGTAGGATAGGCATGTTCACGCTTGCAGCAAACTCGATGGCACCTTGACCGACAAGCAGGTTCGGAGGGACTCGACGCAGAGTGAGGAGTTGTGTGCTACGGTCTAGTATCGTGCGAGCCAACGATATGGGATTTTTGATCTCTGCATCATGTCAGTTCAGTTAGAGGGAGCAGCGATATGGCGGAAGGACAAACGAGAGACAGCGCCGACAGCACCGCTACGACCAAAATGATCGACAATAGTGGCATCACACTCGACGACTCCATCTACAGCCAGATTGCTTCCATAGCCAGCATTGGTGATCTCACGATCTTCCAGAACTTTGATAGCGATCTCGACAGCGTCAAGAGCGGTTCCGCCAGTACGCAGAATCATCATGGCAGCTTTCGCAGCACTACTCGAGTTAGCGAGAAGCAACGACTGGAGTCTACTTGACGTACTCGTTACAAGCCTGGAGGTGAATTTTTTCGTTTTGCAAGCTGTGGTAACCAGCACCAGCATGGACAAATATACATGGTTGGTCGGCGCCATTCCTTTGGATCTTGCGAGACTTTGGGTGTAGCATGTCGTATGTGAATTGACGGGGTGAGAATGTTATCCCAATGGAAAGACGACTGGTCTGTGCTCTTTGCTAGATGTTGTTTGGGTTTCAGAGGTACGAACTGAAGGGTGTAGTGTGAACAGTTGATTGCTCTTGGCTCCGTCGAGATGAGGTAGAAGTCCCGGGGAAGGGGACCAAATAGGGAGGTAGGTCAAGCGGAAAAGAAGAAAGATAAAGCGAGTGATGATATCCACAAGAGACGACGACCCGTACGACTAGCCCCTCGAAAGAGACCGAGAGCGATAAAGAGACTCAAAAATGGGCCGAGTGGGTGGCAATGGAAGGAAAGCGAGGACAGAGCTTCGAAAGGAGGAATGGCAAGATGTTTGTTGGCCTACAGCTTGAACGAGGGTTGTTCTTTCCATTTTAACTAAGGCTGTGCATTCGCAAATAGCTAGTAGGCGCAAGATGGTTGCTACAGCGTTACGTTATAGTCATAACAGACTCAGGATTCTCTTTCGAGAACCACGAGTTGGTAGTGGCGGAACGAGTAAGAAGATGTACATTTGATATAGAGACAGTCAGTCAATGTGCTACAGTGGTTTAAAACTGCCAGGCGGTCAAGCACCGCGTGGCTGCTGGACGACTCTCGCACGGACTACAGCGGGGAGGCAGTGGCCGAGCTCTCCGTGACGACAACGCCCTTGGAGCCAACGCGACACCGGGAGGTTTGGCTGTATTCAAGAACTGTCTTACGTGCTCGGTCGATATCTCGTCTTCTCCTTGACCATTGGCCTCTGGTCTCCCTTCTCCCACCTCTCACACACTCGCCAGCACTCCGGTTATCATGGCCAACCAAACTCCGGCCGTTGTCATGGACAAGTACGTGCCTCCTCCTGCTCTCATTGCGCGCATAGGCAGCAATACTAACACCAAGCAGCGGTACAGGTTACACAAAGCTCGGTCGGTCGCCCTGAGTTCTCACTCGTCACGTTCGTTATACTGAGTCCGTTAGGTTTCGCCGGCAATGATTCCCCGTCCTTCGTCTTCCCTACCGCCATCGCTACCAAAGGACCCACCGATAGCTCCGCCGGCCGTTCGGGTAGACCTGGTGGTGGTAACAATGCTTCAATGCTTTCGGGAAAGAGAGGCACAGAGGATCTCGACTACTTCATCGGTGACGAGGCTCTAGCCGCTTCCAGTGGTCCTGGTTACGGCCTCCACTACCCCATCCGTCATGGTCAGATTGAGAACTGGGTAAGCAAGGATATGGAGCCATTGCTTCACCATCGATTACTGACATACGTAGGACCAAATGGAACGCTTCTGGTCCAACTCGATATTCAAGTATCTCCGTGTCGAGCCCGAAGACCACCACTTCCTCCTTACCGAACCTCCGCTCAACCCTCCCGAGAACCGCGAAGCCACCGCCGAAATCATGTTCGAATCCTTCAATGTCGCCGGTCTTTACATCGCCGTTCAAGCTGTACTGGCTCTCGCCGCTTCGTGGACTTCGTCAAAGGTTCAGGACCGCTCCTTGACTGGTACCGTTATCGACTCCGGAGAGGGTGTCACCCACGTTATTCCTGTCGCCGAGGGTTACGTTATTGGTTCCTCGATCAAAAGTGTTCCCATTGCTGGTCGCGATATCACCTATTTCGTTCAAAGTCTCCTTCGTGACAGAGGCGAGCCAGACAGCTCTCTCAAGACAGCCGAGAAGATCAAGGAAGAGTTCTGTTATGTCTGTCCCGATATCGTCAAGGAATTCGCACGCTACGACCGTGAGCCAGAAAGATTCGGCAAGCACACAATCAACTACCCGAACGGCCGCAATGCTGTTGTCGATGTCGGCTACGAGCGTTTCCTGGCTCCCGAAATCTTCTTCAACCCCGAGATCTACTCGTCCGACTTCTTGACACCTTTGCCCAACATTGTCGATACCGTCATCCAACAATCACCAATCGATGTCAGAAGAGGTCTTTATAAGAACATTGTGTTGTCTGGTGGTTCTACCCTCTACGAGAACTTTGGCCGCAGACTTCAGCGTGATATCAGACATCTGGTCGATGCTCGTATCCAGGCTAGTGAAGCTCGCAGTGGTGGTGCCAAGTCGGGTGGACTTGATGTTCAGGTCATTACTCACAAGCGACAACGTCACGGTCCCTGGTTCGGTGGTAGTTTGTTGGGTCAGACTCCCGAGTTCAGAAGCTACTGTCACACAAAGGCAGAATACGACGGTTCGTTATCATCCCTTTGCTCGGAAACATTACATACTGACTCAGATCGCAGAATATGGTCCTTCAATAGTGAGAAGATTCGCTCTTCTGGGTGGCCCAGGAAGCACTTGAAGCGCACATGTAGATTATACGCTCTGTTCAGATTGAATCAACAAAAATATTCCATTCCACACCATACAAGGAGGACTCGATCCTCGAGTTTTGTCCGCCTGATCCTGAATGAACGAGGGCTGCCTCCACGAGGCAAATGATGATAGACAGATCGTCTGCAAAAATCAATAACATGCACATAAAGAGGGTTGCCTACTGCAATGTACATGTTAGTACTATTCAAAAATGGTCTCGGCATGCATATTCACGACGACTAGAGCTCGAGATTGGTTACACCATACTCGAGTACATGCCTAAAAATAAACAGGGGTCGTGGAGGAAAGCATGGGGTCTTTCTCTGCCGAGGCCGATCTTGCGCAGTGACCGTCCTTGAGACATCCAATCATGACTTGAAAATCAACAACACTTTCCCTTCTCTTCTTCACCATGTCCCAGAGTGATGTTCCCAAAGTAAGCCACATGCACACCTCAAACGATACGACCGATGAATCGCTTTTCCTAAAACCACGGCACAGGGCTTTCAAGCCGTCGTCCCGCTTGCTTTGACTGCCAAGGCACAGTACGAAACAGACCATGGCTTGACCTCATGCAGTTCCAGTGTTTCGACCCAGTCAGGACAGACGATGCATGCAACTTTTCCATCCACACTTCTACTTCTGGATAGTGAAATCGGTTTCGACTGCTCTCACCCCTCGTTATATAGTAAGGAACGATCTTCAAGAGCACGCCCAGACTGCAAGCAAGGGAGGTCAGTGCAGTACTAGGAGAAAATCGCAATTGCTTGTTCCGTAGGTCTTCGGATATATAACATGTCGACTAGCACATTCAGTGGTCGTCCGAGTTTATGAGGTAGGCAGGTCCCTTCTTTGTTCTTCTCACCAGCATTCCGTGTGCTGCGTCATTCGTTCTACCCCTGTCTTTTGACCTTTACACTCGCTTGCTTGAGTATACTCGTACCGTATCCTGATCGTCTTCATCTTGAGATTATCACAAAATGCATTTCAACAGTCTCGCTTTGGCCTCGTTGGCTTTCATTCCTTCTCTGATCGAAGCCCATGGCGATGTTCCCGGAGCTCCGAGGGTGTTTGGCAGAAGATCTGCGCTTAGTGGAACCATGAGAGCTCGTACTGGAGTAAGCAGCCACCAGTCAGCTGCCTCTGACATTCACGACAAGCGTCAAGCTTCTTCCAATACTGAAGGACAATGTGGACCTGGGTTCGGTTCTTGCGCTGATGGTTATTGTTGTTCCGAAGCTGGTCAGTATCGTTAAGAAACGGACATGTAGTGGTTATACACTAACACGCTCCAGGCTGGTGTGGCAAAGGCACAGATTACTGTTCTGCACCTGGATGTCAATTCAACTTCGCATCTGGATGCGACGACAACAAAATCCCACCTGGCACTAGTACTTCTACTGTTGCGAGGCCCAAGCTCGGTAATGTCTTGTATGGTGGAGCTGGTATCTACGATTGCACAGTGGCTGGAACCATTGCCATTACTTACGATGACGGCCCGTACATCTATACCGAGCATATCTTGGACGTATTGAAGCAGTACAATGCAAAGGCAACTTTCTTCATCACTGGAAACAACAACGGAAAAGGAGAGATCGACAATGCCGCTCTTCCTTGGGCTGCGACTGTCAAGCGAGCATACAACGAGGGACATCAGATTGCATCCCATACTTGGACTCACCCCCATCTGTCTAACCTTACAAGTACCCAGAGAAAGCAGAACATGTACAGCAATGAGATGGCACTGCGCAACATCCTTGGTTTCTTCCCTACTTACATGAGGCCACCTTACTCCGACTGCACTGCGGAGTCTGGGTGCCAACAGGATATGGCCGATCTTGGCTATCACGTTACCTACTTTGACGTTGATACTGGTAAGAATTGCTCGACCCTTGACTGAATTCGACTTATTAACATGCTTTAGATGACTACGACAACGACTCGCCCGCACTCATCCAAAACGCGAAGAACAACTTCGACGCTGGGATTGCTGGAGGAAATCCGGCGACTGATGACTACCTCGTCATTGGACACGATATCCACAACCAGACTGCAAACGTCCTGACCGCCTACATGCTCGACAGGATTCTCGCTCTTGGTTACAAGCCTGTGACTATTGGCGAGTGCCTCGGAGACCCGAAGGAGAACTGGTACCGCAGCTCTTCCGGAAACCTCTTTACGTCTTCTACGTCCGCTGTGACTTCTGCTACGAAGACATCTGCAACTATTGCTCCCACGGCTACTACGACCGATGGACAGTGTGGTGGAGGTTCAGGATTCATGTGTACTGGCTCTGAGTTTGGAGACTGTTGCTCACAGGTACGTCAAGTGTTTGCTAGATTCATGACTAAGACTTATGCTGACCATCTCAATCACAGGCTGGCTGGTGTGGCTCCGGAACTCTATACTGTGGTGAAGGCTGCCAGGCTGGGTTCGGTCAATGTGGTATCAACGTTCCTCAGAGCAGCAGTACCACTTCGACTGCAGCACCAACTCAACCAACAAAGGTCTCGACGGATGCTACCTGTGGAGGAACCAGTGGAATGACCTGTCAAGGATCTGTCTTTGGTAACTGCTGCTCGACAGCTGGGTGGTGTGGCAGTACTGCTGCATACTGCGGTGATGGCTGTCAAGCAGGCTTCGGTCTCTGTGGTGATGCAAGTACAGCAGCAAAGGGTTCTGTTCAAGCTACCACGAATGCTGCTGTGAAGTCGACATTGGCTACATCGGCCACCAGCAAGGCTGTCACTAGTAAGGCAGCTACCACCACCACCACAAGTGCTCGAGCAACGCAAACAACGACAGCTGCCAAAGCGACAGCTACCGGATCAAGGCTTCAAACGTGGGTCAACAACTGGTTCAACAAACTGAGATCTGGATCTCACTAAATCTGGTCTTGTATGGAAATTGTTGGAGCTGATAGTGTTGGAATAACGATCTTGGAACGAAGGGCTACAGTTATAGAATGCGTTTAGACTGTACATGGGCTGAGACAGAGAACGATGTCAAAAGTATCTCTTGATGAGCACGAATTGCAGTACCGGGAACTGTGTTTTGTGAGTAGAGCTGCTTCCACTGCTTGACAGCATACTGTGCTCCGTGTGATAAGGCTTTCTCGCCCTGTGCAGTCATACGATACTCGAAATAGTGAAACATACCCCTTGTTTGTTTTTTCTAAAGCGCTTCGGATGTGGCGGAGATAGATTCTACACACCTCTCAGGAACGCTTGACGATTGCCAAATGATCAGTCAGTAGATGGTACAGCATGAAGAGAGGCATCACAGGCGCTGGGTACAAGAAGCCTCGTTCACGCATGTAGAAGATGAACGAGATACAGCTCGGAAGACGGATGTGACGAGACATTTTTGAGTCGGACATGACGGTGATCTGCAGCGGGGACCCTGAGGAACGCGCCCTTCTGCAGCCCCTGCGAGTCGCGACGGACAAAGCCATCATCATCCTTTTTCCTGCCAAGCGCAAGCAACCAATTAGATAAGAAGTATCTACACACGTTCACATCTTTCACCTTTCACTTGACCCTTCAATCATCGCTTGCCGTACTTGTGTGTGAAGGCTAGACACGCTGCGCTTCCCTCAAGTCACTCACCCTAGCTCGACGTTGCTACTTGACCGAATGGCCTCTGTCCCTGCCCCTGCTTGCATCTATACTAAACCAACCGTCCGTTTGCGCGGCTATCAGTGAATAGTCACCCTGAGATCTTTAGTTCTCTCTTCTTCTTACCTTCTATTGCTCTACAATCTTCCACCTTGGTGGCGGTTGTCCATCACCAGCATCATAACTAACCATTGGACACTATCAACATGAAGTTTGGACAAAACCTACCTCGCAATCAGGTGCCCGAGTGGGCATCTGCATACATCAACTACAAAGGCCTCAAGAAGTTGATCAAGGCCGCCAATCAGCAAAGTGCCGAGACTGGCGGCGAGGTCGATCTTGCAGGTGTGTGATTGAAGCAATTCACTCTGAAAGCATATCTGACTGATCCTTTCAGAGTTCTTCTTCGCGCTGGATCGCAACCTCGAAGACGTCGATAGCTTCTACAACAGAAAACACGCCGAATTCGCTCGCCGCCTGAGACTACTCTACGATCGCTATGGACAAAACACTCAGCCACAGGATGGCATGGACAAGGAAGAGATGGAAGATTTGATGGGCGCATTGCTCGAGCTCAGAGGACAATACCGCAATCTCATCTGGTTTGGTGAAGTCAACCGTAGAGGTTTCGTCAAGATCACAAAGAAACTCGACAAGAAGATAGAGTCTTCTCACTCGCAGAACACATACCTGGCTGCTAAGCTCGAACCCAAGGCCTTTGCAAACAACCGCAGAACCGAGGCGGACATGCGCGCCATTAACGACTGGCTCTCGAATTTGGGCGATGTCAAGGTCTTTGATGACAATGCCTCAATCGCCTCGACTGGTTCGCTGCATCGCGCCTCGTCTAAGAAGGGTATGCGTGTGCCTTCAGCCGTGCTGGACACTCTGGAACACAATGTCCGTCAGGACAATCTGCCCGAGCTGCAAGAGACAATCTCGACTTCTGTCAAGGATCTGCCGCCTTCTATTGTTCAGAAACTGATGCTCAATCTCTTGCAGCGAGCCATCTCTGCCAAGTCGCTCGACTGTATCAAGTATCTGCTGTCACAAATTTCCACTCTTACCGAGGATGATGACATGAATAAGAGAAATGTCATCCACCGCCTGGTAATCGCGACCGGTCGTGCAAGAGCACTTGAAGAGAATGGCCCAGCTGCAGTTCCCATTGGTGCGGAGGCCAACTCCTTCATCAATGCAGCAGAGCTTCCGGTTCGTATTCCGTCATCATTCAAGGTCCAGGAGAAGGATGTAGCCCAGACGCTTGGGCAAGAAGATCCTGCCGTCAAGCTCCTGACTTATGTTTTGTCGAATCTCTCGGCTGAGCAGAGGGCGGTCCTGAAAGAGAAGGATACATATGGTCGCCTCCCTCTTCACTATGCCGCACAGTATGGTCTGGTAGCTGCATCTCAAGTCATCATCAAGTACATGCGAGCTTGGGGTCAGTTTGATGTGAGCAAAGGTATTGATTCTGATATCTGGCAAGATGCTGAGGGTTACGCTCCTCTGCATCTCAGTGTCATTGGTGGTCATTACAGAACCACAAAGGCTTTACTCATGGCTGAAGACTGGCATGGCGAGGCTGAGGACAGTCATGCCGTGAGACGCAATGTTGAAAAGTCGGGTGCTGCACTGGCTCTGGCGACAAAGAGCAACTTCTACATGATTGTCAAATTGCTGGTCGACGCAGGCATCAACATCAACTATCAGGACGAGCAGGGCGAGACATCTTTGCATATTGCCGCCCGATTCGGCTTTGTTGAGTGCACAAAGTCTCTACTCGAAGGTTCGGAAACCCAGAAGGCCAATATTGAGATCATCGAGAACACATACGGTTGGACGCCACTTTTCATAGCCTGTGTTGATGGCCATCTTCCTGTTGTGAATCTGCTAATCGAGGCTGGCGCCGAGACGAACAAGGCCGATTTATCAGGCTGGTTGCCTATTGAGCATGCTGCTCTAAGAGGTCATCTCGACGTCTCAAAGAAGCTGGCTGACCTCAGTCCGACTCCCGAAAACCTCGATGCACCCTCTCCACACCTCAGACCTGGCAGTGCTCTAGGTACATCACCAAAGAATAATTCCTCCATCGAGGATCGACGATCGAATGTTCCTCAGGGCCGTGATGCTCCTCGTATACCAGAGCCTGTCAAGACTTTCGGTCACAGATACCTTACAGATGAGTCCTTGGTGCTCGTCAGTCTTGGCTCTATGGACAACCGTAAGAACGTTCCTGCCGTCACTCTCGACAACATTCCTCTTGCAGATGCACATGCTACCCAGCTAGACACTGCTCTGTCCCTAGTTGTGGCCGCATCGGGAGCTAATGGAGAACCAACAATCGTCGATCTGCCTGTTCAGGAGAACATCAGCACTTCGCCTATCACATTCAAGACTCGTGACCCGACCAAAGTCAGACTTCTCTTCGACATTGTTCCAACATATTCTGGTTCAAAAGACAAGATTGTCGGTCGTGGTGTGGCTCTGCTTTCTAGTATCAAGCCCAGCATTGGCTCCAAGCGCATGTTACTTCAGGGCGATCTGAGTGTGCCTATCGTTGCTGCAGAGACATTGGATGTAATTGGCTCTGTCAACTTCAACTTCTTGATCATCACACCGTTCCAGCATCCCAACATGCACATTGCTGAGAATCAGACTTATTGGAAGAGCACTTCGACACAGGTCATTGGTCACCGTGGATTGGGCAAGAACATGGCATCCATGAAGTCTTTGCAACTGGGAGAGAACACTCTTCAGTCATTCATTGCGGCCGCCAACTTGGGAGCCTCTTACGTCGAGTTTGATGTCCAACTCACCAAGGACCACGTTCCTGTCATTTACCACGACTTCCTGGTCAGCGAGACGGGTATCGATGCACCGGTTCATACTTTGACCCTGGAGCAATTCATGCATGCAAGCGAAGGTCAAACACCAAGAAGCTCACGCCCGCCATCACCAAAGAGAAGTCACCTCGACGGCGTAGTAGAGCAATCACGAAAACAACGGTCCTACTCCCTCGGCGGCGCCCAAGACGAACGCGCCCCCGACATGTCCGAGCGCATGAAACACACACGCGATTTCAAAGAAAAGGGCTTCAAAGGCAACAGTCGCGGAAACTTTATCCAAGCACCATTCACCACGCTCGAAGAAATGTTCAAAACGCTGCCATCGTCCATTGGCTTCAACATTGAAATGAAATATCCCATGCTCTTTGAATCTGAAGAACACGATATGGATACCTATGCCGTGGAACTCAACTCCTTCGTCGACACCGTGCTTACCAAAGTCTATGATCTGGGTACGGGAAGGAATATGCTGTTTTCCTCCTTCAACCCTGATATCTGCCTCTTGCTGTCATTCAAACAACCCTCCATCCCCATCCTCTTCCTCAGCGACGCCGGCACCTCCCCCGTCGGCGATATTCGCGCTTCTTCTCTTCAAGAAGCCATTCGCTTTTCCTCGCGCTGGAATTTACTCGGTGTGGTCAGTGCTGCTGAGCCGCTTGTCACATGCCCTAGACTCATCAGAGTGGTCAAGGAAAGTGGCTTAGTGTGTGTTAGTTATGGCACATTGAACAACCAGCCGGAAATGGTTGCTAGACAGGCTAAAGAGGGGATTGATGCCGTGATTGTGGATTCGGTGCTCGCGATCAGGAAGGAGTTGACGGCTGCTCAGCAGAAAGGGATGCAGAATGGGAAGCCGCAGCAGATGAATGGGGAGCAAGGGCAGGGACAGCAGCAGGGACAAGGGCCTATTATTGAGGTTCCGCAGATCAGGACTACTGCTCAGACTAATGGGGGCAGTAATGGACATGCTCATTGAGCAAGAGGAGCAGCAGCAGAGGACACGAAAGAAGTGTTAGGATGGAAGCATAGGAGGGAAGCATAGGATAGAAGCAATAGCAACGATGGTTTGCGATATTTGCATATCAGCATTAAGAGCAATAGGGTCGTTTCTTCTCCAGTATGTTTCATCTCTGTACATCGCCGTCAAGTCACGTATCTACCTCTTCTACTGCAGTTGTCGTCGTCACCTGCTCGGATTCCAGTTTTGCATGTTCGGGAATCAGGATTACACTCCAGGGTGGTACCATCAACAAGCAGTTTTTTTTTTAAATCGCAAACGATATCATAGCGCAACCAATACATATTTCGACATTCTGACTTTCTCGGGATAATTCTTTTATACTGTTTTATATACTGTGCGAAGGGTATGACGATGGAGAGCTTGTTCGTGTCTAAATCAGTGAATGTTTCTTTCCTGCATGTCTTTTTTCTCAAGAGCACCCAAGAATGAAGCGTCTCTGTACCAGCTCCTTGACATCAGTCTGCTGACTATAATATCTCCAATAAAGAATGCCAATCAGAGGAAGGACATGATATGCCAGAGCAAAATGATCAGAAGTGATACCGTGATGGAGTGTAGACATTTGTTTCATAGCATATATCATGCATATCGATACTCATACTAGTTTATGCATACACATACGCGTGCACACATCCCGCCAAGCCGCGTTGTTCAAGCTTTCCACGCACAAAAAGAAGAAATTTGCAAAGCTCAAGTCCAGAATCGCCAAAAAGTTGATTTTTACACCATTCTTCTGTTTTCGAGATAGTCATGGCAAAAGCAAAAGAGATATTGACGAGAGTGGGATTTGAACCCACGCCCTTTCGGACCAGCGTATTGGAAGAACCTTAAGCTGGCGCCTTAGACCGCTCGGCCATCTCGCCTGTTAATGTGGAGACGATGGTCATCATCTCAAATAGAATCGCGAAACTCACACTGCAGGCGAATGGCATCCCGCGCAAACAAAGGCGATGAAGACTGTGGCAAGTCACGCATTGAGCACTGGGGAGGTCCGGCACATCGATTGCAAAGTCCTTTACGGAAGCAGGCGAAGGAATGAAAAGTAAAGGAAGGAACAGAGGAGGAGATGTGAGCTGGGATGTGCTCTTCGAGGAGAACAAGGTCATTTAGTATAAGAATGTTGAAGGAAGATATGACCGGCGTGCTGAAACCCAGGCCCGTACATCGGATCTGCAAGAGCCAATATAACTCAGAGGCATGAGTCTTCTTTCTGAAGATTCGACACTGGTTTGATTCCTTGAGCAGCATCGAGACTCGTATGTGTCGGAAGCGATAGCACCTCATGTGGAAGAGCTTCTATAGATGGCAGGCTGAGCTCACGGCGACGGATGGCCGATGCTCATGGCTGGCGCACTGTGGCGCGTCTGAAAAGTGGCAGTCACGCGATATTCATCGAGGAGAAATTGGCGTGCTGTAAGTTGAAGGGAAGATGTGTGTCTTGTCCAAACTTCATCTCTGCTCGTCGGCGATAGGGTTGGCGTGAACGTGAACGCGCTGGATGCGGATAGGGTCTTTAGGTCTGTTCTTCTTGTCGACCTGAATTGATTCCATCTTGTCGAGTGTGTCCCAGCCTTCTATGACGCGACCAAAGACTGTGTTTTTTCCATCAAGGTGAGGGGCCTTGTCGAAGGTGAGAAAAAACTGGCTGCCGTTGGTGTTGGGACCCTTGTTGGCCATGCTCAGAATACCACGTTGGTTGTGCTTGAGTTGCGACTTGATTTCATCTTCAAAGGGTTGACCATAGACGCTAGGACTGTCCTTGGTGGAAGTGGCGGCAGGCGAACCAGCTTGGATCATGAAGGATGGGATGAGACGGTGGAAGGGCGAGTCATTGTAGGCGTCGGATGCGCAGAGGGCGAGAAAGTTGTATGCTGTCTTGGGGCAGGCGCTACAGAAGAGCTCAAGTTTGAGATCGCCATGGGTTGTGTACAGGGTGACGGCCATGGTTGTTGTTTAGGTTGATGTGGGTGAACGAAAAGCGTTAATGGTATGCAATGACGATGATGGTGCGCGCAACTGGCTGGCTCGTGCTGTTGCTTGGTTGTGCTTCGCGGGTCGCTCTTTCCAGGTTTGATTGCTTGAATGGCATCAGCTCATCAAAGCCAGGAAGGTCCATTGGACTCGTGCGAGTTTCAGCGACATCCACCCTTGTCCGACAAACAATTCGATCTGTGTTCTTGCTCCTGCCTTTTCTCAGTGACGATCGTGCCTTGAAGTCCCCCTTACCCGCTGCCGTCCCCCGCCCTGGCCCGGTCGGTCATTGTCATTGTTGGTTGACGTCTACGAGTGTCTGAGACTCGCAGAAAGCCAATCGCTGACACACTGCGCCAATAAATCAACCATTCTACCTGTCGCACTCTCACGCCCTCGACTCTTCGCCATTACCCTGTCGACTCTCCTCGTCCTCGTCCTCGCGCCCTCATCTGCGTCCACCGACTCGACCCATGACATGCGGCCAACAGCGCCTCTACTGACCAAGACGCTGCGCACAACATGACCTCCGCCTTCGTGCGCGTCTCTGGCCCGCCGAACAGCAATTTCCTCGTTGGATATCCTGGAATCTCGGCCACTTCTCCGCGCATAGAGGGCAAGGTCGAGATCCGTCCGTTACTGGGCGTCTCCGCTCCCGTTCATGTCTCGCTGGTCACCGTCTGCCTACAACGTCGAGAGAGCATACATCCCTCGGCCGACACAATCAAAGGCCATTTGGTCACGTCAAATCGAAGGGAGATTACCGATATAGTCGGCAAGGAGATGCTGCTGTATCGCGCTCCTCTGGGTCGTGAGAGCGAAGCTATTCTATCCATGGATCTGCCTTTTGTCATATTCATCCCATACGGTCGAGGCGGTGAGGAGATGGCGAGACGTGTACCACCAGCAAGTTTGCAATTGGATCGCCGCGCTGCCGAAACATACTACGAGATTGTCGTCACTGTCCACCATGGTGCAAGCGATCAGAAGAAATACCCTTTTCCAGTACCAATCGCCAGATACGATACTCTGTCCACATTCGGCATGTACAACCGCCCAGAAAGCGCTGAACGTGTTGTCGACCACCTCGTTACCCTCGCCATATCATTACCTCGCTGGTCCTATGGCCCTCTCGATCCAGTCAGCGTCTACATCAAACTCACACCAAACCCCGACATGCTTAGAAAAGCCATGAAGGCTACCGTCAAAGCAATCACAATGAGTATAGAAGAAGAAGTCATATACAACCACCAAGGAGATGAACCACAACGGAAAGCCAAGACGTTGGCTTCTTCCACCCATCGAGTAGGGATCAAGATGCCCGAAGCTGGCTATTTTACAAATTTGGGTTTGGTATTCCCTGCTAGAGATTCGCGCAACCAAGAAGGCATTTTGCCTCGTCAAAAACGAGAATTTCCACTATATGCCGTCAGCGGCTTCACAACCACTGGTACTCTGTACAAGATCGAGTACTATTTGGTGGTGAAGGTATGTTTGGGGCCGATCAATTTCGTTTCCTATTCTGACTTCATACAGGCCGTCATGTCTGGCGCAAAGGACATAATGATCCGCCAACCGATTGTCGTCTGTCCGTGGGATCACGCTGGCTGTAAGGAAGAAATGGAAGCCATCGAGCAAGCCGCCAAAGACGCCTACCATATCTCTCCCGACAATCCCATGCTCCCTGCTTCGACCATCATTAGAGCCTCAGACGCCAATGGCCTCAAAAGCTTGGGCATGACCATCGTTGGAGGTCACAGGAAACCCCTGATCGAATAAGCCGGACCGATTATTCACTTTTTGCTTTCTTATACCACCTTTTGGGACTAGTTACGATGATACGACCAGTCCATTTTCTTCTTTTCTCAGGATAGCGAGAGGGTAAAATGTTGATTTGGCGAGGAGTTTATGGCGTTTGAAGAAGATCTGTCAGGCCGGCAAGGTGTCAGTTCCTTCACCAAGGATAAAGATAGGCGTTTCGTCTTTTTGACAGGTCTGAATGCATTTTCGGGAGTTCTTGTTTCTCCTTCTCATCTAGTCTGGTGGTCTGTTACGTACAAGCCATGGCTTTCTTACATACTGTCAGTCCAGCGTAATGCACGAGTTCTTTGACAATGATCTAACCATCACTTCGGCCGTACTGCTCAGGAAGGATCACTGATATTTCTTGTTTGTATCTTGTAGGAATGGTTTAAGTTGACGATGTCGTTTACCGAAGCAGATGCCAAACCTAGAATCTGGGGATTGAGTGCGCACGGCTGTTTCAGCAAGTGGATGCTTCGCCTTACGCAACACTCCTCCCCACCATCACATCAAGATTAGGGAGATTAGAAATCTCCAAAATAAGACATCTCTCTCATACTCATCCTGATCTTGACAATCCAGATCCACTCGAGGTTGTAGGATTTGGGTTGCGCAAAAGTGGATACGGCCTTGTTTTGGACTTGCTGTTGAACTGATCACCATCTAGATCTTGTGAGCTCTCTCCACTTTCTGTTAGACAAGAGAGTGCTTCACCGACAGTCCTTGTATGGCTGACTTGTTATAGTATTATGAGACAATCATATAGGTCGGCAATTTCGATCTGGGCTTTCCGTCGTCCTATGCGACAGAATGGCTTCCATCAGCCCTTCCAACAAACAATTTCCTTCCGACAGCAAAGCCAAACTTCTAAGGGATGACAGCGAACTGACATAGGGTCTTGGAAGTCGAAGGAACGGTTTACAAACCATAGCTTGATGACTTGAAACAAAATGTCAGGTTTCACGACTCGCTTCTTTTGAAGCAAAATTCAGGTATATTGTACCCGCCTGCCAGACTGAGGCTCTGAGAAAGACTTTACCCATGCACAAAACATACGATTTGTAGATCCCTTGGTTTGTGCCTGGTCACTCTCTTGGTCAAGGCAAGTCAAGTATTAAGTAGAGCCAGGCAACCCAATATATTTTCTCTTCTGTAGCAAGGCTGCCGTGTTTTGGTGATCTGGGGGAACTTCGTTCTCCCCTTATGCCTTGATTCGGTCTTTGATATTATTCTTTTTCTTCTTCATCCACTCTTTTTGTATCTGTCGCTTTTCTGGAATTCTCTGATCGCTTGGCTGGAATCTGGTATCCGGACTCTGATTTCCTGCTTATACTTATTTGTCCGGCACAACGTTATATGGTACCGGAGTACTTTTCAGGACATCACATGGTTTCAAAACACCACCACTTTGCAACACAACCAAAATGTTTGGATCTACGCTCTCTCTTTCTCCGGTAACAAGTACCGATCACCGAGGCTGGCTTTGGATTACGGTCATAACATGCACAATCATTTGCCCTATACTACTACTCTGGCGAGGGATAGTGCGGTATAGAAGATATGGTCTTGATGATCTTGCCGTTGTTTTTTCTTTTGTAAGCTCATACAAGGCTTCCTTCTCTCATCCAAGTCAAAGTGATAGAAGCTAATCAGACACAAACAGGTTTTTGTCATGGCACATTCAGCTCTACTCACAGGGTCACTGGAACTCGGATTCGGAGTACAATTGACACCAGGTACCCAAGCAGGTATCCTCAAAGCTTCAAAGGTAAGCAACACCTTCAGATCTCACCGCAATCAACCAACTAATTACCCCGCCCAGCTGGTCTTTGTAAGCAGAATCCTCTTCTCCCTCATCCTCGGAACTTCCAAACTATCAGCTTTGTTTCTTCTCCGCCGTCTCTTACCCCAAAACCGTATTCGACTTTATATCTGCAATATAGGCATTGCACTGGTCTTTCTATGGGGTGTTATGGCTATCCTCACCATGAACGCAAATTGTACACCTAGTCATATGTTGTTGTCTGCCAAAGAGAACAGTTGCAAAAATCTGGACGTTAGGATCGCTGTTTCGATGGCGTTGAGTTGTGCGACTGAGTTGGATGTGTTGAGTTTGGCTGCGGCGTTTTTGGGGCAGATGGAGGTGCAGAGGGAACAGAAGAAGTGGGTTGTTGTTGCTTTTGCGCTCAGGGTGCCGTAAGTGTTTTCCAATCTTTGGTGCACGTTTTGATGGAGGGAAAATGCTAACAAAAGGCAGGAACATCGCACTCAGCATCGCGTACCTCATCACCTACCTCCATTTCCTCTCCTCCGGTCACCCATCCATCTCCTTCATCCCAACTGCCATCCTCCAACAAATTCTTGTCACCTACACCTTTGCTGCCTCCTGCGCTTCAGCCTTCTTCCCAATCACCATCCCCACACGCTCAATATTCTCCCTGTCCAACTCTTCAGGCAAACTTGCCCGTCGCATCTCAACACCCATGTCATTCTTTGGCGATAAAATGAGAGGGGATAGAGAGGTATTTACGCATAAGGCTAGGGTGTTTGCTGAGGTAGGTGGGTTACAGAGACGAGAAAGTGAGAGGAAGGTTAGAGCACAGAGACAGAGGGATAGAGTGAGGAAGGGACATGTCAAGGGGACGGAGAGTATGGAGAGTTTGAAGGGGATTGTCAGGGAGGAGACTTTTGAGGTGCAAGTTGTGTAGGATATGTTCCTTTCATTCGGTTTATTTTTCTTGAGATGGTGGAGTCTTGAATGTTACATTCTTGAATGGCCGGGAAGCTATATGCTTGATCCCGAAGTTGAAATCCATACTTAAACTCTAGGTGAGAGAGGCGTAAGTACACGTTTAGCACCCGAAGTCGCCTGAGCGGAGAGAGATATATGAGTGTTCTGGTTGTGATACGTCTGTCAAGAACGTAGTATGTGCAGGTGGATAAAGCAATTCAGCACGATTCAAGGTATGGTAAAAAAGGGAGATTGAGTTGAAGACGATGAAACATCGTTATCCCAGCTGATCGTAAAGGCTACTTGTCGAGTTGTCATCATCGTATTTCGAGGTCGTATCAAATGCGTCAGATGAGAACTCAACGTCACCTATTTGTGTGATGATATGAAAGTATGTCGTCGTATTGGTAGTTTCCCTTCGCTGAGTCCACGAGCATGAAGAGGAACAGGTTCTTTGAGGGCATTGGAAATCTTATCTTTGGCATCGTTTCAGCTTTCTTCAAATGCGCCATCTGACAGGATGTTTCGTTAGGTTTTGCTAGGTTCTGCACAGATAGAAAGCTAATCAGTCCATCACTGTTTGACACAAGGTTGGATACACTCGAACGATGATGAGGAGGCGTGTAGCAATAGCTGTCAGATGCATCGCTATACTTTCAAGCACAAGACATGGTTTACGATAACGCTCGTATGGTTGCCACCTTTTTCGTAGATCTTGTCAGAACCTTATGAACCTTTTTCTACTTGAGTAAGAGATGGCTGGGCGAGATCTTGCATTGGCATGCAACACGATGACAAAGATCCAGGTACTCAATACGCAACTGCACCTTCTGAAGCTCAACGATCGCAGCACATCAGCCAGGTAGAATAGTTGTTGCCCCAGACAATCGACCAAGATCTGGACAGGACCAATGATACGAGATGAACAGATCGATTCTCTACAAGCAAAAATTCACCATGATGGATGCCCAAAGTGGTCAAGTAAGAATCAAGATGCCGAGTTACCGGATCACAACTAGTAAAAGAAGCAAAGCATAGCTTTCAGCTTTCCAGATGATGCGCGTAGGATCAGCCGCCTGTCAAGACCTCAGACTGAGACATTTCTCTCCACGGTCATTCCGGGTAGTCCTTTCCGAAGACGTTCTCCAAGAGTTTCAACCAAGAGATTCCAAGAGATGAAGAGGATTTATCTTTGCTTTTGTAGATTGTGGAGCCTTCTTGGAATATTTCTTAGTGTCTGTCTTGTCTTCTTGGAGGCTGGAGCAAGCGTGATATAGAAGTCCGCTTCGGCTCCCCTCACAACCCTCCAACGTTTTTTTGTCGCCACATCACCACGCATGCTTTGCTCCTCGCGATCAGTGAGTCCATCTCGATTTAATTAAACGCCATATGAACAGTGGCTTGGTCAGTCAAGGAGCTTGTATGGTGAGTGGAGTGGATCTGAGTAGGCGGTGTTCTTGCCTTGGTGATAAGTACTTGCTTGAGGTACCTTCTCGACATTCATCATGATAGATTCGAGCAGTGATGATCGAAGTTGAAGCATATGAGATCCAAAGAATTTGACCACGAGTTTGACAGGCATTCATCGATTTTATACTCTTGGTAATACACAGAAGCGTCAATCCGGCAGGTTGCCGAACGTGCTTGACCGGCGCACAACATCAGCAGTCGAGCTCCCGAATGCTGTACGAGCGAGTTGACATCTAAATCAATTCTCCGACGCAGGTCCGTGAATTATTTAGTAATGACTAGCAGGCATCTGGTCATTGAGAAGAACAGTCGAGATCGAAGTCTGTTGGAGTTGTATACGGTATAGATTCGCTATGGATTTGCATCAAAAATCCGCTTCACAACTGCACAAGACGCAATCCTACCCAGCACTGCAACAGGAGCCTGCGATTTATCTCTGCCATGACTTTGTGACTACACGCAGGACTTGGCGAGAAAGGTTTACTCTCAAGATCCATGCCTGAAACACTTGTCTGAATGATAATCGTCCTCAACCATGTGTTGAAGGAGTGGTAAACAACAAGGCAGGGCATGATCCTTGCCTTGAACAAGGTTCGCGTAAGCAGTAGTATTCTGCAAGGGATGTTCTTGCCCGGCCGAACAGCGCGTGCTGCATGCATGTACAGCACGAATCGTGCAAACTTTGGACGTGTAAGCAGAGCGTCGTCATGGATTAGAGTGCCAATAACAAGTCAAATGGTCTGTGTAGTCATGTTGAATAGCTACCGCAAATCCTTAGTCAACGTGAGGTCAACACTAGCTCTCCACCGTTACTCCAAGAGGCGCAAAAGATGTAAAGACAAGCTCCACCAAATCATCAACAAGAAGCTCGAAAGGCTGAAGCTGTGGCTTGAAAAACAGCCCCCGCCAAGCTTTTGACTGCACGGCAATTATGACGCTTATACCAGCAACGACCCGTCTCTTTGTCCCAGCCCTCGGGTCAAGGTCCATCCTTGCACAACCACGCCTATCCTGGTCTTTTCGGAGATTTCTTACTGTACGACTTGCAGATATGCAGCAGTGGGAATGAGACCTGATGAAACCAAGGCGGTGTTGAAACTCGTGAGGCCTTGATGGATTGTCTCAACCATGCGCAGAAACTATACAACACCGACGACATGACGGATTTCATAATCGGTATCTGACAAGCAGTACAGGTACCTACTGCACACACGTTCGTGCCGGTGAGGCCGCCTTGAATCCCGAATCTCGCATGGAACTCTCGAGATCACAAAAGCTAAATCCCAACATGCATGAACAGCTAAGAGATTCGCGCATGCATGACAAGTGGAGGTGTGCCATAGAAACGGTATCGATTTGCGCCAATACCGCTTTTACTCAACACTCTCCCTCGCTCGCTCATGGCACTCATGCAAGTAGACCCGCCACTTACTCCAGACCCGCCCTGACAGGATCGGCTCGAAAGTCATTTGCCAACTTTTAGCTCCTTGTTATGGCCTTGTTGCTGGGTGAAGCTACTGTGGAAGGAGCGGATCCTTAGCGAGTGGTGGGTGTTGCTGGCAGCCGAGTATCCATAGATGTTGGTAAGTGGTCGCCTCTTCTTTGGGTCTGTTTATACATATATAGTTGGGGTGGGTTCCCTGCCTCTTCTTTACCAGTGACTCAAGTGCGACCTTTCATTTGCTCTACCTGTCTTTCGTTTCAAGATTCTGCATACACCCGTTATACGTCCCATTATACATCTACATACCTACTCGCTGGACTCTTCCTTCTTTTCACGCCTGACATGAGAGCCGTAACTAAACTTTCGGCTGCGGCATTTTGGGGTTCCGCCGTCGTTTCTGCGTGGGCACCACAATTTGGCTGGAAATCGAAGCCTCAGGGATCTCCTGGACCTTCAGGACCTCATGGGCCTAACTTTTGGAACTCTTCTCAAACTCAGGGTTCGCCATGGCCTCATCCAACATCCCATCCTTGGTCGCCCAGCGGTGTACTCCCTCAAAACGCAACCAATGGTATGTATTGATGTCTCATCTTGATAATCTCTAGACTAACCACATGATCCAGGTCTCAGCAGTTGGGGTACACTTGATCACCCAGACTTTCCAGGATGGGTAGATGGACCTCTGCCTCAGGGATGTCCATGGGGTCTGAGACAACAAAACGACACAAACCCTTACAATGAGAAGAATGTTCCCAACACTGGCATGACTCGTTACTATGAATGGGAGATTTCCAACAAGACTATGGCTCCTGATGGTGTTGAACTTGGACTTCTTGTAGTCAACGGACAATTCCCTGGACCTCTCATTGAGGCGAATTGGGTATGCATTGATCACTCCAGATATAAGTTCCTTCATTATTTAACGTTCTCAGGGTGATTGGATCGAGGTCAAGATTACAAACAACCTCAACGAGGGTACTGCCATGCACTGGCACGGTTTCCTTCAAAAGGGTACTCCCTGGTATGATGGTACTCCTGGTCTCAGTCAGTGTCCCATCGCTCCTGGTAAAAGCTTTACCTACCGCTTCCGTGCCGAACTTTATGGTACCAGTTGGTGGCACTCTCACTGGTCAGCTCAGTACTTGAACGGTCTTTCTGGCCCTATTATCATTCACGGACCTGTCGCTGATCAATACGATGTTGATCTTGGTCCCGTAATGTTGACTGACTGGTTTCACGCTGATTACTATTCTTTGGTCCAACAGGTCTTTTTTGCTTCGGAAGTCGGTCCAATCTTCCCACCAAACTCTAACAACATGTTGATCAACGGAAAGAACAACTACGACTGCAAAAACACCAACCTTACATGTACTCCCAATGCAGGTGTCTCTCAATTTCGTTTCCAAAGTGGCAAGAAGCATCTCCTGCGTCTGGTCAATCATGCTGCTGAAGCAGTCATCTTCTTCTCGATCGATGGATACAAGCTCAAGGTCGTTGCCAACGATTTCGTCCCTATTGAACCTTACTACACTGATCTGGTCACTCTTGGTGTTGGTCAGCGTTCTGATATTATTGTAGAAGCTACCGGCAACAGCACTGATGCCGTCTGGATGCGTATGACCGAAGGACCTTCTGGACTTGGACCTCCTCGTGGTCAGACTGGTTGCAGTTTGAACGATGGCCACGGTGTTGAAGCTCTCGCAGCAATCTACTACGAGGACGCTGATACCAGCATCCCCCCAACCACATCCAACACAATCGATAATTCTCGCATCTACTTCCCTCTCAACTGCAACAACCAGCCTCTCAACCTCACAGTTCCCAAGTATCCTATTCCAGTTCAGGACCCTGATGTCACCCTCAACTTCACCATGTCCGCCAAATACAACTCAACTGGAGCTTTCAAATGGTACATGAACAATGAGACTTATGTCGCAAACTACAATGATCCAACTCTTCTGGAGGCCGGACTCGGCAACATCGACTTCCCGAAGGAGTCCCGTGTCTTTGATCTGGGCACTAACAAGACCGTTCGCATTATCATGCAAAGTGTTGGTTTTCCTGCTTCTCGTGAGTTGTCCATTTCTGCAGAGACCGAACATTGACACTAACCAAATATCGCAGATCCCATGCACATCCACGGATTCAACATGCAAGTCCTCAGCGAGGGTATCGGAACTTGGGACGGTGTCTCCATTACAAATCCTGAGAATCCTCAACGCCGCGACACTCAGCTTGTCCAGCCTAATGGATATCTCGTGATCCAGATCGAGCTTGACAACTGGGGTGTCTGGCCCTTCCACTGTCACATTGCCTGGCACATCAGCGAGGGTATGAACATCAATTTGATGGTCAACACACCTTATGTCACCAACGAGATGGAGATTCCGTATGTCATGGCTCAGACTTGCCGTGACTGGGCTGCATTCACCAATACTACTGTTGTGAACCAGATTGATTCTGGTCTATAGGTTTTGCTTTGTTGTTAGAGTGTTTTTTGCCTTGGCTTTTGTTTTTATATATCCTTCTTTCACTGTGGCTGTCATGGCTGTGGTAGAACATTTTATGTGTAATGTCAATATTATTACTATCTCAACCCTCTTACACGCTTGTGTTTCACAGTTGCTAATCATGAATATGACCTTGACTTTGCTCTACCGAGTAGAGAGGGCGATGTATTCCTCATGTTTGCCAGAATCAGGAAAGTCCGAATGCGGTAGTAGATGATGATGCGTATGCACAAGCCACCTTCGCTGCGAGACTCCACATTCGACTGCAGAAAACCCCCCACCTCTCCAACTTCCGTTCCCATACCTTTCTTCTTTGCCCTAAACATCAATTTTTCTGGAGAGAAATCCTGGAAGTCTCAAAAGGTGTTCCGTGTTGTCTGGATTGTCGGTATAAGGCAGGCCGGCTACCCAGATCGCGCCTTCAGGTGCTAGCACGCACTCCGCACATTCTCGCGTGCTCGGTAGATTGATCCCATGTCTATACCATGTCGATCCGCGGTTTCCCCTCATTTCCTTGCTTTGCATGCCCGCCACTTTTACACAACCACCGTGCACCTATTTTTCCGCCCGTCGGTCTTGCAGATTCTTGTGAGATCTGTGGGTAAAGTGTCATTCTTCCGTGCTAAGACCCTAATCACACGAAGAATCTGCTGTATTCAGTTAGACAGACATATGGTTTGTGGCGACATGGCTTGGCTCATGGAGCGAGCAGTAAAGGATAAATACTTTCCATATCCTGACGTTTGGGTGCTTCGATATGCGTTTGTCGCTAAGTCTTTTGATTGGCACACATCATGAAAGGTCTCTTCAAGAACTTGACGCTCTCCTTGCCATTGGCACTTGCTGCCCTCTCCACCGCGCAGGAGACACAATGGCCACTGAGAAGCAACGGTCTCACTGACTTGGTCGAATGGGACCATTACAGTTTCAAAGTTAATGGCGAACGTCTGTTCATCTGGTCTGGAGAGGTGAGTCTGACTTTTCGCTGAACCGACTGACCCGAATCTGATTATTCAACAGATGCATTACTGGAGAATCCCAGTCCCTGAGCTATGGGTCGACGTCCTACACAAGGTCAAAGCTGCCGGGTAAGTTGACTGCCAGGGAATGAATTGTAAAGTCTAACATACAACTAGTTTCAATGCAGTCTCCTTCTACTCACACTGGTAAGTTGGAGCTGAGGGTACGACAAGAAGGATCTGGCGACTTATTATAAACAGGGGATTCCACGCTCCACGTGATGGCGTTGTCGATTTCGAATCTGGCGCTCACAACATCAGCAGTCTATTCGAGACTTGCAAACAACTCGGTCTATATATCTTCTATCGACCTGGACCTTACATTAATGCGGAAAGTACTGGCGGTGGTTTTCCGGGTTGGGTGACCACCGGTGCTTACGGTTCTCTCCGCAATAATGACACTAGATATACCGAAGCCTGGAAACCGTACATCGAAACTGTTAACGGAATCATTGCTGAACATTCGATTGTCAATGGCGGCAATGTCATCTTCTATCAAGTTGAGAACGAGTACGGCTACCAATGGACAAACACTGCTCGCAGAACCCCCAACGAAACTGCAATTCACTATATGGAGCTTCTTGAGACTGTCGCAAATGACACTGGGATCAACATGCCTACTGTGCACAACAACCCTAACTTGGGAAGCAAGTCTTGGTCCATGGACTACGATATCAACAAAGTCGGTGGTGATACATGGCTGTACGCTGTTGACAACTATCCTTCTTGCTGGAGTTGCAATCTCCAAGAGTGTGCCTCTACCAATTCTCCGGCTCCTGACTTTACTGTCCTTGACTACCACACCCACTTCCAGGAAACGGCACCAGGAGATCCTTCCTTCTTTGCCGAGTTCCAGGGTGGTTCATATAACCCTTGGGATGGCCCTGCTGGTGGCTGCAGAAACAATACTGGACCTGATTGGGTGAATGTGTTTTACAGAAACAACGTTGCTCAGAAGGTTACTGCTCACAACATGTACATGCTGTACGGTGGAACCAACTGGGGTGCGTTGGCATTCCCACTGGTTGGTACTAGCTACGACTATTCTGCACCTATCCAGGAGGATCGTCTCATTGGTGATAAGTATTCTGAGGCAAAGCTGCTTGGATACTTTATCAGATCTGCCAAGGACCTTCCTCTGATCGAGAGAGGAGCAAACGGTACAAACCTAACCACAAACTCCAATGTCTTCACACAAGTACTGTACAACGTGGAGAACAATGCTCAGTTCTATGTCGTTAGGCATGCAAACACGACTCTCCAGACCTCTCTTTCATTCAAGCAAAACATGACGACTTCTCTTGGAGAGTTTGAGGTTCCTCAGCATGCTGCTGACATCCGTATCAACGGAAGAGAATCCAAGATCCTTGTTTCAGATTACAACGCCGGTAATCAAAAGATCGTCTACTCTACTGCCGAAGTCTTGGCCGTGTCTATTCAAAATGGCAAACCTATCATCGTCTTCTGGGTCCCTACTGGCGAGAGCGGAGAGTTCTACCTTAAGGGTGCTCGATATGGAAATGTCAAACAATGCGATGGCTGTTCCAGCGTTGGCTTCTACCAGACCAAGGATGGTGTCATTACTAGCTTCGCACAGGGCTCGGGAATGAGCGTCTTCCAGTATGGTAACGGCGTGACTGCAATCGTTGTCGACAGATCACACGCTTACAAACTCTGGCACACTACTTTGATCAACGATCCTCACGTGCCTCTGGACAAGACCGCTTTGGTCACTGGTCCATACCTTGTCCGCACTGCTGTTGTTGAGGGTGAAATTCTTGCTCTGGTTGGCGACTACAACGGAACTACTCCTCTCGAAGTCTTTGCTGCAGGTGTCAAGAAGGTCACTTTCAATGGTGAATGTGTTTCTGTCAAGCCTTCCGGCTATGGCAGTCTCAAGGGCGAGCTTGGTCAGGACAAAGTCACCGTACAATCATTGACTGCCTCACTTCCCAAGCTGTCTCAATGGAAGGTTGCAGATGGTCTTCCCGAGCGTGAAGCTGGATACGATGACTCGAAATGGGCCAATGCCAACCATACCACCACTCCTCATTGGAACAAGCCTGCCACCGACCATATCCTGTATGCAGACGAGTACGGCTTCCACGGTGGTAACATTCTCTGGCGTGGACGCTTCAACGGTACAAGCAGTGGTGTTTTCCTGAACGTCATCGGCGGTACTGGTAGTGGCTGGTCTGCTTGGTTGAATGGCAAATTCGTCGGCTCGACTTTCGGTGATATCAAGCTTTCGCAAACCAACCAGACGCTCAAGTTTGGTGATGCTGTCAAGAGTGGAGAGAATATTTTGTTCGTCATTCAAGATCATATGGGCAAGGATCAAACCACTGGTGCTATCAACCCTCGTGGTGTTTTGAACGCCACCCTTGCCGACGGGGCTAAGTTCACTTCCTGGAAGATAGCAGGCAAAGCTGGTGGCGGCGCCAACATCGATCCTGTTCGTGGACCTTACAATGAAGGTGGTCTACATGCTGAGCGTCTTGGCTGGCACTTGCCCGGCTTCGATGACAGCAAGTGGGCTTCTGGCTCGCCTTCTACTGGTCTCAACACTGCAGGTGCCAGCTTCTACCGCACTATCCTGCCTCTCGATCTGCCTGAGGGTCACGATGTCTCACTCGCCTTCAACCTTCACGCACCAAACAGCTTAAAGCTTAGAGCCCAACTCTACGTCAATGGATACCAGTTTGGCAAATTTGTTCCATATATTGGCAATCAGGTGGAGTTCCCAGTCTTTCCTGGTATCTTGGATTATCACGGTAACAACACTATTGGTCTATCGATCTGGTCTCAGGATAATGTTGAAGCGAGTGTGTCTGTCGAAGTCAGTGTTCTTGGTGTGCACTCCTCGGGTTTCGATGTTGGCTTCAATTCTAGCTATCTCAGACCTGGGTGGACGAAGGAGAGGTTGCAGTACTACTAGGTCAGTCGATGAAGTTGATCGATAATCGGACAGACGTAGCATCTTGCCTTGCTGGGTCTTGCATAACTCAATGCCTGTTTACTTGATGAACATGTACACATGGAAAGGAATGTTATGAGAAGCAACAATTCAATCATGCTATTCGCTCGGATCGTACTGGGCCTGATTGAGTAGCAGATGATGTCTGTACATGAGCGGCACTCGTCCAGCGGCTCTGATTTCAAATGTAGAACCACCATCCTTTTTTGTTCTCAACACCATAGTTTGGCAACAAGTCCTATGAGCTTGAAATGTGTCGAAAGCCCATATCGGCATTTTCTCCTCATCCCCTTACTCACATAACAACACCGCACACAACCATTGTGCACATATCTCCGCTTCGTCTTTCTTTAGTATTCATCTGGAGTCGCCGTCCTGTGCTGATAACCTATGCAAGGTGTTTGGCGGAGGTTTTACCACCGAAACACAGCACGGCCTTGGTCTTACGCTTGACCTTGCTAAACCATGCACTGAATGCTGACTTGGTCTTGGTGTCGACTGACTTAGCCACAGGTTCGGCGACTGACTTGGCAGGATCGACTGCGGCTGGCTCTGGAGCTGAGACTGGGTTGGCGAAAGGTCCGACGACAGGTCCCTGGGTTTTGACTGGTTCTTGAGGCACAGCCGGTTCAGATTCTGCAACCACCTCAGTGATAGGGCCTTCGACGGCGACTGACTCTTGAGCTGCGATTGGTTCTTGGGCTCCGACCGGCCGTTGGAGTACAGCTGGTTCTTGAGCCGCGACAGGTTCGACGTTGTTTCTGCGTAACAAGTCTCGCACTCTGCGCATGTGCGCCTCGATTAGACGTTCCTCATCCTCGATAAGATGTTCCTCATTCTCTTCAAGGCGCCTGATCATGTCATTCATGCGGTCTTGTGGTCCCTCCTCGAGTCTGCGTCTCTCCATCTCTCGCCCTCTGCGCACGTGCTCCTCGATAAGACGTTCCCCATCTTCTTCAAAACGCCTGAAAATATCATCTATGCGGTCTTGCGTTCCCTCATCGAGTCCGCGTCCCTCAGGTTCGGCTTGGTATTGTCGGAGGGTTAGAAAATAATGTATGCAACTCTTCTCGTGGCGATTATTACCTTCTCCCAAGATGGTGCTGTAATCGGCAGAGCAATTCTAGCAGAATTTATGACGGCATCTCGAGCCTGTTGGACTTATTAGCGAGGTCATCAAAGGTGAAAAGGTCACTGACAAGTCATGCCGTCGCAGCCACCTATCTTCTCGATGCGAACATGACACTGAGGACACGGCTTGGATATCTTCTCGACTTCTTGCTGTGACTTTTCGTCTTCAGCGTTCAGTGAAAGTTGACGTGTGGCCTGGAACTCTTCGCATGTCTGGTCCTCATGCCAATTGGTCTCGCAGACAACGCAGTGCTTGTAACCGCACTCTTCGCAGCGGAAGATGGGCTCACCAGAACCTCCTGAGTGCAGTTGACCAGACGAGCAGGTTGCAGAGAGACAGTGTCTGAAGTCTGGATCTGCTGATAGTGTTGCTCTGACACAGGCGCGCTCGTATTTGGCAAAGCTCTCATCATTTGTCAAACTCTTGACCTCATGGAAAGACAGCGTGGTCATGCATTCGGGGCATGCAACCTCATTCCACTGCTTTGAGTCGATCTCGACTTCGATGTGATTGATGTAGCAGTCGCGACAAACATCTGCACCATGGCGGTGCGAGGATACCTCCTCAGTACTGGGGAATTCGTCTTGGTGCTTCGTGTCGTCGCATACCACACAAGTGCGCTCGCGGCGCTCCATGGTAGTGTCTAGGTAAATGTGTTAGTGTTGATCGTCCATCAATACGTTCATTCGACTCACCTGACATGATTGTCGCCTGTTCTGGGATATATAAACAGCTTGTCGCGTATGAGCCGGTTGTGCTTGACGAAAGGACTGGCGAACTCAACACAAGTGCGAACACAAAAGAATTTTCACCTTTGTTCAATTTTCCGTGCGCACGAGTTGGGTTTTCACTTCCTTCACCGTTGCCCTCAGTTTCCATTGGAATTCTCCGACTTTCAGTTGAAATGAACCTGCTGACACGGAAACTGGTGACGGTCGTCGGCCTGAATATCCGGCAGCGACTATAAACAATAATGAAAACGATCTTCAGCTCTGTGACGTCTTCGAATATCGTGCATTTATTATGATACACCCAGCAAACCAGAGCTATGATCGGTCAAAAGAAAGATCATCAAACTCCTGAATGTTCAATACTATCAAGAGAATAAAGGAGAACAATAACGTCGTTCTCTCAAAGAACGAGGAGTTGGTTCTCGACTCCCAGACTTCTGACGAATGATGTAGGACATCGTTCAATATATATAACAAAGAATAGACTGAATTTTATTGAAGAGTCAAGGTAAAAACGTTGCTGCGTAGCCTTGTATGTTCTACAACAACAACAGAACTCGCCGAGAGAGTGAGATATGTCTCTTTCTGATTGTCTGCCAATAAGACTGCTATCAAAAACGCCATCATTGCCACCCCGATTTTCTTGTAAGCCATGCGATAGTGAATGCTGACTCTGCATTCCGTTACGGTTCCGAGTTCTGCGATGCCTTGTATTCGGCCCATCGTGCAGGTACCTGCTTGATCCTAGCCACCAAAGCTGCGGTATTCTCACGGATCTCGCGTCTGAATTGATCGATCAACTCAGACTTGTGTCTGCAGACGAAAAGCCACAGACTACTATGACCATTCACATCGACTGACTGTCCTGGTCCGGGGCCTCAGCTGATTCTCCTCATGGTACGAAGAAGAGATGTAAGCTCGAAAGGTAGTACGGAAAAACTCCAATCACTAGAGTTTGGAAGTCTGGAGAAGACGGCACTTTGTTGGTTGCGTCTGACGAAAACCACACTGAGAGAACCTGCATCGTGTGCCACCGCTACATCTTCTCCTTCCAGCTTTGCAAGAATTTCTGGGATGCGCATTGAGACGTCGATTTCGGCCTGAGAAAGCGCTACCGGGAGATTCTGTGCCATCATGGCCGGGGGGTCGCGAGTCGTGAGGCAAAGGTAGGCTAGACAGGCCTGGCCGAGGGGATCGACATCCAGTTGGATGAAGTTGTTCATCAAATTAGCGACGAAATCGTCCCAAACAGCCTTGTCGCGTAGTGGATATTGTCCGGCGAGTACTGCGAGACGAACAGCTGCAATGCAGCAAGCAGGCCAGTCATTGGAAACGACCATGTTAGACAAGAGGCCAAAGGCAAGTAGAAACCAACTGTCGCGTCTCTCGTAGCGTCTGATCTTCTCGAGGAGGTTGGCCTCTAGCCACACGATCTGACTGAGGGCATCGGCAGGGATGTTGGATGGTATGGAGACGTTTTTGAGCCAGCAAAGGAGTTCGACCATTTGCAAGTCATCCCTGGTGACTTAGGACATAGCAGGACCTGTATAGGCATCTGCGAAGGCATATCGTTCGGCGATTACGAAAGAGAAGTCGTTTCTAGATAGAAACGGATGAGGGAGAACCGGGCGCAGAAGGTCGTATGGAATTTGGTCGCCGGTGATTGTGCTTGCCAGCACCGCAGTGAAACATCTAGACCATGCGTCGTTCGACTCGCGCAAACTGGCTGCACTCTGATAAGAAGCGGATTCGAACTCGTAGCGCTCCCGTCGCAATGTCTCTGTCTCTGATATCATTCTCAACGCTCAGTTTCGATCTAGCTCGGACTCCAATTCGGCCAATCTGCTCCTTAACTCGAGACCGGATTGCTCTTCGAAGTCACTCAACTGGCGGTTCTTGTCTTCCAAGAATCCTTGCATCTCGGTGAGCTCTTGATCCTTGGAGTCCAGTTCGATCTGTTGCATTGCTATAGTCTCATTGGCGTCTTTGAGATCTTTCTTGACTTTCTCCAGCTGTTCCTCGAGGCTGACGGGTGAAGACATGATGGCGTGACGTTGTGAGATGTTCGAAGATGGGCGTGGAAGAGTAAGCGGTGGATGTTATGTGTGAGAAAGGAAAAGGCGCGGGCGCGCGTGGAAGTGAAGGTCGTTGGCGTCGCAACCGCAGAGCAAAAGTGAAGGAAGAGATTCTCCGTCAAGTGTGGCTATATGCAGCTGGTCCTCGAGTCTCACGCTTGACGTGAGATATGCCTTGTGCTCGGTTCGAAGATATTCAAGATCCACGTAGGGCTCGTCGACCTGCCTATCGCGCCTTTGGAGTTTTCTGATTATCTCACTTTGGGCCTGTTCGTGAGCCTGGATTGTGTCGGCGTGCGCTGCGGCAATCAATCTGATAGCTTCCAAGTGTTGCTGTAGCTTGTAAAGCTCCTTAACATTGATATCGCTACTGGCTTCGGTCTCGTGCATATCCTGATAAACTCTGTGATCAAAGTTTCACTCTCCTCCACGATATACGCCCCACCGGCCGTGGTGAAGGGTGTAATCTTCTGTTCAAATATCACCGCTGAATGAATTTCAGGGGCCGGACGAGACATGAAAAGTTCAGGAGTGGTAAATTTGAACTTGGTGTCACTGAAGCAAGCGGCTCAAGCTTGTGCTGTGACATACGTCCACCAGGGGGATATTTGTCAGCTCGTGATATATGTGATAGCTCCGTGCATACGAATATGAGAGTGATGTATTGACCAGAGAGCAATGTGAACAGAAAGCAGAAGGGGCAGTAGGGAAGGAAGAAGGAATCAGGAGGCGCAGAGATACAGAGGGTCAAGAAGAGAGACGGGTGATAGGTAGACAGGAACGAGAAGAATGGATGAGTGGTGAGAGAAGCTGTTCTATTCTTTCTGTACTTCCGCAGGTACTCATGACCAGGCGACTGTTGCATCTGGAGCTGGAGAAGCTTCGACAGAGACAGAAGCCCCTATCACGCCATCTGGTGCCGAGATCGAACAAGTAGACGACGGCTACCTCTTGCCAAACAACGCAAGCGTGCGTGAAGCCTATGTGATCATCAATGTCAATGGTCTTGTACGGATACAGGAGTCAATACTGGGCGACTACCTGAGGAATGTGTTCACAGAACCGGGCGACTACTCCCGAGCGCCCAAAGTGGGCCAGGCTCGAGGCGAGGTGGCCATTACGTGGCTAGAAATCATGCACACCTGTGTGCGTCGTCTGGCGCAGCGTGACCCCAAGCGAGTACCAAAGTGCTTTGTGATGACCCAGCATCGCCGACCTGGTCCTAGATCTGAGAAAGGCGATGCGGGAGACAAATGGAAGTGGACATGGGACAAACACGACGCCGATATGCCCTGCCCCAACGTCGACAACACCGAGGATGTCGGTCCACACCAATGCCTAAAGGTCGTTGATGAGCACACTTTGTGGCTCCTCAATCCCTCACCAGGCGACTTCGATAGACAAGAGGTGTTCGATCGTTCGAACCATGCTCAAGAGATGGCCGAGGCGGCGCGCATTGCTGAGGAGTCTGATTCGGATGTCGACGATCTCGGGGGCGATGCAGCATACGATGTGGTCACATTGCCGGAGTATCGATCATCATCCCCAGTGGAAAACAGAGAGCAAGGCTACAACGATACGTCATCTACATCCTCACATGCTCAAGAGACTACTGATACTGAGGTATTGCACGGCGGTGAGGCCTCTGATAGAGGTCAAGTCAACACTACATCTGGCAGCGCTTCTCCAGGACATGTCAGGCCTCTCACAGTGGCTAGCGATTTCGGAGGCGACGCAGCGCGTGATACAGTCACGCTGGAAGACAACCGTATGTCCACGCCAGTCGAGAACAGAGCGCAAGGCCACAATGATCCGTCATCATCGCCTTCTGGATCTTCTGGAAAGGGTGTTATCAACCGCGTTCGTAACGCCAGTCGTGAAGTCAGTCGTAAATTCAAATCCTTGGGCCGCAGCTCGACCAGGCGAGGCTCAACTCCACCTGAGCCTGGTTCCCTGTCGCAAGCTACATCTACCGCGGAAGTTGGTCTCGGAAAAAGTCAGCGAGTCTCTCGAAAGTCCCGTACGCCTATATGGGATATCTTCATGGGACGTTTGCGTCCTTCAACCACTCCTCCAGATGCAACTGCTACCTCGGCTCCCGCGCAGCTCCTTCCACCCCTTGAGCAGGGTATCCCGGAGTTTGGTGATGTTGTGGGGTTGACAGACCGTATTGATAACGTGGAGATGCGTTCAGCTATTCTTCCTACTAGAGTTCGTCCAAACCCTGGCCGTGAGCACAGTGCACAAGTTCCAGGAGATCACTCCGTCTCACTCGAAGCCCGCAGTCCTTCTTCGATGACCCAAAGACGTCGTAACTAGAAGGTTTGAGTCTCTCCGGATACTGTTCTGATGCGATCCTCGTTTGCTGAGGAATGGAGAGTTTGTACTTGGTGTTGGAAACTAAGAAGCGCAGGCCGAAGGAGAGAGAAAAACAAGGTTGCAGCGGTTGGTTGCACGAATAGTGATTGAAGCGGCGGAGGAGCTGAAGACGAAAGGCTGTCAATTGCAGATCTATACAGTATTGGTACACCGCTCGGCACTGCCGCCTAGATAGCGTAATAGAATACTCTGCATAGTCTCTCCGCTGAGTTTCACAGACCTTGTACTCAAAATGGCCCGGGCTGGAGATAGGTTAGCTTGACGTGTTTCCTTGGACACACGTGTGTTTGATGAAGCCATCGTGCATTCAGATACTATGAACTTACTCCTTATGACCACAGGAGAGGAAGGCTGAACGTAAGGTCAAGACTACGCTTGCATCTGTCTAACCAGACCATCAAGCCTCAACAAGTTAGAACGAATCCACAGACCCCTTCTTACTTCAGCAACTGGGTATATCAAGGCCGGAGACAGTACATTGGTAATGGAGAGTTCTATTTGAGCAATGGTCAGAAGTCGGGAGCGGGGTTCTAGTTCAAGACTTCGATTCACACGATTCTTTCACTCTTGCTTTTGAATATCTTCTCAGGAGAAGCTTTTACTTTCACTGAATATCCGATCACTTTCACTGGACATCAAAATTGTTTCCCCTTTCTGCATAACATCCACTGCCTGTCTTCTTGGACCCGTCTACAAACACCTCACAACACCTCGCCATCATGTCTTCAAACTAGAGCGGTACCATGTTTTTGATCGACCCTTTTAACCTCGTTATGCGCCGATTCCAGAAGGTCTTAATTTAGGCACTTAAGGTATCACATAGCATTTCCCTCGTGAACAAAATACAGGTCGAATTAACCATAGAAATGCATAAAGGCTTTCTGTAACAGAATATAATCCATAGAGATAGGCCGGCTTGAAGTGTTTCCTTGGCTACACGTGTCCGGGACGAAGACACCATGCATTCAGATAGTGTAGAGTCACCATCATGGCCACAAGAGATGGAGGCAGAATGTTAGAATCGCTTACTGCTTCAAGGCATCAGCATCTCGTTGTAACATCTCAAGCACCTCTTTCTCATCCACCTGTTGCCTCTTCTCTTCCTCACCACCGAGAATGCATCCATTCAAAGTGATTTTCCTCTGTTCTTTTGGTATAGACGACATTAACCCTTGTAATTCTTTATCATCGTCTGTGATGTTTTGGGTGTATTGCTGGACAGTGATGAAGCCTGTCGGCAACGGATCTGTTGACTCTGGGGCGTTTGCGGTGGTGGTAAAGGCGTATATCGTGGGAAACTCGAGGACGTGGTTTTGAGTGAGGGAGGACGTTAGGGTGGAGGTTGGAGAGAGAGGTATGAGGACTGTGTTGGTTGATGAGGTGTGTGGTTTGTGAAGGTAGAAGTGGGTGGTTTCTTGTGGTGATGAAGCGGCTTCGAATGGTTGTTGTTCTTGAGGAGCGTCTGTCGTCTTTGCTTCGTCTGTGGAAGGTGCGGCTGTAGAGGCAGTGCTTGTTGCGCCTTCTGAATCTGGAGCGGTTTCCGATCTCGTTGTCGCAGCTTCCACCGTCGTCTCCTCAACCTCTAGTTTTTCTTCGTGCACCTTCTGCTTCTGCGCTTTTGAAGCCGCATCATCTTGCATCCTCTTCCTCTTCTTGCTCTCCCGCTCCTTCTCCACCATCAACTCCCTGTACGCCTCCTCCAAAGTCCTGCTCTCATCCACCTCAACCACCTTCTTCTCACCATTCACAACCCACTCCACACTCCACACAATCCTCTTGCTCTTCGCAATAAACCTCGTCTGATTCGCCTTTTGCCTGGCCATTCCAATCGGAGCTTTATGCACCACAATCCCATTATCCTTCAAATACCTCCCCAACGCACCGTTATCATGCCATCTTTTCTGGAACACCGCTTTGCCTTTCCCATCCAGCGCAACCCCTCGCTCAGAGGTGTCTTTGTCGGCGCGATCGATATTACGTTCGAGTCCGCTGAGAAAATTGTAGTCTCGATCAATGCCTGAGGAGGTTTGAAGAGAGGATTTTGGGACGTAGGCGGCTGGGTCGCGGATGCCGGTGCAGGCGGCGCGTCGTTTGTGGGATTGGGAGCAGGCGAGGCTGCAGGTGCGGACGGCGTCGCGGGGGCAGGTGTATTTGGGTGGTGCGCTGTGGCAGATGTTGCAGAGTACTGTTAGCGGTGTTGATGGGTCTGCCATGTTTGTATATGGTTGGTGAGAAAACGATTGTTGGAGGAAGGAAAATGTCAGTAGAAAGATACAATTGGCATGTGAAAGCTGTGACGTTTTTTCTTCTTGTTGCCGTTATCTCCGTGCTCTCGGAGTGACCCTGTTGGATAAATACACTTGCTATAAAAACGCATAGAGATGTCGACATGTAACACAAATACGGCTAATCTGTTACAAAGTATTTGTTATCATGGTCAATAGTTGTCGCATCAACGAACGATATGTAGTGTGTTCATGCCGTATGAGAAGCTCGAACGGAAAGCGTGGTCGACGAGAGTGAGATTTGAACCCACGACAGCCGGCACCTAGTCAATTTGCTCTCTACATGAACACTCTCAACACTTCCAAATCGCCATAAAACCGAGAAAATGGTCGAGCAACCACTTATAATCATCAGTCTCAAGCGATAATAGATATTTCATCGGGATCAATGTAAGAGCATGTCGTATACAACGATCATGAGTCGTGATTGGAACGAAAAGCACGGCTTGACGAGAGAGGGATTTGAACCCAATGCTGCTCTCACCCAAGGCTCAGGGCAATGTCGATAAGATGGATTTTTGGTTTACTACCAATTGAAAGATACAGACGAGCGAGTCCTGAATGTTGTTTCTTGGTTTTTCCATATAAGCGGTCGTATCCATCAAAACTAGATTTTGGGTTGAGCAGGGCGCTTGTACGAGTTGCTTCCTCCAGCACCAGCCTATTGTATATCCAGTCAGACACATATATCCAATCAACGCAGCGAGGGTTCTTTGCTCTAAGACTTCCTGTGCATGACCGTAGCAGCAGCCTTCCCCCCTCAAACATCAGCAACTGAAAAGCAAAAGAGAAGAGAAACCAGAAACTCACCTGATGGTTAGGGAACACCAACGTATCAGCCACCACAACATTCTCCCTCCTGCCGGCTGCAAACACCACAACCTCTGCGATATCCTCGGGCGTCAGAGGTTCACACCCCTCATATACCTTATCAGCCTTGCTCTTATCGCCATAGAACCTCACCACCGAAAACTCGGTCTCGACTTGTCCGGGATCGATTTCGATCACTCTGATGCGAGTAGCAATCAACTCTTTGCGCAAAGAATCAGTGAAACTGCGCACAGCGGCTTTGGTGGCGCAGTAAATGCTGCCGCCAGGATAGGGTTCGCGGCCAGCGATACTGCCAACATTGATGATATCGCCAGCACCTGGCAAATCTCCCTTGCGAGCGAGGAAAATAGGCAGAATAGCTTGAGTCATGTTGATAAGCCCAGTGACGTTTGTAGCAAACATGGTATTCATATCTTCCTCTGCAATCTCCGGTGCTTTGGCCACACCCTTGACCAAACCTGCATTATTCACCAGAACATTGATATCCTTGAATTCTTCAGGCAGCTTGCCCACGAACTCGCGGACTTCTTGGGGATTGGCAATGTCGAGCTTTACAGGCAAAACTTTGACGCCAGAGCCAGCTTCTTTTTCAATGTCGGACTTCAATTGCTCGAGGGCTTCCAGGCGGCGTGCGGTGATGATGATTTTGAGATTCTTGGGTGCTGTGCGGGCGAATTCCAAAGCGGTGCTTTTGCCGATGCCAGAGGAGGCGCCGGTGACAAGAACAGTCTTGCCTTCGAGGCGCTTGCTCATTGCTGTTGACATTGTGCGGAGGAGGAGGTGGTGAGCAGATGCGGGGTATGCAATCGAGGTGGAGCGTGTCGAGGAGACGAGGGTAGAGGCTGTTCGTAGTGGGCGAGCGATATGGCGGAACAACATGCGACGGTGACTCCAAATCTAGAGACTACAAGAAAACAAACAATCGACTTTGAGAAGGAAGAAAGAAAGGGTCTGTTATCGCAATAGTCGTCGGCGATGGCGAGCTCGGGGGAGAGGTGGGGCAAAGCTCCACTCGCGCCGTCCTTTGCCGATGGACCGAGAGATAACATGGACATGGCAAGATAGACACTTTAACCACACTCGATATTACGAACGACAATTGATCTGATCCAATCATGGAGTCCGTCAAGAGCGCAGCAGCCACTGCCACAAGCTACCTCAGTTCAGACAACTCTACACAGAACAAAGGTCAGCCAGTTCCGTCCAGTGCCGGCTTATACAGCTATACTCTTATTGTAGATGATACTGACATTCGAATCCAGGAGGCGGATCCAGTCAGATTGCAGGTGGCTCAGCACCGCAAGACACTGCCACCGGTACATCTCAATCTGGCACTGAACCCGTATCAGGAAAGCTTGGTGAGGGAGAAGCTGGCCAGCCCTACGATGCTGGAAACGAGGATGGTATGTGTAAACCGCCGTAGACTTGACGAAAGTGTTGCTGATGTGTTGCATAAAAGGTTCTGTAGAGAAGTCTTCTTGAACGTGTAGCGTGACATTGAACACTGGTTGCATTTGAAGCACTGGTCATGTTGCGCACTCTAGGCGATCAAGAGATCAAGATGTCGACCTGAAAATATAACCGAAAGAAGTCTGGAAAAAGCTATATGTATTTGAGAAACAAGTAATTCAATTATATGAGCATCATCGCTATCTATATGTCTGCTCTAGAAGTTCATAAGATCTGTTTTGCTCGTTAGTACATTATTCTTACGTCTCTGAAGTTTCATCATTTGCTTACCTCTTCCGAAAAGCGCTCTCTTGGTCCAATCCATGGCAAGAAGAATTCTAGTACGGAGACTGACACTTTGTGAAAAGTAAACGGCACGCCACAGGTAGACTGCTACCAATCCACCAGCAAAGTTCATGCCGCCAAAGTCGAAAATGGCAGCATTGCCAACGTAAGCCAGACTGCCCATGTTGGTGTATGAGAAAGTCTTGTAGACGGCATCGTCGATATCACCATAGTCGAGTTGGTTGAGCTCCATACCAGGTGCAGCTTGCGAAAGTTTGTTGAGCTTGCGACCTAGATAGATACCCTGCTGGTTGGCACGCTGTGCGGTGGCAGGCAGCGATGTCATCTTGCCGTCAATCTGCTTAAGGAGCTCCTGAAGTTCGCTGAAATCCAGAGTTCCACTCTTGTCCTTGTCGTACTGTTCGAAAAGCTTGTCCAGACGCTTCAAGTGCTCGGCAGCTTGAGGGAAACGTTGCTTGACACGCTTGGCGACACCTCTCCAGTCACCGTAACCGATAAGCATCTTCTCGGGGTCCTTGCCCTTCTCCCAAGCAACGGTACGCAGGAATGATACAATGTGATCCGAGACGTTGTTCTGGACAGTCGAGCAGTCACCAATGGCATAGACATCACCAAGAGGAGCACCAACAAGACGAAGGTGGGTATCTGTCTCAAGAGCGTGACGGTTGGTCTGGTTTTCACCAAGCTTTTCAGCCAACTTCTTGGAGAATTCGGTCTGAGCAACACCAGTAGACCACAAGCAGAAACCCATGGGAATTTCCTTGGTCACAGTCTTGCCGTTTTCATCCTTTTGAGTGAAGAGAATCTTGTCCTTTTGCACCTCCTTGACACGCGAGTTGGTCAAGATATCAACAGCGTCTTTTGCAAAGCGAGCTTCGGCGTATTTGGAGAGGGTCTCGTCGTAGGTGTTGAGAATGTGACCTCTGCTTTGGATGACGTGGACGGAGATTTCGTTTCTCAGAATGCGAGGGTAGTAGTTGCACAGATCTTCGTTGAGCATGTCGAACAACTCGGCAGCGAACTCAACACCAGTGGGACCGCCTCCGCAGACGACGAATGAGAGCAGACGACGTCTTTCCTCGTCGGGTGTGGAAGGTAGGGAAGCGGCTTCGAGGTTGCGGACGATTTGGTTGCGGATCAGACGAGCATCGGTGATATCCTTGAGGAAGTTGCAGTATTCGAGACCCTTGACACCGTGAGGGTTAGTCATGGAGCCAACACCGATGATGAGCTTGTCATAGGGGAGGTAGAAGTTTTGTTTGGAGCCATCGGGGTTGATTGCGGAGACTTCGACGAGCTTGTTGGAGAAGCTACCACATAGTCAGCGGGAGTAGGATAGTAGTTGCTGGGATGACTTACTCGACATCTTCAGCGGTAGCCTTGAGGAAATGACCCTTGACGCGAGAAATAATTCTACGGACAGGCTCGACAAGCGATCTCAATTCCAGAGTACCAACAGTGGCAGAGGGAAGCATGGGAGTGAACAGAAAGTAGTTGGACGGAGAGACAACAGTGACGTGGTAGTCATCAGGGTTGAGCTGCTTGAGAAGAGCAACACTACCCCAACCAGTACCGAGAATGACGAGCTTGGGCTTGTGCTTCTGAGCCTTCTTCTCGGGCGATTCATCGTCGTCAAGAAGGTGTTCAGCGATGGGCAGGTTCTTGGGGCCGCCTCTTCTAGGGTTCAGAGCAAGTTCAGAGACAGAGATATCGACGGTATCGGCGTTTTCCTTGTATGTGGTTGCATCGAAAGCGAAGAAGGCGACGACCAGGACACCAGAAATGACGACAAAGACACCGAGCAAGGTGAAGCCTCGCCAGAGGAAACGGAGGACACGAGATCGTTGTACAGGAGTGGCAGCGGGAGACTTTGGCGGAGGGTCGGTGTTTGTGCTTTGACGACGGACGTGGTTGAGTTGAGGGATGATGGCGGATCTTGCGAGGGATGCTGGCGCCGGCATGCGTTGCAGCAATTCACGACGCACTGGGCCATTGACCAGGGAGCGAGTAAATTGTTGTGAGCGGCATGCCTGGATGATGGAGCGGCGCATCTGCATCCCAGTGCGACCGCTCAATTGACGAAGCGGTTGCATCGTGGCCGTGATGCGACGAGTTGACCAGGAGAGAGGGAGAAGCTTATTGAGGCTATAACTTGAGAGACGACAAGCTTAACAGTGGATAAAAAGAGTAAACACAAATCGAACACGCCTATTCAAAGGCTGTCGAGTAGAGATGACGAGTCAATGTCTTGTCGTTGAGTTTACGAAACAACTCAGTCCAAGGTCAACGCGAAAATGGGCGGCTTAATCGGATCGTGACGTAGCAATCGACCCAGTCAAATCATGAAGGATCCACATCTCATCTTATCTGATCCGGATCTACCGCCTCCAAGTCAATATTTATCCTTCTCTCTCGAGCTTCTTGAATCGTGAGTTGAAGCTTGTTATCTTTCAGTGTGCTTACTGCGACTTGCTAATTTCTTGGGAGGCAAAATGCTGCCGTGAAAAATCTTCAAAATGACGTGGGCTTGATATCGCGATGACTTTCATCTTCCTCTGAGCAAAAACAAAAAAAGAAGGAACTACCACCATCTACAAACTGTCAATAGCCTTGATATGCTTAGTGACCAGACAGTCATACAGCTCGTCTCCGTAGTATGCAGTGTTCCCATCTTGCGAAGTCTTTCCATAACTCAGTGTGTCTCCATACTGCCAGAACAAATCTGCTCCAGTACCAGCAGCTGTCAATGCAGTAGCTTGCCAACTACTCTCAATAGTACAGTTGTTACTTGCTCCAAATTCCTCCAGTAAGCATGGCTTTCCAACTGCAGAACAGGCTTTAGCATGTGCCTTGATCCATTGAGTGCCCCATTCGAGCGTGGGCGTCACAGACCATGATTCTGGGTAGAGGTGGTAAGTACAAAAGTCAATAGTGGGGACCTCACAATTTGCAGTGAAGTTGCTTCCACCGGCCGAGAGTTGGTAAGGGTAACTTCCATCATCACCAGCGATGGGTCCGAAGCCTTCTTCTCCTGTTGTGACCATGTGCTTGGCATCGATGCTCTTGATGTACTTTGAAGTGTTGATGACCCAGGTTTTGAGGGTGGAAAGATCACAGCCTGTGCAGCGGGGCTCGTTGGCAAGCTCCCAGGCAAAAATTGCTGGGCTGTTGATATAGCGCGTCACAACTGCTTTGATATATTCCTGGTATTGAGTCTGAGCCTTGGTGCTGTTGTACCATTGGGCATTGGTTTTGATATTAGCGTACGAAAAGTAAGCTGCCATGCCACCGTAGTCGGTCCAGTTGTTCACGAAATTGATGATGAGCTTGATACCATGGGCTTCGGCACTCTTGACGACATAGTCCAAGCGTTGAAGGCCATTGGCACCGGTATTGATGGTTGCTTCTCCATTGGCGAAGGATTGGAAGTATACTGTTCCATCGGTAGGGGTGGTTGTTACATCGTTGAAACCCCAGACGCGCAGGATCTTGAGACCTGAGCTAGCAAGATGTTGCATCACAAGGTCGATATCGGAGTTGTTGGTTAGAAAACCAATCCAGTAGGAGTTTGTGCCTGCATAGTAGCCTGGCTTGCCGTCGATGACGAATTTTGTGCCTGAGGTTGTAGGGAAGGAGCCACTAGCTGCTGCGGTGGTGGTTGCGACCTTCGAAGTCGAAGTGGTTTTGGACGCAGTAACAGGTGGTTTGGTAATCGCAGTAGTTGGAGACGAGACAGGAGCTTTCGAAGTCGATATCTTGATAGTGGTAGGGGCGCTTGACACTGAACCTGGTACGCATTGAGAGTACCAGTCATTGTTTTTCTCGCAGTGATGACCAGAAACACAAACAGAAGATCCAGTATGGCCTTGACCACCACACTGTCCGTACGCTGGAACGGTCGACTGTGCAAAGGCAGCTCCAGCAGCTGCCAGGGTGAGGAAGGGAGAATATTTCATAGCTCAATCAAGGAAATGAGGATGGAAGACAGAACGTTGCTTGAGACTCACAAACGGAATGAAGACGCAGCTACGTCTATATATAAGAGGTTCCGACACGGCAAGCAAAGACAATATCAAAGGGCAAATATAAAATTTCACAGTAATGTATACTTCTCCGCATCAATGACCACAGACTTGTTTCTCCACAAAGCCCTAAATGCTTAGATAGTCGTGTTCCGCGATGATCTTCAAGGGCAGATTGCCAGATTCGACATCGTGGCATGCAGGAGTCGAGTTGTAGTCAAGCAGACAGAGCCTAAACGAGGGTTTCTCTGCCGTGACTCGTGGAAGAACGCATACCATTGTGAGGGGCTATATGTATTCGGCCGTATTGTTGCATGAGCTTATAAAGACCAGCGTGACCATCTTATGATATGTGGTCGAGATTGTGTCGGTCGAGAAGCGAGGGCTGGAAAAGTGTTGCAGAAGAAGGGGTTGAAACGCGCCAAGGGCTAACTTTGCGGGTGTTTCGGAAAGGCCGAGGTTCGCTTCGACGACATGCCTTCCTAATCTGATACGGAGCCAGAATTTCTGTACTCCTTTGAGAAAGGAAATACGGACCGGAGTCAATGCAAACCAACGGACCTTGAAGTGAGCAGCATAGTGACCGACGGTGTGACGACCACATCGCATGCCCTCTCTTTCTCTCGTCGAATTGTCGATGGTTTAGACAGGATCTTCATCAGACTATCACGGCCCGAATATTCATGCACGTACACGACAACGATTCCACTTGGCAGGATACAGACCGATACTCACATCAGTAAGTAGTTGTGGGGATGGCAAACAAATATCATCAATATCGATGTCGTGTCGAGTGTACTCAAAAGAGAGCATATGTTTGCGAATGCATACCAGAGCCTTCAGTTGAGGAGAAAGAATTGGGTTCAATTTGTTTCCTCGCTCTTGAACCTGCTGAACTCGACAGTCACGCTAAATATACCGAAGGACTATGTATCCTAGACAACTGTCTCAGCTAGCAGAACATTAATTTGAACCACTCTCACCACATCCATCAAGACAAAAGCTCCGCTCATGCTTTGACAGCCATACTTGAGATTCGCCGAGAGAACCCATATTGACATGTCGAGCAGAGTGACGGCTGCTAGGGTTCGGCTAGAACTCGAATTTCTCAATCTTGTGTGGATGACTCCCTCCGATTGCTCGTTATGTGCTGACTGCTGGTTTCTTCAGGAGAAACTCAGACTGTCGAATGAGTAGTTGCAATATGGAATATGCCCACGAAGGTCCCCATACGGCAAATACTGTACATATTGGCCAAATCACCATGATCAGACCGAAAAGCAGTTTACGGAAGCAGTGAGGGTGAACCTAACACTCAACGGAGACGATGTAAGCCCCGATGTTAGCGAATCGAGCCTTGAATTTGTTCAGTGTTAACAAAAAGCCAGACTTGGTGTGAGAACGCCGAGGCTGCCGAAGGGAGAGGGAGTCATTGCGGAGTTGCCTGGAGAATGTGACATGGAGAAAGCGGTCGGGTTCCGCAGTCACAATCTAAGCCAGCCTTTGCATCTCTCGTCCTTCCCCACATTGATGCATCATACGGTATGGTGCTGGCAGTCTGCAGCACATCTTTCTAGCATCGTAGATGCGGCCGACGACGGCCGACAAGATTTAGCCGGGACCGCATCAGACCTTCCAACGTCAATCTTGAACGTCACGCTGGCAACATCTGTATAAGCCTCCGCCAAGGTATGTATATGCACTCTGTTGATCTGTGTGCGGAGTGCATGTTTGGCGGGGTAGACGATGGCGGGGTTTTCGGCCCCGATGCCCGCACGACTCGCTCTTTCCTTGTCATGCAGCTTTGAATCACACACAGCACGGCGGCAGTTGCTTGGAAGCTGATTTGAATGCGAAATGTAAGTGTCTGTCCCGCCTGATCATCGCTATACCACGGCACAACTCAAGGATACCTCGTCTCGGAAGCGGGGCAGCTCCATTGGAAGAGTACCACGAGACCCTCAGATAGAAGGCGGGGCATTGACCTGTAGAGGTACCCATGTTGAGCATGAGAGCTATAAGAATGCGGCTCTCGCTCATGACGCAAACCCAATCCGAGCCAGAGGTCATATTTTCTGAAAATGGTCAACATTAAGGTCTTCACGAGCAGCTTCGTGCTCTTCAATGCTGCATGTGCCGCAGTCACCAAGAGAAACGACAATCACCATTCTGGCAAAGGAGGTTCTGTACCTACCGCGCACGTCAAGAATGGTACTTACACTGGCTACTACGCAGCTGCATACGGCACCGACAACTTCCTTGGAATGCCATACAGTCAACCTCCTGTTGGCGAACTACGCTTCCGCGTCCCTCAATCACTCAACGGAACCTGGTCTGGAACTAAGAACGCCACTGAGTATAGCCCAGAATGTATTGGCTATGGGAAAGATACCTGGAGCCAAGGCAACTATGTCAGTGAAGATTGTCTGACTCTCAACGTGATCAAGCCAGCCGGTTCATGCGAGAAACTCCCTGTACTTGTCTGGATCCATGGCGGAGGTCTTGTGATGGGCGGTAGTGGAGACCACCGATACAACCAGTCCTTCATCGTCCAACAATCCGCCGAAGCAGGAATGCCAATCATTGCTGTCAGTATCAACTACCGTCTATCTTCATGGGGCTTCCTCTACGGACGCGAGATTCAAGAAACAGGGCAGACCATGAACGGCTTCAGAGATCAGCGCCTTGCTCTTAGATGGATCCAGGAGAATATCGCTGCCTTTGGAGGTGATCCAGGCCGCGTCACTATCCAAGGTGAATCTTCAGGCGGAACTAGTGTTGGAGCACAACTACTGGCATACAACGGAAGGGACGACAACCTCTTCCATGGAGCTATTGCTGAGTCAGGAGCCCCCGTCAGCCCCAGTCCTGACTTCGATGTTGATGACTGGGAGCCTGTGATTGCAAATATCAGCCGAGCCACAGGATGCAATGGTCGTGGTTCTGTACTTGAATGTCTTCGCAAAGTACCCGTTGAACAGCTCAATGCTGTCATCAACTCCACTGTCACGAGAGCAGCTCGCTATGGCCCTGTTGTCGACGGAGATTGGTTCACACAGACTGCATCACAGGCATTAGAGAAGGGTGATTTCCTCAAGGTCCCATACATCATCGGTGTCAACGAGGCTGAGGGTGTTGGATTTGGACCTCAACACATCAACACAACCCAACAGATCATGGACTACATTGTGAGGTCTGGCTACGACAATGCTACTGCTCACGATATTGCCATCTTGTATCCTGATATCCCGGCTATTGGTGTGCCTGATACCCTTTACGGTCGACCGAACTCTACTATTGGACTTCAATACAAGCGCAGTAACGCCATCGCTCAGGACATGAGTATGAATGCTGCAAGACGTTTGACCGCACACTGGTGGGCAAGACATGGCGCAAAGTCCTACACCTAGTGAGTATTTATGCCTCAATCATGTAGACATCTTCTTACCTTGATTTACAGCATCTTCGATGCCATCGTCAACGGTCTCTCTTACCTCACCGGAGCAGTGCATTTCCAAGAGGTAGCTTTCGTCTTCTACAACACAGAAGGTCTTGGCTACCCTCAAAATGGTGGTCCCAACCCACTAGGCGGACCAGAGCGCGAGTCGCTTCTTGTTCTAGCCAAGCAAATGTGCCGTATGTGGATCAGCTTTGTCAACTACGGTGATCCAAATATGCATCTCGGTGGTAAGTTGACTATCTTACTCCAGATACAGATTGCTTTGCTGACAAAATCCACAGTGCCAGCAGAGCCTTGGGTTGCTGTTGATGCAGATGAGCCCGAGTACTATTACTTCCAGCAGAATACATCTTCCAGCTCTTTCCCGGATACTGTGCGTGCTGAGGGTGTGAGCTACTGGGAGGAGCTCATCATGGCACGTAAAGGTACCAATTGTACTGGTATTGTTGCTTGTGGTAGCACTTATAACGGCGATCTCGGTAATCTATAAATGGATTGATTCGAGTATGACTGCCCGAACTGTTACTGAGCGGACATTGGCAGGGTTAATGCAGCTATATCATCGAGAGTATGATGTCGCGCTGAGCTTAGAATAGTATGGTCTATACCAAGACTGAGAGCTCGGAAATGCTACATATGATGTTCGTACTGATTCCCGTGGATGCGAGGCTTGTGAAACTTGTTGTGGTTGTCATCAGGCATAAGACACACGCTTGCCCGATTCGCTTGACTTGTAGAGCGCATCTACCCAAGCATGACGCTTCACAGCCCATTTCCAGTCAGGATAGTATTGACCATCAGCGAAAGCGTCATATAAACGTTTGACATTGCCCGGAGGTCCCGGCTTGTCTTCAGTAAGTTCGACTTCCTTGACCTCTCCAGTCTCGAACAGCTGCAATCTAATCTTGATATCCAGTGACATACTGAGAGCAAAACTCTCTTTGCCACGGACTTCAATGACGCCTTTGTCTCCTTCAACCTTCCATAGTAGAGCTGGCTCATCCAGCAATGGCTGGCCACCAGTAACCACCGCTGAAGAATGTGCTCCATCTGCGAGAAGACCAGACATGGTGATATGATCAGCAGCCGTACGCTTGATCGTTCTCAAGACCTCTGAGCCATCGCTAGATTTGATCGGAACATCGGGATGCTGGATAGACAGTGTCGAAGAAACATCCTGAAGTTCGCCGAGAGCATAGCTCACAGCATCGTACAAGTGTCCGAAGGGAATAACCAACATATTACCACCAATCTCAGAAGAATTGAGATATTCAACTGCTTCGGTCGAGTCTCTGCCGCCAAGCATGCCTGCGAAGTTGATCTGCGAACTGACAACACGACCGATGGATTTGTCCTTCTCAATGATTTGTTTGACGCGGCTGATGACAGGATTCATCTGACCTTGCAGACCAATCATAGTCTTGACACCCTTGCGCTCAGCAAGCTGCAGCAACTCCTTAGCTTGTTCAGAGTTGGACGCCAATGGCCACTCCACAAAGCAGTCCTTTCCAGCTTCAATGGCGGGTTTAATGGCGTCGTAATGGCGATCGACTCGAACGCAACAAACGACAAGGTCCACGTCGGAGCTCGCTGCCATATCTGCGACAGAACCATAGGCTTTGGCATCTGTGAGTTTGTGGCCGTCGACTGCTTTTTGCGAGGATTCCAGAGATGAGTTGCAGATGCCGGTGATTTTGTATTTTGTGGTGTCTTTGAGGTAAGGGAGGTGAGCGCTTACTCCCCATGACCATGCTCCAGGGGCGGAGAGGCCGATGATTCCAACGCCGATGGGCGCCATGTTGATGTTTGAGATCCGTTTTGGTGTCCAAAGCGTCTTGAGAGCAAGAGTCGAACTCGTTAGAGGCTAGTAGAAATTCTTGGATGTAGTTATCCAGGATTTGTCAAATATTTCTATGAAATCAGTAGCAAGAATTGAAGATTACCAAGCAGGACTCGGGAGCTGTAGTTGCTATGTCGAATGCATCGGATACACGGGATCGCGTCGGATGTCTGAAACCCTGTCATCCGAAGGGGAATGCTCAGAGTGCTAAGCTACAGGGAGCGGCCAGAAGTCTTGATCAAGCATGATGATGCGGTGTTCTCAACAAATCTTGGCTTTCCCGCGGAATTCGAACCTCTCCAGATCTCCTTTTCCGCCAAAACCTGATCATGGAGCACAACGAGCCTGACGCATCTACGCAAAAGTACCCAGTCTCTTCAGGGCCCGCGCTTCTGTCAGCTTACCAGAGCTGTAAGATGCTCTGCGCCCGACTGAGGAAGCAGAATTTAGACCCAGACGGCAATGAGTACCTGGTCATTGCTCTGTCATTAAACATGTATCGTACAGGAAGGTGCTTTGATCGAAAATCCCTGGCATGACCCATTTGTCGATCTTGCTACTATTTTGTATGATTAGGCAACTCGTCCATAGTCAAAAGCCACACCCTTCGCATGGTGATCCGATTCTCCGTACTCTCGCCATCAATCAAGAACTCCCTTCAGCAAGAACACCATATAGTCCAACGGAGCAGGCTCTATACCATCAGGTGTTCCGACAATTCCAAACACATCGCCCTCCTTCACAGCAACACCCTCGAACGTGATTCTCCTCGCTGAATGCCCATCCAAATAAATCGAAGGTGTATGACCCAAATAATCCTCACTATCGCCTCTCCATGTCGCAACACCTTTATTGTTAATCAGCATTTCGAAGTGTGATTCTCCACCATACAAGTCGTAGAAGTTGACGCCGATGTCGTAGATGCCAGAGGGGAAGTGGAGTGTAGTGGATACAGAGCCTGTTGTAATGTTGTCGCTGGTGACTACGGCATGGTAGTTCGATGCTGTTTCGAATGGGCTCACAGTGTATTGCTTGTAACCCTTTAACGTCATACTCTCCGCTTCAATACGCCAGGGATGATTACCCACGCGATTGAGCTCATCAGCAATACCGGAAACATTATGGTAGAAATTGCAAATTGCATCTCTCCAGACCAGTGAGTGTCCAGCTTGGTACTTAAGACGACAGAGTTGCTCATTGAAGCGCTGAGTGTCGATTTTGCTTGCTAAAGTTTGCCATTGCGTAGCAAATGTCTGTGCTGTCTCTGCTCCGGAGTAGTGTGCGTCGTAGAAGTGTTGGATCACTGTTTTGCCTGATTTGAGTTGCTGCGTGTAGGGGACGTGGTGGAACCAAAGGAGTAAGTTGTCGGGTGTGGTGGAGATGTTCTCGTATATTGCGGCGACCTCAGGGGGATAGGTCCCTGCGTATCCGGTGCCGTTTGAGACTGTCCTGTCCATGCCGATTGTGTTGTGGTCTGCTCGTGTCCACTGACCCCAGCCGTTGTTATCTTGTGATTGAGGATTGGGTCCAAAATGAGTGTATAAGATGTCAGTTAGCGTTTGAACGCCAAGGTTACCGCTGTAGTTCTCGTATGCAGGCCATGATTCGAGTGCCATGTTGGTGATCGTATTGACCAGCTGTGGGTCAAGGCCAAATGTTAGACGAGTCCATTCCTCGTGAATCTTTGTGGTGTCTTCGGCGGGGTTCCAGGCAAGCCGACCATAAGCATAGAAGTTGGCCATCGAAAGGTGACTACCTAGCCAGGTTTGATTGGTCCCAACATTGACCACAGCTGCATAGCCCCCCAATGGACGATCAAAAGTGCGTCCAGAGATGATATCGTGAACAAGCGATGTCTGGTTGTCAACACGCATATCAAAGCCCAGTATAGTATCCCACAAAGGCGGAAGATATACTAGATGAGTCTGCTGACCGAGATACTCCTGTGAAACTTGCAACTCAATTGCCGTATTCGTATGATACAAGTTCGCAAAGAGCGGCGATGCAGGCTCTCGGACCTGGAAGTCGATAGGCCCATACTTGATCTGGACAACAACATTATCGTCAAACTGGCCATCCAAAGGCTTGAAAAAGTCAACAGCAGCATTGGCACGATCGGCTTTCCAATCACTCTCATTGAGCTGATTATACACAAACGCTCTGAACATGACGATACCACCGTGTGGCTGCAAAGCTTTGGCAAAGAGGTTTGCTCCCTCGGCAAGAGTGCGATTGTACGTCAGAGGTCCTGGTTGACCTTCAGAGTTGGCCTTGACGAGATATCCAGCCATATCGGGTACCCGCTCATAGATCTGTTCGGTGACATTCGACCACCAGGTGACGACACTAGGGTCAAGGGGATCGAAAGTAGTGAGATTGGCTTGTCCTTGAACTCCAGACGAGGGAGAGGCAAAGTATAGGGCGATTCCGACTTGAACGCCATACGGACGCATGGTATCCGCGATTCTTCCAAGGCCATCAATGTTGTGAGGCGAAAGGAGGGTGGCGTTGGCATTAACGTTGTTGACGACGACGGCATTGATGCCCACAGAAGCAAGAAGTCGTGCATACTCTGACACTCTGGTCAAATCATTGACAACAGTGCCGTTCGCAAAGAAGATCGAAGCACCACCGAAGCCTCGTTCGATGCTGCCATCCAAGTTGTCCCATTGATTGACCCATCGGATCGGTGCGTCCGGACTGGACGCGTACGAGACAGTCGAGAAGTGTCCTTGTGCCAGCATGGACAAGTATTCGAAAGCTCCATATAGTGCACCTCTTTCGTTTTGTCCCAAGATCACAGTCTTGCTTCCTGTACTCAGCCAATAGCCATCTCCTTTGAGCTCAACAGACTCGTTGAGTTTTCCATAAGCAGCAACATATGCATCAAGCGTACCCACAACTATAGATTCCTCGTGCTTGTCGTTCGAGATATGACAGCCTTGGCCAAGAATGCTTTGAATACCGCGTTGCAACTCCTGGCCTGCGGTATAGACAGGACTTGTCTTGGTGGTGTTGAGAACGACGATGTGTTTAGGGATAGATGGCCATGATACTGAAGATGGCAATGCAGCATAGCGTAGCCAGCCATTAATACCGGTCTCTGCTAGAGCCAGTCCGAAGACCGCGAAAAGTGGAAGGAGTTGCATTGTGACGTGGTAGTGATAGCCCTCTCTCTCATCTTGGCGGATATCTCTTTACTATATACCATAGTGAATGCGGGGCGATGATATACGGAAGACGGCACATGGTTCTTCGATGATGTAGGGATGCAGATCTGGATGGCATATTTCACCGTCTCGATTTAGCCTATGCGACGAAGCCGTGTTGATCTCGGGCTTTGACATGAACTTTCGTAAATATCATATACCGACGAGTGTTGTCGGAATAACATATCTCTCGTTCGCAAATCCACCAATGATGACCTTGTTCCTCGTCGAACTAGGATCCCGCTCCCGACTTCTGACCATTGCTCGGATAAAACTCTCCATTACCAATGTACTGGCCCTGGCCTTGATATACCCAGTTGCTGATGTATGAAGGAGTGTTTCCCTTCACATTGCCATTGTTGGTTGCATACACCCCAACGAAAGATCCTGTTCATGTCAGAAAACACAGCTTAAGCCTAGGACAGCGACACTGCTCACCTGTAAATCCATTCGACACGAGTGTGGCAGGCACAGTGGCAATCTGCTTGATTTGTCCACCCTTGGGTCCAGCAGAGAAGCTGAAATGCGTGATATTGTAGGCTTGGATTTGCAACTGCATGCCTTGATCGCACCACTTCTGAGAGATGGGAATTACAACCTCCTTTAGTGCATTGGGACCTTCAGCACGGAAGCGAAGGTATGTTCCAGTCTTGTCAAGACGAACGATGCCGAGATCAACGTGATAGCTTTGTGTGAGGAACAGTGTGACGCCTGATTCCTCGCCGATCTGTGAAGGCGAGTAATCCACATTGACGCTGTAGGTGAACAAGGTATCGGTCTGTCGACGACCAATGAATGTGATACCATCAGTAGGAATAAAGGCTTCATCGCCAGTCAAGTTTGCACGGGAGGGTAGCAATCTCAAAGTGTCTGGATGACCTTTGGGTGAAACGGCATAGTTCTGAGTCTGAGGGAAGCGCCAGTAAGAGAAGTGGGATGGTATGGAAGAACCAGGAGAGAACTTGTAATAGTCCGGGTCTTTCACAAACGCACCAGAACCGCGAATATTCTTGTTGACCGGTGGCAAAGGTGCTTCCATCTTGCCTCTAACAGGTCCTCCAAGAACAGGCCATTGTCCCTTCTCCCACTTGGCAGGATACAAGACAGTCTCTCTACCCATTGGCCAAGTTTCGTATTCGGGACCAGAACGAGTAGAGAGCGCGACACCCCACCACTGGCCATCGGCATCCTGGAAGAGGTCTGCATGACCAACAGTCTGGAAGTACTCTGTCGTGTTGTATGCAGTTAGGATAGGGTTTGCAGGATCACTTTCGAAAGGACCTTGCGCAGATTTGCCTCTTCCAATTGTGACCTGATGTGCTTGAGCTGTGCCGCCTTCCGCCAAAAGCAGATAATGATAGCCATCTTTTAGCATCATATGAGGACCTTCAGGTGGTTGTACTGCAGTGCCATTCCACAAGAAGCGATCTGGTGTGGTGTTGCCAGAGGGAATGCTAACGTTGACTTGATGAATCTCGGTAGTGAAAGGATCGCTCAGTACAGTCTTTGCGAATGCAGAGTAGACTATACCATCGGTGTCCCAGAAGAGGTCAGGATCATAACCAGGGATGTTAGTTGGAGTAACATTTGTCCAAGCGGAGTTGTTATACGGATCTGGAGTGCTCCAGAATCCTGTGTCAGCGCCCACACAAGAGTTGATTATCCAGAAGCGGTTGTTTTGGTATCTAATAGTTGGAGCATACCAACCCTGTTGCTGTCCGGTGATGTTACCGAAAGCTGGCAACTGTTCGGGTCTGTTGAAGGCATGACCGATCAGTTTCCAATTTTGAAGATCTTTGCTTGCATGAATCGGTATTCCTGGGTAGGCAAGAAACGTGGATGAAGCGCAGAAGAAGGTATTGTCCCATTCCTTGACAAAAACACAACTCGGATCAGGGTGGAAACCAGGAAGGATGGGATTGTAGATGGTGGAGTTTTTTTGTTTGGCAGGCTGAGAGAAACCGATGCTAGCCAGATTGGCAGCAGCGAACAGAGAAATAGCCTTCATCTTGATTCAAGTATTGAATTTTGTCTGTCTGATGAAGCGATTGAAGCTTACGGAGCAAGGCACGTAGTATTTATCCTCTGATCAGATCTGCAGGTGCTCTGGGCGTGATGATGTCTCCTGCCATATTAGGGAAGTTGATCAAAATGATCAGTTATGCATAATGATACAACAGGCTAAATACGTTCGCAAGGGGACCCCTCTCTTCTCCACGATCATCATCACGAAACTGCGGGGTGTGCAGCATCTTCCCCTCATCGAAATCCGTACATGTTGAACAATGAGATAGGTGCATGGCGGCTGATTCGTAAAGACCGAGACGAGTAGGCGGGAGGTCAAACAGAGAAAGAGCTAATTAGCTGGGAAGCGCGTTCGAGCTGCATCGTCACACGTCACTGCCAAAGTCCTCGGTCCGACTTCTGAGGAGCCCATGCATTGAAAACGGTCCTTCTTTGTCTTTGACTGCACCTGTATCTATGAAACGCTTCCTCTAGCCTGCAAGCAGACCATATACCGTCCAACTTGATGTAACGTTGAATTCACAATAGGTCGATATAACTCTTGGGGTATCTATTCATTTTCTGTTCAAACACAATTCTGCTCAAAAACATAGGACGAAATGACATGGCTAGCTAGCATACTGACCACCAAGATGAGCATGGTATTGTTTCGCTCCTCTACTACGAGGAGTGCGAGAAGACACTCGTGTCGAAACAGCTCGAGCTGGTAATGCCGTTGGAGTGGCTCTATCCTCAGTACATGAATCTGTCCTGCCTGCCTCCTCTTAACGCTGATTCAGGGAATGGTAATCAGACCGCTTCTGAGAATGATTCTATATGCTCCAGGTGCTTCGATAGAAGCAGCCTGCTGTCTCTTTGTAACAAGGCTACGAGATCTTGCCTAAGAAATTCTAGCACCAGCAAAACAATCGATCGGGGTCTTGTATGTCGATATTCAGGATGGCGTTCCGTCTTGGGCACTTCAGGACTACTGGATTCAAAACCAAATAGTTGTTCCCAGGCATTTCCACGTTGTCATGTTGACGAAGATAACCAAACCCTGCAGTGTGTCATACGCGTGGTCCCAAATTGACGCCTGGAACCCATCGCGCATTTTCAAGCCCTGAGTGTATGCTGAAAATGATCCCGGAAAACAAGACGCTCAGGTATCACTCCTAATCCAAGCCGGGAGTAGAGCAGCTAATCGTGATATATTAAAAGGCTGGCGATCTGAGTGAACATTGCGATTGAAGCTCAAAGTAGATGCGCCGAGCATAATTCTGTGCATTCAATTCACTCTTCGTAGTGTTGACGTTGATGCTGGTGTTGAGATCGATGCTGGGCTTGAAGATGAGGTTGATGCTGCGGTTGATGCTGCGGTTGATGCTGAGCTTGATGCTGAGCTTGATGCTGAGCTTGAGCTTGGAAAGTTGGAAACTCCATGAAGCTGTCCCATGTGTCCGAAGGGCCTAGCAAACCATCAATATGACCTTGATCCATGTGCGAGATGGTCATATCATGTCCGACCATCATCTCATTCCAACCGCCATCCACAGGAACTGGTATATTCTGACCTGGCAGAACATAACCATCCGCAACACCTCCAGATGTGGTTGATGGCATTTCTTGAGTCGTGAGATGGCGAAGAATATCGTGGACAGAAAGATGCGACATGGAAAAGTTCTGCTCCAGACGATTTACGAGCTTCTGGATGGAAGCTGAACCTTTCGCAGCGTGAATAGCGACGTGGTTGTATTTGCTAAGCTCTTGAATAACGCGATTCAGTAAATTAATATGCTCCTGTCTTTTCTGGGGCGTGTAATCGTCCGGATTCATCAAGATATCGAGCGATGTGTAAATTGCAGCTGCGACTGTAGAGGCTGAAACGGTCCAGACAAGTTTGTACACTCGTGCGACTGGTGACAGATAGCTGTTGATGATACTCGTGGCGGATGCCATAGCTGCATCGCGATATTTATTCGATTCACTGCCAATATTGCCCATTGCCAGAGTACGCGCGATACTGAGCATCATGAAATCGATGGCGTGATTGATGAGATAACGCTGGAAAGTGATCCAGGGGTGTGTGGCTTCCCATTCTTCGTCGTCAATATTTGCAGGGAATTTTGTCGACAAATGCAGAGGTAGATTTCGCTTGACAATCTCGACCTCTTCAAGTGCCTTGATGAATTTGGAGGCGTTTTGGTGTGTGTTGACTTTGATGTAGATGTAGAAGATGTATGACAGACGACACATGACGGACTGGTAGACAAGTGGTGATGGGCTGGATGTGTGTGTAGGCATTTCGAGGATCGCATCGTGATTATGCGTGTTCTCGGTCGAGAATTTGCAGCAAAAACTAGCAGGTGTGATTGATGGTGGACGAGACCAACTTCCTAGCCTAGTGGACAAGATTAGCTTCAATCATTGATGAATCTTGTGGTCAGTATCTCCACATACCAGTCCCGAATGACATATGTCCACCATACACGACGGCCCAATTCGCGCTTTTCGATAGTCGACCATTCAGGTCTTACTGCCACGCTTTGAGCGTGAGCTACCTCACTTCCCAGTCTGTGCATGTCAAGACAACGCGCCATGCTTGCTGCCCATCCGGTAAACAGCCATTCTCTCTGAGGTTCGCCAAAGTTCGAGTGACAGAGCGTCATCACCGACAAGGCCTGTACAATTCTGAGAGAAGGTGCACCAGAGCAACCATATCGTTCGACTTCTTTCAAAGCGACCTCATACCAGAGACGCGACGTATGGACGGCATATCTCATCTCATCGTGTTGCTGATATTGATGGAGATTTAGTTGTGGTAGATCGGATATCGCAGGCACTTCTTCAGGATCAAGATAGAGCAAACCAGTCGCCAAAAGAGCAAAGTAAAGGGCAAGCCATGGTCGATCTTTGATATCGAACGCGACGCCACTGTGTATTCCGTTCCAAAATGCTTCATGTTCCGTGATAAATTCGGGTGCGTGCACAGCACCATGCAGCCAGCCTAGGGTGCGCAATGAGAATGTGACCAATTGCTCGCTAATGTCTCTAGAAGGTAGCAGGAGGAAGATAGGGTCGGTCGAGGGTTCGTAAAGACGGTCGGCCATGTCTTTCTCCGACATGGCTACAGGATCGGAATCATGCGAAACTTGTAGATCAAACTGCTCAAGAGCAGGTACGAGGTCTTCGAAAGCGGGTATCGGCGTTTGGTTCTGGCGGTGCAACTCGGATTTGGTGCCGTGCGTGTGTCCACATGGTTTGGAAAGGGCCAAGGCTGTTTCTAACTCTGCAATTTGTGCTTGCAAGGCACATCGTTCCTTGAGTAGTTCGTCGACGGTGGTGTCCTCGGTATCTGCCGACATGCGATCAACGGTACTCGCCCTGACTTGATTAGTTGACGTTCATATATACTACACAGTTCCACGGCATTGTGTTGAAGCCTGGACGTACACTGTAAGCATGCCTCGAACACGAGTGATAGGCCGCTGGCACTCGTGGGCAAGATTCCGGCGCACACATGGCTTGCACGGAATCTTCTTGTCGCACTTGATTTTCCTGCGACTGCACTCGACGCACGATCGCGATACACGCTGTGATGACCTGATGCTCTGTTCATCCATTGTTGAAGGCGAACGCAGCAAGGCAAGAAGGTCTTGCAAGCAAACAGAAATGAATGCGCAAGACCCGAGTGGCCGCAGGGCTGTTGATCAAAGGTCAAAAAATCGCCAAACTAGTGCTGTGACCTGCCAGCGAGCCTGGTTCGGAGCTCGGTCTAATTCGCTTGGCGACCCCTTGTGTGCTTGATGAGCAAATGATTAGATATGCTTTTGTTGCTTGGGTTAGCCTAAATGGTGACCCTTCTCAACGCTTTACTGCTTTGGGTCTGCCGCTCCCGCTGGTCTTTTTTAATGCTCCGAGAAATGGTCGGGTTTTTGTCAGCAAATTGCGCGATTATCACAGGAAACTCGCCAGGAGGCTCCAGTCATCCGTAGAAAACCATCAGGCCAACCAGCAATTTTGAAGGGCTGTCTTGGGTGCAGAAAAGCAGCTGTCCTGTCCGGGAGTACCCCGCAAAACCACTCCACAGACAGCATCGTGGGTCCACGATCGGCTTCGGCAGACGATTTGATTGGACCTTTCGGACCAGTTCGGGCGACTTGTCAGCGGCTGGCGCGGTGTGGCTGAGATGAAACTTTCGCTCCACATCCGACTTGATATCCACATGAGCATTATCCCAAAGTGCTGTCTCAAAGATAGAACGGAGTCGTGCTCCATGGTCCTTGTGATTCGAAACTGGCTTGCACGTCTCGTCAGTGGATTTCGGTAGGGAAATAACCGCGACTGGCGGCGCATATCTCCGGCGCAAAATGATGTTCGAAAGACTGTTCCTTCGCTGGAGTGTACTCTGAAGCTCTCACACGAAGTGGACATACAGCCTTTTGAAACGGTCTGCTTGTTCCAGCCAGCTTCGGAGTTTCGTAAGCGAGCGATACAACTACAGGCGAATCCAGATAGCTCTCGATAGTACATTCAAGCAAGTTTGGCGCATATGGGGCTTGGAAAGCATGACCGGTCGTCATGAAACTCAGCATCAGCAATCAATCCATGTATCCCGACTGGTCGTCCGTGCCTCGTACATTACGAGCTCAATTCGAAAGTCTCAAACCGTTGCGGAGCGTGTGGCGGGACAAAATTGGCGATGTGCCTCACATCATGTTGGCGTTGCAATCTCATGGAAAAAGAATGAGCCGGGATGGTTGTGAGGCATTTTGATGGTCAGATCAGAGTTCGTTCGCGACCAAGCTGATTTCGCGTAGGCGGGACCTTTGTATGCGTGTACGGTGTACGGCGTCTCAACCACAGTGCTGGAGTTGGCAGTCGGCGCGAGATCCATCGCCGACGGCTACCACGCTCTCAGGTCCGTTGCAACTTGCAACGCTGTTCTCGTGTTCGCTGCAATCATCCACGTCTGTTTGAAAGCCTAGATCCGAGACCAACAAGAATCGCGCACCAGGTTCCAAGGACGGACATGAGAAGATGCGGCACCAGGAGTTTGAGCTGTGCTTCAGCGAGCCGATAGCAAAGCATTACCCTGAAGCGAGTTGTGAGAATCCAGGGCTTAAGGTATCGTTCGTGTTGGTAAAAAGTGTTGTTGTTCGTGTCATGAGGCGTCGAAGCTTGCATTTGCTTGATCGAGCTGTGCAAGCTCAAGCAACACAACACCATTCATTTTTGTTGCAATTTTCTGGCAGCAAAGAAGGAAAGAAGAGAAGAGGAAAGAGAGACCGACCTCGCAATAGAAATGTTCTACTGCGGTCGCTAGAGCCCGGCCGAGTTTCTATTGTCAAGGACATGCTCGGCTTGCATAAATTCGGCCGAACTAATGTACATTTTGTGCAAGCTTCGAGACATCGAGACAGGGTCGTACACGCAACGTCACCTTCAGAACACAAAATGCTTATATTCATCGAGCCAAGGATGATGACGGTGTAAAAGTCGGCATATCACCTGAGAAGCATTGATGGAGGATTGTGCGAGAATCTGACATGGTTTAGTGGGAAATGTGGTCATGAATGAGTGAAATTTGCAGTGTGTACGTTCGAACGGCAATCACCTCTCCACATCGAACACTAGCCTCCCATTCATTGATAAATAGAATCCATACCAGCCTAAACGTAGAACTATATAGTGTCACACAATGTTTTCCCTCAGATGTCTGCTTTTGATAACGAAACTCCACGGCCATTCAACGCGATGAGCTGTGGTTGTTCATCAGCAGGTACAGCTGCCTTCAGGACACCATCACCATATGTCTCAGATCCAGTATCCGATTCTGGTGTTAGATTCTTGGTCTTTTTCCTTCTGAGCTTGTCGTCCAAGAATCTGATGACTGCAAGAGCCAAACCGACCGCTAAAACAGCAATACTGACATTAAACGCTCTGCGATACCTCGGACGATCGTCCGCTCGGTATAGTTGACCCCCTAGAGTGAAGGTACAGTTAGCGTGTAAAAACTAGATTGGATGAAGAGGACTCCACGAACCAGCCACGCCGGCGAGATTAGCGCCCATAATGACCATAGCCATGGCTAGAGCTCTTTCTTCCGAGTCGGTACAGGTCAGGGACATCCAGGAGATATTCAAGGGGTGAGAAAAGGTTCCAAATGTCTGTGTCCATACAACACCGAAGTAACGGACACCACGACTGTTGATCTCGGTGAAGACACGATTAAATACATAGCCAAGCAGATGCATGCTCAAGCCTGCCATAACGGTTTCACCACGTCGTGTGCTATAGATCAGATCAGCTCGGGTCATATACTGATGCCACACCGAACAGGTGTAGGGCTAGATTGCTGAACAGTAGAAGCATTGAAGGGCTAGAAAGTCCGGGGAGCAGACTTACAAACGATCTGAGACATAGCTGAAGGTATAAGAGACAGGAATCTGTAAGAACAAGCCAACAGCTGCAAGAGCGTTTGCCGAGAGCCCAGCAAAGCCAAAGTCCTTGACAATAGAGGGTGCGTATGTATCAAAACCACGCTGGGGAGTGTTGTTGGAAAAGGTGATGAGCAAATGTGCCCACATTCGCCAGTTACTGAAAGCCTTTTTGAAAGCGGCCAAGCCGATCTTCTTCTTTTTCTTTCCCTTTGCTGGATCGTCCAGTAAGACACGGCTCCTGAGAATATGGACTTCTCTGGGTGTGAAGATTGCACGTTTGGGCAGGAAAGTCGAGCAAGGATTGCGAAAGGAGTCAGGAAGGAAGAGACCAAAGATGAAACCGGAGAAGCAGGTGAAGGCACCCATCAGAACAAACAGCCAGAACCAGCCAGAGCGATCGGCTACTCCACGCATATGAAGTATACCAAACGCCAGGAGTTTGGCTGAGGCCTGACCAAATTGGTTTCCGAAATAAAAGATCATCACACGCTTAGCAGTCTCTTTTCTAGTGTACCAAGTGGAGATTGTCCAGAGACCTCCAGGGATAAAGCCAGATTCAGTCATGCCGAGGAGAAATCTTGTTGCGATGAACGACCCATAATTATTCTGGAATGCCTGGAAGGTGCTGACAGTACCGAAGAGGAAGAGTTGAAGTGTCAACCATTTTCCAGGACCGACTCGGTAGAGGATCATGTTTGAGGGGATTTCAAAGAGAACAATACCTAGCGACAACATTTGTTGACCGACATTAAACTGATTTTGAGTAATGCCGACATCTTTGAAGAAATTATCAGTGACCGCGTTAGCCACGTTCCCGCGATCAAGCTCTGTATCGTAGTGTTAGTTTAGTCAAGGTGTGCTGGTGTTGTGGTGGTGGTGTTTTGGGGGAGGGGGGAGAATTTACGGAGACAGAAAAAGCCCAGCGTCAGGATTGGCATAACAATCAGATCAAGCCTGCGATAATGTAAGCATGTGAATTCATCTAAATACCCATGTGGAATCACGTAGAATCATGTATATTTACTCACTTCCATTTTGCCTTTCTTTCCTCCTCTTCAGTCCAATCCCGCTGGATCGTCAAACCCTCCTCATCATCCCTTGGCACAGGATAATGATCAGGAGAAGCATTCTTCAAGTCTGCCATGATGGTATGCAGTGGTGATGGTTGCAATAAGTTTCTCTCTTCTTTCACATTATGCTGATATCTATTATCTTTATACCAAATTTTCGCCCTGCCAAGTCAAATCACCTCATCTTTGCCCTCGAATGAGGCGTTCATATGTCTACTGGTTGAGAAGCAAAATACCACACACAAGGAGAACAGCCAAGCAGCTGAGGGCAGCTTGTGAGAAGTATCATTGTTCTCGACAACGACTGATGTCTTGGGATGGCGTTGCCAAGGGTCGCGGCTCTGATATGGCTTTCTTCAAGTCAAGCGACTCACGAGTGCACATATCGAGAAGTACAGAGAGTTTAGTCAAATTACCAGGCACGAGAACTCATGGCAATATGACCATGGCTTCCAGGAGGATGGATGGCACTCCACGTGCTGCAGGAGGTCGATGTTCTCCATCTCCAAGTGTTCGCGCCGAACGCTGTTTTACAGTCTGGGCGACTTCTTGGACGAAGTATAACAAGACACTGGGCAATGAGGCGTGGTAGCTTGATATCGAGCACGCAATGCCAGGCTTTATGGCGATATTAATTGACTGCTGGAGTTTGTTGTGCTCGCTAGACATGGTTCGGTATCCGAGATTCGAGAAGGTGTTGTCGGCATGGTATCGAGTCGCCAGTGGGTTCTGGATCCCTCCCTCTTCCATACACCCACACACGGTAGTCGAATAGTGAATTCCACAGGTGTTGGACGTCAATTGCAAGGTTTGTAGCCATTGAAGTGAGTATTGCGTTGTTTTCCGTCGCAAGCGAATTGGACACAGCCACGATAGAAACAACAGTCATCAGTTATCCTCGTCTTCTCCTTTCTACCCATCCGCTCTTCGAAAGTAGAGGTTTGAGCTGGACGAGAGCTGATCCTCACGCATGTTTATGCTGCCTCTTGAGAGATCAAGCACCCTATCTTCGCGACAAAGAACCAGGACCCATATGTCATGACGCAGGCAGCTGGCACGAATGAGCTCGTTCCAGGATGATTAGGACAAACCTGAGGCCAAGATACTGGCATACTGCCATAGACTCTTACATGCATGGTAATCAGTCAGTAGTAGTCGTCGCTGCTGAACACAAGCGACAAACAAACACTGTCGCAGCCTCTAGCTCTCGATAATCAATCTGGTTGCTCTGTGCCGCCGGCTTCCGGTAGTCCCTCGGTACATCGCGTCATTTTCTCCGCCCCTGGCCCTGAATATCTTGGCAAAAACGCGTCAATCAACAAATATTGGATCAATGGACGTCACTTCCGCGACCTCTGAATCGTGTCTGCTTGTACTCTCAGCATCAAGACAGGCGCGATGGACGACATAACAACATTGATATGATCAGATTCCTTACACACAGTAGTCCAGGATGATAGCTGGTGTCTGATGGCTATCATGTATAAACACCTGCCATCGACATGGAATCTGTATATCGGGTCTTGCTCTCGGAGTTCAACGGTCGATTCGAGATGACGTCTAGTAGAGTTTTGGAAACGCCAAGTCGCAATCAGAAAAATCATGTTCAAGTAGGAGGAACCTTGGAATCAGTTAAGTAGTTGTTGTGTATCGGACCAGAGGCATGACGAGTTGGCCTTTTAACTTTAGAGGCTCATAAACCTGAGCCTCCTTGAGATCTCTCCAAGAGACACCCAGTCTTCTTCTACTAAGAGCATTCTCTCACCAAACCGGAAAACCTCCCCTCAATGTCCGACAACGAATCAGGAACAGTTGCAATGTCAGATACAGGATCGGCGACAAATCGGAAGAGAAATGGCTATAGAGAGTGCGACGATCCAGAATTGGCAGAGAGCCCCAATGGACTCGATCATTACCCACCAGACACTGTCACCTGGAGAGATCGTGTCGCTCACTTCACCTGGCCCTGGTTCGCATGTACCATGAGCACGGGCGCGCTGTCTGTTGTCCTAGGTAATACACCAAATCAATTCACTGGTCTACAAACCATTGGCAAAGTCTTCTTCATCTTGGCCCTTGTTTTGTTCATTGCATTCACTGCTATCATTGCCACTCGATTCATTCTGGTACCACAAAAGTTCCTGGCTTCGTTACATCATCCGGTCGAATCGCTATTCTTTGGAAGCTATTGGGTGACGATCAGTCTTCTTCTCAACTGTATGCAATTGTACGGCGTACCAAACACCGGACCCTGGCTAATCAAGGCACTCGAAATCCTCTTCTGGACTTACTGCGCTGTGGTTCTCATAGTTGGCATTGGACAATACTATATTCTTTTCCAGCTGGAGCGACTAAAGGTCAACAATGCAATGCCCGCCTGGATTTTCCCAATTTATCCTCTGCTTGTTGTTGGTCCTCTCGCCAGTACAATAATCCCGGATCAACCCCATTCCGCAGCTGTCCCCATTTGGATCGGTGGAGTTATGCTTCAGGGTGTCGGATGGTGTGTCGCTCTCATGATGTACGCCATCTACACACAGAGATTAATGGTTAGCGCCCTGCCGGACCCCTCGACTAGGCCGGGTATGTTCGTGTCAGTGGGACCTGCTGGCTACACTGCACATGCTCTCATATCTCTCGGTCGCCAGGCTCCAACAGTGTTTGGCGACCACGAAATGTTCGGAATTACATCCATTCCGGTCGGAGATGTCATCAAGATTGTTGGCATTCTCGCTGGCTTCTTTGTGGTTCTCTTCTCCTTTTGGTTTTTCTGCGTGTCTACAGTCTCGGTTATTGCTGGAATCAAGGAAATGTCGTTCACGCTGAACTGGTGGGCATTTGTCTTCCCCAATGCTGGCCTTACACTGGCAACCATACAAACTGGCGGCGCTTTGAGCAGCGCTGGCGTCAATGGTATTGCCAGTGCTTTGACGATTGGTCTGGTCATTATGTGGATCGTCTGTGCAATTGCACATATCCAAGCAGTGAGGAAGGGTAACGTCATGTGGCCTGGAAAGGATGAAGACAAGACGATGAACGGTATCAGATGGGGAGCACACGCTGCGTGATGATGCTGCTCAAACAACCTTCTTTTCTTGTATATACACTTCCATTAATACACTTCTAATTTCATACCATATCGGTCCTTACATATTTACACTTTGATATGTTCCTAGATGAGCTGAGTGTGGCACAATGAGTCGGGAAAGAAACTGTGCCCAATCGCATTTCTACACTGACCTCTCGTACCATTACAATGACCATGCACACTTTTGATGTGTCGAGACTAGAAGTCAGTATTTTGACGCTCGTAGGTGTCCGCTCAGAATGCGATGACCGCGAAGGATCACAGCCAAGGGATCCGCTTTTTGTGACTCCATACTTCTCAAAGCGGTCACCGCCGCCACTGTAGAAGTTATATCAAGACAAAAAAAGAGATGCATTCCCCAAAGCATGAGCCAACGCGCGACACAAACTTCAATCATGTCCACCACCATATCTACTTGGGTAGAGAAGGAACGTCAGTCGATTGAAAAATGGTCGAAAGATCCTGTCGGCAAGGAAGAAAGCCATCTTGTAATTTCAGCTCTGGAATCGCTGCTGAACGGCCAACTGTCCGGCTCTGCTACAGCTACACGGATCAATGAGATACTCGTCCCTCGACTGATTTACGGCACCCGAGCTGATGTGGGTGGGCTATGGGGCAAGCTAGCTGGTATGACGAGATATTTTGGCGCAACACATACACAGCAATTGGTCGATTTACACATTGCCATCAAGAATCTTCCCGATATCATCAATAATGCTGGACATGTGGTGACCTATGGCGGTAAAGTGATTTGGAGACAGATGCCTGATTGGGGCTGGATATTTTTCGAACATGGCTTGGGTATGTATCCTCTGCTTCGTGTTGATCAACTTCATCTGACACGTAGACAGACCTCGACCTTCAGAGTGAAGATCCTTACGATGAATGGCATGCTCAAGCACCTGGAAAACTCGCTGCGACCATTTTCACCGCGACCTTGATGGTGCAGAGCAAAGACTTTCGATCATTGGCTATTTATGCTTGCGATGCCCTCAAAGAGATTCTAGAGCCTTTCGATGATAGAGAGATGGCTGATGAATGGAAGATGTATATTCCTCCTGCCGCAGCTTGGGTTGGGATTGGTGGTGAAGTGTTGTATGATCTTTGTTTCAAGAAGACGTCTGAGGAGACTGAATTTGCAAGATTCACTCCTGAGAGCTGGGGAGTGTGGAGGGACAGGTTTGCAGCTTTGGCGGATGACAAGGAGATTGATGAACGTTGTCAGGGCCTTTCGAGAACAGCAGCAGAAGAGATGAAGCGGATCGAACAGAGAGTTTGAATACGGATATGCATCTCTTCACTATATCTCTTTCACTTCGAAATTTCCATTACAGAGTTCACTATCCACTTCCAACTCATTCCGCGTTCACATTGCATTCGCCGCGCATCTCCTTCCTCTCTCCCAAGACACAGACTCACAGCAAAACCTACCATTGCCTATCACTCTCCACCATGTCGCGCCAACAAGACCAAGATCGTAACATGACCGCATCCCAGCAGAACGAAGTCTCCGTTCCAGACGCAACCTCGCCCAACAACGCCGTTAAGAAAGTTGCTGCATCCGAAGATCGCGGCTATGACTACAAAGGCTATCCAAGACCCGGTGACAATGATCACTTTCCGATGTACCCCGGCATCAATCACAACTCCAACGAAAACCTTGAGAGAATGTTCAAGGCCAACTACCTTGAGATGATGGAGAACTTTAACGAAGGCAAGAGGGAGGTCGCAGAGGCTATGGCGCAAGAACTGTTGGGCTGGCGAAAACTTCCCACCCTTCACCGCACATATTCGCATATTGTACGTTTGATTCTATTCCCCCACCATCATGTACATATGTACATATCGCTTGTTTTGCTTGACTTATTCGAGGCTAATACAATTAGGTGCTCGCATACGGAGCTCAGGACGGCCTCTTGCATGCTCAAAAGGCTGTTGAAGAGGCTGAGCGTGCTCTCCTGCGCTTTGGCGATGCGGGCATTGGTGAGAAGGTGCTGGCGCATGCCAAAGAGACACTCGAAGCTGTCCAGAAGGCTCACGGCGATAAGGTAGCTATCGATATCAACACTTATATCTGTATAGTGCTAACACGAAAGAAAAGGTCGAACAAGAAGCTGATAGCGAGAGCAAGGCCAAGTAAGGCTGCTGGTGCTGACACACTCGGGACAACGCAGAACGTTCCCACAGAGCAAAAGTAAAAGAAAACTAGTATGCTCACTGGTTTGGAGCATTAACATAGAGCCAACTCTCCATAATATATATGTACATTGATTCTGAGACGTCGCTTTGATATATTCAAGCCTCCGTATTGAGATGCTCCTTGTGCTCATCCTCAAGCTTCTCGCATTCACCGCTCACTGACGATCTCCTTTCTGAATCTGCCGCTCCTTCGGCATTGTCCTTGCGGAATCTCTTCTCAACCTTGACAGGATTTTCTCCGTTCTTGTGAGCAATACGGAAGATCTCATCCATAGTCTCGAGCTTGTATCCGTTCGTTTCCACAAAAGTGTAGTAGACCACGGGAATAAAAGCAAAGTTGAAGCACATGAAGACAAAATACGTCTTCCAGGCAATACTATTGATCATGATTGGCGAGAGTTGTACCACGGCGTAGTTGAACAACCAATTTGCAGATGTCGAGAGTCCGTTTGCTTCGGCTCTGATGCGAATAGGAGTGACTTCGGCTGGGTAAAGCCAGGTGATACCGAGCCAACCGATGGCGAAGAAAGTGTTGAAGAGGAAAATCATGACGGTTGCTGCTAATGCCCCTGAATGAGTTCCTGTGGAGAGACCGATGCCAGCGACCATCATGGCGAGACCCATGCCTCCTGCGTTCCACATCATCAGGCGTCGTCTGCCGGCTCGGTCTACGACGAAGAGAGCGACCAAAGCAGCCAGAAAGTATTCTGTGCCGAGGACACCAGTTAAAAGTCGAGCAAAGGTAGGATCGAAGCCTAGAGAATCTTCAAAGACCACAGTAGCGTCTATACAGGTTAGTAGTGCTCCCACAGAAGGGGACTCGGTACTCACAGTATGTCACAAGGTTGATGCCGCCAATCTGCTGGAAAGCTTGCGAAGCGAAAGCAATAGAAGCGCGCCAAAGATTCATGTCGTCTCTGTTTGAAAAGAACTCCTTGACGGTGAGCTTAGTCCCGGCTGTGATTTCGTTGATCCTTTTGATCTCGTCGATCTCCTTCTTCAGTTCCTTATCTTCGAGATCGCATTGCTTGAGGCGTGCCATGATCTGAGCAGCTTCCTTTTCTTTACCGTGCTTGAGTAACCATCGAGGGGACTCGGGAAATGCGAAGATGCCCGCGAGAAGAATGACTCCGAAGAATGCCTGGAAAGCGACAGGGAACCGCCATTGAAAAGAACTGGCATTATAGAAGAAGAGACCGTAATTGAGCCAATAACTGTCGTTTTTCTCAGTCAGAGGTAGTATTAGACAAGTTCTATAAGCTCTTACGATATCATGACTCCTGTTTGGGTGGTCAGAGACAGCATTCGACAATTTCTTGACCTCACACGTACCTGCAGTGATCAATGCGCCTTCGAACAGTACTAAAAAGCCTCTGATCTTAGGAGGGGCTCTAGAGCGAGGATCTGATCAGCTTTGTTGGGCGAATCTACATTCGCACTGACTCACATCTCTGATTGCCAGACAGGGATACTGGAGGTATTCATGCCATTTCCGGCACCTGTGACTACGCTGTTATCTGTTCAGTAGACTTCAAAGCAAGTCGAAGATGGACAACATACCGTCCCACAATGAGTTGAGCAAGCGTGGTGGAGGACGCTTGTATGGCCGTTCCAACAAGCATTATCAAAGTCCCGACAAGGACTGCACGTCTACGACCAAGTTTATCACCGTAGCCTATGATGAAGAAAGAGCCCAAGAGACAACCTATCTCATAGATGGCGACGACCAGAGCTTGGATGGAGCCCAGCTTATAGTCACTCGCCATCTTTGGGAATGTACCAAGGAAGATTGGCTCAGTGATAATACCGCTCATGACGCCCTGGTCTATAGATAAAGTCAGATCTAATCAGAACGATAGCGTGATGCCTGGACTCACCATAGCCGAAGAGCAAAAATCCAGCCGATGCCGTAGCACAGACACCGATCTCTAAACTCTTTCCGGTGAGCTTATCTCCAAGCAAGCCTGTATGTGAAAAAGCCATTGTAGCAATTGATTTCCTTCTGAGCAATAGATGGGTAGAGACGCGCGCGGCAAGAAGTGAGGATGCTGGAATACATATGTAGAACACCAGATGCAGACTCAGTACGTCAAGCGGACCAGAGCCAGTCTGCAGCTATTGACAGATAAGGTTAGAGATCATGATCAGGTGTACAATATACGTAGTTTGCGGCGTTAAGAGAGGTTTTCACTCTTGTACGTCCACGGCGATTAGAGGTATGGACTCTGGAGCAACGACTGATGATGATGCAGTACTCCAGATCTCCGATTATACAAGCCGCTGGCGTGCAGTCAACGTTGAAGATCGATATGCCAAAGTATAATGCTTATAAAATCAGCCACTAGCAAGCTGTAATGACATACTGAGAGAGCTGATATCTTTGCTATTTGACAATCGACCTCAAGGTCTTGAGTAGAAGATGTTGATGAAATATCAAAGTGCTTAGTTTGTTAAGCATCTCTTAGTCGCAACATCATTTCATCACGATCTGATTTCCCCTAGATCCGAAAACGCATGCGACGCACCACAATCTGGGTCATCAATCTCGATCAAAGTGATGACGGGGAAGCGGAAGACGTGTCCAGGTGGAGGGCAGTAGACTCCATATATCGTCATGATCGACATTTCGTGGCTGTTTTTGCGGGTTAGCTTTCCTCCACAAAAGCTTCGATGTCCATCTCGAACCGCATCTCTTAGATAATGTGACATGACTACTGTACGCTGATTGGTACAGTCTTATAAGGGAGGATGGCCGAACAGAACAACTAAGTAGAGCTCAGCCAGCATATTGGTCTTTCGTAGCGAATGCAGAGGACACATGAGGCCTTCGTGGGCTGAGCGTGAGCTTTACAGAACTTTTGATACAGTATTCTATGTTCGTTCAGCCGGACTACAATGTGTATCTGTAGTCAGGATGACAATGCCATCGCTGTGCCAACGCTTCAACCTTCGTGTCTGTGCCTTCTGCGATATCCTCTTCGCTGGCCTTGTCAAGTGTTTTGTTCCTCCAGCTGAGGTAGAATCGAAGCGTGGTAGCAAGTGCGATACAAGCTGCCGAGAATGCCACATTGGCGACATTGGCTTGCCAATATCGTGGTCCCTGCGACACTGGGTAGAAATAGCTCGCGTAGATACTCGCTAGGTTACTTCCAGCATTGACGACAGCATAGGCGACTGCACGTTTCGATGATGGACGTGGCAGGGTAGATGATACCCATGACAAGATACATCCAAAACTGCCATATACCGACATCATCATGAAAGTTGCTGTATATCGTGCCGCGACATTGAGCGTGACCGCGGAAATGATGAATCCGATACTGCAGAATACCTGAGGCCAGACAACGTGAAGCCAGCGTTCTCGGGTCTTATCGGAGTGCCAGGAATTGGTGATGCCCAGGATTGCGGCGAAGACGTACGGCGGGGCTGATAGCAGCAACGTCTGAGTCTTGTCATATCCAAGAGTCTTGACAATTGTAGGGAAAAAATTGGTGAAGCTCGCTGACGTGTTCAATGCTAATTGCATGAACCACAAGATATATAGCGATGGGTCGGTGAATGCGAGTTTGAGACCTTCACGAGAACTTGACTTGTGAACGTCCTGTTCATTCGCATCCTCTGCAATACGTAGCATTGCCAGGCGTCGTTCTTGATCTGTCAGCCTGTATCCTATGAGTCAGTATGGCTTGTAAGAAGATATATCGACACGCCTCATACCATTTTGTCGTCTCAGGGTAGTCTGGCAGGATGAAAGCAGCTGCGAAAGCAATAGGGATGGTTGCAGTCCCCTCGATGATGACTAGAAGGTATGAGTATGTGACGGGGACAAGAATTTAGCTGAAAACTTACAAAGCCATCGCCAGGCAGCAAGACCTGCTTTGCCTTCCATTCCACCCATGATGGCACTACCAAGAAGACCCCCAAAGGCTCCACTGAGCTGACCTGCTGCGTAAAGGATTGAGATGCGCTTTGCAAGTTCTTTCTTCGTGTACCAAGATGAAAAGAGGAAAAGAGATCCCGCTATTGAACCTCGGATCAGAGACGAGACACCTGACAGGTACAAAGATACTCACGAAAGAAAGGTGCTTCAACGAAACCTAACAAGAAACGTAGGGCTATCATTCCATGGTAGTTTTGCACGGCTCCCGAGCAGGCACTTACAGCCCCCCAACAGCACATGATCACCGGTAGGAACAGCGAGGGTCGGACTTTGTCTAGGATCATGTTCGTCGGGATCTGTGTCAAGATGTAGCCGACAAAGAAGATACTGATGATGGTGTTGTATTGGGTTCCATGTAGCCCAAGGTCCTTTTCGAAAGATCCAAGGCGAGCGACAGCGATGTTATTGCGATCAAGATAGTTCAGTACGTCTATGTAGAGTGAAAAGTCAGTCTTGGTTCCCATGGTGCGGCTGAAATGGTGAGACGCACAGATAAGCATCATCATTGGCATCATCCTCGTATCGATCTTTCTCAAAAGCTTCTTTTCCAGGGCAATTCTGTCGCCAGCGAAAGTGGTCCCAGTCTCATCGTCAAGTGTGTCGAGGTAGACGACATCTTGTAACTTGGCGTTGGTATCAGCCATGTCTGCGTTGGCAAGGAGAGGTAAAGTGAATATAAGATGCGCAGATATGTCGAGCAATTCCAGTGCTTTTATAGAAAGCATTCCAACCTCTGGAAGAAGCACTTTGGAAGAGGATGTGGGGTCTCCATAGTCTCCCCGCAGCTCCACAAACGTAGCAGTACTACCGTACAGTCTTCGAAGGATTCTAATCCGACGATTGTATTCCGATCGGATCGGATATTCTCTTGGCTGCAGATCACTATCAATACTCCTCGCATGGGGTATCAGGACTGCGGGGTCAACCTCGCCGACCTCTGATTCATAACGTACCTAGTCCCGGAGTGCACACTTGTGTCGAGTGCCCCCATACCTTGATTGTGCAAAGACTTGCAACCCCCATCCTCTTGTCATCCTTCTGTTCCAACCGTTTGGTCGAAAATGCCATTGGACAACAGACCTACCATATTGTGGATTGGAGACGCTGTGAAGCACAATCCAGCTGTCTACAAACGCCTTGAATCTCAGTTCAGAATCATCAGACCCGAAGAAGAACAACGCCAACGCCCTGAATTCCTGGAAGCACTTCGATCCAAAACCTGGGGCGAGTTTGATGCTGTTCTTCGACCTTTCTGGGTGACTGGTGGTGAGATGGGTCGCTGGGACTCGGAGCTTGTACCATTACTCCCTCAGTCATGCAAGATCTTTGCAAGTGCAGGCGCAGGGTATGACTGGGCCGATGTCGATGTCCTAGCGGAGCATGGTATAGTGTATTGCAACGGTGCACAAGCATCATCGGAGGCAGTCGCAGATATGGCTATCTTCCATATACTGTCAGTATTTCGCAACCTCACCTGGTCCCACTTGGCAGCTCGTTCAGGAGACACCGAGAAATGGCTGGATGCGCATGCAAACGCCACCATGACAGCTCACAACCCGAGAGGCCATATCCTCGGCATTATCGGGCTTGGAAACATCGGTTACACTATCGCGCAGAAGGCCTTTGCTGCGTTCGGCATGAAGATACACTACTTTGATCTTGTCCGCAAGTCCCGTCAGCAGGAAGAAGCGATCGACGCGACCTACGTCGACAACCTTGAAACTCTGCTAGGCGCTGCAGACTGCATACTTCTAGCCACGCCGTTTGGCGGGAAAAAGATCATCGATGCCGAGAGTCTGGCCATGTTCAAGCAGGGATCGCGTTTCGTCAATATAGCGCGAGGTACTCTGGTCAGTGAAGACGCGCTTGTGGAGGCTCTCAAGAGTGGCCATCTGTTCGCTGCCGGGCTTGATGTCTTCGGAGATGAGCCGAACATCCATCCAGAGCTTCGCGAGATGCGCAACGTGACTCTCACTTGCCACAATGCTGGAGGAGCCATCGAAACCAATTACGGCTTCGAAAGATTGGCGATGGAGAACGTAGAAGCGATGCTGCTCCACGGGAAGTCCCTGACACCTGTGAACGCACATTTGATCAAGATGTAGATCAGTCGAATGCAAAGCTCTCATTTCACCTGTGCTACGACGAACTGGTCCATGAACGTAGCAATAAGTCATTACCAATACCGTTCGAGAGAGGGAAGGAGCGAGGTCGGGAGATATCGGCCAACAAACCTGCACTGCGGGGTGGCCAAGACGGGTCGGATCGGGCAGGCATGGGCTATAGCGAAGCCGACGACGATGCGACCAAACCTTCTCGCAAACTCCTGCGAAAACCGCATCCGACACCAACCCAACATCCGTGATAGGCGGTCGCTTGTCTCGTGTCCAGTCTCCAGAAAGCACCCCATGGGGCGATCCGTACTACCGCGGAGGCGCAAGCCTCTTTCTCGAACCTGGAGTCATATAACATGATCGACCACTCCTTTCCTCATGCATACCCCTCATCACCCAATTCTATTGTCCGTCAAACCAAGTCTACTTTCTATCTAAGAAGATGGGTGGCATGCGAGCAATCGAGGATCGTCCTACGCCCAAGGAGGTCTACAACTGGCGCTTATATTCTGAGGCATTGATTATCGCGACTGGATCTTTACTGCAAGTCTTTCGTTCTAGATGTCTCTGTAAGAGTACATGCTGACACCATCCTAGCTTTGGGTATGATTCGGCTTTTGTTGGTACAACGATTGCCCGCGCAAGCTTCAAGAAGGACTTTGGTATCACGAAAGCCACAGCAGCTGGTATCTCCAGCAATATCACATCTGCCTTCCAAGCAGGAGCTTTCTTCGGCGCTTTGTTCTGTTACTTCCGTCAGTGGCTTGTCTTACTCGACCCCTGCCCTAGTGACTAACATGATTCCATAGTCACCGAGCGGGTTGGCCGCAAATGGGCTTTGCAAGTCAATGTCATAATGTTCATTGTTGGCGCCATCCTGATGACCGTAGCGACTCATCAACTCTCCTTCATCTGTAAGACACCCATATTGTTACCTTGGATCTTGGATCACACTTTTACTCACATCGCAATACAGACGCTGGACGTGTACTCACTGGCTTAGGCTGTGGTGCAATCACTGCTACCGTGCCATCTTATATCGCCGAACTCTCGGTCCCCTCCATTCGTGGTATCTTGACTGGACTTTTCGAAATCGCATATCAAGTTGGTTCTGTCATCGGCTTCTGGGTTAACTATGGCATCAACAAGAACATGAACGTCAAGTCTTCACTGAGCTGGAGGATACCTATGGCTATTCAATTGATACCTGCCGCAATCTTGTTGGCTGGGGGCTTCTTTCTGCATGAGAGTCCTCTGTGGCTCATGCGTAAGGGCCGTGAGTCAGAGGCGAAAGAAGCCCTCGTCCAGCTACGCCATCTGCCTGTAGAACATCAATGTAAGTGTCATAATGCTTCCCATTGTCGGAGCTGTAATACTGACTACTGTCAGATCTTCAAGAAGACGTTCAGGACATGCAAGCAAGATTGAACGAGGAGGCAGCAATCGCAGCGCGCTATGGTACTGGCTCATTCGCTTTCATCCGCGGTTGCTTCAGCGAGCTTTCTCTTCCAGGTATGCGCAATCGTGTCATTCTGGTCTTCTGTGCCTTCGCTTTGCAAAACCTTTCTGGTGCCTCGGCCATCAACTACTACTCCCCCACATTGTTTGGTTCTCTCGGTGTCGAAGACATTTCGTTATACACTGGTATTTATGGCCTTGTCAAAGCCATCGCATCGATCATTTACTACATCTTCTTCATCGATATGCTCGGTCGCCGCAACCCGGTGCTAGTGTCATCAGTCGCCTGCTCGCTCTGCCTGTGGTTTGTCGGTGCTTACGTCAAGATAGGTCACCCAGCCACTGAGATCGCGGCTGGGGTACCATTATCTGCATCTACCGCAGCTGGTGGTCGAGCTGCTATTGGCATGATCATGATTTACTCCATTTTCTGGTCTTTCGGTCTGAACGGTATTCCTTGGATTGTCTCAGCTGAGATCTTCCCTGGTTCTCTCAGAGTTCTTACTGGAACCTATGCTGCCCTTTGTCAATGGCTCGTACAATTTGTCATGACTAAAGCCTTGCCCTACATCTTCAGCTCCTTTGGCTATGGCACTTGGTTCTTCTTTGCAGCCTGGATGTTGGTCGCGACGATTTGGACGTTCTTCTTCATGCCGGAGACTAAAGGCTTGACCGTTGATCAGATGGATGCATTGTTTGGGTATCAGTCATATGCCAACGCAGACGATGCCGAGATTGGAGTAAGCAATAAACAAGACATTGATTCGATGGGAAAGGATGGTGCAACAACGATTGAGCATGTAGAGAGGAAGTAGTTCGCAGGCATTGTAATCCATAGATGTAAATTGTGTATAATCTTCACTTGCATTACTGCTACAGGTGAGCCTGGAGTCAAATGGACAGCGACCCGTTTCTCGATTTGAATTTGTTGTTCGAATATCATCGGCCTTGTATGGTCGTTGACAGCTTCCAATTCGATCATCAATTATATCTGCACAGTAGACATTGGGTCGCTGATTAAGATCGAAGATATGTGTCAGGGTCGTAGTTTCGTCGGAATCCTGGCGGAAGGCGACTCCGGAGCCCAAGCTTGCTCCCTCATCCCCGCCGAACTTGAACAAAACATCTTCGAACATGAACGACTACCATGACCAAAGAAGAAGCAGCAACGTGTCGCGAGTGGGCAGGTCACGACTCGGGTGTTTGACATGCAAACGGAGGAAGGTGCGATGTAACGAACAACGGCCGAGATGCTCCCACTGTGAGCGATTGAATCTTCAATGCACCTGGAAGGCGAACGCGACACCAGGTCTCGCAGCGCGAAATCGTCGCACAGTGTCGCAAGATGCTCTACCATCAAATGATCAATACAGAAGCAATACAGATGCTGCAGATAGTGCTGCCGTTTCTTCGCAAGTCGCTCTCAACGAATCAGCGTGGTCCATGGCACCAGCTCACGCATCCATCACGACTCTATCGTTGCCAACCACGACACAACAGCCTCCTGGTGTTGATAACTTCTTCGACTATGCAGGTTTCATGTGGGACAACGCTGAGTGGTGGCAGCAGTTTCAGCCATCTGATGTGCTGCTGCCTACAACCAATTCCGATCACATCACCTCTGGTCAATTCAGCTCTCCGAGCACTAGTTCGCCATCGTTCACAATCGCCACCGAGGCACGTTATATTGGATCCATTGCCGCGAATCGCCCTGGGAGTGGATCTTCGCGAGTGGGAGGAGCACAGAACAACGTGCCCGCAGGAGAGCAGTTCCTGCTCGAGTATTTTGTGCACAGCACTGTGCCACCAATCCTATCTCCTGTAGAGACGCAGCAGCAATGGTCGATGATGCGACGCCATTTTCTTTCCATGGCTAAAGAGTCGTCAATGGTACAATCGGCTCTTCTGAGCTTCGCCGATCTTCTTCTACGTCGTCGTCGTCAAGGCGTCCACACAGCGAATGATGGTCATGGGCATCATCAGGACTCAGCTCGCGAGCTTTCGAAGTATAATGAACATCCTGAATCGAATCAGCCAGGACGTGAACACCTTCTAGCGACCTGTTTCTTCCTGAGCTATGTCGATATTCTCGAAGGCCGGACGGATGCAGCGCATGGAAGTCTCAAGGCTGCATATCAGATTTTCGGAAAGGGTGAGAAGTCGAGTTTCAGTCCTTCGGAAGTACGTATCCTCTCCTGGATCAGATTACTGGATGGGAGAGCTGTGTCTGCTGGAGGTGAGGGGTTGTTCTTATCGGATGATGAGGCGTCAGAAATGCTAGTGCAACCTTCACCAGCTGGATTGGAAACTCTGCAAGGTACCGTGGATGAGACGAATATTGCGGATCAGGACGCCGAGATCGAAGATGCCCTCTTCCAAGCTCTGTACCAACCAGGTGCTGTCTTCTTCCAGAAGGTACAATCTTTCATGGGACGCATATCAAAGATCGATCCATGGCATAGAAGTCGAGGTACTGTGGCAGACGAGACAGAAGTTATGATAGTTGCTGCCAAGATAACTCGAGATCTGGACAAACTATTTGACAGTCGACCCCGTCTGATGGACTATGCAGCGAAAGGTCAACTCACACCACGGCATCTAAGTCCTCACCTTTCTCATACCATCACCAGAGCTTTTCGAACCTACGCTAGTAACTTTTACGCCAGCAAAGTACATCTGCATCGAGTCGCATACAAAACTTTGCCCTTGGCCCTGGAGACTGTCCTTGCACTCGCAAAGATAAAGGAACTGGCTAGGATGATGGTTGACATTCCATCAGAATCAGGCCACGAAGGTGGTGAGCCACTGCCAGTCAATATGCTTTGGCCGCTTCTCATGCTCGGATCTGAGGAGGAGGACGTGCAAGAACGGGATTGGATCAGAAGTCAGATTTGCAGGATGCAAGAAGTCGCGACCAACGCAGAGATGACAGCCCAAGTTTTAGATGAAGTCCAGAAGACGCAAGACTCCACAAAGACCAGAGTTGACATTCGCAGTATCATGCACAAGATCTTTGATGCATGCTTCGCCATTGTCTGAGTGGTCCTTCGCCGGGAAATGTCGGTGCAGTGGCTCTCAACGCCATGCAACAGTCGCGACCTTCGGAGTCAGCGCTTGCGTACTCGACGCGATCGGTCGCCGTATGATGCCGTCGCATGACCAATTCCTGCCGACGACCCACTCTTCGGCTCGCTGGTTGAAGCCGATCGGATATTGTTCAAGTGGAGCTGCGGGGTCCCCATTGCAACCCATTACGACCCCACATTTGGCGAGCAACAACTAGCACACCGAGCCGGTCGCCTCTTGCTGCCGAAAAAGTGGTCCTTGATTGGAACATCAAGGTGAATACGATAATTAGTTGCGAGGATGCCGAACAGTCTTAAGCCTGATATGTTCTCTGTTTGCAGCATGTGAACCTGCCCTTTCCCAAGCTACTCCTCCAATCCTGTACTATTAACTCCAAGCAAGCTCTCGCCATGGTTCACAGCACTACACCGAAGTCATTTCCTCCTGGAATCCACGTACCCAGTCTGACCTGGTTCGCCGATGATGCCAGTCAAGAAATCGACTGGTCAACACAAACTGAGCACATCAAATTCTTGGTAGCATCCGGTCTTCACGGCAGTACGTGTCCAAGATGCCATGCTCTGCATTCCAATACTGACGATTCCAGTCGTACTTGCCGGTACCAATGGAGAGGCCGTGACGTTGTCACACAAAGAGAAGTCCGACCTCGTTAGCACAACACGTAAGATTGCAAGTGAGCTCGGTCGATCAGATGTTACCGTCACGCTCGGCTGTGGAGGGCAAAGCACACGGGAGGTCATTGCAGAGACAAAGCTCGCGGCTGAAGCAGGCGCCGACTTTGCGCTTGTTCTTGTACCGAGTTACTTCCACTTTGCCATTAATGAGGATGCCATCATCGAGTTCTTCCAGGAGGTAAGTCTTGCGATTGATCGATATTGTCCCGTGTCTGACCTGCTTTTCAGCTTGCCGATGCCTCGCCCATTCCCATCCTGATCTACAACTTCCCTGGCGTCGTCGCCGGTCTTGACGTCAACTCGGATATGCTCTCCAAGCTCGGCTCCCACCCGAACATTGTTGGCGTCAAGCTGACCTGTGGTGGTATTGCCAAGGTAGCACGGATCAGAGCACAATTCCAGCCTACCGAGTTCTGCGCCCTCGCCGGACAAAGCGACTGGCTCGTTCCTGCCCTAGCTGTCGGCGCTACTGGAACAATCACCGGCGTTGCCAATCTCTTCCCGAAGTGTTGCATTGAGATCTACGACCTGTGGACTAAAGGGAAGATGAAGGAGGCTGAAGCAGCTCAACTTGAACTCGCAAGAATGGAGTGGGGTTTCGCAAAAGGTGGTATCAATGGCACGAAATGGGTTGTTGCAAAGCTTAGAGGATATTCGTTGGAGAGCTCTCACTGCAGACGTCCTTATCCTAAGTTTGTGGATGCGAAAAAGCAGGCTTGGGTGCTGGATACTGTGAGTCTGCTGAAGGAGCAAGAGCAGAAACTGTCTTAGAGTGCATGAGCGTGCTTTGTCGGCATTGCTGAGAAAGCCATAATGTTGTTTCCAAGGCAGTTGTCGTATCTTATTCTGGATTTATATGTGCTGGATGAATCATGGCGGTCAGTCTTGTGTCTCCCCTTCCAAACCCCGATCTTATTTTGAGACACGCACGAATTCGAGGCCTGGTATGTCTGATTAACACAACACCATTGCTGGATCTTCCGAAGATTTGCCATGACGCCTGTATACTTTGATTGTTCACTTCTTCACTAACCCACACATCCCACATCAGTGATCTCAATCAACTTTCATGATGTCAACACAGACCACACATCCGGGAGAGGTGTCGCTCTCGAAGCTGTTAGCCACATTGACAGCCTCCCTACACCCTCAAACCTACGTTTTCGCGGTGCTCAAAGACGAGTCCAAGCTCCCACCATTTTCAGAGGTCGAAATGCTCTTTCGTGAAGCCAAATCCGAAGGCATCACTGTCATCACTACTCGAGACTATGCCGAAAGTGTTGGGCTTGAGTACGCTTTCCCATCACGAAAGATCACTTTGGACGTCACGTCGAGTCTGGACGCTGTAGGATTCATTGCTATTGTTGCAACGAGGCTTGCGGCTGCTGGTATGGGTGTCAACCCCATTAGTGGATTCTATCACGATCATCTGTTTGTGCCTCTAGGAAGAGAGCAAGATGCGCTCAAAGTGATCTCTGAATTGGCCGAAGAGAACAAGCGAGAAGCTAAAGCTTGAGCTGGTGGCATCGAAGAGAGATCGGCGGTTCGGGGGTCCGATGCGGAGCGGAAGCATGGCCCGAGAAGCCTTTGAGATTACCCGGTCTTGGCAGTGTTCCTCCTTCCTTCGCGTCCGCTTTTGCTCTTTTCGTGTCAGCAACAATATGCATCTCACATAACACATTTGCTACAACCTCGTCACGTTACATACCTCCATATGACTTCAGGTTCATGTAAGCGAGCAGGATCTATACCCCTCTCAAGATCGTTCTTGGCAGGCAGTATGATGATGTTGCGATATGCACTACCCAGCCTCCGCCCAGACGGTTAATCACTTTCTCGGGCAGTGATGATCGAGTCGAAATGATCAATATGAGCAAGGTCTAAGACTATATATGTACTGTGTCGGGCCGCACTCAATAACCTTGTTCCTTCGTAACACTTTTCTCACCATGCAGTTGACTGTACTGACGCTTGCCTTCGCTGTCGGCGGGCTGGCACAGGTCACCGATAGCCAAATACCAGTAGGAGATTTCTCTGCTGAACATGTGACGAATTTCTCACACTCCCAGTTTCCAAATGTCACATATCCCGATGCTATATCGCCCAATCCCAATGCCGTCCTTGGTGCCCAGACTAATCAGACGTCTCCACCGAAATATCCTAGCCCTTGGGGTTCGGGATCAGGAGAATGGGCAGAGGCATACAGGAAAGCCATTACAATTGTTGAAAAATTGACTCTAGAGGAGAAAGTAAACCTGACCACTGGTAAAGCTTCGATTCCGCGGCCAGATTGTGTGGGCCAAACTAACAGATATGCCAGGATCTGGCTGGCAGCAAGAACAGTGTGTTGGTCAGACTGGCGGTGTACCCCGTCTCGGTATCCGCGGCCAGTGTCTTCAAGACTCACCTGTTGGTGTGAGGTACACTGAGTAAGTGCAAAGTCAAAAACGTTCCAAGATAGCTGGGGCTAACGGTTGCGCAGTTTTGTCAGTCTGTTCCCCGCTGGCATCAATGTCGGTGCCACTTGGGACAGGCGTCTGGCATATGAGAGAGGTAAAGCCATGGGTTTCGAGAACCGCGACAAGGGCATAACGGTTCTGCTTGGTCCAAACGCTGGAGCTCTAGGAAGATCGCCTGCAAGCGGCCGCAACTGGGAAGGTTTCAGTCCTGACCCTTATCTCACTGGAAAGTTGTTTGCCGACTCCATCCGCGGTATTCAGAGTACAGGTGTTCAGGCATGCGCCAAACACTACGTTGGAAACGAACAAGAACACTTCCGACAGACTCCTGAATCTCGAGACTATGGTTTCAACATCACTCAACCTGGATCTTCCAACATTGATGATCAAACACTTCACGAACTTTATGTCTGGCCCTTTGCGGATGCTGTCAAAGCTGGAGTAGCATCAGTGATGTGCAGCTACAACCTCGTCAACAACAGCCAGGCCTGTCAAAACAGTTATCTGCTGAACCATGTACTCAAATCCGAACTCGGCTTCCAAGGATATGTTATGAGTGACTGGCAAGCCACTGCAGCTGGTGTGCCAGCTATCCTTGCTGGTCTCGATATGACCATGGCTGGCGATATCCGTTTCGGCGATGGTCTGAGCTATTTCGGTCCCAATCTCACAATCGCTGTCTTGAATGGTACCGTACCACAGTGGCGCCTTGACGATATGGTTACCAGAATCCTGGCTGGATGGTATCTTGTTGGAGGTGATGCTGAAGTACCTGACCCAAACTTTCAATCTTGGACTCCTGACACTTTCGGTGCCGTCCACGCACACGTTGGCTCATCTTGGGGTACAGGTCTTGTCAATCAACATGTTGATGTTCGTCGTGAGCATGGAAGACTGATTCGCGAGATTGGTGCTGCATCCACTGTGCTTCTGAAGAACACCCACGATGCACTGCCTCTTGACGGTACAGCCAGGTTGACAGCAGTGTTTGGCGAAGATGCAGGATCTAATCCCAACGGCCCTAATGGTTGCCGCAATCACGCATGCGACGTGGGAACACTCGCTGTCGGTTGGGGCAGTGGACAAGCTAGTTCACCATATCTCATCTCACCGGATGCGGCCATTCAGCACGAAGTCGTGTCACGCTTTGGATCTTACGAGTCCATCACCAACAATTCTGCTTTTACGCAGATCAATGCCTTGGCTCGTCGTGTCAGAGATGTTGCTGGAGTCTGTATCGTCTTTGCCAATGCAGGTAAGTAACGTAGCGGATCAGCTGTATGATTCAGGACACTGACCAGACTATAGACTCTGGAGAAGGATTCGCTAATGTTGATGGAAACTATGGTGACCGTAACAACTTGACCTTATGGCAAGGTGCTGATGCAGTCATTGCGAATGTGTCTGCTACCTGTAACAATACAGTAGTTGTCATCCACTCAGTTGGTGCGGTCGAGATCGATCAGTACAAGGAAAACCCTAACATCACTGCCATCCTCTGGGCAGGACTTCCTGGTAGGTCATACCGATCATTCATGCCAATCATTGACTAACACTTACCAGGCGAACAATCCGGCTATGCAATTGCCGATGTTCTGTTTGGCCGCGTAAATCCTGGAGCAAAGCTACCTTTCACCATGGGCCGCAACCGATCAGACTACGGAGCCGACGTCCTCTACCTGCCAAATCAAGAAGTACCGCAATACAACTTCCAAGAAGGTGTTTTCATCGATCACCGAGGATTCGATCACCGCAACGTTACTCCAGTCTACGAGTTTGGCTTCGGTTTGAGCTATACGACATTCAATTACTCTAGTCTCACAGTGGAGAAGCTCGATGTTGCAGACTACAAGCCAACAGCTGGAACTTCTGGACCAGCACCTACCTATGGCACGATCGACAACGATACTTCCGCTCATACGTTCCCCAAAAACATCACTCGGATTCCTCTATATGTATACCCTTGGCTCAACAGCACAAATCTATCTGAAGCCTATGGAGCAGCTAATTTTGGGGATAACTCATTCATCCCGGAGGATGCGCTCAATGGCTCTAGCTTCGAGCATCCTCCTCCTTCTGGACCCAACGGAGGCAATCAAGGTCTCTGGGATATCCTATATCATATAAGAGTGAACGTAACAAATACTGGACACATTATCGGCGACGAGGTACCCCAATTGTACATCTCCTTAGGCGGACCTTATGATCCCAAGATCGTACTCAGAGGATTTGAACGTGTGAGGATCGATCCTGGCAAGACTCTGCAAGTCACGTTCCCGCTCGCTCGTAGGGACATCTCGAATTGGGATACTGATTTGCAGGATTGGGTTGTTAGCCAGCATGTCAAGACGGTGTATGTTGGATCTTCGTCTAGGGATTTGCCATTGAGTGTAGTTCTGGAGTAGAGTATCAAGTACAACGAGGATGTCACTCTGTCTGGTGTTCGCGGGGAACTGGTCTTTGCCGTTTGCGGAGTACTGTGTGAGGTAGCTTTACATGTGTTCCTAGGGGTCGCAATTCTCGCTGAGCGTGTCCACTTTACCGTGGTCATTGCCTGGTGTGCCAGTAATTTGCATCTGAACCTTGGAGCTTCCATAGTCGAAAGAAGCGGGCTATGTCTTGTGCGACGCTGGTTTTGTTGGCTTCAGCTTATTAACCTCGAGATTGTAGGAAACGCAATCAAGACTGAACACAAGCTACCCGCAAGGGCTTTCGTTCCTCTCGGTTCTCTCACGCAGCTCAGATCACTCAAAATCAGTACTCCATTCTCCCCGTGCTGTATAAATCAGCATGACTCCGTAGAACCCGGGTCCTCCGACTCTCGACACAAATTCACAAGAGCAGACGCGTCGGCGATGTTCTCCAGACTGACCGCCTTGGAACACCTCTCCATCCTTGTAGGCGGCGATGAGATCGGTCGTCTATATGGTTCGCTCTCGAAATACTGCCCCTACCTTAGCTCCATTAAGCTCGTGGGCGATTTCGACCCGTAGCACTTGGTTTAGGCACATGCACCGGTACTCGGCAATGTTAGAAAATAAGCATTGGAAATATCAAAGCTACTATGTCTTCGTCACTGGTGGCAAGGCTGATTTATGGCTTTGCTCCTAGGCTAGAGAAGTTGTCGTTCACGAGTGAATACTCTGAGACGTTTGAGACGCGACAGGTATACACTGCGTGGGAGAAATATCGGAGTACGCAACATTTCTTCAAAAACGGGAAGAGTTTACGGTTTGAGGGATTGCGTAACCGGTAGAAGCCAGAATCTGCGATCATGTTCTATGCATTCTTGAGTCAAGAGGAATTCTGGTGAATGATGTGTTCAGAGTCGCGTCTGTCTGTTGGATCTGGCTTGTGGTTTTTGCGTGACGTCCGTCCGCTTCGGCGGCTTATGTTCTTCTCTCTCCTGATCACTCTTCCATCACCAAGATTTGAGCAAGATGTTGACGTGCTCAGGAAAGACGAAGCAACACAAGGAAGCACGCTGCCATAATAGCAAGGTGTAGGTCGTCGGCGGTTTGCGGCTTGGCGCATCACACCACAATATCGCGCACGGTCCGCAAATCACGCCGTTCAGGGTCCCGTCACCTCACTCATCACGCTGTTTGATCCTTCCGTTCTCTCTCTGCCTATTTTTCGCATGCCGTATCTGCACTCCGTGGCTTGCAGGCCGCAGCTTCCCGACGAATCCAGATCTGGAGCTGTCAGGGCCTTTGACGTGCAGGGAAACAGTCGGACTTAGTGTGTCTCCTGTCATCTGCTGATCTGGTGATATCCGCCAAATGAACGTGGTAAACCGGATGCTTGCGTGAACTGTTGCTGCTCCAGAAATCATGTGCCATAACCATCAAAGCATCTCGACATCCATCTTTCTATAAGTATACTACATTTCTATTCTAGTGTGTCCTCTTTCTCTCCCATCACCAATAACACACAATCTCCACTCCACCAAACAACAACTACAATCCCCACTCTTCGATCTTCCTGACCAACAACACATCTCCACACTCCAACAGATAACCTCAACAATATCAACAATGGCATTCAGAGCAACCCAATCCCGCACATTCTTCCGCACATTGAGAAACCTCATTCGCGAAGAACATCCTTTCGCCCGCAACACTTCCACTCTACTCCCACACGCCCACGACAACTCTGTCCTTCTACGACGCACATTCCGCACTGCAGCTGCTTTTGTACCTTTCTATGTGTAAGTGCCTGCACCTCAATTCCCTACCTACCTATTGCTGGCGCTGACGATGTAATCACAGTACTGTGCTAGGCTGGCCCTGGATGGCAGCTTCCGTGCTCAAGAAGACTGGCATTTGACTCTTGATGCCTGTTTATGTTCTTGTTGATGGCATGGGACCTTCGGATAGGCTGACCTTCGATGTGGGGGATACACAGCCTAGTGATCTTCTGAGGAAAACTGCTTCGGTGGCTGTTGGGGAGCATATTACAAAGACCGCAGACGGCCGTGTGAGCATCGAAGACGATATGTGAGGGTGTTGCTCGGGTTTCGAGTTATTTGATTTTCTTTTCTTGCTGGTTGCATGGAGCAATGGCGTTCTCCATTTTCCTGGTGTCTGATTTTGTTTTTCTTCCACTATTCTTGATCTTGCCCTGTCTGTACCAGAACTTGAATACATGACTATTCATTTCACCAATTCTTGTTGTATACCATATTGAGAATATGGAAAATCGATTGATAATGGAGGCTTGGGCACTCATGCAGATGTAATATCAATACGAAGGATTCTGAATGTGGACTAGATTGGTATAGCTCTTTGAGAGGATATCAGTTGCCTGCGCGAGAAGCCTCCAACAACGGGTCCGTTTCGGTAGGTTCTTGTTCAACGACTTCCCCCTTCTTCTCTTTCTGGTAGAACATGATGGCCATAACCAGCAATGCTCCTTGCAGAATACCAGTGACACAGTAAACAAACCAAGTGCTCCAACCCTCCCATCCAACCCTCAACCACAAACTGAAAGCAAATACAAATGCTCCGGGTACTTGAATAAGCATACTCACAATGCTGAGAGACAGCACTTGCTTAGCTTTCCAAGTAGTGTAAAGTTGCGGGATATATTGAATAGATGAGAGAATTGCAGCAAGAATGCCGAGGAAGTTTGCCCAGCTGAGGAGGTGGGAGGGCAAGCGGTACAGGAAAACTGTCGAAATGATGCCGACGGTGAGAAGTGAGATCAAAGATACGACACCGACGATGACAGCGTCTCGTTTGCGAGGTGTGTCCGGAGAGAGATGCTCGGGAGCTGGGTTTGCGAATGTACCTCTGGGGAAGAAAACCAGAAAGAGCACCATGCTGTGTTTCGCCAATCAGTATACTGCAGAGTATAACATAAATGAAGAAAAACTCACATGGTCATGAAACAAACCCACTGCACGCCTATCTGGACAACGCCCAACAGCGCGGCACCGCAAGCAGTGCCAGAGATCTCACGACAACAAGCCATGTCATGTTGGCTAGTCGGCAACACCAAGATATTCGCAAGCGCAGCGATCGAGGATATCGTGCCTAGCAACACCCACCAAGGGGAGAGACCAGCAGAGGTTCCATGACGAATGATCTTTACATGTTGAGGGATGTAAGAGATGAGTATACCAAGCACGAGTTGTCTGATCACGGATGAACATCAGAACCTCGATGGATGGTATGTTGATGCGGAGATAATTACACGGAGAGAGCGAGAACCCAGCCATTCGGCGAGGCGAGATGTTCACAGTATGGGTCGGCCGTCATGGCGTAGAGATGTCGCGCTGGCAACTAAGAAGGTTCTGAGAATTTCCGATAAATTCGTAGATCGAGGGCGATGAGACAAGTCGATGTGTGATGATGGTTGTTCGTAATGCGACTGGATGTGGTTGATGTCGCGGGCGAGCAAGATTACGCGACGCGTCGGGGACTCTGAATCTTGGCCCCTGCGTCATAACGGACATATACTCTTAAACCCACCGGAGCTATCGGACCCAGTGCATAAACAGCTTTGTTGACTTCGGTCATCATCCTTCACACACTCTACACTTGAATCCGGATGATTCAGAACCAGGTCCTTGCTATCGGAGAGTATGGGAGGCACAGCAATCATGGCGGACCAACGTCTGTCCGACGAGAGCGCTCTTCATGATAAATACAGCCTTGAGGCCTAGTCAGAAGTCATATTCTCAACACTTCTATCATCCACTTTTACCATGTCTGCTCGAAACTACAGCGACGTACTCACAGACACTCAGGTCCTTGTTCTTTGAGGCTCCTCAGGCATTCGATCTTGTGTAGCTGAGCATGCGCTTTCACAAGGCGCCATCGTCACCATATCCTCTTCACGCCAATCCAAACTGGACGACGCTCTCACTCGGCTGACGGCCTCTATACCCAATCTTGCCCACAACGTGTATGGATATGTCTGCGGCTTACATCTACTCGATGAGATGTTCCTTCGCTACAGGCTCACTCATCGAAGTCAATGGCGGAGCACTGTTGGCAGGGTCATGACACTCTCGGTCCGCACAATATTGTCAAGATACACCATAGTCACAACATCATTTGATATGGCTTCATGGAAATTTGTCTCAGGAAGGTTTGTGGCTTGTATGAGAGCCTCCCGAAAATTCCACCTCGCAGGACAGATGCCAAGTACCTTTATGAACACTGCGACTGTGGTTATCACGATACTATGATGTATGAGTACCGTGACGGTGAGAGACTCATGGTAGGAACTCACATGAACGCAACTCTTACTTTCTACACACCTTACATTCCCCACAACAGTCACATATCATCAAGGCACATATCCATCACGATCAAAATCATATTCAAAAGTCTCAAAGAACAGAAGTCGGGCCAACTCCAATTCTCCAAGTCTTCCATTCCCTATCCTAATCCTCCCTCTCATCCATCCAACTCTCACTAAAAACCCTCTCGAGACTGAAAATGTTCATCGAAAAAGGGAAAAGAGCAGTTGGATCAGATCACATTTTTCCCTTCACTCTTGACCAAACACCCATCTTTTTAGGACGAGGAGGTAGTTCAGGTCCATCACTCCCAACCACCAAGTTCAACGTTTGAACGGCAGTGTTGCCAAGGTGCTTTCTAGGTGTTCTGGTCGTGCAGCCAGCAAACAAGTTGTTGATGTTGTGGCTTGAGAGCTGAGTTCTGCTGGTTGTGACTGTATTGCGAAGAGCAATAATGTCGTCGTAGTCTGGTGGTGATGCAGCAGCAGCAGCGACTTCTGAGTATTCTGGTGGTGATGGTGGTGTGGTGGCATTGTTGTAGAGCAGTCTATCCAGCTGAGCAGTTGGTGTTGCAGAAGTGATGGTGGCTGTATATGGTGGAGGGGCTTGCTCGTCTCTCTCTGCTGACTCGATGGTAGCAGCGGTGTATGGTGGAGGAGGAGCTTGTCGTGTGCTTCTGCCTCGAATCCCTCTGTTTTGTGCTCGGACGTATCCGAGGTATGCTTGTTGTACTTCTTGAGCGCTGGGTCCTGCTCCTGAGACTGCGTAATCGTGGCGACTTGCGGCTTGACGTCTGACAGCACGGCGGAAATCGCTTGCGCTGGTGTCGTTGGGGAAAATGTGTGATGATGAAGAAGCCATGACGATGAGTTGATGTGTTTTGTGGTAGAAGCTTGATGCTTGAGTGGATTTGTATCTTGGTTCTGGTGAAATTGGGGTTTTCTGGTGAAGTGGTAGTAACAAGCAGACGAGGACGAAGACAGAGGGGTTGAAAAGGGTTGGGAAGGAGAATCGTCTTTTTGTATTCTGGGCTTTCTATGGGCAAAAAAGATACTTGCTCATCTGATGAGTTGGTACGCGCGATATCAAGAGTTTTCATCACTCGAATTCTGGGCTTCGTTGGTTGTGAGCAATGCATACTTTGCCACGTGGGCAGCTGCCTGGAGCACCGGGTCAGGGGTTTGCCCTAGATTTTAGCCGATGAATCTTCATGACGGCTGTTGCGATGAGTAGTGTCTGTTCGATCACTAGGTTTTCTTGTATTGATGTCGACCCATAGTCTGTACCATCAATACAATCGTCTTGTGAGAGAAGGCGGGGGTCAACTATCTACGTGATGATACGCGCACAGATGAGCAATTCGATTTGGGCCTCTTTGTTTCTTCCGTTCTTCGCCGTCTTCTGGTTCCAAGATCAATGTTGCTCATTCTAGCTGCCGGTCAAGCCCATCGAGCTGAGCTCAACTGCACATCCCGCCACATCAGGGCTTTGGCTTGGATCAGAATTGCCTTCTCCATATCGAGTGTGATGGAAATGCCTTGGAGCAAGTTGTGGTATCCTGGGTGTGGGAGGTAGTCGCGCAATCATGTCACGGTAAGGAATCAGGGCGGAAGACTTTGCAGAGCCTTGTTGTAAGATGTTTAAGTAGCTTTGATTTGTATCTCGTAGACTCCTTAGCGATCTGAGGAAGCTCTGGTTGGCCTCGAGAATAATCAAATCCGGGTCCTGGTTGTGGAGAGGATGGAGTCGAGGGGCAGGAGGTTTTTCCGTGAAGTATTGTGACAGGACTTCGGCCGTTTCAGATAGCAGGATCTCGTTCCATGCTTGAGTGAAGAGCTTGAGTAAAGTCTTGAACTCTTCGTCACTCAGGCGTGTGAGGTACGAATAGAATATTCCGGCCATGCTGAGAAGAGATAGATCCAAGGGTGCATCAAAGATGACTTTCGACGATTTTCCAGAGAGTTTATAGAATAACGATGGAATGAAAAGACGCGTCAGCTTCGGCTGATGCGATAGTCTCTTCTCTTTCGCGAGTATTCGAGTCACTTCGAGTGGTCGTGGCTACCCGAGGGCACGTGCATTTTGGTTGTGAGCAACACCGATACCAGGAGAATTCGACTTCGTGCAAGATGTTCAAGCCGCAGAGAACTCGCATTTTATCTCGATATTCCTCAAGGACGACGCTGTCAAAGCCACTTAACTTTCCAGATGGAAAAAATCGAAACTAAGTTAGTAGCGACCAAAATTTGTCAAGGTGCGAGAAGGACTTGATTGTTCCCGGGCACGAGAGCAACTGTCCACGTTCGAGCCAGTATCGAGTTCGTCAGGCAATGCAGCAACCATCCGTCTCTCTTCTCAACCTGAGTGACGACTTTCGGATATCGTCCTGAGGGTCAGCTACCAAGTGGACGTAGCAGCAATCGAAGCATGATCGAATAGCTCAGTGACGAGTGTAGCACGCATATCGCTGACCGGACCATCGTAGTCTGGAAGGAACAGAACACCGCACTTCTTGTCGCGAAAATGATTAGTGAAAGAGAGAGAGAAGGGGAGAACAAATCGAAAGCTAGCAAGCAGTTGTACTGCATGAACGGCGCCAAGCAAAGGCGGCTCATGCATTATCTTGCATACTCGCTTCCCTTTGTGCAACCACCTTCCTAAATGCAAGTCCTACATGATCCTCGCTACCACCTGACCTCCAATCTCATCATCTCTTCACCGACTTAACAGGCTATATACCATTTTATCCGCAGCACTATGACGGCTTAGTTGTCAGAGGACGCAGAATTAGAAAGGCTCAAATTTATGGCATACACACAAATATGTTAGAAGTCATGTATCGCAAAACAACATCTCAAAACTTCAAATGCTCAATCTAAAGTCCCTCTAGTGGTATCTCCGCACCCCCTTTGCCAAATGCAGACCAAACCAAACGCCCATCCCTGCTGCACCAGGAGCAAATCAAAACCCATCCAGTTGTACCAAAGATCGCACCAAAAGGCCGTCAAACCCTCGCTATAGACTTCCTGCCAAAATTGGCTTGCCGTACTCTGTTCACCAAACCCTCCATCTGCGGCACCAATTCAGGAATTCTGAATGGTTTCGTAATCACACTATCCATACCGTGATCGATAGCTACAGCAATTTGTTCACCCCTTGCATTCGCCGTAACGGCAATAACAGGGACATGACCAAAGATGGCACCTTCGCTCTGTAGACTTCTAATTCTCTTTACTGTCTCCAGACCACCTAGGACAGGCATTTCCAAGTCCATGAGGACGACAGATAAAGGAATGACATCTGAATGCGGTCGTGTCTTTGGACTGGGTGCTTCTTCGTGGTCGCGTGTTGGCGGGGGTCGATCAGCCCAGAATGAGGTTTTGCGAAGAAACTCTAGAGCTTCGAGACCGTGGTTTGCGAGGTGGACTGTACAGCCCAAACGGCGGAGCTGTTGGGACATGACCTGTGCAAGACTGATTAGCGCGAAAAAAGCTTCCTGCATCATAGAGGACTTACTCGTTGATTGATTACATTATCCTCCACTACCAGGACATGTAGGTGCGGCTTCTCTTCGGTGTAGTCGGTGGACACAGCGGACAACTTGCGAATAGCGGTGTGAGTCGTTTCGTGTGAAGAACCATCCAGTCTTACCTCAAGGGAATTGGAAGCAGGGTCGCGAGTATAGGTGACGGGCGTATTGAGCGTCGGAGTCGTCAATGTCCCTTCTCCAAGATCTTCGTCATCTTCGACTGCCCGTCTGGCCTTGATATAGAAGCTGAAAGTGCTGCCCTTCTCAGGCTCACTATGCACGCCAATTTGGCCGTCTTGGAGATCTGTGAGCTCTCTCGAGATGAATAGACCGAGCCCGCTTCCTGTAATACTATTAGTTTGATGCTTCATACTGATAGTGATTGTTGTACGAACCTCCATATTGCTTATAAGTCTTGGGGCTGGCCTGCGAGAAGCGGTTGAAGAGCAGTTTGAGCTCTTCATCGCTCATGCCCTTTCCACTGTCTTGCACAGACAATGATAGGAAAATCTCATCACCAGTTCCCCATTCTGCAGTAAAGTGATGTTCGGGTCTGTTGGCGCGGAATGGCACATAGGGGCATTTGTGCATGCCTTCCTTCGGCCGGGTCAAAGTGGCGTCCAGATGGACAATAATTTCCTTGTGACTAGCAAATTGCGTAAACTTGATAGCGTTGGTGAGAAGATTGATGATGACCTGCAATAAGCGACTAGAGTCAAGCATGACTTTACCAACAGCCAGGTTTCGCCAGCCCTCGTGGACGCGCAGACTAATGGTTATGCCGGCTCTGACGAGCTCTGCTTCGTGCATCTTGAAGCACTTCTCCATTAAACCTGGCATGTCGACAGTATCAGGCGATACAACAAGCAGATTCGAATCTAGCTTGCTCAGGGTCAGGATATCATCAACGATACGACCTTGATGCTGTGCACAAAGAATGATTGTCTGAGCTGAATCGATTACAGTCTCAAGGACGTGACTGCTCATTGACATTGCCTCAGATGAAACACCCAAGCGATTGTTGTTCTCGAGAATCGTCAAGATACCGTCAGCGGATTGAAGGATTGCGCTCAATGGATTGCGCATCTCGTGAGAAGTCATGTCAATGAAGCGATCAGCTTGACGCTTGTGTTCGAGTGCGTCTTCCAGTCGCTCGCTGAGCAAGCGTTCTGAAGCTTTCTTCAAAGAGATCTCGGTGACGAAGCCTTGAACGGCTACCACTGAGCCGTCGATACCAATCTCAGCTATTGCTGTGCCTTGCAGCCAAGTTTCACCAGTCATGTCAAGGCCACTCGCATCGTCGATGTATTTCCAGGGTTTCTTTATGCGGTACTCCAGATTCAGAGGTGTGCCATACTGGGCCAACGCTAGCCATGCCTCGCCAACCCTTGCTTGATCATCGTCGTGTATTCTGTCAGCCCATCCCAAGCCTGATCGCTGGCATTCGTCGAACTCTTCTCTGGTAAAGCCGAGTATGCGGAAGTATGCTTCGTTGAGATACAACGGCTCGCCATTGGGTTTCAACAGATACATACCCAAAGGAGCATCTGCAGCGAGACGAGCAAATCTTTCCTCTGACTGCTCGACTTCTATCTGTCGAATGCGAGACTTTTCGTGATACTTGCGGTCACTCACGTCAAGCAGCCAACCCTGTATGTGGATGATGTTACCATCTTCATCAAGTTCTGGTGCTGCAGTAGCCAGGACCCAGGTATCGCCGTGCAGGGTTTCTCCCGAGATGGGGTCGGTAACTGACCATGGACGCATGACACGATACTCAATAGTGAAGGGCTGTTTTTCTTCGAGACATTGAATCCAAGCACTGGAAACCCTCTCACAATCGTCAGGGTGTATATAGACCAAAGGATCAGTCTGCGACTCGATGCCCTCTTCGGTGATGCCGGTGATTTCCAAATAAGCTTTGTTGTGGAAAGTAGTGCGAGCATCTGGAGTGATGGCGTACATGGCTACGGGAGCAAGCTGAGCCATATTCGCATAACGACTTTCCAGCCGTTCGGTTTCGAGGGCTGTGGCACGAAGTTGCTGGGCCAAAGAGGCTTCGACTTGCTCGAACTTTTGACGTGATCGTCGTTGCTCTTCGGGAAGGCAAATAGCCGAGGCGGATTTGACCAGAATGTCGCGCAGATAGTAAGCAAACATGGCGGCATCTGAATCGTATGGTCGACGGGGAGTCATTGCCAAAGTCAAGAAAGCCATTGTTCGGTGGGCAGACATGTCGGGCAGAGGAATTATACAAACGGTCTGTACCTTGGCTCCCGAAGCTCGGCCAGGGACGCCTTGATTGAGAAGCGGTGGCAGAGTGCCGTCTCTGACTTGCAAGATGACGACATCTTCGGTCTCCCAAGCTTTGTGGTAGGCACGAGCGAGAGGACTCTGGTCGTTGGCGCAGTCGGCTAGATCAAAGGTCAGGGGCACAGCAGGATGACCAGCAGCGAGACCGATAGAGCCCTCGAGAGCATAGCGCTGAGATTCGGGACCGGGAGAGGAGGAGTCGGTGTCGGGTACGGAAGGATCGGCGGCAGCGTGGCTGGTGTGAAGGAGGGCGTAGGGGATATCGTCTTTGCAAGGTTCAAGCCCCTCGAGGAATTCAAACCACAGCTCCTTGACGCTATTGACATTGGCAATGGCCCTGTTGATCTTGACAATGGCATCTCGGCGACGATCTGCGACGACGTGCTCGGTGACTTCGGAGAACTCATCGATGATGCCGATGGTGGAGCCTTGGTTACCGACGACTGGGATTAAATTGAAAGACCAGTATGTGTCCTCGGGGTAACCATTGCGGTGCATGACGAGAGGGAGTTTGTTCAGACGGGTGCCTCTTCCTTCGGTGTGGACGTACTTGATCAGTGGGGCCATTTCAGCCCAAATGTCGGCCCATGTATCATCAGCTCTTGAACCCAGGGCACGAGGATGGCGTTCAGCGAACATGGTTATGCAGGCCTCGTTGTAGATCATGATGTGGTCGTCTCCCCAAAGCAGCAGGCGCGGGTCCGGGTTGGCCATGGCGGAAAGGACGGCGGATCGAAGGGCATCGGGCCAGGACTGGATGCTGCCGATGGCTGTGTCTTGCCAGGGAAAGTTGCGGACCAGGTGCATGTGGGCCGACATTGCGGGAGACGGCATGCGGGTCCAGTCGAGGTAGCGCTGGCCGCCTTCGTCGGATACAGTTCGCCATGACGACGAGGCGACCGACTGACGGCGTGAGTCAGAAGACGAAGTGCCCGAGGTGCCCGAGGTGGCTGAGGTGCCATTGTGTATGCTGTTCTGCGATGTGGTGCGAGGTGGTGCTGGTGTGCGCCGAGGCGCGACAGCATCTGGAGCTGGTGGAGGCGCGGGCTCATCTTGGTGGGCGCTGGCGACTAGCCATCGGTCTTGTTGCAAGATGCAGTTCCATGCTCTTCCTCGATAGGTTTGGGTCTGGTTGTGCGAGTTTAGGGCGGTCGTGGCCCACAGACGGAAGTCTCGAGCATCCCAGGAGGTGGCTGCGAGCAGTCGTTCGAGAGCGGGATTACAGTAGACGATGCAGCCAGTGGTGGTATCGAGGATGCACGTCGGGCGGGTGTCGTATTGCAGAAAGTCGGCGAGGGTCAAGGTGGACAGGTCGACGGCTTGGTGGTGGTCTTTTGCGCTCCGGATGGGCATGTTGGCCGTCGTCAGCGTCTGCTCGTCGCTGCCATTTGGAGTCATTTCAGGCCGCGCCCTCTTTTTCGAACTCCTGTCTTCCGCCATGTCCGTCATTGTACTCTCTTTCCCACCATCGACACCTTCTGCGTAAAGAGTGTCGCCGCATCCATCTGACCTGCGCCGACAATCCAATGCTGCTTTAGCCTTTCAACTGCGAAAACGCACGGCACCGGTCTAGACCCATCCAATCTCGATTGCATATCGACATGGCAACATCCACCCTCTCCTTTTTGGTCCAATAGTCAGACTGTATTTCAGATCATCACCTCCCGGCGGTCCAACATCCGTTCAAGGTCAACTATACGAGCTCGGGCTGCCTGTTTGCGCGAACACGACGGTTACCATACGACAGTGATGATGCGTGACGTTTTGTTCATTTCTTGGCAGGATCGATTTGGATGGATCCCTTGAACCTTCCAAACTTAACATCTCTGTCACCTCTTCTGTCTTGCTACTCGAGTTTAGATCGAATTAGACGTGTCACTTTTCCATCGCCTCTTCTTTATGATCTTCAGTAGGTTTCTCTGGCTCCGACCGACCTGTGTACCGCCCACGGCTCCCCTTCTGTAAAGGCTGCATCAAGTCAAAGGACTGTGCCGGATATGACACCCTTGCATCCATCATATTTCTTTCTGTTCTACCATCGCCTATCATATTGGTAACAATCAAGGCCAGAATTTGGAGAAGACTCCGCGTTGGGCATCATGTAGAATGCTGAGAGGGAAGCTGGCTTCTGCACCTATCACACAGCTTTTCCGCATTCGGAACTCTGGAAGTGATTGACAAATTTTCGAATGTACTGTCAACAGCCGTCTTGATGTGCCTCTGCCTGAAGATCATCCTGACACCTTTACCTGTGGCTAATCACAGGAATATGGCATACCGGTCTAGTACAGAATATAACCATCATGCGTCCGAGTCAAGCCCATATGACCTAAGGAATGCAAAACCACGATGGCAGCAACCCGCCGAGATTGCGCAAGAGTACTCTTCCTCATCTCATTCCCTTTCGACTGCGACAGCTCCTGCAACGACCCAGGACTTTGAGCAGATGGAACGTCGAGACCGCAATGCCCGAGACGGCGACGATGCATTCTGGAGCAGACGTCCACGTGCCCGCGATAGCAATGTTGCATCACTAGGCGCTTCTCGCTCACACTCACAATCGCGACTCAGTAGAATACGGACGACAATCACCGAGGAGTTCGCACCTGGACGCCGCAGCGAGTCACCACAGAGTCATGGCTCCCTGAGCACATTTTGGAAACCGGCATTGCTCATCTCACTGTTGGCTCTGCTAAACAATATTTTGGTCGGGTTTTCGGGTTTTCCTGATGCTAGAACGATTAGGAGATCAAGTACAGAAGAGGTGTGGACGTCGCACGATGAATCTGTGGTTGAAAGAGTCGGACATCAAATTTGCAAGATACCTGTGGTTTCGAGAGGGCTGAGTTGTAGTCAGCCCTCGGGATCAGAAGTAACGAGTGATGGATCCATCCATCACTATCTCCGCGGCGTCGTGTCTGCGCTGTCCGAAAACCCAGATGCCGCGGACGCAATCCTGGACATGACCGAGGACATCAAAAAAGAGTTGATCGCACTGCAAAAGCTGGATACGGAGACGACACGATCAATCGGACCTGCTGAATCTATACACATTGAGAGTGACGTGCGAGCAAAACTGCTTTGCACCGATCATCTGCTCAACCTTACTTCAATTCTCGAAGGAGCCCTGGTGGATTGGGACAACGACAAAGATGAATTGCTAGACACCATGCAAGCTCAACTTACATCACTCAACCTCGAACACCAAGACATGGCGAAGGAACGGTTTAATATGGCTGTTGCTCGCAACCTCGAGGAGATTGCAACATCGCTCGAGCACATGCAGTCATCAAATTCAGCTGTTTTGAACAGAACTTTGGGATTGTTGCTTGACGACATGCCTCTTTTGGCACAGTGTGTAGAGGCCTCTGGAAACGCAGATGTTCACGATACTTCGACACCGACCGACCGTCCGTCTATTCTGAAGCGCTTGATACTATGGTCACTACCTTTCCCCACGCCCCTTTCCAACACTGCCGATCCCTCGCCCACTCCAGATCAAAGAAAGAAAATTATCCACGACCATACGCTGGCCATGCATCCTCTACTGCAGGCCATCCAGGCCTCAAACGCCAAAGCTTACTCTGCAGCCACTACAGCACAAACAATGATAATGGTACGCACCTCATGGATAGGCAACATAATAGAAGTGTTTTGGCGAGGACAGCGAGAGACCTTCGACAAAGATTTGTTAGCGGGATTGAAGGAGATGAGGAGCTTGGTACCTATGCTCATGGAGCAAAGAAGGGGAGGCAGGGCGGAAAGAAAGTACACGCGAGTAATGGCTAGAACTAGAAAAGCAGTGAAGGAGATCAAAGCGAAAGCGAACAAGGAACCAAGACTGAAGACTCGTCGGGTACAGAGCTCTTTTAGGGTATGGGAGAGAAGAGGAGGAGTGATGGAGGAAGTGGTATCAGAGCATCATGAGCATGAAGAGTGACGCAAGACATGGACAGCAAGGCAATCAAGGTGCATTACGAGGCAATGGAGGAACACGACAAGCGGACGGAGGAGCATGACAAGCGGGGAGAAGAGCATGATAAGGCGATGGAATAAGAGAGGAAGGCTAGAGCGATTCGCCGGGTTTTCGCAAGCGTGCAAGAGTTTTTCGATTAATCAATTGCTAGACATCCCTTCTCTATCCCCCCTCCTTCACCATCACCTCCCCATCCACTGTCCCAAACCTCCAACCAGGAAATTTTTCCTCCAGTAAATCCCGCTGTGACTCCCAAGCCTCACTCACATCCACCATCCGCAACACTTTTATGCTGACCTCGCCATCTTCAACCCTAAAACCCCACTCGAATCCGAAAATCGGACGAATCTCCTTCGTCATGACGGAATCCTCAATATACGTCAAAAAGCTCCAGCTAGTCCACTCCATATCCGTTCTATGTATACGGAACGGAGCATCAAAAAGCGTAGGTGCAATGCCGAAATAGATAAACGGCGTGTTCAGATCTGCGGTTATGGGGATGGGATCGTGTTCCCAGACACCAGAATCCGCGTCTGTGGTTTCGGGATGCAATGGGACCTCGCGGACAAATTGTATCCAGCCGTATGTTGCTGCGTAGCCGTAGTTTGAGAGTGCAGTGACAGTGGCAGTGCAGGCGGGGAAGTCGAGGAAGGAGGAGAGGGGTTGGGAAGGGAAGAGGAGAGCGCTGCCTGATCTTTTGGGGTCTGTGTTGGGTTTTATGGTGATGTGTACGTTTGTTGGATGCCGGCCGGGCACCGTGAATGAGCAATTCAGGGACTGGGTTTGAGGTTTAGATGTCATCTTGTCCAAGACTGTGGATATGATCTTAGAAGGATGGATAGCAAAAGGGAATGGCTTGACTGTATACTCTTGGTTTCCGAGAGCCACTTGTGTACTTAGTTGAGGACGGATCAAAGGTGTTGAGTAAGAATACGGCAGCCTTGAGCCTTTAGCCTAGGGTATTGCCTTTGAATGGTTCATGTACACGTGATCTGCTGACGCGTCTTCCTGGCATGCATCTAAATAGCTATGTGAAGCAGAAGAGAGCGGTATATCTGTGTCTTCCGATCAGACATTTCGGTGTATGAGCCATAGAGTATGCGGTATGAAGTATGGGGTATGGAGTGTGCGGTACGGGGTATAGAGGGGCTAGGTCTAGGCAAAGACAATTCTTTGTATGAATAAGGGTGCGTGAACAAAGCGGAATGCCTATATCATGATCCTGTTTATATCTATACCATAGCTATACAAATGACTGTGGATTAAGCTAGTCGATCTGTTATAGCCCCTATATACACCATTTCTAAGTTAAATCAACTCCTAATCACGTCAAGGTGTAATTTTCTTCCAAATCCTCTGTGTCTATTTAATGCATGGGTCCATCACGGCTTGCTGCTAACCTCGCGTTAAGGAGCTTTTATTAAAACACGATTTTCTATAAAGTGAGGGACTAGAATGACTACAACATGTGTAGCTATGGCGCCGTCTTATACTGGGACGTGCATTTTGGTGCTATTTTTGCTTACCAACCTAAACTCACTCGAATTGAGATAGGCTTCACTTTGACAGAAATTAGGATTGCTCTTTTCCCTTCGGTCCGATGGCTCTATAAATTGGAGGGTTGGTGGAGAAGAGCAGAATTCTTATGCGACGAGATTCTTGTTAAATTGCTGTGCCTGCTCGTTGGCCAATTCTCACTTGCACCAAAATTGGCTTCACTCCCATGAAAATCAAAATATCTCCCTCCCCTACACTCCGATAGCCCTGTAACCCACAGGGTAGGTGGAAAGGGCAAAAATGATGAAGCCTGTGGGGTTCGAACCCACGCTCTTTCGAACTAGCGGTTTAAGATATATATCAAGCAATTCTCGGCCATAGACTTTGAACGCGCTTGAAGCCTCCTAAAGCTAGCGCCTTAACCACTCGGCCAAAGCTCCTCATGCTTCTGGCTGCGGCGGTTCCAAATATGTCCTCAGATCAAAAATCTGTCGAGGCTTGGGCGCGCAATCTCGAGTCCAAAGACGCGCCTCAAATCTGCTTGATATGGCTATTTCGGCACGGTTAATAATGCGAAAGTGTTGATTGCGAACTTCAGTCATGACAAGTCGCCCTCTGCGGTCATTTTGCGCTACTTTCCAGCGCGATCGGACGAGCGGTTGTCGAGATATCTTGAGTTTTGGCTGGAAATGGCAGTGAGGATATTTTGGTGCATATTCTCGCTATAATGAAGCCGAGAATTGCGCTCTTCTTACTGGTTGATAGCGGACAAAGAAAGGACGATACCAGAGGGCTGTCGGGGCCGTATGTCTTGCACTGATTGAGTGACTGCAGATTGAAGATTTTCTTTGCGCCCGTGGGATATTCCGAAAATTTGCAGATGTGCCTTCACTTGTATCATACGATGCCATCCTGAAAAGTAGTCATGTAGGATTTCCATGCGATGTTCACGAAAATACAAAGATTCCATCATTCAAGGATCTTATAAAAGCAGCTATCTACAAGTAATACCTTACACATTGGCCCGACGGACATCAATACAGCGAAGCAGGATCAACAATGCCACCACCCACAGTCAGTTCGATCTTGCGATCCTCTCGGGGCTTCCATCGCTTCCATATCATCTGATCCCTAGCCGACATTCGACTTATCGATTCAACAATTTCCAATTTGGCAGAACCAATTCCTGTATCGCCCAAAGAACCATAAAGTAGCTTCCAATGTCCATCTTCAAGAATGCCACAGCTGATCTGAACGTTCCACTCCATGTCGCTATTGTAATCTCCGATGAGAATGGCGCGATCGTGGCGGGTAATCATATGAGTGATTCTCTTCCTGTCTCCAATGCGGTCCTCAACAATGGCGAATTCAAATGCTGAGTATTTGCGTTGGTCGAGGAAGGCGCGAAGAGCATTTGGATGCCAGTTCCAGAGGATGGTGGAGACGGCATGGGTCATGGTGAGATCTTTGGGATCTGTATCTTCGTCGAAATCGCCTGTATCAACTAGAGCGACTGGCGAGCCGTCGATGGAGAGTCTCAAATGAGGAAATGGGTCGCTTCTAAGAAAAGAAACCGGTTTAAACACGGAGCGAGGATCATCATATTCATCGTCTTCGTCGTCTTCGTCGTCTTCATCGCTATAGTCGATCCCGTCGTCGGAGCCATCCTCTTCATTTTCTTCATTGTCTTCACCAGGATTACCGGCGACCCTAGCATGGGTAGAGGTCACAGCTGCATGCTGGATCTGTTTGCAGGATTGTTTGTGCTGCCTCCAGTGTTCCTTTTGACAGCCTCGAGAACAGTACGATGCTTATTTGCATCCGGAACAACGCTGATAGAATTTACCAGGCAGTGCGGCAGACGCACAATTGGCACAAGAGCTGGCTGGTGACTGCTCCATGTTTGTTCAATTGACACTCAATGGTCATACGAGCGTCTGTACAAGGACCAAATTAGTTGAAGCCAGGCATCAGAATTATGCGTATCTTCATAGTCGTACCACAGTCTTGAATTCCTTGCAGGTTAACACCACAAAGAGTCCAGACGTGAAGACGGAAACCTCAGGCAGATTTATAGTGTACCAGCTTCTTAGGCAGCAGGAGACCCTGCAAACGCGTCGGCCAGCGCGCTTTTGGTCCGAGGATCAACCGTAGATTGATTTCCTTCCCTCGGCAGCAGGATGCTTTCTCTGTCTCACGCTCAACTCACTACACATTTTGGTCAGTAGAGGGCTCTTATGTAATACCGAGCTGGTCTCAAAATCGGGCGAATGCCGAGAGACGGTTGCAAAGAATGTTCGCGGCGTCGCATCAAATGCGACAAAGGCGCACCCGAATGTGCGAAATGCCTAAAGAAAGGCATACAATGTACAGGCGTTGGTCGTCAAATCAGGTTTGTTGAAGGTGCAATCTCGAAGGGAAAGCGCAAAGGGCATCCGATCTCCGCTGTCAGAAATATTGCGACAAATTTGAGCCGGCACATACACGACGCCACCGTGTCCACACCGAAACTAGAGACACTTTCAGGACCACTTCACCAAGACACCGATGTGAGATCGCCAATCGAAAATGTTGGGGGTTCTGAAGTTCTCGATGCCGAAAATGATGTAGAAGAAATCGAAACGGTCGTTCACCAGAGACTGAATTATGCACTGACCTGCACATCATCGGACTGTACTACCACATCGTTCCATCTCGACCCAGGAGCTGATCTGATTTTGGAGCTGCTGAAGCCTGGTATTCAGATGCTATTCGACCACTGTAGGCCACTCTGATTGCTTCTCGCTTGCTTGTTGGGTGTCTAACAGCAAACAGTTTCCTCGAGCATTGCATCAATCATGGTCGTCTTTGACGATGATTTCAACGGCTATCGCAACTTCTTACTTCCACTGGCCTATCAAGACGATCTCGTACAGCGAGCTGTGTCTGTCGTGGCTGCCTTCCACTTGTCAGCGAAGAAACCTGATCTTCTGCCCCTTGCAGAAACCGGACGTTCTGAGATTATAAAGAGGCTACGTGCGGATGCTTTTGCTGGAGAAAGCAACGAGGTTTTTAGCATGTCTACTTGGGCTACCATCATTCTGTTATTGGTGGGAGAGACCGTCACCGGATCTCAAGACTTTATTCACCTATACCGCATGCTCACCAATCTCTTAAGTCATACTGACCTCACAGGAGCAGAGCCATCGCCTGAACAAGGATTCTTGCTCCAGCAATCACGCATGTAAGTGGATACACTTTTATCTGTGGCACTTGGCCGACTGTCTTCATAGGTTCCAGTTATTCACGCCACCTTTACTTGACCTTACTCAAGGCCGCCAAACATTCGAGAAAGACCTGAACTTTTACTTCGATTTCATATTTTCCCAAACATATTCAGACAACCCGAGTATTGCTCGAAGCACGACCATCTTTCGGGAATCCATCAGGCGAGCGCGGAACATCTACTTGCGACAGGCTCTGGGCAATTATCAGCCCAGGCAGCTGTATGAGGACATTGAACAATTACGGCTCCTGGTATCTCCTATCCACTCTGACAGCCCTTGCATGCATACATTACCTTGGGTCTACTTCATCGCTGCTGCATCCAGCATTGATCAAGGTCATAGGCATTTCTTTGCGGACAGGCTTAGAGAAGTTCATGGGAAAACACGGATGAACAATATCATCGTGGCCCTGGAGCGACTGGAACAAATTTGGCTGTTACAACCAAACGGCGAATGGGCACGAAATCCCAGTCTGGTGAACCCGGTTTTGATCATATGACTCGTTTCTTCATACTTTTATCACTCGACAACATGGCCGGATTGGGTTATATGTTTTATCACAGATCTGTCTAGAGATGTGCAAATCGAGTTCTGTCAATGTCTCTCTTGACTGCCAGAGCCGCTCGAGTGCCCTCCTCAATGGCGCCGTCAATAAAACTTCTCCAGCCTACCGCCCAATCCGAATTGGCAAAGTACATGTTGCCTTGTGGAGCTCGGAGGTCCTCAAGATGCTCAGTCACAAGGCCTGGAGGAGAGAAGAACCAAGCGCCCTTTGCAAACTCGTCATCTGCCCAGTTGTGGAATACCTGAAGTTCGTCAGCAGTTTGGTCACATTCATCAGCCTGGTAGAGACTCACCACTCGTTCGATATCCATGGGAGTCAACGTTTGAAGTGCCTGCATGGTCTTGTTGATGTCCTTTTCTGGCTGGATGTTGTTATGCGAACCGCCGAAAGCAACGATATGAGTGTTGCCACTAGGGGTCGTGCCGTCACCAATAGCATACATCAAGCTATTGTTCGGGTATGTGATACCACTCCATGACCTCAAGTCGCGGTCGCGAACCTCGGCATGTATTTTGACACATTTGTTCACATGCTCGCGATTTGAAGCATCCAATTTCCCTGGAATCAATGCTGGGCTGAAAGCAACGTCCTTCAAGATGTTCATGGGGATTGCCGAGATCAGTCTGGCAGCCTTGTATATTTTCCCATCTCTTGCAGTCACCTGGACGTCACTTCCATTGTCTTTGATTGTAGCGACTGGTGTGTTGAAAGCATACGACAATCTTCCTGTCGCACAAGCTTCCTTGAAGAAGTTGATGGCGAAGCTCGATTGGCCACCCTTGAACTTGTACTTGATGAGATACTCAATGCAGTACTCATAGCTGTAGTTGCACAGGGCCCACCAGTGCAGATACTCGTAGAAGCTGGTCTTTTCCGGAGTGCTGCAGCTGCATAGCAGCACAAATCCAAGCAGGACAGTGTGTTCGTCTGGTGATAGGTCGTCCTTGATCTGTTCCATGCGGTCGGCGACAGACATCTTATCGTACTTCGCGGCTTCTGGACTGTAGCTTTCGCTGTGCGGGAATGGCATAACAGTCCTTCCGTGCTGACCGTCGACATTGGCAAATTTGTTCAAAGCGGATTCCATCAATCTATCCTTCAAATTCTCAGCATTGTCTCAAGTGCTGAGTTCCATGCGACTTACCTCGTCCTCGTGGCTCATGTTACGACTGCCGCTGGCGGAGTTGAGTGAAAAGTGATTGACACCTCTGCTATAGTCGTGAGAGATCTCCAGCTCATTGCGCATATCATATCTGGAGATTTCTCTCCATACATGAGGTTGGCCCCAACTGACCCAGGTACCACCCAACTCGAAAGGGTATCCCTCGATGTTGGATGACCACGAACGCCCACCAATCCTGTCGCGAGCTTCGAGTAATAGCACTTTGAGACCTAAACATCTCAATCAGCCGGGATCTGAACCAACAATGCGTGGGGCGTACCTGACAATGCAGCATCTCTGGCTGCTGTAAGACCACAGTAACCGGCACCGACAACAATAACATCGTAGATTGCCTGCTCGTCCTTGATGTTCGTCGGTGGTTGAATGACACCAATGCTAGGTACGCCTTTAACGAGTCCGGAAGACTCTGTCCACTGGTAACCGTCTCTTGAAGTCATTGCGGATGTGTGAAAAGTGTCTCGCGATTCGTATTCGGAGCGCGTCACTGGGAGCCGCTGGGTATTTATTGTTTCAAGCTATTTCCTGTCTCTTCTAACACATCCACATTTCTAATTCCATGACCAATGGTTATGGTCATTCCCACCTATCGTTTCTGGTTTCATGACTATCCGCGTGAGCACACGCCGGGTTCGCAAGCTTTCTCACTTTCCTTGCCCCATTCGGCTTAGTTCTCTCTTATATTTCCTCATTGGGATTTCTCACTTTCGTTGCCTAATTGGGAACGCTGCCCCATACTACCCTGAGCGCTCAACTACAGCCAAACATGATCTCTCAGTCAGACATAAAGTCATATCTTGGTCACAGATAGGCAATCTGATAGCCGTATCAGTGAATTGATCGAATTGACTAAAAGATGAGAGATACGATCGAAACCAGAACAGCCAGCCATCGTATAGTGCAATTGCTCCCATTTGAGCGGGGTAAAGTTACTCTGGGCCTCATGGTATCAATTCAGTTGTGTATCTAGCGGAACCATTCCTTCCTGTTGTACGTCAACCTTTATCTCCAGCTTCCCGAGTGTTCAAACATAAGTACCCCTAGGATCCTTCTACGGGAGACTTGATCATCGACTTGACCTGTCTGACCTACTCAATATGCTATCAACCGATAGGAAGAGCACGTCTTCCAGAAGTGTGTCTTAACTTGTCACCATCCCACTATCAATCTGCTCATTGCTTACGCACCGTACGCAGCTCGAGCCGACTCCACCACCGTCAAGTATACTGCACACGATCCTGAAAGGCTCTCTGTGTCAGTAGGAGATGTCAGTGACTTGGGCCTACGGCCAGTCCGTCGCCATTTCAGCAAACTGAACATCGTCGCCCTGAGTTTCAACATATGCAATTCATGGGTAGCTATAGCTGCATCGCTCGCCATCGCCGTCAGCGCAGGAGGAACGGCGACGCTCATCTACGGCATACCCCTGGCAACTATTGCTTATGCAGCTACTGGAGCGTCACTTGCGGAGATGGCTTCTTGCTATCCTACTGCTGGTGGCCAGTAAGTCGTTTTCAAACTTCGTCGCTTTTATGATCTAAACATCCTCAGGTACCACTTTGCTTCTATACTCGCACCTAAACGACTCGCTCGTGGACTCTCTTATACATGTGGTTCGATTGCCATGTTCTCCTGGATAGCCCTGGGTGCTGCTGCAACTATCCTCGCTACGCAGATGCTTCTAGCGCTAGTAGTATACTACCAAGCTAGCTATGTACCTCAAGCCTGGCATTACTTTGTTGTATATCAAGCCATCAATGTGGTCTTTCTTATCTACAACCTGTTTGCTCTCGTCAAAACACCCTGGGTACATAACGTGGGATGTAAGTGTACGGTCCTTCTCTCAAGTTGATCCGAACTGATTATAGACCAGTACTCCTCACGCTCGCCTCCTTCGTCGTCATCACCATCACCTGCCTTGTCCGCTCCGAGAAGCAAGATGCAACGTATGTCTGGGCTACCATGGAGAGTAACACAGGTTATCCTGCTGGAGTGACGTTCCTCACCGGCTTCGCAACGCCCTGCTTCATGTTTGCCGGCCTTGACGCATCCCTCCACCTAGCAGAAGAATGCACAGAACCCGAGAAGACGGTCCCGAAAGCTCTTTGCACAACCATAGCCATTGGATTCGTCACTGGATTCATCTTTGCTGTCGCTATGTGCTATGGTATCAGAGATCTCGACTCTTTGATCTCTACGACGTAAGTTCTTGTCTTTGAGTTTGATGGCCGGAAAGGTGCTGATCTGTTTTCTGCAGTATGCCCATTTATGAACTCTGGCGACAAGAAGCTGGCAGTGCTGCTGCAACAGCCTTCTTAGCTGCTCTTCTCGTCATCAACCTTTTCGTTATCAACGCCGTGCAACAAACCTCCTCCCACCTCATCTGGGCGTTTGGGCGCGACAATGGTCTCGTATTCTCAAAACACCTCGCAAAAATGCATGATGGACTCGGAGTCCCCGTGTGGTCTCTCCTCGCTAACGCCGCCGTGATTTTCATCGCCGGTTGCATTTATCTCGCCTCCACTGCTGCGTTCAATGCGCTGATCAACACGACTATCATTTTGGCGATGATCTCCTTCGCTATACCTTGCTTACTGCTCATGTGCAGAGGTAGAAGCGAAAAGTTCCTGTTCAAAGATCGATGGTTCAAGCTGCCTAGTTGGTTGGGTTGGGTGTGCAATGCCACTGTAGTGGTATTCGCTATCATTGAGCTTGTGTTCTTTGATCTGCCCACTTCGCTTCCGACCACAGGGTCCAGTATGAGTGAGTCTTCTTGTTTTTGCTTCTCCCTAGAGTTCACTGATACTGATTGGACACAGATTACACGAGTGCTGTACTGGCTACGATGGCGGTGTTTAGCGCTATTAACTGGATTTGTTATGCAAGGAAACATTACAAGGGTCCACGAATTGATCTGGCCACATGAGGTAGGGAGTGCGATGATTTTTTGGCAATTTTGTGTTATACTGTAGCTACATTCTGTCCAGTGCTCTTTATCCTCAATGAAGATGCCGAGCGTGTGTCTGTATGCTGGCGAACATTTCCAGGACTATCCTTGGTCGAGGAGTCAGGGTGCTACCCTTGACAAGACGTTTTACATGACGAAGACAATATTGCTCGACCACGTTTGACTTCTTGTTAATGTGACTATACAGGCTATGTCAAAGGTTTTCAGAATTCGGACTCAATGCCATGTATAGTCATTTTCTGCTTTTGTTGTTGGATTATAGACGAAAATATGTTTACATCCACTGATGATCAAGACAGCAGCCCCATGCTAATGCGTTACACACTGAATCACAGCATACCCATGTGATCAAGTCACCAACAACTATCAGAGACGCAACAAAGTTTACAATTTCACCGTTTGATATGCTAGCTACATTTGAAGCAGAATGGATAATCAGGAAGAGCATACAAGAGGACGTCAACGAGCACATGTTATTGATAAGCAAGAGCAGGGTGGCACCCAAAGCGTTCCAAACGTGCATAAGTCCCGAAAATAATGCAAACTTGCTCTATAAAACCATCCCAAACAAACAGACAGACGACTACCCACGCAAGATTCTGACATTACAACCATCTCACAATCTCATCTCTTTGGCAAGAATCACACCGAACTGATCATCCCCAGTGCCATATCGACGCCATCCCTCCGCTTTGATCTGCTCCACCACTCTTATCCTCTCGTCTCTAAGCTGGGCAGCAAGAGAATTGTGCTTCCTAATCTCCGGAACTTTGCTCCTGAAGAACGCAAGACCAAATCCAGGATCCTCGAGAACTTGCTGCCTGTGCGACTGAAATTCTTTATGTGCCTCTGTAAAATTACCAATGCCCAGCTCAAGGAGGTCCCTGATGTCGGCGAAGCTATCGCTAGCGCTGCGGACACGATGGAGCGCTGTGCGCAAACGATGGAGTTTACGACTCTCCTCACGATCCTCCTGAGAGCGTTTTCTCCACCGGTAATCTTCTCCGAGGAACCAATTGAGAGGGTTCAAGGTGATGGAAGGGAGGTTGACGACAGGGAAGTTGGGGAAAGGACCAAGAGCTCTGAACCAAGGAAGAGGTACAGGGATGTAGATTGGCTTTTTCTTCCTAAAGTCATTACGGTAGGAGAGATTGATAAGTCTATCAATTTCCTTGAGAAGTCCTTCGCGTGTTGTGAGAGCATCAGCTACAGCTTTGTTTGCGCGCATCAGGTGACTGCGACATTCGATATGTGGTGTGTTGAGTGTCTTGAATGCTTTCTTGGGCGATATGATGGTCACTCCTATCCATCGGATCGCAAAAGTACCCCAGGACTCGGTAGGAGAGCCATAGGACATCTTTCTGGAGAGTATGTTGATGGCGCTTTCATCGTGCCTGACCACACATGTCGCAAACTTGTTGAGATCGTTCTCCAGAGTCCACGCTACATGCAATATGCGATTGAGATGGCGCTTGGTGTATGTCGTGTGTCTGACGATAGAAGTGTCATTTGCCTGCAAAACCTTGAGCTCTGCTTTCGCAATTGCCAAAGTATACTTGAGCTCAAGATCCTTGATCTCGGAAACAGCTTCGATGCCATCTGAGATGCCAAACTTCTTCACAGCCGGCTCAGCTGCCACTGGAACAGTGTGATGATCAGAGCTAGAGCTCGAGGTGAACGGCAAGTAGACAGAACTAGCAGAAGACAGCTTAGATGTCGCAAAGCTTTTGGCTTCGCTCGCAAAGGATTCAAAAACGCTCTGAGTTGTTTCCTCCATGTGATCAATCTCGGTCGTCGGTGGAGGGTCTGTAGACTTGCGTACGGTGATGGTCTGTACATCCTTCTTCTTTGAAGGAAATGTCCAAGACCCCAGAGACTTGGTGCTGGTACTGGCGAATAGGGTTGAGATCACGCTTCCAGTCTTCGTCAAGGTCTTGCTGGTCGTTGAAACCGGCTCCTTTGCGCAACCATCCCATGCTTCGGCTCCTGGGATATAGCAGAGATAATCCTTAAATTTTGCAGGTGCTTCCTTGAGCTTATCTGTGCCGTAGTCGATCGAGTCCTTGCATGTGTGCATCAATTCTTCGATGTTTGCATTCGCGCCTATCTCTTCGACCTTGCTGTAATTCGTATCTACAGCGTTGTGACAGTGGTCTATAACATTGGCGATGGTGAAGTTGGGGTCCCCGGTACAGTTCCATCCATCAGGGTTGCCAAAGATGTTACAGACCACTTTGGGTGCAGCATGAGCCAGCTCTGTCAAGGGTTGAGAAGGTAACTCCAGATTGGATGGAGAAGACAAGCCTATAAGAATGGCGAGGAATACCAACACTAGCCAAATGAATCCAGAGTGTGGTACAAAGCCCTCAAGAGATGTCCAGGAGCTTTTCTTCGACGGGAAGTCAAAGATGCTGACTCGAGTGGAGGAAGGCGTGTCGGGTCTCCTCCTTCTCCAAGTTGGAGATGATCGTAGACGCATGCGCTCTTCCTCGTCGTAGTCGCTCAAGATTTCAACTCGCTTCGGACGCGATGAAGATCTACTGCGGAAGGTTGGAGAGGCCATGGCTTTGGCTCGAGAAAGATTGGGCGGGCTGATGCGGTCCTTGAACTTCTCGGTCGGATGATCGGGATATGCACAGAAGCTGCTCATGTAATATTGTTTACCATCCTGTCTCGGAAGTGACACTGAAGGTTCTGCCTGGTGGGTGACCTTGAACCCCTCTGACAGACGACGGCGTACATGCGAGGTGTCAGTAGCCGTACTGGATGACAAAGTCTTGGTGTTGTTCTTGCGCTGAGGCTTTCCCCATGTCAGTGAAGGGGTGGAAGCAGTCTTTGGTATTGGAGTGTCTTGATCGTAATCAAGGTCTGAAAAATAAGCATTGGTTCGGATACGGTTTAGAGATCTTGCAGGCTGTGATGGCTTACTAGCAGGTCGACTTCGACTTCTGCTGCGAGCTTGTCTGGTTACAGTAGCCATGATCAGATATGCGTGTATAGTTCCTAAGGTGATCGGGATCGAGGACTGGCGAAACTGTCACACAGGGAGTTGGATATTCCAGCTATCATCTTACCTTTGTGCCTCATGCTTTCCGAAAAAAGGGGCGTCCAAAAGACAGCTGCTTGCGGTATCTAGCATATCGCCAAAGTCGTTCTCAATCAGTCGAACCGTTTTCGGACGTGGTCAGTACAAAGCGTTGTTTATCAAGGCCCATGTCTTGCCATACTATGCAGACAAGGACACTGTTGGAGTAGAAAACCAGAAGCATCCGGTCAGCTCATCCTCGTTCATCTAGGAAGAAGGATGCTATAATCTTCTGGATGTTAGTATGGCTTACCGTGAGAAGCCGCGGTACAGGAGCTCAACCGGCGTCATGCGCGTGCATGCATGCGCTCCGGAATGTAAAATGCTCCACCCTCGCGTGAATATGCATTCCTCAGTCATCCCGCTGCAGCATTATCGCCTTGTTCATCTGTCACATCATTCGGGAAGTCGGCCCTTTGACTTGTCGGCCAGAAGTGACTCGAGAGGTGAAGTCCAGCTCGCTGACGAACATGCGGCACAGACTGGAGCCGTAGCTTTTCTTGTTGTACCGTTGCTTCTCCTTCTCCGCAAGGGTCTGCAACATACAACACAGATAAGCGACGGCAAGTACGGCAGAGGCGTGGAAAGCATATCTATCACCCGTGCCTTCCGTGTCCGAGGAGTCTCGAACTGTCTGAAGGTGGTGAGATGGATCCTGGGGGTGGATTTGAGAAGGAAGAGAGAAGTGGATGCTGACGCATGAGAAGCAATACTGTGACGTAGTAGAAATTCTTGTAGGCACGCGTCACCTATTTCTGTCACCATACTGAACAATACGTATGTAATCAATTCTTGCTTGCACATGATGTGGATAGAGATTAGCACCCATAGGCAGACGTTTTGGATGGATGATTTGCAAGCTGACGTTGCCTGGAATACGTTTGCGTATCTGATTGTGTTGATCTTTCGATAAAGAGCTGATTTGCAATCGTGAGGGGCGTTGATCCAGGGTCCCCTTCCTGTTTCCAAGAAATTCGCTTGCACGTGTCAACTGATCTTCGACTCTTCGGCAGGAGTTTACAAAATCTTCATATCCCAACTATCGAACCATTTTTTCCTGGTAATATTGCGCCGCTGCGAGTGCACCCTCGTAGAACAGAGAGATGAACGACGAAGTGATGCGATCTGATGCTGGATCGGATGTGGGTGAATTATATACATGCAAAGTCAAAATTGCTTCAACCACAGGTTGTATAGTGTAATGGTTAGCACATCGGATTCTGATTCCGGTAATCCAAGTTCGATCCCTGGTACGACCTTATCCTTTTGCCCTTCAGTCACAAGCTGTAAAGAACGTTCAATGCGCGCGGCTTGCTCTAAATTTTGCCAAATTTTCATCCTGTGGAGAACAACATGCCCTGCGGAAGCCACAATTTCGCTCGTTGAGAGACACCAAACGCCCACTCCACTGTGCAGAACTGCTTGGCTTTCGGCGACAGAGAATTTCCAATGGTGAAGTGGAGCAAGTATTGTAGTGCGGCCGTATTATACGAGTAGCAAGAGAGGAAGGACTTTGTTCCGATTCAGACTGGCTGAGCAACTACTTCCCTCGATGCCCAGCAATTCAAGACGCATGGGAAAACTCCAGCAAAGTGGGAGAGGAGTCGACGTCGTCACGCACAGCGCTGCAAATGAGAAGGTGGATACAGTACGACGATGTTGCAGATCCTCATGGACTGGATCTCGTTGGACAATGCGTCATGCATGAAGGGAAAAATTGGAGGAGAAAAATAAATTAATCAATTAAATTATGGATTGGTAAGGGCGTCCGCGCTTAAGGTGCTCGGCAATTGACAAGACGTCTCAGGCATGTGCAGCAAGCAACAGAAAAGAGAATCGAAGTCTGTCTTCCCAACTCGTATGCCAAGCATTATTGAGCCGTGAGGGAAGAAATAGAGAACGGCGTTTTCAGCGAAGAAAACCGCCGAAGAAGCTGAAGAGAAAGATGAAGAAGATCCACTACGAAAAGTCTTCCAGACAAATGTAAGAGGAAGACTTCCGTTTCCGGACGAACATTGGCGAGATGGACTCGAACCGTTGGGCGCTGTATGGACACATGTCGCGGCCTTGACTCGGTTCAGACGGGGTGGCGGCGGACGAGCTAGTATGGGAGAAGCCGTTCAGCTGCTAGACCCTGACTCATAGTCCGGGGGCCCACCCAGGTCTATTCACACAGCCGGAATATTGAAGGAGAGGTCCAATGGTTGCTCTGCTGATCTGGCTGATCAGGGATATCGGTGTCAATTGTTCTGTCGGTAGAGGCCGTAGCCATTCTGGTGTGTGAAAGCGAAATTCGTTGATCCGGTTGCCTCAATTTGAGTAGAGAGCGTGCAATCGAGCAACGAAGGAGTGTATGTTGTTATGTCTTGATTCCTCAAACGGCGTTCAGGGAGCGTGTTTCCTTTTGGTGGAGAAAGCTCTCATCAATCCTGAAATGCTGGGCGAGGTAGGTGTGGCAGGAGGACTGTGTGTTGACGAGGCGAACTTGACGCTCTCAATCGATCCTTTGGAGCTGCTGCTGGACGAAGGAGATCTCTGACGGTGTTCGAGGCAATCTTCGAGTGTGACATTGGCCGAAGGAAGAGATGGTGGCGAGTAATCGTCAAGCAATTCGGTGAACTTGGAGGTGACCATGTTTGTTGTGAGATGAGTGGCGAGTCTAGTTGATGATGAGTGGTGTGAGTTCAATGGTGAGATTTGGGTGGTGTATGGAAGGTGGACGATATGATATGGTATAAGGCAAATTGGAACCAGAGAAAGAAACAGAGGGATCAACAAGTGATTTGTACCATTCCATCCGTACCACGAGCCACGCTACAGGGTCCAGCCATCCCTGCAGGCACAACGGTCATGGTGGACCATTGGAAAGCCTAAAAGTTCGGCTCACGTTACCATTAGCTCCAGCAGAGGACGGGCCCACACACACAGGTCGCTTCGCGGAGAGGCGCGCAAGAGCAGATCTGCAAATGATGTCGTGGTCTGCTCTTGGGAGGTTTACGTACCCAGGCACACCGCAAGCATGTCGTCTCATGTCTTTCCTATGCAAGCCTGTGTTTCGAGATATGCGTCATGCGAAGACTGCGCAAGACCCAGTGCCACAGTGGGAGGCATCGGCAAGAAACATCAGCCACGTCCGAATACGCACGAGACGCGCCATACGTTCTCCTGGTCGTACGGTCGTCTATTAGCTCTGCGACTCGAGTACATTTTCTTGTCGATCTTCCAATAGCCACACACCTACTTTTTACGGTTCGATTCCCAATCCAAAAAGTACTCTACTCTCTGCATGCACATCGAGAGAAAACAAAGCATTCGTGAGGCGGGGGAAAGAGTTCCCCTGTTCCATTGCATCAGGCAGGCGCCATTCGCATCGACGGTCACCACTCCGTCACTTCCGGAATCCGTGCAAGACGTGACTTCCATTCTTTACAATTTCTGCTTGGTCATGCGACGTGTACCACCGCAACCGTACCCGCTCAGGGTGAGTAATAGAAAGAGCAACAACGGCATCACGACCCGAACGTGTTCGCATCCGTCACGCCGTGATTCCGAGCGCGCGAGACATTTTACCTTTGCGACAACGGAGAAACAATAGTCAAGTGCTCCGAGTGCGAGGCGAATCTCACGAGGCAGCGACTTTGCGACGAATACTCGGAGACGTGTACATCCTGATTTCTCTGCCACACTCCATTCGCCGTTGGAAGCTACCCCTCGAACGTGCCTGTACCTTTTTTCTCCTTACCGCCTCTTATACCGCGGTACAGAGTCCAGACAGTCTGTCAACATCATCGATGTTGCGGAGAATATTCGCAGCTCTGTAGGCGATAGGCCTGGAGTGTTTTCCACGAGTCGGTTGCTGCGAGGAGCCGGAAGTCTCGTGGTCAGGGCTGTTGACTGTTGACAACCGTGATAGGGATCTCGGGATAAGAATCTACTGATTCACCGTTGCGAACGGTGGCCTCGGTCGCTTACATGTGCCACGCCTTGCAGAAGAGTCGCCTCAGCTTTGCACCATTGTCAATACAAGTCACCAGTCGCAAGCAGAGACTGGAACCAGGTTTTGGCATGTGAGGTTGTAGACAGCTCTGACTCACGATGATCGATGGAGGTCGACTAGGACAACCAAACCCAAAACAAACCGTAGATCCAAGCGTACTCCAACACATGACCAAAACCGTTGCGCGATCAAGTGATTCGCAACCAAAGTATCAATGCTCCTTTTCCTTCCCTCCTTTCCAATCCGGAGAAACATCTCAAAGCGAATCCGGAGAATAGGAAACTTATTCAGTCCTTCTAGAAGGTGCATCATCCAATTTCCGCAACGCCGTCTTGTGGTCTAGGAGAATGGAAGGCCTGGTTCCGAAGTCCGAGCGAGGCTGTTTAGGCGTCAAGAACTCCTAGACGACCACACGAACCGGTCTTTGATACTGGCTCTGTGTTGCGCATGAGGTACAAGCTCGGTCACAACATCACGTCAAACCATCCTGACATGTCTTGCGACTTGGTACACTCTAGCGGGGTGTGTGCTTGACGACAGGCTTTCATCTCTTTTTCGAGTCAACTGGTCATTAGGAAGTGTAGTTGGTGTACGTACCTCGGCCACTGATTTACGTTTTTTTGGATCGGCTCGTGGGTGCTCGATTTATTTCGCTTTCGACTCCAGAGTCAACTCCTGAAGATCGTTGCTGACTCTCTCTGGCACGATCTGTGTATCGCTACAGCATCACAGATCAACAAACCACCAAACATTGCCTTCCTCATTGCCGATGCATGGCGTTTAGCCGGAGTGTCACACCTCACCGACATTCTGAGCTTCCCCTTCAACAGACCATCAGAAACACGACATGCTACTCCTCTACCACTAGGAAACCTGTGCTTAATACTAGTCCTCAGAAGTTGCAGTAGCTGATGCTGGCTCCCCACAAAACCATATTAGCTTCAGATCGACTCGTCTATCGGATATCGAGATTCGCACAAGCACCGCCAATAGTCTGAGAACAGACTGCCGCATGACTCTCTCGAACATGAACCCGGTGTCAGCTCGAAATACCATCGAAGATTCGAACATTTCCTGGCAAACATCGATCACGGTGATCAAACGGATTGATCGATCCAACAAAGACGATCCATCGAACATTCTCTGACAATTGTTTGACCTCGAGCTGAATTGATACTACTAGAAGGCATGTGATAGCAATGCACACTGTCAAGTTGGAGGTTCCCAAGATCCACGTCGCTGCACTGAGCACGGAGGTCTCCTCGCGGCACCCATGCGGCACCTTTGCAATTCCTCGACCTCGTACTCCGCATCCGCATCCTCCTCTCCGTCTTCTACCGCACATCCTGGTGCAGTGCGTGGTGTTGAACTCACCATATCTCGCGGCATATTGTTTAAAGACCGCCTTGCGTCACTGGCAGTGAGTCCCGACGATGTCGGGGCTACTGTGCTGGAGTTTACCATTCCCGACGTCTCGAACGTGGTAGAATTACGTCCTTGAAATCGTACCTGATGCTGTGGTAGGCTACTTTGTGTCCCGCCTTGGGCATGTCTTTCTTGTACCTTTCGCATGGCTTCTTGAACTTCTCTCTGTTCAACTCGAGGTTGGTTGGCCGCTCTGTTCCCGAACTTGCCGACGAGTGTATCTGCGGAAGGATCTTTGTATGCACCGACGGTCTCGATACCAGTCATGTACGTGTAGTTGGCGCATGTCGGCGAACAGCCTTGTTGACAGTATGGATCTGTACCACCGCAGTGGCCCATCCACGCATTGATGTTTCGAGGATCCGGCATGTCTGGATCAGTGGAGTATCTGGATCCGCTGCACGGCGAAAATGCAAAGATGACAGGGGTCTGCTGTATCTGGTTTCTTTTTGACAGAAAAGGTATGTGACCTGGACTACGTACCACTGGACTTTATGACTGGTTACATCGGGGTGAGACAGGCGTTCGCATGGCAAACAAGGTTTACTGCCGTCCGACAGGTGCGGCACGCTTTGCAGTCCGGCTGTGTGACACGCTTACTGTCGTACAGGAACGTAAGATAAATCAAGGTGAGGTAGAGATCACTAAGATCCATCAACATCGACCGGGTTAGAAGCATCTCCATGAGCATAGTACCATCGGTTCATACTACGGTTGACTGCCTTGGTTTCTGAAGCAGGAAGTGTCTGCAGAGATCCGCTCACCTTATCGGCTCTCCATAGACAACGTATGGAACAATGACGATCCTTGGACTGTAGAGTCGCACGGTCGATCTTGGTATGAACACGCATGTCCAGAAGGGTTTGGAGACTCGACAAGCTCACGGACAATCCACACTCATTCCGAAGACAATGGTGCAATCACACAACCCTCTGCTGATTTCCGACTAGTCAGAACTCGTCTCTATAACTTTTGCTTTTTCACTCTGAAGCTTGAGCTTGGATGTATGAAAGCATTGATATTGCCTCCAGTGCTTTGCTTGAGCTCCTATATTCTGGATTGCTTTCGTCTAGCCATGTTGTTCTGCATTCGTATCTTCACATCAATATCGCTTCATTGGTCCACCAGTCACGAAATTCAGGAGTCAAGCGTTGCAGTGATCCAGCTGAGGAAGCCAGTGATATAGGCGAGGAGGACAAAGCTAAGAACGACACAAGATATCATACTCTGCATGGTGTCTCAAATCACGATTGCTTCTGTCCAATATAGATATGTGATTCGTAGAGAGGCTAGAGCAATGCTCGATCCAGAGAAAGGAAGATGAGAGAGTGCGCGTTTTGCGGCGTATGAGAAGATGTTTACACAGTAAGCCAGCCAGAGATCAAGCAAGATGAAGAAATGTACGTTTCGTGTCTGCATGTCAGGGGTATCTACCGTGAAAGCTGCCTCGTGTCTGTGGTCTTGTCCGGCCTACGCCATACTAGCAATGGTGCCAATGCCAATGCCATGTTTGAAGAATCGAGAAAAGTTCTCTCTGGTCGTGAATGAGTCATGTCTTGAGTCGGCGCTCCTTTTACAAAAAGTAATCAGCCACTGGCTTTTTGGCTGGCATCCCCCTAGAATCCTGCGGCGCAGCCTCAAAGACACGATACCTCCTCCCCGGCCCTTGTTTCAAGACCATGTCAGTAACGACTGCCTGTGATCGTTCGACTTCGCCATTACTGCGTGGCGTATACCCGCCATTAGCACCATCCTCGGACAGCTCCAGAATTGCAGCAACATTGCCACAGCGATAGCAATAATTAGGCGCACTCCACACCGTGACAATCGTATTATCAAACATTTCCTTGAAGCCTTCCATAACAAGCTGGTGTGCTCTAGCGATGAGCGACAAGTCGTTTTTGTGGTTGAAGTGTTTGACTATGTCGGCGCCGAAGAGGAAACCAGCGCCTCGGGGGGAGAGGCCCCAACCGTCAATGTCGTCTGGATCAGACCAGAGAAGATCGCACATGGCGCCTTCGTGGGGCACTTCTTGCTTGCGGTCGATGAGTCTGATTTTGTCGATGCTGTCAATCAAGGGTGATAGGCCGCCGTGGACGCATAGTACGGCACCGCCTGGATTTGATGCGGAGCCACTACTTGAGGAGGTTGCGCCTGTGCCTGCAGGGCCGGTATTTGAGGGGCTGTTGGGTACGGAGGATTCAGTGGAGGGTTTCGGGCGAGGAAAGCGATTCATGACTTGATTATGCGAGTTTATGATTTCGATTTCGACGTCTTCGAGAGATTCGGAGCAGGGTTGTTGAGGGTCATTTGGAAGTTCGGCGGTGGTGGGACCGAGTTCGTTTGCGGCGCCTAGGATCAGAGCTCCTAGGGCAAGGTAGTCAAAGACTTCGCAGCAATATCGCCAGACGTTGGCGCTGCCGTATTTGCGTAGGCATTCGTCGTAGAAGCCGTAAACGGTGGTGATCTGTCTTGATTCGTGGTTGCCACGGATGAGGGTGATACGATCGGGGTAGCGGACCTTGAGGCAGAGGAGGAGGAGGAAGGATTCAAGCGAGTAGAAGCCGCGGTCGACAAAGTCGCCTGGGTGGTGTGAGCTAGTGCATGTGGTGCGAATGAGGAGGAGAGGGTACCCATGAAGAGGTAGTTGGTGTCAGGAACAGGGCCACCAACGCGGAAGAGCTCCATCAAGTCATGGAACTGGCCGTGGATGTCGCCGCATATCTGGATGCCGTCAGCATTGGGCAATGCAGAAAGTGAGACCGAGACTGACCGTGACTGGGGCATTTACGGTGACGACGTTGCCTTCTTCGATCAATAGCTCTCTGGCTTTGTAGCAGAGCTCGCGGACTTGCGACTCTGGGATTGGCCGGCATGAGCGCAACTGCGCAATCGCCTTGTCTAGATCGCTCATTCCAGGATACTGTCGCGTGTCGCGTGCGCCAACGAGGGTCGGGGTGTGATGACGGTCGTGATGGTCCACAGGCTGTGTGCTTCTACTGTCTTGTCGCGAAGCCCTAGCGTGTGCTTGTCCAGCAATCCAGTCAGGTTGTACTCTACACACGAAAGAGACGCGATGAGCACTCAGTCCCAAAAGTTGACGCCTCTCGGCCTCTCCAGATGTCCAAAGGCCCGAGCTTCCTCACGTATGCCGAGCCCGTTCCAATCGTCGGTTGCTCCCGCCAGACCAGCCAAACCCTAAAAACTTGATCAATCTGATGCCAAGACTCTGTCGCAGAACCATATCCTTCTTTTCTGCTTTGCTCTGCAGGCCTGCATAAACATTCAACAATATACCATGTCAAAAAGATTCGCCGAGCCCGATGGCCATCAACCTAGAGACAACAAGCGTCCGAAAACACAACCACCGGTCGCCGTAATCCCCGCCATTGATATCTTCTCCGCCCGTCAGCTTCAGGAACTTCTTTCATTCAGCCAAGATGCCGTCCAGCATCTAAGGAATGGCATCCAATCTTTCAAGCAGTTTCTGGAACTTATCCTCTACCAAAATGATGAGCCCAACCGGCCTGCAAAGATCAACATCCTCAATGATTATCTGGACGCCGCAAAACTGAAAGCTGCCCGTGACAAGGATGCTGAATTTCTTCCCGATTTCATGCAGGCATGGAGCTTTGCAAACCAGACTAACAACGATTACCTGGCTACCTCGGTCGCTTCGATCTTGGCTTTATTGTTGAAGACAATCTCCATTCTCATCGAATCCCGCGAATATGGCATTCTCCTCGTCAAGACTCTCTTGAATCATGCCCAGCTCAAGCTCATCTCAAGGAGTGTCTCTGCTCCCAAGCACAAGGAGCATGTCATCTCACCCTCTCTGCGTATTCTTACCGAGATGGTCTCTTTCGACGCCGGTCTCATGGCCAAGCAGGTCTATGCAAAGCGCGACTTTACCTTTGAGACAAAGATTGTCGCCCGTAACCTCTGTTTGATCAAGAGTGGTTCTGGTCCTTCAGTCCGATCGAACGCTGTTCGCTACCTACTTGCAAACTTCAAGTACCAAGGAGAAGGTGCTAAGATTGACATCCTCAAGAACGGCCACATTACCAAGGCTCTGTTCGATCACCTCAAGGATGACTCGGCCGATGCTCTGCAAGAAATCTTCAAGGTGCTCGAAACTGCTATCCTGCGCGATGAGACCATTCCTCGTGCAACAAAGACTCAAACCATCAGTGAACGTTCTCTGGCAGGTGTTCTGGCCGCTCTTCGAACTTTCGCCGCCACCGAAAGCCCTACAGGCGACGACTCCACCCTGATCCGTGGCAAGAATGCGACGATGTCCTTCTTGAAGCTAGTCAGCACTACACCTTCTCTCGGTCTTCTCCGCCCAAGCGGCTGGTATCCTCCTGGAAGCGAACGCCACACTAGAGATCAGAACGATGATGTTGAAACCGATCTTGCACTTGATCTTGGCCTAGACTCTGTCGACTGGTACAACAAGTTCCAAGGTCAAGTCACTGTACGAAACACCATCCTTTCCGGCTTCTCACAGACCTTGAAGCCTTACGCCAGCGAGGAAGAGAGGGACATTTTACTCTCGATTTTCGCCGCTGCGCCCGAAATCGTCGCAGACTACTACTTTGCAAGAGGAGAGAAGTTCTCGTTCGAGCCCAAGCTCACCAATACCTGGATCGGATACGCATCTTTCCTCTTCTCTTCCGTACAGGTTCCCTTCCCCAAGTACTTTGGCGCTCAGGACCACTACCCCAGCTGTCCTCCTCCCGTCTCGATTGCTATCGAGAATATCCTTCCTCTGCCTCTCACCCAAAGGATCTTGACCAAGTCCCTAAACCAATCCTCCGACCTCATTACTCTGTTCGCCGTTCGCATCTTGGTTGTCGCGTTCCAAAAGTTGCACAAGGTCCTGCAAGCATTCAACGTCGCAGCTGCCGAAGGAAATCCACTCTGGAAAGAAGGATCAATCAGATTAATTGCAGGGTTCTGTCAAAGGTGTCCACCCGTCAAGGACGTCATCGCTGCCTTCCGCAAGATTTCTGATGATAATATCCTGCAAAAGGAAGCCGTCTCAAGACTGCTCCGCATGTACTACCAGGTCACCCCTCAAGCTGCCCTGGAGGAGAAGTTCGATGTTTCCCAAGCATTGACCGTCGCCATGTCGAGAGCGGAGACTGTGACGTCCGACAGCGAGAACTACGCTTTCCGTCTATTGGAGCTGCAGCATTTGCTCGTCATTGCTCAATGCTCTGCTGGCATGCGTTGGTGGCACAAACAGGGTTCGCTCAAGTTTTCTCCTTTCACCACTTTGCTTCGTTTGAGCGCACAGACTCCTGTTGACCAGTCTACTGGGTCTGAATTTATCAACCTGCTGCAGTCGGTCATTGACGAGCACAGCATCTTGCAACAGCAGACCGATGAGCCTTCTGTCAATGCTTTGATTGCTAGTCTGGCAGACGATCAGGACTGGAAGCCGAGTGAGGCTCTCTACACCTTTATTGATGATTGTCTTGGTCGTCTTGTCAGAAAGCCAATCAAGTACTTGGACGATCTTGACGAATTGGCAGGTGGTTCCAACCATGGCAAGATTCTTAGTGTGCTGGTTCTGGTCTGCTTGGAGCAAATCCCCTTCACCTCGAAACTGCCAGACTCCGATCGCACGAATGTGTTGATGTGGTTCTCTCGCTTCTTAGAGCTACTCAAGGTGATGGGTGAGGATGTTGAGCTATTGCAGCTTATCAGACAGAGAGTTACGGACTTGCCTGTTGTCTCTTCCGTTGAGCTTGAACCTCTTTTGCGATCGATCACCTACCGCAGACAATCCCACGACGACAAGACCACCGGCCCAGCATCCTCATCCGACAAGAAATCGACAAGACAACCCCTCGCCTTCTCCGAACCGCCCGTCGAAAAACAAAACCATCCCGAGTTAACTCGCTGGCAACAAAAAGACCTCGACGAATCTCTCGAGAACGGCGACATTGACGCACTCATCCTCTGTCTCTCATCCCAAGACTCGTCCGTGCGCCTCCAAGCCCACGCCTCCATCCGCAAACTCATGTCAAGAGTCAAAGAATCCACTCACGACGATAAAGATCAAATCTACTTGCTTCTCGGCGAACTGCACGAGACCGTTACAGAGATGACACCAACACCGCTTTCCGAGCAGCCATTGCCTTATATTGCTTCTGTATTTGCTACACAGGCATTGGCGGTCTTGCAGGATCCGAGTCACTTCATGTACCCCAAGATCAACAAGTATCTCAACAAAGGACCGATCTGGAACGTACCCAAGTTACCCAACTACTTTATTGACAAGACCACCCTCGAGACCCCCGACGAAGACGACAAACACTGGGCCGAAGTGCTCTGGACCCTCGACTTCTTCACCTCTGCTACCCGCACTCTTCCCGACGTTTCCCTGTTGTTATCTCGCAACTGTATGGAAAAAGTACTTGATCTGTTTGCTTCGCCATCGGCGCCAAAGGGAGTCAAGGAAGCAGTGTTGAAGGTGGTGTATAGAGTTGCTGCTGTGGGTGGTGCGACGTCACTGGTTACGAGAACGGGCGTGTTGGCTTGGTTGGAGGTCAGGGCGAAGATGGGGGATGTAGAGGCGACTACGCTGGGTGTGTTGAGGAACAAGGTCGAGGAGGGCGTTGATGGTACCAGAGTGGAAACGTGGAGTAAAGGTGCTCTGACTGCTGCCAAGTAGTAGGAGAGGAATGGTGTAGTATACCTTGTAGAGTAAACCTGAGTTGTACATTGAAGAGGGTCCTTCTGACTTGCAGCGCCTGAGATCCATCACCCAGTGCGAATATTGCAATGCATGCTTCCAGGGAAACCCATATTTCTTGACGACACAGCGGGGATTTTTTTCTCTTCTCGAGAAGTGAGATCAGAAGACACCAATACCCTTCTCTCCCTCGAAAGCATCTTGGCATTCTTTGCAAATCGGTCGTCAGAATACTTCTCGATCAAACATGACCCCAAACAAGGCACACCAAACCTGCCATCACAAGTCACATCAGCCAAGAGGACAGTGATGAGTTGACGAGAACGCCTTTGCGAGCTTGTGAGAATTGAAGAGTGAAAACGTTCTCATTCAAAACGTGGCTTTTTGAGCTGGTGGCAAAAGTATTCTTCAACTTTCTCATCGAGCAGGGCGAGAGAAGCAAGCAAGCCGTTGCTGGCGTACAGATTTCGTTATGCTGTGTGCTTCCTGATATACAGCTTGCCTTGCTTTACTCCCTTTGCAATTCAGCGCAAAAGTCATCATTGATGATACAAGAGACAAACCCCCAGTCCAGCAATCCAAGCAACCCAAGCAGAGCAGCAAGCAAAACGCCTAAACATAAACATCCCGCTCCACAACACCCTCACGCTGACTATGATCCTTGGTAGTCCAGCTTCCCTGCGTGGTGCTACCATACAGCGAATCCGAAGTAGTGGTGGTAGCATTGCCATCGCCAGAGGTTCCATCAGCGGGCGAAGTGAGCTCCAAGGCACGGAGGCGGTCGTGAGCGGCATACTTGGCCTTTTCGCGGCGGTGGTCCATGTACTTGCGATACAGGACGCGGAGAGCGGGGAGGCAGGCGGTGGATATCTGGACGGCGGGTTCGATGGTGGTCCAGATGGCTGGGGGGATGAGGTTCCCTGTGCAGGTGGATTAAGTCTTGTGTGGAGAGTGGGCGAGACGGCGGGGGGCGGATTAGATGGAAGGAGGAAAGGGATAGGGAGGAGTAGAAGGGAGGAAGAAATAGTGAGGAGGAAGAAAGGCAGAAGGGAGAAGAAGAAAAGGAAATGAAAGAGAGAAAGAGTGGGAGGGCAAACTTACAGGTGATGTCCTTGCCCTTGGCACCGAATTGAACCATGACTGCCAGGCGAACAACACCGCAGACCAAAGAGCTGTGGTTACGTAGATCAGCGCTCGCTCGTCAAGAAACAAGAAACAAAACATTCAAGACTTACATAACCCATAGGAAGGAAGCAAATCCGACACCCAACTTCCGCTTCCAAGACAACTCGAGTCTGCGGATCTCGTTGAAAGGCATCAGTAGAATGATTAGATCAGTGACGACGTTGGGAATCTGCATGCCGTAGTAGTAAGGCACCAGAGCGATACACCTGCCATCCTTCATCATGGGTGACCACGCCTTGCTGATGGGCGTACACATGAAGATGCCGGTCATCATGACAGCAGTGCACCACATGATCGTGATGGCGATGAGGACACTGGTCACGAGTTTGAAATCGTGGTTTGGAAAGAGGCGACGGTACTGGTAGAGAATCGAAAGCTTGGTGAAGAGGACACAGAGAGGGTACTGAATGACGCCCGTGTACTGAATCTTGAAGATCTCGATGAGATCGGGCAGGCTGACTTCCTGGATAGGGCGACCAATGCCATGTTTGATGACTATGTGGGTTGGTCAGAGTATGAATGGAGAGAAGCTGGTATAGAGACTTACGCAAAGCGCCGCTGATGTCGAGGCCAACCTTGAAGAACTGCGTTTCATGAGTTAGCAAGGCATGCACATCAGATCAATTCATCCAACTGACCCAAGCAATGATTATGAGCCAGTCATCAAAGTAAAGGCGAATGCGCAGGACATGTCTGGCGAGTAGGCGCAGAATCACAAAGATAGTGGGGAGCACAAGGGCAATAACGGTGACAAGGATCAACTGGTGAGCGCGACTACCATGGTGCAATTGCTCATCAGTAGGAGGAGTAGTCGACATGGTGTGAGGTGGTTGCTATGATGTCGCCGCGATGTCGCCGTTGAGTGTTGATGATGTCGCCGATGCGAGTGCGCCGAGACGAAGAGACGAACCTGACAAAGCTCGAATTTGGACCGAGTGTGAGAGCGCGTGCGAGCCTGTGGGTCAAATGAAGCTCAAGTGAAGCTCGTGAAGTAATCGAGTTCACTTCCAGAGCTTGTGAAGAATTGAAGAGACGGGGCTCGTGAACATTGCCTGCCTTTGCTTTCGAGGACGAACGACGAGATAGCAATGCGGTGTTCCCAAATGAATATATCTTGTAACCAACTCAACCCACGCCTGGTCTAAGGGATCACCAACATTTGAGCTTCCTTGTGTTAGATATGCATCCCGGGTACCGGGAATCCACTTAAAAGGCTGCTTCACAGAGATCAGGGGAAGCACTCAGACATGTACAAAAGGTAGGATTCAGCCAAGTCAGAACGCAGAGGATCCTCAAAAAGCATCTAATGCTGGGATAATGGGCATACCCACAGAATACTCGAAACCAGTTGAACGCGCATAGGTGCATGGATGATGGGCCCAGTCATCGTTGCTCCACACGAACTAGTTTGACAGCTCCTGCAGATGGTTGTTTTGGCTCTGCGCCGTGGGCGGGGAGTAGGGGAAGAAGCTCACACTGCCAAGGTACCGGTGGACAGGTGAGAAAGGCATGTTGCATAGATGAGATTGTCCTCATTACGGCTGTGGGCATGACGGAAGGGTGCAGGCTGGCAACATGTTTTACAGGCGCCGTGCAGCAGGGCAGGAGGAAACAAGTGTGGTTGCGTGAGCTGACAGACCTTGTCGATCGCTTTTCCTCGGTTACACCTTCCTCCTCTCCTTGCTATAACATTCTGCGTCCAGCTTTGCTGCACGACATCTGTTTGGGATGCCTATATGCTGCTTTTATATCCAAGAATTGCCAGCACTTCCTCTGAGTGCACATCAGCATGTCACTGTGTAGAGGTAGAGACGCAACACGAAAATATTCCAGGACAGAGCATTGTCCAAAGAGAAGCTTCATCTTGAAGACCTACCCTATCCACCATTCTGGCTAAAGAAGGTGGTATTCTATTGTCTCATGGCATCTGTAGCAGCAGAATCGGGCAGCTGTACATTCGATGGTCTTGTCAAATTTCTGCCATGCATAGTAGAATGTGCAGGAACGAGTGACAGCATCGCGGAAGGAAAGCGCGATGCATGTGAACGCCAAGGCCGGTCATCGTCATTACCTGTTTTGTTTCCGACGACTTTATCATGTCGTGTAAACGAAGCAGACCCGGCTCCCGCTATACAACAACATGAACGACCTTGTAGACTTCTTACGCGCACATGAGGAGGCTTTCCGTAGGTACATGACCTTGACAAATCACCCTACGCCAATCAGAACAACGCTGACGCCGATGACAGTCGCAACCGCCTTCAATCTCTCTACTCGGACTTCCGCTTACAGAAGACATCGAACCCGGACGGATATCAAGCCAACTCTCGAGCTTGGCTACGTGGCCTGACTGCTGCCGCACGCGCTGGCCGACTACCACCAGCTTCAACAGGGCCCGGACAACAAAGTCACGTCGTCTTTGGGAGTGGTGAGGAGCTGTCGCGCGCCTTGAACTCTCCGCAGTGGGGTCGACCGCTGGCTCTAGGTGCTGTCATCCAGGACGCTGTAGAGAAGCGCGAGTTCATTCCTCTGGACGACTTCTTGAATGCGACTAAGAGTATTTACGCAAAGACCTGGATCCCGTCACCATGGCAGGTCGTCAGCTGGGGTCTCAAGCAGGTTGGAGTCGCCTCATTGTTTGGAGCGTCAGACAAGCTCTCGGTTGGCAATCTTGTCGTCATGTCGAATGTTGAGGTAATATTCCAGTGTCTTGTCTCAGGAGCAAATGCTGACTCAAACCCCACAGGAAGCAGCGAATGCGATCATAGCAAAAGCCTCTCAACTCGACCAGTCAACAACCTCTCTCGTCTTCTCCCGTTCGCTCTTCGAGTCAGAATTCGCTCATGTCCTTGACCCGACACAACAGCCTGAGGCTGCCTTGAGCACCACCGACTTCGACATCCTCCTCCGTTACCTTTCTCGCGACAAACCCTGCCTCTCTATGAACTCTTCATCCATCAAACTGAAATCAGTCTCCGAATCCGTACCGCAACCCATAACTCAACAAGACACCGACATCGCAAATTTGCGCACCCTGATCAACGCCTTGGAAACACAAGTATCGGCCCTCACAGACCGTATAAACACCCTCGACATATCCGCCCGCGAAGCCGTCGCGGCTAAACGCACAATCCAAGCCAAGTCCGCCCTCCGCAGCAAAAAGCTTGCAGAAACCACTCTAAACACCCGCAGTGCCACTCTTTCACAGCTAGAAGAGACGTATACCGCCATCCAAACAGCTGCGGATCAAGTGGCCATCGTGTCTGCCATGTCTGCCTCTGCAAACGTGTTGAAATCTTTGCATGCAGAGGTTGGCGGTACGGAAGGTGTCGAGGAAGTTGTGGATCGCTTGAGGGATGAGATGGAGAATGTGGATGAGGTTGGACGTGTGATCAATGAGGCCAGCACTTCAAAGGTCGATGAGGAAGATGTGGATGAAGAGTTCGCAGCTATGGAGAGAGCAGACAAGGAGAAGAGGGAAAAGGAAGAGGCGGAGAGGACAGCAGCCAGATTGGCAGAATTGGAGGGATTGGACAAGCAGAGAGATGTCGAGAAGAGCCAGGAAGAGACAAACACGCGGAGAGAGATGCAGGCAGAGACTGTATGAGCTGTCTGGTTGTTTACAGAAGCATTTTGACGAATTATGACCTTGATCACACAATGTAGACTTTTCTCGTCACTTCAATGCATGGAAGTCTTGAGAAAGCGATCCCACTGCGTCACGGTGAACTATCGCTCTACATGGCACTTTCAAGAAAACGAGAAGCTTGAAGTTTTCCGATGATAGGATACAGGACTTTGAAGCTATGTCCCCTTCCAGGTTTTTGATGACTGGCGCTGTCAGTTACACGCCAGAGGCAAAGCGATTGAGAAAGATTGTGATGTTGGCAAAGACTATCTTTTGAGGATTATATTCCAGAAAGATTGCTCTCCTTACATCAATGGGCGTCTGGCGCAGTGGTAGCGCGTCTGCTTTGCATGCTGAAGGTCTAGGGTTCGATCCCCTAGTCGTCCATATCTTTTGTTTTTGTTCGATCGCTACGGTGATGTCTCTATCCCTCTACCTTTTCAAGATGATGTATATCCTTGCTATCTCATTTATCAGCGCTGAGGGGTATCTGCGCATTGTTCTGATAGGCTTGTCTCAACTCCTGTGTCTCGCAAGCCCGCGTTAGGACTTTGCGCAAAGAAGCGCTTAACACTTCTAGAACTTTGACTCGGCACTCCAGAGTCCACTAACAATTACCCTTCCAAGAGATTCGGCTCTTCAAACATGATACGCAAAAATCGCTTTCGACCGTGTGATGTTTGTAGGTCAAGGAAAACCCGTTGCCACCCTCGAGAAGGTGGGGCTTGCGGATATTGCACGCTACACAGGAAGCAATGCACTTTCAAGACGCCGGCAACGCGTCGAAGGGCGTCGGAAAGCAACGCAACGATCATGACTTCTATTGGAGAAGCGAGTATTGGTGAGGACGCACCGGAGTCAGATGTGTCGAGCAGGCCTACAGCAGTAGGAATCTCAATCACAGAGACACAGCATGTGGGCTCCGAAGCTAAGTCACTGGGCTTTTCGCACGATCGGTTTGCAGGGCTCTCTGGGTTAAGTAGCGACATGGAACCAAGATTTGTGTGCTCAGAGAGCAGTCAACATCACCACTACGAACGGATACCGACCTCTCCTGAGGTCGTAGTATGTTCTCATGGATGTAGACTGCCTATGTGACAGACCTTTTGCATGCAGCGAGATTTGCACATGCCGACTCGTCTGCCCCAGATAAAGAGCACACTTCCCCTCTTTCCCGACTCCGCAGCCCCCGGATACCCGTGTGGCACCTTCCTGCCTTCCCTCGGCTGCTGTGAGGCCGATCTGTTTCGCTAATCGCTTGATGATGCTGTGTCTTTAATTCCCGCTGATAAGGCCTTGAACATGCTGTTCCTGACGACCTTTGTTTCTATTTCGCACTCAAGGCCAGACTGAATCACTCAAGATGAATGCATTGAGACGTCAACTTTATGCTTTGAATGCTCCCTCGCAGCGATGTTTCTCAACTTCGAGTTCGAGACACGCGACCTATGGCTTTATCGGGTTGGGTCAAATGGGTATGCAATTGTGATTCACGACCTCAGTTTGTTATGGTGACTGATCTCGACTAGGCTACCGTATGGCTCAGAATCTAAGAGCCAACTTGCCTAGTTCCGATAACCTCATAATCCACGATGTGAACAGCGAGGCAACAGCAAGATTCGCAAAGGAGAACTCAAATGTCCAAGTTGCAGAAGATGTCAGAGATGTCGCAGAGAAATCAGTAAGTTGATTCGCTCACCAAATCATCCGCATTCTCTCCATCTGTCAAATCTCCATTGCATCTCATCAAGCTCGTTCTGTATCAACCACGACAAACAAGACTAACAGCGAAAACTAGGAAACAATCATCACAGCCCTTCCTGGGCCCTCCCACGTCCAAAACGTCTTCAAATCAATGCTCAGCCCACCAACCCTCCTCCGCGACGGCGTGCACCAAGAACGCCTCTTCATAGACTGCTCAACCATCGACCCCCTCTCCTCGGCCGACGTCGCAAACGCAGCCCACTCAACCGGCCAAGGCAAATTCATCGACGCCCCAATGTCCGGCGGCATCGTAGGCGCCGCAAACGCAAAACTGACTTTTATGATTGGCGCGCCTGCAGAACTTGTTGATCGCGCAACTGAAGTGCTGATGTTGATGGGCAAGCGAGTCATTCATTTGGGTCCTCAGACATCAGGCCTCAAAGGAAAGTTAGCGAACAACTACCTGCTTGCTCTCAACAACATCGCCACAGCCGAAGCAATGAACATGGGCGTGCAATGGGGATTGGACCCCTCAGCATTGGCAGATATGATCAACACCAGCACAGGCAAATGCTGGCCCTCCGAAGTTAACAACCCCGTTCCTGGAGTTCTTCCCGATGCTCCCGCAAGCAAAGGATATGCAGGTGGATTTGGCACGGCGCTGATGAATAAAGATTTGAAGTTGGCTATGCATGCTGCGCAGCAGTTTGGCATTGAGCCGAGGTTGGGTCCGATGGCTGCTTCGATCTATGCGGCGATAGAGGGGAATGAAAGGTACAAGGGCAAAGACTTTTCGGTGGTTTACAAGTACTTGCGTGGAGAGTAGAAACAGTGGATGTGGTGGTTTTAGCTGAAAGATTTTGAGCATGGAACTTGCGAAAGTAGATATGTAGATTTGTTGACAATTCTATTACAAGACATGAAAGCGGGTGCTGGTCGCCCATATTAAAACACTCTCTTTGACGCTCTTGTTCGAGTTGCCGGTAGACCGCCAAGTACGAGTGACTGATTGAATGACAGAAGTAGACAGCGGCATGAACCAGGCAACAAGCCAGCGCGGGTCGACACTTCAAAGGCTGAAAGCCCATCGCAACCGTGGCCCCTTAGGTGACTCTCAAACAACCCCGTATCCAAGAAATCCTCTGTCATAGAGTCCTGTGACATGTCATTTCTGGTACCTGCACCCTCTAGTGTGTCTTGGTACAAAGGCCAAGCAATCCCATCATCTTGACACCAATCGTCTGGATACCGCCATGCTGTAGCCACTTGTGTTGTTTGCTGGGATTGTGTTGTGGTTGGGACGGCTTCCATGCTATCTGGCAGGCCATGCTCCCGATTAGAGGTTCCGGTCGGCAACTGAGGTGGCCACTGTATTGGCAGTCCCGTGTTGTCTGAGCCATGAGCATGTGTTTTGTCTGTGTGACGGTCTCGAGCATCTGTGCTGTCATGGGAAGAAGCTGCGCCGTCGAATTTGGCTCGAGAAGGCCTTATTTGCGTCAACACAGGAGCATGGCTGAGTTCAAGCGTTGAGATGCCCCCACAATGCCGATACATCGGTAGTGGCGACACTATCTGGTCTCCATTCTCTTGTAGCCTATACTCCGATTGATGCGGCTCAACCATATACAATGATGTCTCATGGACAGCCGGTCCCTCCAGAGCTGTATCAACGTGCGTTGTTCTAGTGAGAAGCGGTGGCGGATCTGTTGGAGAGTCGTCTCTCCGGAATCCGTGCTGAGCCGAGTACTGCGCGCGCATGGCTACAAATCTATTGGTGAGGTCGTCTAGGTCACTCGATTGTCCTATCAAATCTTCGAACCTATCGAACGCAAATACCGCGCCTGTAATCACAGCGGCTTCAGGATCTAGTGAGCGTGTTAGTGTGTGGAAAGTAAATCGCTAGAGATCACTTACAGGGGCTCGGTACGTTCTCTGAACTGGTCTTATGAAATAGCCAGCGATACCCGAACCTCCATTTGTCTGCCTCTGTGCAGATTCCTGTACGCCGGAGAGCTGTCGCATGGGCATTGACTGCCGACTTTAAGGTTTGTCGCATCTAGGGGCTCATCCACTCTATGCGCTTCACATCAATCGTGGAAACTAGCGTACAAGAAGCTATCTGGTGAGCCAGAAGCTCTTCATGTGACACAAAACCAATATGAGCACAGATCGGGCATTGTGCAAAACAGTCAAGGTGCACTCGCTCTAGATGCTCGCTATCCTTAGTCAGCACTACATGTCATAGCTTGTATCGGATGCACTGTGTAAGACTTACTACAGTCTGTTCATATTTTCAAAGTGGCCCTCACAAGCCTTGAATTTCCGGTATGTCTGGGCACCTAATCCATACATCAAAGGGTCATGTTTGTTGTAAAAGCAGGCAAGACGTGGTGTGCATGCGTCTCGGGCAAAACGTTTGTTCTCACCTTGCCGCTCGCTTTGTTCGCCAGGATCATCTCGCTGCCGCTTGCTACCACTCGAAGTGCCACCGGACAAAGTAGTCGGTACCGAAGAAGAAAAAGAAGAAGACGAGTTAGATGTCGACTTTGACGATGAATTTTTGGGCTGGTCCTGCGGCGTAGACGAGTTATGTTGCCAATACGTTGTTTGATGTTGCGATTCTCGGAAGCAAGGCTCTGAATTAGATCTCACGAGGAGCCCAGAGTTAGGCCTCAGGATTGCCAGATCCAAAAAACGCTTGTTCAGACCATCCAAGTCTTCCGCTAGTTTCCCCGAACTCGTCAGCGACTCTGGATCCAGACACCATTGCGAATTATCACCATCGGATGAACTTGTAGGATGTTCAGTAATTGACCGATATATTCTCGGGGGGCTTGGTGGATCCTCTCGTTTGATCGAAGATGGCAACGTCGGAAAATCTTCAGGAACTGCGTCGATTTGCATCGGGGTATCGAAATGAACTGCATCGAGTGGCACCCGAAAATCGTCAGGATTTCTCAATATCGCAATTTCCGAGTTATTCAGCTCCGAAACTTCTGAGCCGATTCGGCGAGCTCCGTCAGAGTACGGTTCCAAGACCTTTCTCGAAGACCCAGATAATGCCATGATTGGCTGACCCTCCAGTGTCATATCAAAGTCCAGATTCTCGCCTGCTCGATTCATCCACCGTGCCCGGAAGCGGCTCCACCGCGATGCAGGCTTAGTACTTTTGATATGAAGCCAGGGCTCTTGCACTCTCCAGTCTGCTCTTGCTAGGCCGTCTGATAGGACGACATCGGTCGGAGCGCGGTGCAGGTGATCGAAGAATGGGCCAGACGCAAGAGCCACGCCAGCTGATAGAATTGAGTCAGCTAGGATGTCGGTTTCGCGAGCATGCTCGAATATGGGGACAGCAATGCGTTTCTGTGTCGTGATGCAGGGGACCTCTCGGTATGTGTCTCTCTGCCGTCGAAGAAAGTTTCGCATGGCGTGCTGCTTGATGGCGGAGTGTATGGTTACGTCGCCTGCCTTCCAGGTCTGCCTAGTCGACCAAGACGGACTGGCCTGTGCCTGCTACGGATTCAGAAATGGCGTGGGTCAGAGGTGTTCGGAATGTGATGAATAGGAAAACAGAATATTTGAGGTTGGCTTTTTCGGGAGATCGCAGCGACACTGACCGGGTAAGAACGCGCAGCCTGCATTCACGCAGCTGCGTAGATTGATCCTTCTGTGGCTGAGCTGGATGACAACAACGTGCATGTTCAGAACATGCAGCGCGGCTACCTTCGATTTCGTTTCTCTGTGCTATAGCTTGCCACAGCAAAGTTAATGAATAATGCCACCGCAGAATCTCGCGTGTGGCATACCTCGTACTGAGGTCTTTCGATGAACCTCTTTCCAACCAGAACGTATCGTACATTTTTCCAAACTTACGGCGTGACTCTCTTTTGCTTACGGTGAACAAGTTAGCATGCAGAACGGAAAGTGTGGCGCAGAAGAGAGAAGATGATCTACGCAAGTGCGTAAAAACATGCCTGCTCTGCGAATCACGCAGGTGCGAAACAGCTCTTGAGAAGAGCGTAGTTCTACGCAAGTGGGTGAAAGCATGTCTACACCGCGACTCGCGCAGACGTGTAAAGATCTGCCAGTAGAGAATAGTTCTACGCAAGTGCGTGAAAGCCGTTCCTGGGCTGCGACTGCTGAGACACTGCGTACATCTCATGCTTTTGCAACTCTATAAATCATGATTCGGCCAGGTTAGAAACTGGTGGCCATCAACTGGACGACGTACCGGTGACAAGATGTCCGCACCAAAGCCAACCATGAGATGGAACATTATCAGCAAAGCTCAGAACGGTCTCTACTACCTGGAACATGTGGAGTTCGAGTCTGGGTGCTCGGAAGCGGTTGTCTTCGAGCAAATTCAGCAACTGTGCTTGCCGCAAAGGAAGACATTCAGCCAGAGAGTGTCGTCTCTTCTGTACTCGCCGGTTGTGTATACCACGACCGTGATCAAGGTAAGAGAGCCCTATCTGATACTTGCGCATTACCTGACTCTTCTGGAGGGACGCAACTCGACCGAGAGTAAGGACATCGAAGCCCAGTCTCATGCTTGCGAGGTCTTCGTCAAAAGCAAACGCTACAGCGAAGCGTACACCCTCGCGCTTCGAACCCCAGTCAGGTTCGAGAAGGAAAAGACTCCGAGCTTCTTGACCAATCGCGCGCACTTCGAAGCCAGTCGGAAACACGAGCAGATTATACACGGTCTATTGGTTGTTCAAGAAATCCGACACGCCAAAGTGGCTGTTCTCTTTGGAGTGCTTGCACTCCTGTCTGTCGGTATGGGTTGCCTGAGCGGGTGGATGAGCGGAGAGGTCGATGTGGGGGTGAGTGTGGCTGCGGGGTTGTTTCAACTTTTGACCATGTTACAATGGTCGTATATATGGGCCACTAGAAGTTGGAAGCGAGTGGTGTTTGCATCTGGAAGTCAATAGAGATTGATCAAGTCGGTTGGAAACAGCAGTCGAGCTTGGCGTAGCGGAATGTTGGTTGTGATGGGTGGCAGAAGCAAAGCGTCGATGGTGCAAGAGCGTCTATTTTGAGCAGAGACGAAGCTGACAGAGTACGTACCTTGTACATTGCTTATCTTGCAGTTCGTGGGTGGTTATCAATACAGCCGTTGCTTTCTGTATAGAAAAGTGCGGGCGTTGGTGTCGGCATTCAGCTAGTCAGGCTTGTAGATCCAACGTCATGTACAGAGGCATGCTGAGTGATAGGCAATATACAGGCAGCCACCGGCGTCAGAACTCCCGTCAAAGACAGCAAAATGTTTCAAGGTGAAGTCAAGGGCAAGCAGAGCGGCAGAATGTCTCGTACGAAGAGTCGGAAGGCGTCGTCAGCCGCGAGGGGGAAGGTGGGTGGCAGCGCGAGGGAGTCGTGGTCTGGGTGAAGAGGGAGCGAAGGTTTTGTGGGGGTCCAGAGGCTAAAAGCGTATGAAGGTTTGGCGCGACCCATCGACTGTTGCAGCGACAGAGGGACAACAAAACTTACATCCAATCCTCCCAACTGATTGCAATCCTGCCCTTCGTTACTCTGTGCCACTCTCTGCCATGCTCTTGCGATTGACATAGCCCTGGTGAATCTGACTTCTTCCCAACTCGCAAACTCTCGGACTCGAACAAATGGGCAAATGTACAAACATCCGTTGGCTTTTGTTCTTATCGCAAAAAAGACTAATCTTGTACAGGGCGATATGGTGTAATTTTGGATGCCGGTTCATCTGTACGCGCTCCCACCAACTCCTGACTGTCGCGATGCCGTGACTAAATTACTCAGGGCACCCGAGTGCATATTTACCGATGGCTCAACTCGCAGCGAGCGCGGAAGGAAGCCGATGAACTTGAGCTCAACAGTCTGCCGCAGCTCGAGACCAAGAAGAAATGGACGCGGAAGATCAAGCCAGGTGCGATGATACAACGCCTGTCGCGCCTACGAGCAGCGACTGATGCATGACAACAGGTGTCTCGACCTTTGGCGACAAGCCAGAGCTGGTCGGACCAGACCACTTGAAAGGCCTTGTCGACCACGCCCTCGAATACATCCCCGATGACCAAGTCAAAGACACGCCCATCTTCCTCCTCGCTACAGCTGGTATGCGCCTACTCCCCGACGTCCAACGAACTCAAGTCCTCGACAATATCTGCTCCTACCTACAACGGAATACTCAATTCCAGCTGCCCGACTGCGGTTTACACATCCAGGTCATCCCTGGCGAAACAGAAGGATTATATGGATGGATAGCTGCAAACTATCTACTCGGTGCTTTTGACGCCGACGCCTCCAAGACACATCTCCACGGCAAGGACCACCACACTTACGGTTTCCTGGACATGGGAGGTGCTTCTGCTCAGATTGCATTCGCCCCCAACGCAACCGAAGCCGAGAAACACGCCGAAGATCTGAAGCTACTACGCATGCGCAAAGTCAATGGCGACCCTATCGAGTACAAAGTCTTTGTCACCACTTGGCTGGGCTATGGTGTCAACGAGGCTCGTAGACGTTACATCGAATCACTAACAACAGCAAGTCCCGGTATCGCAGAGCTGCCTGATCCGTGTCTTCCTACTGGTCTTGAAGTCACCAAATCTGGTCATGCCATCTCCCCCGATTCTCACGAGGCTGCTGGAAAAGAAACATATCTATTGGGAACTGGCAAGTTCCCCGAATGTCTGTCAAAAACATATCCCTTGCTGGACAAGGATGCACCATGTCTGGATCCGCCATGTTTGCTGCACGGTGTACACGTTCCTGCAATCGACTTTGACGTCAACCATTTCGTCGGTGTTTCCGAATACTGGCACACCACTCACGAGATCTTCGAAATGGCTCACAAAGACAAGGCTTACGATTTCAACACTTATCAACAACGCGTTCTGGAGTTTTGCAGTCAGGACTGGAAATCAATACAACAAGGTGTAAAAGATCAAAAGTGGGGGCTGAAGGTTACGGCGGAAAAGGCTGCTGAAGTCTGCTTCAAGGCCAGTTGGATGATCAATATGCTGCATGATGGTATCGGTATCCCCAGAGTTGGTCTGGAAGCTACAAAAGGCGGTCACAATGGTACAAAAGCTGTCATTGACGGAGCAAAAGAGAAGGGCTTCCTGGATCCATTCCAAGCAGTAAACAAAATAAACGATGTTGAAGTCAGCTGGACCTTAGGAAAAATGGTTTTGTACGCCGCCTCACAAGTACCGAGTCCTGACGACAAAGCACTGGCAGTTGGTTTCGGCAGCAACATTGCAGGCTCGACTCTCCCCAAAGACTTCCAATTTGCTGGTGGCAATTCTAAGCCTTTACCCACCGACCTCGAGGATGACGACGTAGACTGGCACGACAAACTCTTCGCCTCGAGCTCCTCACGCCGCCTCCCTGGTTTCCTCCTGCTCCTTGTAATCCTCCTCATCGCCGCATTCCTTCTCTGCGGACGCGACAGACGCAACTCCCTGCTTCGCAAAGCAGGTTTCTCTCCGCCCAGCGGCAAAAACAGCAAGCGCAAATCTGCCAACACTGTGACCAACAGCTTGAACAAACTCTTCGGCGGCACCTCCCACTCGGGGCCCCAGTATGAACGCGTATTGGAAGGAGGCCTAGGGCCCGACCCCTCAGACTTCGAACTCGACGACATGGACGCAGACTCCGACTCCGACAACAACAGCGCAGGCCGCACTTCAGGCTGGGCAACCCCCAAAGCACCCAACGGTTTCAGCAGCCCTGTCTTGCACTCATCCCCACGTTCTGCCAGGGTAAATCTCTACAATGCCAACAACTCTGCTCCATCTGGTGGTTACTTTGACGGCAATGCTGCTCATGCGTCTAGTCAGCTTTCTGTAGCTGCTACGCCTGGAGGTTTGCAATTGCCGATGAACAGTAGAGGGGGCACTTTGGCGAGAACGGAGAGTAGAGAGCAATTGGCTACTGCGACTCTGAGGTCTGGGAGCAGGAGTCGGGCGGCTAGTCCCAGTCGGATACGGAGTCCGCTTATAACGCCTTTAAGGGAGACGGTGGAGTAAAGTGGAAAGTGAAGAGAGATTGGCGCGACTGATCTTTTTTTTTTCTTCCCGGCATCTGGTATTCTGGCGGGAAAGGTGTTTTGTGTTTCCCTTTTGCTGACCTCCGTTATTGTTTTGGATTGTTATTGGGGAGGTCGGTATTTCTTCTTGCTTTCCTGGGGCGATTGTCTTTTCTTCCTTCGGGCACGGCACATTGTTCTTTTTCCCATTCTTTTTCTCCTCACGAGATTCGAGAAGGGTCGGTTCTTGTAGTATCAGCGTCGGTGTTGTTTCCATCAGGTCTAGCCCTCAAGGGGCCAAAGGTATTTTACATGTGCACTTCCCTTCTTTGCCCTTCTGACTGCCTTCATGACTGCTTGGATTTTTGCCGAACGTAGCAAAAAAAAAAAAGCCGCATGTCTTTCTTATTCTTGCCATTTTTTTTTTTTTTTACCGTTCTTGCTCCGTTCATCTTTGGTCCGGATAGGTTAGTATTAGATACTAAAGACCTATCTATAGTATGGAGGATGTTAGGACTGCTTATATGGCTAGCCCCTAACAAAGCTATCTACTATGCTTACTAGTCTATAAAGACTAATTAACCCTATAGCACTATGGAACACTCTAGAGGCTATTCGCTAAGTCTCCTACTTGTTAGGTTTAACAGTTAGTGGGATTCTAGCTGAGTCCTCTCTCACCTCGTCTTTAAAGACGCGCAGGAATTCTAATGTAGGAGAGAGGGGGCATCCCCACAGACTTTCTTGTAATCTGTGGATATCTGTATAGACACTAGATATATTTCCTTGTTTCTTTCTCATCATCAACCCTCTGGTTTTCCAAACATGAGGTGAAACCCACTGCCCCCTCGGTTGCTGGCCTGCATTTGGTATAGCTCAGTCCGGTTTCCGTCTACTCTTTCGATACACCATCTGAAATTTCTTGAGACTCTTGCTCTGGCAAGAAAGAAGAAAAAAGAGAAGAAATCATCATGCTACGGCCAGTGAGAGAGGGGAATCCTTGCAAGCTATCGAAATAAAAAAAAGACTAGAGAAAAACAAAAAAAAAAACAGATCGGTACAAACAAGAGACAGGAAAGAAACCTATCCTAGTATTATCGAAACAGCAAAAGGGGTGCTGAAAAAGAGGTTTAGGGAGAATGAGAACAAAAGATCTGGTGTTGCTCGCATCCGAAGAAGGCGGGATAGAGCAACGACCATTCTGATGGATAGTATAGAAAAGATTTGTTTTCATGCCTGGATATGATAAGAGGGGGTAGCATAGAAACACAAGGTGCAGAGCAGAGCGGGAAAACAGACAAACAAAACGTGCCCACCCGTCCTTCGTGGTAGGTCTTTGTAATGGCGTAAAAGTGAAGAAAACGCCATGATAACGCCCTTTACCCCAGAGAAACAAGACGGGGTTGACGCAGAAAGCAAAGGAAGCCTGGAGTCGAAAAAGCATCCAGGAAAACAGAAACCCAGCAGAATGCGTGTAAGAAGACAAGACCTGTCTCCCCTCTAACAACAATTCTTGCCCATACCACCCACTCCAGCACCACCAGCACCCACATCAACCTGCTGAGCCCCTCCTTGCGATCCCTGCGCAGCACCACCACCGCTGGAATCAATGATGCGTTTCTTGATATCCGAAGCCAGCGAGAAGAAAGCCTTTTCCACATTGATGTTTGACTTTGCGGATACTTCGATGAATGGAATGCCGAGTTCGTCGGCGAGAGCTTGACCTTGGGCGGTTGAGACTGCGCGTTTTTCTTCCCAGTCGCATTTGTTGCCGATGAGGATTTTGTTGACGCCTTCCGAGGCGTGTTGTTCGACGTTTGAGAACCAGGTGCGGATGTCTGTGGAAGAGAAAGGTTAGGCTGGGTGTAGAGATGACGAGGAGAGGAAAAGTGTGGGTAAAGGGGAAGAGAGAGAGGTGGAGCAAAACTCACTGTTGAAACTCTTCTCGTCCGTCACATCGTAGACCAACAGGATACCCATGGCACCTCTGTAGTAAGCGGTAGTGATGGTACGGAAGCGCTCCTGGCCAGCAGTATCCCAGATCTGCAGCTTGACGCGCTTGTTGTCGAGCTCGATGGTGCGGATCTTGAAGTCGATGCCAATGGTGGTAATGAAGGACGGGGTGAAGCTGTCTTCGCTGAATCGCAGCAGACAGCATGACTTGCCAACGCCGGAGTCGCCGATTAGGAGGAGCTTGATCTAGGTGACGCAAACCATGTTAGAAGGAGAAGTCAAAGTGGGGTGGGAGAAGGTGGGGAGTGGGGTTCGTACGAGAAAGTCATAGTTGCGGTTTTGGCCTGCCATGGCGAGGGCAGATGTGTGTGGGAGAGAGCGACAGCGGCTGGTGACACAAGGGGCTTAGGCAGCAGCAGCAGAAGGAAGCGTCGTGCGAGTTGAAGCGGCAGTGGACGTGATAGAGGCGTGCAGTGGCTTATCGGCAGGCAGCGAGGCTACAGTGCAGACAGTCGAAGGATTGATGAGGGTCGCAGCTGAGGATGAGGGGCGGTGTGTTGTTTGTGCTTGGTTGAGGTGTGCGGAGAGTCACAGGATGTGCGGGAGAGTCGTCAAACAAAGAGGAAGGAGGACGACGTCGGCGGCGGGGCGTTTGTTCACAGGGTGTTGACTTGTATGGATGCGACAGCGACTTGCAGGGCGGACGAACGAGATACGTCAAGGCAGCGAATCGAAAGTTAACGTTAGTTAGGCCAATTGTCCCGCCTTCCCTGAGCAACCACCCAGCCCAGCCGGTGCCTCGTCGCCCTCTCCGCCTTTCGCGGCCGACAGCTGCGCCTGCCAAGTCATATTCGAAACATCTCCATTGGTAACTCCGACTGTTGCAAACGTCCATATTGATCATCGGCCATCCTGAGTCTGTTTGTTGTCCTTGCTCTACTGCTCTAGGTATCCCGACTCAAGTCCCGTTCACCTTCCTGCTACAACAAACACCTAAAAGTATCGCTTGTACGCCCACCGAATCCTACTCACCACCTTCCTCTGCTTCTTGACTCCCGTCCTCACATCAACCAACTCCTCCACGTCCTCTACAAAGTCTCGAAAGATTTGCGCAGGCATCACTCTATGCGCTGCCTCCCGCAAAACATGCACTTCACACAACAGCAATCCGTGATCCTTGTAGTACAGCTCTCCAAATTCTGTGGGCGACGAGTTGGTCAGCACCCGATCAATGTTGCGCAGTTGTCGCATCATGTGGCCTTGCTTGCGACTGGCGTCTGCACCGCGTCGTAGTGTCAGTGTAGATGACAGCCAGCGTGAAATTCCTATCGTGACGAGTATTCCAGGTGTGAGACCCACAAAGCCAAACACCAATTCTTGACTCTTGAGCAATGCGTCAATGCCACCCATAGCTACTTCGACGTCGACTTTGGTCTTTTGCACTTGGATAAGCAATGCTCTGATCAGGTTTCCACGTATTGTGCCCATGAAGGGGCTGGAGAGGTCTTTTTCGTAGGCTTTGAGTACTGGTGTCAGGTCTCCTTCGCGCACTTTGGCTCGGAGAGCTGCAATCTCTACGTCGGTGAGAGGGCTGCCGGTGTCTGTCGCGTTGCCTGGGTTGTCTACTGCAAAGTCCACAACCATGCGCTCCAGGCTGGCTCTGTCACCCTCTAGAGACCCTTTTGACATGATCGAGACCTCGCTATCTTTGTCGTGGCGAATTGTCTGGATGACCTTGCGAGTGGGCTCCACACACCAGTTGATCCAGAAGTCGCGGATGGTATGGCCAAACTCTTGAATCCAGGTGAGAATCTCTGCTTTGCGATTGACCAGGTAGCGGAGGATCGTGCTCGATGAGAGGATGCCTACAGTGATGGGCAGCCAATATCTGACAATGCGCGATGGTTTGCCGTGTTTCTGTACCATGACCTTTGACTGCTGCGTGTATTCGGGAATCCTTGCGTGCAGCATCCTGATCAGCCTGTCGGCGATGGTCGCAGGGTGTGCTCCCAGTTCGGAAGCCTCGCCATTCTCCTGGACGTAGACTTCAACATCGTAGAGTGGATCATCGTCGGTGGCTGCTGCAATGGCTGCGTCGAATTTATCAACAGCAAGCTCTTCCTCGTTGACTTTGGCAAGCACAGCATCCATGAGAGCAACATTGCGTGCCACACTGGCCTTCCATTTGTCCCGACCTTGAGTGCCATTCGGCGTAGCAAAACCCTCGCCATGCATGTTTTCATTCATCAGGCCCTCTCCCAGCAAGACGCCCAGGGCATTGGCACCACGCAACCTGCATCTCTTGAGCTCAGTCTGCTTCTGGCGAACAGAACTGCGCACCCTGGCAACAGGGCTGACGACGCGTTTCCGCATCTCCTTGACCCCCTTCTCCCTCACCACCTCTTTGACCAATCCATAGAACTCGGTCCAGCGGGCGGTCAAGCTCTGCTGTGCCTCGGCGCCAGCATCGCGAATGTTGAAATCTGCACTTCGCCTGCGCACATCGGCCCAAACGTAGTTGCTCCACTCGGCCAGACGCAAAGGTGCGGTTTGCATGCTGTACAGGGCAGTAGCGTGTTGGCTTCCCAGCACCTGATCCCAATACCAGACATCGTCTGCAAGCGCAACCGTCTCATCCAGTAAGCGCGACAGAATCAAGCCATACACCTGCACCGTAGCCTTTGCAACCAGCAACCAAGCCAACTCTTGCTCATATTCACCATCGTGTTTGTGAGCAGCCAAGTCTTCTCCTTGGTCCGGCAGGACGATTTGGGCGCGAGTGAGGTAGTGGTGGATCTGAGAGGCGGAGAGAAGAGGGTTTCTCGACGTAGAGGGTATGGAGAGCGATTTGACCAGGGATTGCAGGTGCTCGGCTCGGTCAGAGGGAAAGTGTTGGTCGTCGCCAGTGATGTTGATGGGGCCGACTGGTGGTGGTGCGTTCAGCTGTAGACGGTCGATCTGCGAGTCCACTCGTCGCACTTGACTGTAGAGATGATCCTGTCAGCTCCATAAATTGTCTCGAGCGTGTATGCCTGACTCTGCTGGCTAGATGCGGATGTGGGGCCTCGATGACATTACTCACTCTACGACGAAAGACATGGTTGCGACCTGTGTCGTTTCACAAAGATGTGTTAGAAGTCCGTCGGTGAAGAGTGTCTTGTCATAGCAACAGAGTGCCAGTTGTGCGACGTGACCAACAAACGTGTGATGATGACGACAGGCTTGTTGGCTTGCTTTGACGAAACCGGGCTTTCATGTGTCAAGGCATGGCAATCGGCAACAAACCTCACAAGGCTGACTGCATATCGCTTCTAACGCTTTCTGGAATACATCTGGCCACTCAGCGTCGCCCTGGACCTGCTGGCGCTGTAAGCAATAAACAGCACAATCTCTGTCCGTATCTCACGTCACTCGCTTGAGGTATTGAATATGAGAATCGGAAACGTAGCATGTCTTGTAATCGCATGGGATTCCATACTTTTGATACATCTAATAGGTTGTAGGCGAATAGGCAACAAGCCCACGGCTCATCCTGTTGAAAAAGCTTGAGCTTGCGTGCATCTTCTCCTTTTTGTCTATGAACAACAACTCCATCCCAATGCAGAAGATACGAAAAAGAAACAAGGGCCATTGTATTGAAGAGAGTCCGGTAAAAACGTCAAGGCCTGGTATCTTGAAATGAGAGAACGCTCAGACTTCGACCATGCCGTGTCCGTGAAACGCCGTCGAAAGCGTGTTGAAATATAAGGTGGACATACAACACATTCGTTTACTGGGCCTTTCTGGCCTTTGCAAGCTTCTTCTCTCTTCTTCTCTTGGAAGCTTCGGCACCGGCCTCGGTATCCAAAACATAGTCCCACCAGCGGAAAGAGCTCGAGTAGTTGCCAATGAACTTTTCGTGGTGAACGTCGTGGTGCTCGGCACCGGCCCAGAAAGGAAGGAAATGGTGAAGCGACCAGGGGAACTCGTAGCCAGAGTGTGCGTCGATGGCTTGGAACAGGCGGAGGACGATCCAGATGTACATGGTCAGGATGTGGAGGTCCTTGGTGACGGCGCACCACACGATGGGGATACCAACGGTACCGAAACCCAAGCTCATGACTTCAATAGGCGATGCGTACTCGGCAGCGAGACCAAAGGGAGCAGAATATTGGTGGTGGATCTTGTGGACGGCCTTGTAGAGGGGACCCCAGTGGAAAGCGCGGTGCATCCAGTAGTGCCATGCATCTTCAAAGACGAAGAAGATTGCGATTTGGTAGGCCATCTTGTAAACGGGAGGAAATGGGACCTCGGTGCCGAGACCAAAGTATTGGGCCATAGGGTGGAAGAGCCTGGAGAAGACGGTATTAGCATTGCGAACGCGAGATTTGATGCAACAATGCTGTCTTACCAAATCTGGGGGAGCTCGACAGTGAAGTGACTCAACAGAACGAGCTTGGCGCATTGCCATTGTTCAGCAGCAGTAGGGATTTTTTGCTAGAGGTTGTGTCAGTATGCGGGTCGCGAAGCGTATAAAAAGGGGCGTGGCATACGTTCTGAATCTTGTACTTGTTGAAATAAGGAATGCGGTCGATAATCATCCAGGGAAGAGAGCGGCCAAAGTAGACGAGTTCGTGCATCAAGAAGGACATGATGCCGGTGGCGAGCACATCGTTGCCAATGTATGCGTACCACGCCATCCACAGCTTTTCAAAGTAATTGAGGTGTACATTGTACTCGGACACCTTTTCGAATTGGTTCCAGTACGTGTCCGATGTGTGAGGGAGAGCGTGCTCAAGAATAGCCGTCGCGTTGCTGTAAAGAAAGTCAGAATTGGCGTTCCTGAGGATCAACAGAGTTGAGGGTACAAAGGGGCGGCGGGGGAGCTCACAGGTACGACATGATGCAAAAGCCTCTCTTGGTCCTTCAATTGAAAGACCGTGTCGATGCTGAGAGAGGAAAAGAACCCGTAGGATGTGTGGTGTATGTGAGTGCGGACAAAGGACACAAGAGAAGTGTTGAGTTAACCCTTTTCTAAACAACCAGCCACGCCTCAGACGTCGGGACCAATGTTAAATTTCCAGTGAGGACCAAAATCATACGATTTGCCCTCAAGTCGTTCCACTGGTCCCTGGATTGACCGGAGGCTAGAAGCTCCGACCGCCAGATGGGGACTGACGATCGCCAAGAGAGGTCATCTCAACCAATTAGCGTCTGTCAATCTCGAGCTAAGCATTGAGATCATCTCGTCAGTGGACGCGCAACAACACAAAGCGCAGCACGGAGAACTCGCTTTCTTTTTGCCCCCCTGCCGCCTTGTTGACAGATGCAGTCGTTCCCCGTACAAACACCGTATTTCTGGTCTGATGCCCGGCAATTGCATGACCTCCTATCATCAAAATTGATGGTAGAAGACTCCGAGTCGCCACTTCTGTAATCCTACATCTGTTGCTCAAATCCCGAGTCACCGTGGTCTTTGTGATGGTGGCCTCATTTCTTGTATAATGTTTGAGATGATGTCGCATGTTTATGCTGAGTGTCTTGTATACTCGTAAAGGACGATGATCGTTGCACTTTCTTCTCAGCTATCCCACTTACTGTGCTGTAGCAAGTCAGATAGGTCATCATGGTCATCCTCGTTACATCGATTTGAGAGGGCAAGATGTGTATAACCATAAAGAAAGAACCGAATCTCGTTGTCCTAAACTCTGCATATTGACATCCGACCAATGCAAGAGAGAGAAACAAAAGGAAAAAAAAGTATTAAGAAAACCCCAGGCCAGGCACGAAAATATCTCAGTCTTGCTCTTTTCTCCTCGACGCCGCCATTGTGTTGTCTTTGTTCCATGACTTTGCTTTCCTAGAACCTCTTTGGTTCCTCTGCTTTCTGTCTATCCTCCTTCTGTCTTCTTTCGCTTCTCGTTTCCTGCAACACCAGCACCAGCAATCGTTTGCTGTGATTCCTCATCTCTCGGCGATGGCGTTTCTCGTAAATGTAAGAAGAACAATCTGCTGCGGTGGACGGTAATGCAAACCACTATCGCCGTCCGGACCGCCCATCTCTTGACTCGTGTCCAACAACAGCAAAGGTGCTTGCAGCTGCACTACCGTTGCTTCTTAATCTCTGTGGCCCATCCATCAATGCCCTCGCCCTTTGTGCCGGGCTCGATCTCGAGCTTGACGCCGTCCATGCCCTTTGTGCCCTCCAGAAACCCGTGGCCAGCCATGCCTCCGGCGTTGGCGCGGTCTGCAGGGAGGAGCTCAAGCATGGGTAGCAGGAATTCGGCAATGCGCTTGCTTTCCTCAATGCTGAAATGGTATTTTTCTCTCAAAACATCGGGGAGGGCCCAGTGACGTAGACGGTGGATGTTGCGCAGCTCTCCTTTGCGGTTGAATATCTCCTGTGACCACTTGCCACCAACGCACAGGGACTTGGGGAAGGTGCCGAGCAGCTCAATGACCTGAGCGATGTGATCGTCGTCCTTGCCGTACTTTGTGCCAGATTGAGGGTCGAAGAGGTAGTCACCAGTAATGAGCTCGAAGACCTGAGAGATGATTGTCAGCCCGAATTTCCTGGTGTTTGCAGGAGATGGGTCTTACCATGCAAGCCATGCTCCAAACATCTGTGCTAGCACCCCACTTTGATCCAAGAATGACCTCTGGTGATCTGTATTGTCGTGTCTGAATGTCGTTTGTGAAATGATGCCCGACCCAACATGCATTACCCAGATCGGCAATCTTGACCGAGATCGTGTCGAATGCTACTTCTTCTGGCACCTTGGTTGATGAAGTCGAAGAAGAGAGGTCGATACCGGAGACGTTGTTGGCAAGAATATCACTACGGTTTTGATTAGTCCAAAATGTACAGCAGCTGAGTGACAGTTCAAAACTTACGCAGTCTTTTCACGCTCCTTTTGCGCGGCCTCGTCTGAAATTCCGAGAGACTCCTTCATGGATTTTGTGGGAGAAGTCGCGCCTGCAGCACCACTCATTTCAACATCTTGACTCGGACTGGGGCTTGGGCCCGTGATTGGAACAGGTTTACCTTGTTCTGCCATGAGCTTGTTGAGGCTCGACAGGTCGGTCTGACTGAAACTGGCATTGAGAGGACTGGGAAGAGGTTGACTGCCGGTGATGAGGGTTCTTCTCCTCCTTCTACCGTTGCGGTGTTCGTCCTTTGCCTTATCGGGGTCTTCCTGAACATATGTCTTGACAATCTGCTCGACATCACCGATTTCGATCAGGACGTTCTCGGGCTTGAGATCGGTATGGATGATGCCACATTCGCGGTGGAGGTAGTCGAGACCCAATAGGACCTGCTTGGTGATTTGTCTGACAAGAGGCATAGGGATACCTCTGTGGTTCCAGCGCTTGATCAGGCCCAGAAGATTCTCACCCAAGACCTCAAAAACCATGCAGACGTGCATGCCGTGGGGACCTTTATGATTGAAAGAATCGAGCAAACTGACTACATGTTTCCTGCCGGGGTGGTCCATGTTGGCCTGCACGACCTTGTTGAGCAATTTGATCTCGTCCAGAGCAGTCTCGGTGTAGTGAGCAGCAGAGCGCACGACCTTGAGAGCGACGTGCTTGCCTGTGTCGTTGTCGCGCGAGAGCCAGACGGTCGAGAAGTGGCCCCAGCCCAGCTTGCGCACGACTGTGTATTTGCCATTGTTGTATTCTTCACCGACCTGGACGGGGTGGTAGCCGCCCTTGCAGTAGTCCTCCGAGTCCTCTTCGTCGGCGGTGTTCTCGGTTTGCTCGTCGCCGGAGAGCGAGGATGAATCTGAGCCCGACGGACTCAGGTCACGGGTAGTTGTGGGTTTTTGGTAGCTCATGGGCGAAGCGGTTGCCGAAGCGCTGCGACGGGTGTGGTCAGAGGGGAGCGAAACGAGGGAAAAGAAAGAATGACTTACGCTTCTTGCTGTTCAGAGGTGACGATGGGTTTCAGCTCTTGCTTTCTGCGCTTCTTACCGTTGGTGCCGTTGGCAGCGTTGGTTGCGGAGTGGGCGACCTGTTTTGCTTTCTGGATGGCGGCCTTCTTGATGTCGGATCCATTCATTTTCGGCGAGGTGTGAGCTATGACGCGCTGCAGCTGGCTGGCTCTGACGGATGCTCAGTAGCCGACGGTGCAGACAAGAGGGTGAAGAAGAATAGAGAGTCGAGGCGCAGCTGGTGTTTGCGGTAGAATGTCTGTGGCTGGCGGATGCAGTCTTGTCGTCGTCGTCGTCGTCGTCGTCGTGGTCAAATGCGCGGGTCGCGGGAGCTGGTGGGATGATACAAATGGTGGATTAGCGACAGGGCCGAGGGAGCTTGTCGTGGATAAGTCGATCTCTGGCTGTCGCAACTCGCGGCGTCAAAGCAGACACAGACGCAGACCAAGACGCAGACACAGCGGCGCGGGACGGCCAGTGACGCTGTACACTTGGATGTTGCTTTGCGCTCTCCGTCAGTGGTCCAAGCGGTGCCCTGCCAACAACTTCTTGCTGCTTCAGGAGAGAGTCGGGATTTTTGACAACCGCAGGTTTGCTGCTGCTTGCCAATGCGCGACTTTGCTCGCCTCTAGTCAGGGATTGTCAATCGCTTCTTGCCGATGGGGATGCGATGACTAGATGGTTGGGATATGTCTGCACAAGCCCGCGCTGTTTTCCACTTGTTGCGACATGTCACCTCCTCGATCAAGAAACAAATAATTTACTATATCTGATCATGACTACGCTGCCTGCAAACGCATCGCATTCTGACAGTCCATTTCTTTTCCTGTGCAGCATGAACACAAACGGGCATATTTATTGGTGCTGCGCATATCGATAGACTATCGTGCACACTCTCGGCCCGTGCCCTCCCTCTCTCTTGCGAGTGATGGCGGGGGAGAGGTTGGTCTTCTCTGCCACCGTAAGGTCAATCATGGTTCTCCTCTCACACGGATTGGCCATGTTGGTCACACTCAACTTCGTCAGACGGCCAATCCATTTGAAACATGTCACTGTGCCTGGTCTGCACCGTCACGTAAAACAGGTCCAATGCCATGTGGTCGACGGTGATTATGACATATGCAACCACTAGTGCGCCATTCAGCCGCTGACCCGATTTATCGTTCGAAACATCCGACACACGCCAGCTTGGATAACGACATGTCCTGCCTGTCACTCTGACCTTTGACACGAGCTATTGAGATGCAGAATTCGTTTCTCGAGTCCAGAAATCCATAACAGGGAAAGCCGAGTGAGCTGTGGGTTCCACTGTTCTTCAAATGCTGTGGATTTGGTCTGGCGGACTTCTGCAGCTCAGAAGGTTCACGACTCGCGCTGACCGGCAGATTGATCTTCCAAGCTTTTTGCGTCTCCAACTTCTGCATGTGTAAAGTTTGTCACCAGCATACCAGCTATCATCATACGTGATTAGAGTGTGAACCAATGTTCCTTCTTAGGACAGTCCAGATACAATCGGCATTGTTCTGCTTTTAGTCTCAGAAGCCATTTGTTTTTTATTGACTTCACGCCATTGTCGCTGGGATCTGTTAGACATTGATATGTGTTACAGTAGTTTTATCGCGCCAGGGTCGCACCGTAAGCATTCAATTTCTGACAAAAATCGCGTTCTGCGGTCGACAGACAACCATTGTTGTTCCAACATACTTGTGGAAAACTTCAGAACATATATCCAAGTTCTGCCTGATGATTTTTTGTCGATATCATGGAGGGTGGTTGTGTCAATGGTCAAAGCAATTTTTCGACGCTTTGTTTCCAAAGTTGACACACGAATCACTTATACCGAGCTCCTTCAAAGTCGAAAGAAACTGATACAATCTTAAATATCTCAGAAACGGCAAATACGCCCGAGATCGCTAGACAAACTACAGTAAGCAAACAGAAGTCGAACACAGAGGTTGTTGCACAAAGATGCGAACAAAAATAGTACTGTCCTGGGTTGGTGTTGTTTCTCCGCAGTGTTGTGATAAGATAAGGATAGTGACGGCGTCATGGCGATTGTCGCAGAAGCTCTCGAGCTCTCTTCTACAAGAACACAGCACTTGCGTGTTTGCAACTATCTGACTCGACAGCAATGGCATACCTAGCATCTATCCATCGGCCCAGCAGCGTCCGGCACGCGCTGAAGCTGAACTTCCTCAGCCCCGACGATGACACTCTCGTGGTGGCGTAGGTCGACCTGACCGAGCTTTATTGTATGCGCTGACATCAAGGTAGCAAGGCCAATCGACTAGAATTCTATGCCCAGCAAGAGGATGGCCTGGTACTGCAGCACTCAAAGGCCATCTACGGCAAGGTCATTATGCTACAGAGCATTCGTCCCCAATCATCCCAGACTGACCACTTGTTCGTCGGCACCGATCGCTACATGTACTTTACGCTATCATGGGACTCCGCAACCAAGCAGTTACGCACAGAAAAGAGTCTCAAGGACCTGTCGGACAAAGCAGCAAGAGAGGCACAACTCGGAGAACGATGCAACATCGACCCGACACGAAGGTACATGACGATCGAGATCTACGAAGGAATCGTTTCCGTCATCCCCATCGCACACGAATCAAAGCGCAAGTCAACAACCACCTCTCAGCTAGGAGACATCGGCGAGCCCGCCTCGGTCCGCATACCCGAACTCAACGTACGATCATCCACCTTCTTGCACCGGAGGAGTGAAAAGGCGAAGCCACAATTGGCCCTGCTCTACGAGGATTCTGTGGGAAAAGTTCGCCTGAAGGTCCGCGACCTAGACTACTCTCCAGCCTTGAAGTCCAACGAAGCTGGCTCAGCTGAACTTGAGAATGAGCAAGATGCAGACGAAGAGCTTGATCTGGGTGCCAGCCACCTCATACCTCTGCCTCGCCCGGCCTATGGTGTACTCATACTGGGAGAGACGACCATTTCATACTGCGAAGAATTCGACGGCAGAATGCGCAAGACTGCAAAAAGCGAGCCCCTCAAAGAAGCCACCATCTTTGTCGCCTGGACTCAAATCGACGATCAGCGCTTCGTCCTTGCTGACGAGTACGGTAAGCTGTACTTGCTCATGATTACTTTGAACAGCAAGCAGGATCTCGAGGGCTGGAAACTGGATGTCATCGGCGAAACGTCACGGGCTTCGACTCTGGTATACCTGGACGGAGGCCGCATTTTTGTAGGCTCGCATCAAGGCAACTCTCAACTCATCCAGATCACTCCCGGCTCCATCGAAATCCTACAGGCTTTCGCCAACATTGCGCCCATCCTCGATTTTACAGTCATGGACATGGGAAATCGTTCTTCCGAGGCTCAAGTCAACGAGTATTCATCTGGACAGGCTCGCATCGTCACTGGTAGTGGTGCATTCAAGGATGGTAGTTTACGCAGTGTCCGAAGCGGTGTCGGCCTTGAAGACCTTGGTTCTATTGGCGAGATGGAGAACATTACTGAGGTCTTCAGTCTGAAATCCAACCCGTCACTCGAGTTCGTGGACACACTGCTTGTGTCTTTCATCTCAAACACCCGAGTGTTCAACTTCTCATCTGACGGTGATGTCGAGGAAGTCGACAACTTTAAGGGTATCGATCTGTCACAAAGCACTCTATTCGCCTCCAATCTTTCCAACGGCAGAATCCTACAAATCACCGCCTCCGCCGTCCACATTGTTGATCCTGAGAGTGGTATGAGTCTGGCCAGCTGGTCGCCGGAGGGCGATGCGTCAATCGCAGCTGCTTCGACAGCAGACAACAAGATTTTGATTTCTGTCAGCGGCGCTGGTCTTACCATGCTCGACGTCGCGAGCGACAACGTCAAAGTAACGGCATCGAGAACATTTGATGCGGGCTCACAAGTTGCCTGTATCTCTCTATCACCCACGTTACGCAATACATGTGTCGTCGGCTTCTGGCAAGATGCAAGTATATCGTTGCTCGACGCTTCTTCACTAGAAACAATCCACTCAGAGACGATTGATGAAGACAGCATAGCAGTACCCCGTTCGTTACTCGTCACTCCGATTCTGGAAGGCGCATTACCAACTCTCTTCATCGGCATGGCAGATGGTAATGTCGTAACATATTTCATCGATCCCAGTACCAATACTCTATCGTCCAAGAAGAACATAATCCTCGGCACACAACAGGCTAGCTTCAAAGCCTTGCCAAAGGGCGATGGGTTGAACACGGTCTTTGCCATCTGCGAGCATCCGAGTCTGATCTATGGATCAGAGGGCCGCATCGTTTATTCCGCAATCACAGCAGAAGATGCGACATGTGTATCTCCTTTCGATACCGAGGCTTTCCCAAATGCCATCGCAATCGCCACGGCCAATGAACTCAAGCTTGCTATCGTGGACGAGGAGAGAACGACACATGTACAGACGCTGCCCGTCAATGAGACCGTGCGCAGGATCGCATACTCTACCGACCTACGAGCCTTTGGTCTGGGCACGATCAAGCGCACCATCAAAGACAGCTTCGAACATATCGAGAGTCATTTCAAGCTGGTGGACGAAGTTGCATTCCAAGAATTGCACACTTTTGCGCTGAATCAGGAGGAATTAGTCGAGAGCTGCATTCGTGCGAAGCTAGATGACGGCTCGGGTGACCTGGTAGAGCGATTCGTCGTGGGCACGAGTTACATCGAGGAAGACGTTGGTGACGCACCGAGGGGCCGTATCTTGGTCTTCGAGGTTACAGACGACAGACACCTCAAGCTTGTCGCAGAGCATAAAGTCAAGGGAGCATGCCGGTGCTTAGCGATTTGTGAGGGTCGCATTGTGGCCGCTTTGGTCAAGACAGTAAGTTTTCAGGTGATCCACTCCGGAATTGTTTACTGACATATCCACAGGTCGTCATGTACAACTTCAAGTACGAGACGGCGAGTCGACCATACCTTGACAAAGTCGCCAGCTACCGAACATCTACAGCACCCATCGATATCTCAGTCACTGGAGACAAAATCGTCATTGCCGATTTGATGAAGAGTATCTCCGTCGTGCAATACAGACAGGGTGCGGGTGGTCAAGATGATACTCTCAGCGAAGTCGCTCGCCACTATGATACTACGTGGGGCACAGCAGTGGCCAACATCTCGCCCAACACCTACCTCGAAAGCGATGCAGAAGGCAATCTTCTAGTCCTCAACCAAGACACAAACGGCTTCTCTGAAGAAGACAAGCGTCGCCTGCGTGTACTATCAGACATGCAGCTCGGTGAAATGGTCAACCGTATACGCCGCATTGATGTCCAGCCCACGCCTAACGCCATCGTCATCCCCTCCGCTTTCCTTGCCACAGTTGAGGGCGCTATCTACCTCTTCGCAACCATCGCACCACAACATCAAGACACACTCATGCGTTTGCAGGAAAATATGGCTGAAAAAGTTGTGAGCTTGGGCAATGTACCATTCAATCGATACCGCGCGTACAGGACTTCTGTGCGTGAGAGTGAAGAGCCCAATCGCTTCGTAGACGGCGAGCTGATTGAACGCTTCTTGGACTGCGATGAGCAGTTGCAGGAAGCTATTGTTCAAGGATTGAGTGTTGATGTCGAGGAGGTCAGGAGCATTGTGGAAGCTTTGAGGAGGTTGCATTAGACTATCAAACGCAAAGCATGTAGCTGACAATGAACGAAATCATGATGCTTATTGATCATACTACATCTGCAGGGCTGCAAGAACGGCTCGTCGATTCAAGATCGTTCTGGATGAATAGCGGAAAGCAAGACCGTCGACTCCTCGGAGAAACATGCACGAGATGAACTCCGTCACATTCATCGTCGCAATCTCAGGCGAGGTGCCATGCACAGAACACTGTCCAACCAGGAGACGTCCGCCTCCTCAATCGCTTCTATAAGCGCCAGACAGCATTGTAACATATCAACCTGCAGAGCACCGACAAATGAACCTTTTGTTCCGCGATAGTTTCAATGGTCTCATGCACCCATCTCCAACCGCCCTCATGTTTCTCTCGAAAACCCGGAAACACAGTGCCGAAGAAACACGTCAAAATGATCATCTCAGGAACCCGTAACCTTTTTCCCTGGTTTGAAATGCACGATCTCCACGCCACACATCGGCGCGGCGCGAAGCGGAGGTGACATGTCAAGCTACCGGGGTGTGGTCATGCAGCTAAACCAATTGGTCATGCAACTGCTTGGCTGGAAACATGCACTTGTGTCTCTTTCTTGCCAGAATCCCGTCTCTTGATTCAGTTGGAAAGTTGACTCGTCGAGTTGATAGAGTTTGCGGTGAAAGACGAAACTCGAGATCTTGGTCCTCGAAAAATGTGGCCTGATAGCTCCGAGATGACGATTGAAGACGATGGATTGGAGGTGAACAGATGGGGTATATAAGGACTGCTACCGTTGGACCTCGAGAGTCTGACCATCCATCCTCAGAACTATCCATCAAGTCAGCTATTGCTTCCACCATACAGCCACCACCTCGACTTCTATACACGGTCTTTACGAACCTTCGCCAACCACAATGCCTCACCACATGAACAACACCACCCACAACCACGACAGTGACCCTCGACCCTGCATCACCGTCCCTCTATCTCCTTGCGTCAACAACCTTGACAGCTCTCCCCTTGGCCCTGTAAGCTTCTCTCTCTCTTCCTTCTTCTCCTTCATACCTCTCTCCTCTCCTCTTCCCTTCCTCTGCTCTCTTTCTTGTGCTATCCCCCACACCTCGATTATCTTTCCTATCCTCTCTTCTACCCTAGCAAGATTCTCATTGCGGTCACAGGTCATGTTCGCAACGCGCATGTGCCCTAGCTGTGGCCGCTATGTCATTGCTGGAAAGAGGTGTACTTGCGGCCAACAGTGTTGATTGACCTTGTCCCTCTACCCCATCACTGCATCTGCTACTTCCTCGCCCTTCACTTCTCTGCCATCTCAGGCTGATGTTGGAATTGACAGGTCATGTTCTCAACTGTCATGTGTCACTGTGGTCGATATGTCATTGTCGGGAAGAGATGCCCTAGGTGTGGAGTCCAGCACTGAGTTGTTCTTTTTGTCGACCAAGACTATGCGTTGCTGGGAAGAGGAGAACAAAGATCTTTTGGAAACCCTTATTTCTTGCTCAATTTCTTCCACCAGGTGTTGGCGAGTGAGCTGAAGAGTCGTAGCAAGGACGATTGAATGCTCTTCTTGGGTTCAACTTTGTTCTAGGCGTTGATGGTCGTTGGCCTTGGTTTCTGCTTCTTGTTTCTCGCTTTCTCTTTCTTTTCTGTGTGCGATCTATTGTATCATTATCCGTGAATAATGTATCCTACCATGAGATTCATCCCTCGATCTGATTTATGTGCATTGCGACGCCTTCTACATTGTTGAGTGTAGATTTCGCTTCGGCGCGATCACCAACTTCTGGTGGATCCTTCAACACGCTTGTGTCCAAAGGACTTGAAAGTATGGTGTGTTCTAAGGAGTCCAAACGGGATTGAGACGTACTTGAGGTGAATATGTGAGTGTATACTGCAACAAGCTTGGAGCTTGCAACATTGAGTGTAGCCTCATCTCGTAGGGGTATAATGAAAGAAACCAAACGTTAGAGAACTGTGAGACATGGAAGAGTCTCGTTCTCACGTCGCTCTCACATTCAACCAAGGAGCCTGGGCTTAACCAATCTCCTTGGTCAGAATACGTGGCTGTTTTCTTGGTACGCGTTCGTGTGGGTCGAAGAAAGGTTGAGAAGCCACGTCACTGTAGTCGTATGTTCTGTATACTGAGGACAGATAGATTCAGTATCTACCTACTTCCGAATATCACGGAGGTCAGCATGCGTTGGCTATCAGGCCAGCTCACTGTCGAGCCGGCTCGCTGTCGGAGTCGTCGAGTCGAACCACTTCGACTGTATATGACTTTGTCACCGATCGGTTGACTTGCATGCATACGTTACCGTACAATATGACAAGAGCACAGCATCCAAGGCTGTTGCAACTCTTATCAGACACCCCAGACACGCATGCCCTTCTCACACATGCTTACAACGGCCTATATTGGCATACTCATCACTGGATTCCGTCAGTATATACCACTGCCCAGTATCTGGTATCGCCACGAAAACGATCTTTGCTCAATTGTCAGCACAGCCACAATGACAAGTGCACGAAACTCAGTATACTCGACCCACAGCATAGCTGATGCTCACTTCCTAGCCATTCTCGACGAAAAGCAAGACACTCACCAGCTCGATCTCCAACAACCCTCCAGACTCTCAGCACTATTGCCTTTGAAGCTTTTGGAAACAGTGTTCATCCTCCCAGCGACTTTTACTCGCAAACACGAGTACGACCAAGCCAGAGATGACGAGGAAGCAGCGTCTTTCGACACGATGCAAAAATCAATCCAAGTGATCGGATTACCCAAACCCGAAAAGTCGAAACCACGACTCAGTCATTCTTTCGAGACCGAACACATCATGCCCAACAACGTGGCCTTTGACGATGACGATAAACCTGAGCATCTGCATTACGACTCAGAGCCGCAAATGCGTTACACAGCACCTTCTCCCAACTTACTTTCACCCGAGTATACTCAGCAAGGCTGTAGTGGATATCGCTACCCAAACTACGGGTATGGCGGTTGCAGAAGAATTGGCTACGGAGCGTATGGAAACAGAGGTTGTGCTGGTCCGCAAAGGCCACCGCAATGTTATATCCCGGGTGGGAGACGGCAGAGGAGGTATGGAGGTGGATATTATCATGGAGGAGGAGGAGGAGGGTGTGGAAGAGGTGGTGGGTGGTATGGGGGTTATGGGGGTTATGGTGGGAGGTGTCATCCTCCTCCGAGACCGATTCTGGTGAGGAGGCATGGTGGGTGTTGCTGTTGTTGTTGATGGGGGTTAAGCAGGGTAGGCAAGAGAGCACTGTAATTTACAGATGTCTTTCGAGATTTTCCCCTCTGACACAAGGGCAGGACGTCGAATGATAGGCGGGAAACATCTCCGGTGCTTTCTCTGTTAGAGTAGTCCAGCCCTCCCATTCAGGGCTATCTGTCGAGGCATGGACGAGAAACACCAGATCTGTGGTACAGTTCATCAAAATCGCGTTTACGCGAACATGCAAGTGGGGGCTTTCGATGAGCCGCAGTGGATACATCAGGACCTTGTCGAGCTTTGCATGGATCGAGGTTCAGATCCATGGGATCAATGACATACTGTCACACAAAGCGGTTCTCTCGAGGCTCCGTGCAACCACACGGGATGGAGACTCATCTGTGCTTTTCTACAAGGCTAGACATCCCTGTCACGATCGCATCTCGGTTATCGTGAAACACCCACGTGTGAGTGTTCGATGATAGGGCTTGAGAGTGCGGCAGATGCAGAAAACGAAGAAGGCTTGTGTTGTTGTCGTTGACCTGTTGGGCTCGAAGTCTGGTCCAGTTCGCACGGCATAGCGCACACGAAACACGCGCGGCTCGAGAGTTTTGGGTAGATCGGGAAGAGCCGAGATGGGCGCGAGAGTTCAGGCTTTTTGGGCAACACGAAAGGTGGAGAGCCGGTTGCTCACATCATTATTCTGCAGGGAGATTTGGGATGAAAAGTGTTGGAGACGTGATTCGCAACGTCTGGTTCGTCTGATCTCCTTTTGCCATCATGCTTGGCATTTTGATTCAGTACCTCGCTATTCTCATATAGTTGATCGATCTGGGTAAGACACATGAAAGTGTTTATGCTCTAGGAATCCCAATTTCAACGACGTGTCGACGATGCTACTATAGGTATAGATAGCTGTTTAGTAATAGAGGTTATTAGATTTCCCTTGTTAGATTAAGAACGAGTTGGCAGCCTAGGTCGGCGAGCCGGAGGGCTCGGAGAGGCCGACCGATCTTCAGCTGTTGGGAACGCTTTGGCTAAATCTCGACGCGAAGAGAACAGATTGGGTTTAATATCGAGCCTCCAGAGAAGACGGCAGCAACGTGCAAGGTGCGCGGCAAGCTGCACGCACTGTTGCACGCATTTCAGTAATGACCACGAGTGCTGCATTGCTTGCTGCTTGATGAGTTCATGACCAGTGTTGAGGGGAGCACACAGATGTTTGGTTGACACATTACAAGAAACAAGGGCAGGGGAGGCGACGATTGATGAGAGTAACAAGGATTCTCGGCTGTGATAGAGAAATGGAGGCTCTGTGAGATGAAAAGGCAGTTCAAGGCTATCTGTAGATTGTTGATATATAACAGGGATGTGATGTTTGGCTGGATTGGGAGGAGTAATGAACATCCCCCGGACGGATGATATGAAACCGATTACTACGAGACAGGAGCTTCACGAGCAGCCGTGGTTCTTGAATTGGGCAGCGTGTTCCTGATGAAGAGGACAAGCAGCATTCAATGGATTTTATGGCAGGGTCGCAAAATGGTGAGCGGTGGATGGCCGGGGTATGGTGTTAGGGCGAGTTTCTTAAGGTCCACAGCATCTCTAGAGGCGCGGATGGGCGTCGCTGATTTGCTGCAGCTCCTCGCGAAGATCTCTGGCCGTGCGGGATCCCCCCAGTGTGGTTGCTGCACACTCGCAGATCCCGACGGACTGCGCTGCGATCAGCTCTGGTGGCGCGCTGTAAGTGGCCTTGAGTGCAATTGTAGGTTAGCGGGTTACGGACTCGACTGTGCCTGTAGGGTGTTCCGGCCGTCGATGAATTCATCTTCCCTTTCTCTGCACCGCTTCTGCTTTTCCTCTTGTCCGACAGTCTTTCTCACCACGGTTCCGCCTGCTTGCTGCTTTTCGTCTCTCGCTCTCTTCCACTGCCCCAGCTAGAGCCTCCCACCCCTTCCACTACTGCTCCGAAGCCTTATACGACTTCAGTTCGATACATTGAAGCCTCATACGCGTGGACGCCGGCCGTAACAGCGAAATTGGCATCCCCGAAGCCGACGGTTGTAGCGACAAAGTCAAAGTGAAACACTTTGTAGATTAGATTCAACGAGGATAACGACGCAATGCCGGCTTCATTCTCATCACGACCGCGGTCGTCGCGCGGCGACTCACGAGGCGACTCACGACCCGTCAGCAGAACAGACGACGACGTCGTCATCCCGGACCGCACCTCGTCGCTCCATTCGCGCATCACACAGCCCCTCGCATCGCAGCTCACACAACCACGCAATGGCCAGCGTACGCCAAAGACTCTCACCCATGCCTACATGGTATGTGGTGTTGGCCGCGAGCCCTCGCAATGGGTCAAGGCACCCCCACCGTCACAGGGAAAGATCGGACACATGAAGGGTGCCGTCGGTCAGTTCTGGCTGCCTGAGATCCTCGGAAGCAGCCCGAGACTGGAGCAGGACAACGACATTGCCCGCGCCCTTCATGCTGCCATGAGGGTATGTCTATGTCCCTCGACCAATTGTGCCATGCAACACACACTAATCCTGTCTAGGCATGTTTCCCTCACGATGTTGAGATCTGCACAGGCACCATGCAGCCTCACTGCGTCCACCACGCCTTTGTCCTCCAGCAAGACTCCTCCCACACTCTGTACGGTATCGCCCTCCGCGTCTGGTCTCGCGCAGATGAGAAGCGTGCTGAGACAATTCGCGAGTTGAGGAAACGCACAGAGTCCGACTACTACGACAACCCTGGCGAGACATACTGGATCCCCTACTGCTTGAGTTTCCTTTCTAGATACCCCCTTTACAACCTTCTCGGCGACTACCTCCGTGGCATGTGGATCCACTGGAACAAGGCCACTAACCTCTTCCACGCCGAAGAGGTTTCTCGCATCCTCAGCTTCCCTGCTCCCAGGCTCAACGACCTGGTCCGTATTGACATGAAGGACTACGCTCTCTGTTACCAGTTCCCTTCTTCGCCCACTGGTTTCCAAAACTTCGCCATGTGGCCTCTGTTCTCGTGTTTGTCCATTCCCAATATCGTCGGTGTTATTGAAGCCGCCATCTCGCCCACCAGGAGAATCATCTTTGTCAGTCACTATCCTGCAATGCTGACCATGGCCGCTGAGACCATCCGTTACATGGTTCGTGTCTACGAATGGAGCGGTTTGTACGTTCCCATCGTCCACGCTCGCCATGCCAAGGATCTCGTTCAGGAACCTGGTCCGTATATCGTTGGTGTCACTGCCGAATGCCGTACTCTCTTTGCTGCTCCCAATGATGCCCTGGTTGTTGACCTGGATCGCAACTTTGTCCTGACCTCGAGCCCACCGGATGTCTTGACAGGAGGTCAAAGAACGAAAATGGTCAACCGTCTTACTCAGGCTCTAAACGGCGATGTTGCTCCTTCTGGTGTTCCCCAACATCTTCGTTCGGCTTACGGAGGCGGTAAGCTCATTCCTGCAGGTCAGATTATCGTCATGCGTGGCGAAGTTGAGAGTGTACAAGATCCTGGTTGGTGGAATCAAGATGCAGTCATGTCTGTTATGGATCACGTCTGCGAGAAGCTGGGACGCAACACTGGCCTTAAGGCGGTCTTTGGCGGTTCCCAGAAAAAACCTCTGATGACCAAGGTCTCAATGCGTCATCTGAACGAGATCATCCGTGAGCGTAACCAGTACTCTCGTGATGCAAGCGAGGCATGGCAAGATTTCATCAACCTCAAGTGCCGCATGGATACCGAGGTTGTCAAGGTTACCAAGCGCAACAACATCCTCGATGCCGAGCTCGACTCTTGGAAGCAGCAATTCCTCAAGTTCCAGTCTTTCGCCGAGACACTTACCAAGGAGACCCAGGAGCTCAAGGTCAAGATCGAAGGCCACAAGCGTGAGAACAGAAGAATTGCTCAAATCGCTGATCAGGCCAAGGATGAGATTGCCCGTCTCCAACCCAGACTCAACGGTACGGAAAAGCAGAGAGACGATGCTTTGGAAGCTCTTGTCTTGCAGCAAGAAATCGCCGAGGAACTCGAACGCGAACGCAAGCGCAACAAGCAGGAAATTGCTTCTCTGCAACAGACCAACTCTGCTGTGCTTCGCCAACGCGATGAGGCACAGCGTGTTGTCCTTCATCTGCGTGCTCTGATCGACGGCCAGGCTCACCACATGGAACACATTGTGCGAACCATTGAACTGCCCGAGGAGGTCGATGAGGCTGCAGCCACTGCTCTTCCCGTATCGCCTGCGCCTGGCTCCTCCATGGCAGGAGATTACACCAGTGCTGGTACTTCGCGTGCCTCATCGCGCAGCAGCACTCGCATGTCAGCTCGCGGAGAGGACGCCGCGGCCGAAGCACTTCGCCGCAATGCCGATGCCCGTCGCCGTCTGAGCTCTCTCAGCATGACCGACGTAGCAGACCGCCAACTGCGCGACAAGACCGATGCCATCGCCTTTATCATCCGCAACATCAGCGAGCAGTGTGCCGCAGCTGTTGAGGGCCTGAACATGGCTCATCGTGCCGAGTCCGTCGCCAACGACCGTAACGGCAACGACGACGACGCCAGTCTTGCGTCTTCCGAGCATGGCGGCAAGCTCAAGCGCCGCAGCAAGGGCCGCATCATGACACGCGCCTCGCTTAGTGACGCTGCCTCCGAGTACGACGAGAACCGCTCCGAGGCTTCAGCATCTGCCTCTTCAAACTACAGCCTTCACGATGCACGCAGCCACACCATCCGCAGCAGCATTCCTCCCACGCCCGATCTTGTCCACAGTCACAGCGCAAACACACTCAACCGCAGCAGCACATCCATGAGCATGATCTCCTCCTCTACAGCCGCGACACCCGACAGAGCAAGTGTGCAGAGCCATTGGCGCAACACCCTGCAAGAAGACATCCCAGAGTTGCCTGCCAAGATTGTCAGAGCAGAGTCTGGAGATTCGGGTGTTGTTGATGGGTTCGGTCCAGCCTCTGTTGAGGATGAAGAGCCCGTCAACGCCAAGTACTTGACCAGAGGACTTGAGCATCGTTTCAACATGCGTGCCGCCAACTGAGCGAGGCAGGCATGTTTTGGTTTCTCTTCTGTTGTCTGTTTCTTACAAAATCTCGTTGCTCTTCTCATGGCTGGACCCCTTTTTCTGACGACAGAAATATGTCTCTTTTGTTTGTGTCCTGATTTCTTTTGCTTTCAATTTATTCTACAGCAGGCGAGCGGGTTTCATGTGTTTGCTTTGTGTATAGTTTTTTGCTACTTGCTCTTTCTCTTTTTGACTTGTTGAAGATCTTGTCTGGTCTACCAGTATCTCAATCTCAGCTTCTATTCTCCTATTTTTGATCGACATCAAGTGTCTTCCATGTTCTAGATCACATCAAATCGACAGTTGCTAATCCCCACCGTCCACGAAGACAAGCCGTAACAGTCGTTCGGTGATCGAGCATCTTACACATCTCAGACCGGAATAGACCGAGGCAGTCAAAATCACACCAACGTCTAAATTTGCATAGGTATAGACGAAAACGACAGTCCACAACCATACTCTCCCATTTCAGACAACCATCCTTTTGAAGAGGAACTTAGTCGGGGATCTGTGGTCCGTCAGCTTGTCAACTAGACCTTCTCAGTCCTCTGCACGCTCTCCTTTGACACAGAGTTGGTGTCCTCTAGAAACCGAGCTTGCGGTTGATATTTTCCATTGCTTGACTGGGATGCACTTGAGATTGAGATTCATGGAACGTCAACGGATATGCTTGACGACCTTCGTCCTGATCGGGTACTCTGCGGATACCATGAGTGTCCAGGCGATATTCCTGATGGGTCTTATCATATGGTCGGTGACGCTGTGATGCTTCTTGGTCAAGGCTCTCGTACCTCCGCTCCAGGCAGTTTACCATCAGCGTGAGAAAGCAGTGCGATGTGACAAACTTTGAGCACTATCACAGAGATGCTGGTTTAGTGAGACACCGATCAAAATACCCCCAAACTGCACCGTTCTGTTACTATGAGCAGCAGGTTGCACGAAATCGTGAGAAGCTTCTCGAGATTGTTGATAGGGCGCAAGGTGTGGCGCAAAGATGATGAGGCTGAGAGTGAGGCTTAGCGTCGCTCGCGTCATTGGCGGCGTGAGGTCTGAGGCAGCCGCTTTCAGTCACCAACTACAACTTTTACCCCCCTTGCCCCTCTCGCAAGCAATAACTCATCACTTCAAACAAGCACGAAACGATCAACATGTGCGGCAGCGACATCTTCCTGGGCTTCCTGGCCATTCTCTTCCCGCCCCTCGCTGGTGAGTGACGACCGCTTCCTCCTTCTCCACACAAGTCGCGCAGCCGTCAGTGCGCCATGGACCAACCAGGGAGACATGAACTTTGGTTCACAAGTCGCTAACAACTCGCAGTATGGGTCAAGCGCGGCCTCTGCTCTGCCGACTCGCTCATCAACATCGCTCTCAGCTGTCTGGGCTTCTTTCCCGGTCTCATCCACGCCTGGTACATCATCGCCAAATACCCCGACCCGACGTACGAGCAGCTCGACCAAGAACCCGAGGGCGGCCGCGTGACATACTACTATGTCCAGCAAAGCCACCGTCCCTCGGTGAGCAGCTCAAGAGGTCCTGGATACGGCACCATCGCCGGTGGTGGTCCCAGCAGTCAGCCCGAAGGCTCGCACCCTCAGCAGTACCGTCAAGACCAGCAGATGCCTAGTGCATCCAAGAACGACGCTGCAAACCCTCCCACCTACGCCGAAGCCGTCAAGGGCGACAACAAGACCCAGTCACACGACTAGATCGCCGCGAGATGCTACATGACGACCAATGACTCTTCGATAACCTATACCCACCACAAACCTCCCTTGGTCCATCTTGATTCGAGGGAATCACCTTACGTTTCGTGTACTTGTTTCGCTGCTTTTCACTTTTGATGTCTGCCTGTTTTGTCGCGTGGATAGCCACTGACGGGATGCAAGGGCAGATATATCTTGTATTATGTTCCATCAAGCGATTTCTCCATCAACTTGACCACACTCTATCTGTATTTTCCAACTCGTGCGTGCTGGGTGCGTCTTTGAAGGCTTGGTCGTTGTCGCGGCCTTCCAACGGAGCATCAGGCTCGTCGGCGAAGGGAGTGGTTTCTGAATTGTTCGTCGCAAGCACAGTCGGTTCAGCACCTGCAGTGCCTGCGTCGCCCGTCTCTTTGCCTTCTTCTCTTCTGCCAATAATGACACTTCCGGCGACCAACATTGCAGCCCCGAGTAACCAGAGACCGGGTAGAGTCTCGGAGAAGATGAGGACGCCCAAGACGGCGGTGATCATGAAGTTGGCGGAGGTGTTGATAACGCTGACTCTGGTTGTACTCGAGGCGAGGGTGAGGGCGCGTGTGAAGAGACCCCACATGATGCCGTTAAAGACCAGATTCAAGACGAAGAAGAGCTAGTAGGGGAAATTAGGGCTCCTGGATCAGGTATTTGGTTGGGGCTTGGGACAAGGACATACACCACGGACGAGGAACTCAAAGAATTTGCTAGAGCCTGACAAGCCAAAGACATGAGATAGCGATTCAGCCCATGCTGTAGTCAGATGTGTTGTTGTGCTGGAGTGGTGATGAGCTGGGAGGGTTATAGTTGACTGCGGGTTGTGTGTCTCACAGTTTGGCGAATACACCATTCAAAGCAGCACACGCTCCACTGGCGATTGCAAAGAGCAACCACTTGGGAGTAGGGGTCGACATTGTTGATATGCGACAAGATGGTTCGAGAGTGATTGTCGCGACCTTGATGATGCCAAGGCTGAGGGTCGCGGGAGCAAGTGACGGAGATTGCCGAAGCGCATCATTGGAGGTTGCCCGAATCGTCACCTCCAACGTTGGCAAGACAGTCGGGATCTTGTCATTCGGCCTTTCCAATCAACGACGACGACGACGACTGCGCGGTCTTTGATAAATCAACATGGGTGGCCTCACATACGGCTACTATGGCGCAACCTCTGCCCTGGTTGTCATCGGGCTCTGTACGCTCCCACCCTTCGACCAATCCCCCAAAGCACCCAAAGCTAATATGCCGCCTTAGACATGCTCTTCAATGGGGAGGGTGAAGCTTTCAACGTATGCCGCTCCAACGACACCGACCGCTTCGAGATCCACGTCTAACACGTCTTTCAGGTCGGAGACTTCCTTCTCAGTATCTCGCCCCATGCGTGGGCTAGCACGGGTATCGCCCTCTGCATCGGTCTCTCGGTCGTCGGAGCTGCATGGTCAGTACACTGCGCATCCAACAGGAACAAGATGGAAAGATCAGGATACTGAGACAAACACAACAGGGGTATCTTCATTACCGGCGCCTCGATTCTCGGTGGTGGTGTCAAGGCTCCTAGAATCCGCACAAAGAACTTGATCTCCATCATTTTCTGCGAAGTCGTCGCCATCTACGGCGTCATCATGTCCATCGTCTTCTCAGCAAAGATGGCCTCGGTCGGCCCTGACGCCGCAAGATCTGGCAGCAACTACTACACTGGTTTCGCCTTGTTCTGGTCTGGTCTCCTGGTCGGCGCTTGCAACTTGGTCTGCGGTGTCTCTGTCGGCATCAACGGTAGCAGTGCCGCGCTTGCCGATGCTGCTGACCCCAGCTTGTACGTTGCCTACTTACACCTCGCATCCACATGTTCCACATATACTGACTCTGCGATACAGGTTCGTCAAGATTCTTGTCATCGAGATCTTCAGTTCCGTCCTCGGACTCTTCGGTCTCATCATCGGTCTCCTGCTCTCCGGCCCTGCTGCCGACTTCGCCTAAACCATTAGTGCTTTCCACCAGCGACCAGAGGAGTCATAATGTAAACCATGTCCTTTGCAAGAAAAGAAGGGTCGAGCCAAATTGCTTCGGACAAAGACTGTCGCGATTTTGGCCAGATCAGCATTAGTAGGGCGTCCGGAGTAGAGCAAATAGGGAGCCATGTCGTTTTTTTGAAGCATCTGAATCGTGGAAACACCACCACCTCCACCGTGTATAGACTTTTGTATAGCAAAATCAAACAATCTACCACAACATGACTTTGCTGTGATACATCATGATTACGTGTAAATTGATCGTTCCATCCAAGATAGATTGGACCACAATGCTGAACCTTGCACGCCTGAGTAATCCACTTCTTGTCTCGAGGCGCTATCTCCGCAAAACACTCCCGCTTTCCCAACCTCACACCGTCTATCGATTCCATAGAACAACCAGAATTTTGTAACTATGGCGTCTCCACAGTCTAAACTCACAGCGGCGATTCTCATAATTTCGGAAACCGCTTCCAAAGATCCCTCGACTGATAAATGCATCCCCGCCCTCTCGCAAGTATTCTCCGACCTCGGCTCCTCCAACTGGCACATCTCCACCACATCAATCATCCCGGACTCCATCTCTGCAATTCAACTCGCCATCCTCAAAGCTTGCGATGAAGGAGTAAATCTCATCATCACCTCTGGAGGCACTGGTTTCGCAGTCAAAGATGTCACTCCCGAGGCCGTGGGCCCACTGATTGAAAAGCAAGCGCCCGGGTTGGTGCACGGTATGTTGGCGAGTAGTCTGCAAGTCACGCCTTTTGCAGTCATGAGTAGACCTGTTGCGGGCGTTAGAGGAAGCACTTTGATCATTACGCTGCCGGGCAGTCCTAAAGGTGCAAAGGAGAATTTGGAGGCGGTGTTTAAGTTGCTGAGTCATGCTTGTTTGCAGGCGAGCGGTGGTGATTCGAGACAGATGCATCAGGGTGGTGTGAAGAAATTGGAGAAGGAGGCGGGAGTTGGTGGTGGTGAGACGACTGGTGGTGAGAAGGCTAGTGGTCACAAGCAGGCACATCATCATGGTCATGGATGTGGTCGTGACCATGGACATGGAGGGCATCATGGTCCTAAAGCTCACACTGCACCTGAAGACCGACCGCAGCAATCTAATGATCCGTCTCAAGGACCTAGTAGGAGACACAGACACTCTCCTTACCCCATGCTCTCGGTCGCCGACGCTCTCCAGCAGATTGATGCTCACACGCCTTCACCAACTATTGTCACTCTTCCAGTCAACGAAACTCTAGTCGGTCACGTTCTAGCTGAGGACATTACGGCCCCAGAATCCGTCCCTGCCTTCCGCGCCAGCATCGTAGATGGCTACGCCGTCATCGCCGGAGCAGACGCTCCCAGCACAAAAGGAACATTCCCCGTCGCCATGATCTCTCACGCTCAAGCTGGAGAACACCAAGAATTACAAAAAGGACAGATCGCTAGAATCACCACTGGAGCTCCTCTACCTCCCGGTGCAACCAGCGTCGTCATGGTCGAAGACACTCTTCTTGTCTCCAAGACCGATGATGGAACTGAAGAAAAAGAAGTTGAAATCTTGACCGGGGATATCCAAGTTGGAGAAAACGTCAGGGAAGTAGGCTCGGATGTTCAAGCCGGCGATGTCATTATGCGCAAAGGCGAAGGCATTTCTGCTGTTGGCGGTGAGTTTGGCTTGCTGGCTTCAGTCGGCGTCAAGCAAGTGTCTGTGTACAAGAAACCCGTCGTGGGAGTCTTGAGCACCGGAGACGAAATCGTGAATCATGATCGTGAGGGAGAACTTCGAAGAGGAGAAGTCAGGGATACCAATCGTCCTACCCTTCTCACCGCCATCCGTGGCTCAGACTTCGAAGCCGTGGACTTGGGTATTGTATCCGACAAGTACGCTTCCCCCAGTCCCTAAATCCTTACCTCAAAAAGGTACAACACGACTAACAAGAAGTCACCAACAGACCCGGCGCCCTCGAACAAACCCTCCGCGACGCAACCCGTAAAGTCGACGTCATCATCACCTCGGGCGGCGTCAGCATGGGCGAACTCGACCTCCTCAAACCGACTCTCGAGCGCTCTCTCGGCGGTCACATCCACTTCGGCCGCGTCGCCATGAAACCAGGCAAACCCACAACCTTCGCCACCATACCCACCAAATCCTCTCTCGATGGCTCCCGCATCTCCACCGTTGTGTTTTCATTGCCGGGCAATCCTGCTAGTTGCGTGGTCACCTATCACCTTTTCGTGCTACCTGCTTTGCATAAGCTCGCTGGTGTGGAACCTCGGGGTTGTGCGAGGGTCAAAGTGTTGTTGGATGGGGATGTCAAGTTGGATAAGCAACGGGATGAGTTTCATCGTGCGATCGTCAAGGCTGGCGGGGATGGTGTAATGCATGCTGTGTCCACTGGTGGGCAGAGGAGTTCGAGGATTGGGAGTTTCAAGGGGGCGAATGCGTTGTTGTGTTTGCCTGCTGGCGAGGGAGTAATCAAGAAGGGAGAGATGGTTGAGGCGTTATTGATGGGGAAGTTGGTCGGAGATGTTTGATTCTCATGGTGAGGCCTACTGCTTCTACTTTGCTGATATCGTGGCCTAAGGGTGTATCTATCATTCGATTGCCTTTGGGCGTAATTCCAACACAAAGTTCTTTTGGAAGATCTGAAGATATCGGTCCAGAAGACGCCGAGATAGCTTACTGACCTTGCAAAGAAACACATCTATCCTTAGAAAAAAACAACCATGCTGAACTACAGCACGATAAACAGGACCTTTCAACCAGTTTCCCTCATAGTAAAAACCCCGAAAAGCACGTCAAAAAGAACCGCACTGCGGTCACAGGTCATGGCCGCACTGTGCAAACGCGCACACTTTCTTTTCGAAAAACTCCCAAGAGACGCGCTTTGAAATCCCAGTCACGATTTTTACCTGAGTGCTAGAATGGCTGGCAAACGCTCTTGATATCCACAAGGTGATTTCAGGCGACGACATGCAGTGTATGCGACATGGTAGACGACAATGCTTTCGATCTGTAAGCAAAGTTCGGCTGGTCGCTTGCAGAAAGAAATACAAAGTCCAGCCATTCCTGATACTAATTGTTATGATGTTGTCAGGCAAGCTCGTGAGGGATATCTGGTCGAGACAAGTGCTGTGGAGCTTATAAAAGTGGCAATGCGCAGACTGTCTTGCTATTCTCCTAAATACATCTTCATTCTTGCTTCCTACTACAGCCTATTGTCCCAACGGAGCTTATCATGCGTGTGCCTTTTCCTCTTGCCGCATCCTCTAATCAGAGCTAGGCGAGCTGTTGAGGAGATACAAGAAAATGTAAAGATGCATAATCTAGACCCTCTAATCGTTCGTCAGAAAGTGCCATCCCCCCTGAATTAGTTGCGAAGAGGTTTAAAGTTGGCTAGCGTCAAGATCCCACGTCGGGTAAGCTTTGTGTACACTAAAGTTGGCGAGCTCTTGATTTGCATCTCCGTCCATTGAGCGCCAGGGCTGAGAGCACGGAGCTGTCCGAACCACCAACGTGTAAGCGAGACGGGGACGCATATCATCCATACCACTGGCCCGTGCGGCACCGCGATTTGAGACATGAGCGAGCACCTTCACCTGCCACAGAGCAATGTGCAACATTGTCAGACGACATACTCTACGGACACAGTCACTGCGACCCCGTCTGATATAATGTAGATGTGCGACTCATAAAAGGTTTTTCGATCACTCACGTCGATTTAATTGTCGCAATGCGCTAACGTATCTTACAGGGCGCGCGGCAAGTCTTTGATCGACCACGTTGTGCCACATTCAAGGCTCGATCTTGACTACGACTGCATCAATGGCCAGTCGCAACAATTCGGCTTCCTTGAATTGACCTTGCTCCAAGCACCACGACCACAATGTGTGCTTAAGTGCGATCGTGGTGGCTGATTTGCCTCCCCACAGTGTCGTGCTCCTTGTTATGGCAGTCCTGAGCAGCGTTTCCGCAGTGGACTGACCACCACAAGCTGTGACTAGGCCGCCGATAGCGCAGTGACACCGCGCCGACACCTCGAGAGCCTCAACCTCCAATGCCATCCATTTGTTCTCGCCTTGCTCTCTGGCTTTGGAACACCTCGAAACGATCAAATCCAAGTCTTCGAGAGCTGCATGATGGCCTCCAAGGGAGTGACGGACTTTGGCGCGAGTGAACTGCCGCTGAATATCGCTTGTGCTATTCGGATGTTCTTTGTTTCGTCGCGGCGAAGCGACAGGCGTCGACAGTATCTCGTGGTAGAGCTGTGAAAAGTGTTGCCCCATTCGTAGCGAATGATGTGGAGAGCAGGAAATGTTGAGTCCATCCCACGCATGTCCAGGAAATATACCTTCGAGCTGGTCGTAGCCACACTTCCAGCCCTGCTGCATGAGCTCCAGCGCTTGCGAAGTAGGTAGTCTTTTTAAGCAGTCAAACATCTGTGCCCAAGGTTGGTGTTCTTCTTTCCTGTGCACGGCCCGGATCTCGACTATAGCGCAGATTCTCTCATTCAGTACTTCATACATCCGATTCCAGCCTCTTATCAAGAGAAGCACAGAGACATCACAAATGGTGTCTATGAGTTTGGGATCGCGTTCTTCCAGCAATTGTTCCATAAGCCACAGAGAGTCTGATACCAAAGCAAAGCCTTGAATGTGGTACCCACGCTCGATAAGGTCGATTGCCGTGATGCAGCATTTGTAGAAGTTGTTGATTTTGGTGATACTCGTGGGCGACACATGACTGACGTACTCCCCTAGCTCGTTATAGACAAATTGACCATTGTCATAAGCCCCTCTGAAGTATTTGATGATGTTGAAGAAGAACCTGGCCTTTATGGAATATTCGTCGCTATAAAAAGGCAATGCTGGGACTGACATGTTACGCTCCATGTGTACCAGCTGCAGGAAGTAATTTCGAGAGGATTCGTCCATGAGCTCTGCCCATCGCGGGTAAATGTCCGGATCATTGTCGTGAATTGAAACATAGCCAGCACCTGGTGTGGTGTATGCTCGATTTTCAATACGTTGGACGATCTGGATGTGTTTGGGCTGTGTAGATACGCCCATTGGCTCTCTCATTGAGAACGTCCCTGCCCTCTGCGCTCTCCGAATACGTCGCATCACCTCATGACGACGATAACGCTTGCCGTCGATCAGAAATGTCAGTCGACCCGTAGAGTTGTGTAAAGCCAGCTCATGTTGCATCACGCAGGCAAGGAAATGAACATCGCTGAACTTTGCATATTTTCCACGCAATGAGGCTTTGGATGTTGGTGAACAAGGATGAGTATGCGACATGTTCTGAGCGCCGAAATCCGGGATGATGAGTAGGCACGTGTTTGTCGATCTTGAGCTTGGCTGTAGATCCGCTGCCCGGAGGATTGGGACGACAGAGGAAACCAGGGACATAAGGATGTCTTTATCTCGATCCCCGCACTCAGCTTCGCACTTATTCTGTTATTCGCAGCTGTAGTAAACAGCGGCAAGAGCGCCGACATGCTTTGATACGATCTGATTCGAGGAGATACCCGATGGTTTCATCTAGACTTTCAGCCAAAAGACGGGGCTGCCGAAGCTTATGGACAACCAAACGGTCCAGACTCCGGATTCTTGGTGTACGATACCCAATGAGATCTGCTGTGAGGGCAGTTCCTGCCAGAAGAGCTTCATGGACTTTTCCGACTCGGAGGTTGTGACCCTCTGATGTTTCAACATGTAGTCTGAAATTGATCAAGTTCCGTCCGAGAATGTGTATGTATCTTGATACCTCCGTCGGAAAGTCGGAGATAGCAATTACTCCTTTGGGACGTATCTCCGGAGTTAACGACCGGCCGAGCATAACGAGCACACAGAGTAAGAGATCCTTCGACCTATTCCGATGGTCATATTAACGCCGCAAGTGTTCTGTACTGTACATGAGTAGCACAACTATATAAAACAAACCACTTCGTCAAAATCAAGCATCAACCACTTCCACAATCTCGTTTTTGGCTATCACCCTCGAAACCCAAACCACAACCAGAAGCATCCAGAATCATGACCATCCTCCTCACAGGCGGCACAGGCAAGACGTCCCTCCGTCTCGCCTCCTTCCTACACTCTGCCTCCATACCCGTCCTTTTGACTTCCCGCCGCGGCCCCTCGGCCTCATCTTTCTACCCCACCGTCCAATTCGATTGGAATGACTCCTCTACATGGTCCAACCCCTTCTCTACTGCCTCAGACATCTCGGCTATCTACTTACTCAGTGGGGAGCTGTCTGATCCAGCACCAATCATCAACGCCTTTATCGACCTTGCTATGAGCAAGGGAGTCAAGAGATTTGTGGTTTGTTCAGGTAGTTCGTGTGAATACGGTGGCCCCTTTCACGGCAAGATATGGCAGAACCTCGATGAGAGCAAGCTGGAATACGCGGTGTTGAGACCGAGTTGGTTCATGGGTGAGTCCCTCCATCTCATTCATCTTTTAATCCCTGCTTTTCTTCTGGCGTTAACGGTTCACTCGAAAAACCAGAAAATCTTTCTGAATCAGGACACGGACACTTCGAAACCATCACCAGCCACTCTTCCCTCTTCACCGCATGCGCAGATGGGAAAATCCCTTGGGTGTCTGCGAACGATATAGCCGCAGTGGCTTTGCGTTGCTTGACAGATGAGGAACCACATAATCGTGCTTATCGCATCTTGGGACCCGAGTTGTTGACTTATGATGAGGTAAGTCACCCTCACATGCCTTCCTACCTGACTTTCTGTAGAGAAAGCTTGTGAAAGACAAAATGCTAACGGATAGTATAGATTGCGCAAAAACTTTCCCAACATCTAGGCAAAGACATCAAGCATGTGCACTTGAGTCAGCAGCAAAGGGAGCAAAGTATGAAAAATGCAGGATTGCCAGAACACATGGCAAAGTTCTTGACTGGACTTGAAGTCATGGCTGCACAAGGAAAAGAAGCATGGCAAGGCGATGATGTACAGCTTGTCACTGGAAAAAAAGCAATCTCCTTTGACGAATTCGTGGCGGCTAACAAGCAAGCTTGGAACTGAAGACATGCAGGCTAGAGAAAGGCGAAAGAAAGATCCAAGGCATGGCGTGGTATGAAGTTCATCTTACACTCAATCACAACGACGAAATAGCACTAGCCCATCTCTGTTCGTCTTTCCTGTTGATATTGTCAGCAATCATCTCCACTCAAACCACAACAATCGAACAACTTACTTGTCAAAATGCAACAACATGCCCAACACCGGTACCAACTGTAACTGATGCTTCCTATCCTTCTGCTCCAAAAACTGCAACAGCACATTCTTCAAATACACGTAATCCATGGCTTCGGCTTTGGCATCAGGGCCTCCGGTGGTAGCTACACTGCCATTGCGACTTCCCATTGGCGAACCTATGCGTGAACTCTCCAGTGAAGACCTGGCGGAAGGTTTGTCGGATCTGCTTTTGAGTGTCTTGATCTCGTCGGCTAGTGCCTTTGAGGACTTTTGGAGTGTGCTGAGGCGAGTTTCTGTCTCGGCTAACGACTTGCGGAGATCGGTCTTCTCCTTTTCCAGAGCTTGGGACGTGCGTTCGTGTTCGTCGAGGGCGTCGCGGAGTTGGGTCATTGCACTCCTGACCTCCGTCAATTCCTCAGTCGCAGCTTCAGATTTCCTCTCGAGCTCAGTCTTCTGCTTCCGCCATTGGGACTCCTTTCTTTCAAACTCTTCTTTTTCGTCATTGATGGAGGAGAGTGATGTTTCTGCGTCCCTGAGTTTATGCTTCAAGTCCTCGAGTTCGCGAGCTCGGCGACGACCAACAGTCACGGCTTCCTCTTCAGCACGATCGCGTTCTTCAATGGCCACGTCCATGCGCTCGCGCATTTCCTTGACGCGTGATTCGGCGCGACCTTCGACGTCGGCAAGCAGACGACGCATTGTTTCTGCTTCTCTGCTGCGTTCGCTGAGGAGACGGTGGGCATCTGCAAGCTCTTCCTCAAGACTTTCGCATCGCTCCCTGACCTCCTTCATCTGAGTTGCGAGCTCGCGGGTTTGGTCTTGCATGCTGTCCATGAGTGACTGAGCCGATGCTTGCTGTGCGGACTTGAGCTCGAGTTCTCCCTTTAGTCGTGATGACTCTTGGGTCAGAGTAGCGACTTGCTTTTCGAGATTCTGCAGCTTTTCGCGTTGTTTCGACGACTCTTCTTGTGCTTTGGTAAGATCTTTCTGAAGCTTGTCTTTTGATTCAGTGGCTTCCTTTTGGGACTTCTCGGCTCGCTGGAGGTCTTTCTGTGACTTGTTGCTTTGCTCTTCCAATGTAGCAAGACGTTCTACATTCTGCTTGATTTTATCGTTCAGAGACTTTACCTCAGCATCCTTGTCCTTTGACTGAGTCTTGTAGGTGGATATCTCGGACTGCAGATCCTTCACCTTAGCTTCCAGTTTGCGGAGCGTGCTATTGGCTGTGCTCAGCTCTTCCTTGGTTCTCTTGAGCTCGGCAGATTCTTGACGAAGAGTCGTCAGCTCAGGCTGAATCTTGCTGAGGCGATCCTTCAGTGCTGTCAGATCCTTGTATCTGGTCTGAGCCAACTCATTGGCAGCAGACAAATCAGTCTGCAGAGACGAGCTCTTTGACTTGAGCTCGTCAAAGTCCGCAGTCAGAGTTTTGTGCTCTTCGCTTGATTCTTCATGATTTGACTTGAGAGTTTCGGTCTCCTTTTCCAGCTTCTTGTTGGTAGCCTCCAAGGTGTCCTTCTCCTTCTGGATGACGGCAAGCTTGTCTTCGAGCTCCTTGCTCGAAGTACCAAATGACTGCTTGAGCTCGTTCAGCTCCTTCTGGACTTCTGCATGGACCTCTGTCTTTGACTTGATCTCAGACTGAAGGTCATCGCATTGCTTCTGCAGAGTTTTGCATCTGTCTTCGAGCTGCCTCATCTCTTCGGCGCGTTCGCCAGAGTCGGAGTCCTTCTGGGCTTTCAAAGTCTTGATTTGATCTCTTGCGCCACAGAGGTCGTTGCCGATATCCTTGAGTTGTTCTCTGAGATCATCAATCTCCTCCTTGAGGTCATCCTCACCCTTCAGCTTAGCATCAAGCCTGTCAATGGCTGCCTCCTTCTTCTCGATCTGGGAAGTAAGGTCTCTGATTTCGGCGTCCTTCTGTTCAATGACAGTGTGCAACTCCTTGATCTTCTGATCGCTGGGCTCGGAAGGAGAAGCTCTAGGGGCCAATTGGCTAAGAGAGTTGGTAATGTGTGCTCTGGCGGCAGCCAACTGCTCAGCCGACAAGATTGACTCTTGCGGGATAGGCGCAGACTGCTCCTCGGGCTTTGGAGTAGGCGCCGGTGATGGTGGACCGCTTTCTGAGACTTCTGCAGCCGGCTTGTTTGCAGCAGCACCTCCCTTCTTCTTTTTCTTGTTCTTGTTTTTCTTCTTGGCGGCTGCACCGTCTACAGTTTGTGTCGGGTTTGCTGATTCAGGTGTAGCAGTGGATGCAGCTTCGAGCTCGGCAACTGCAGGGGTTTCTGATTCGGGAATCTTACAATGACCACAGGCCAGGATCATCTGATAGGCATCGTCGCGTTCACTCTGAGCAGTCTTCAGCTGACCTCGTAGGTCGTCGAGCGACGTACCCTGCGTGGAAGCCGCAGACGCAGCACCAGTGGCAGTTTTCAATCCAGCCTCGCTCTTTTTCAATTCAACACGCACACCATCTAGATCCTTCTGCAATGACTTCTTGGTCGACTCGGCCTCTGTGACTTGCGACTTCAGTGTGTTGACCAGGCTATCCAGAGTTTCCAGGCGTTTCTTGTCGACATCGCTGGCTTTCTTGTTGCTACTATCTTGACTGGCTCTGTCCTTGCTCTCCTTTTCAAGTTTGTCAAGAGCGTCTTGAGCAGAAATGGCCTTCTTCTTGAACTCCTCGATTTGGCTGTTGGCAGTACTGAGATCCGAAGTTGCTTTGCTGAGCTTGTCACCCAGAGACTTGATGCGTGACTCCAACGATTCCTTGTCTGAAGCCGAGACTTGGTCGATCTGATCAAGTTGTGTTTTGATCTTCTCAATAGCACTCTCAGAATCCTTGAATTCCTTCTCCAGATCAGACTTTTGTTCCACCAGCTCGGAAGCCTTCTGCTCGAACTCGGACTTTTGCTTTTCCAGATCAGACTTCTGCTTTTCCAAATCAGCGACCCTCTTCTCGAAATCAGAATTTGACTGGTCTTGTGACTCCTTTGCGCTCGATTGGACCTTGGTTGCTTTCTCAAGCTCTCCACGAACCTTCTTGTCGGAGTCTTGGGCAGTCTTCAGGTCGGTTTCCAGAGAGGTAATCTTCTCGTTCAGCTCTTCAACTTGGCGAGTCTTTTGGTCTAGCTCTTCCTGCAAACGCGGGGCCTCTTCCTCATAAGAAAAGAAGTCCTCGCTCTTTCTGGTAGAGGTTGCATCCTTGCCATCTACGGAGAGAGTAGTTGCGCCAAGAGGGTCTGTCTCAGCTGCAGGCTTGTTCTTCGCATCCCTTTCTTTCTTCAGACCAGCGGCCTCATCATGGGCGTCCTTTGCTCTCTTCTCAGCGTCATCGAGTTTGCGCTTGATCTCGTCCTTTTCTCCTGTGACCTTCTTATACTCTTCCATGACCATGTCGCCTTTGAGGTTGAGTTGCATCAGATATTCGACCAGAGCGGAGGGATCGGCGATGGAAGTCAGCGGGGTGTTCTCGCGGAGAGCGGCCTCGAAAGGCTCAATTGCAGTGACCCTTGCATGAGCGATGCGGTAGGAGCGGAGGAGCTCGGTGTAGCGGGATTCCAGCTTTTCAAGTTTGCGCAACTTCTGACGGACGTCTTGAGGCAATTCTTCAGGTTGTTTTCCTCCATCTTGGGCTCTCTCAGAGGGAGTGGCATCGGATTGAGCGGGCTCCTTTTCGTTGGTTGAGGTAGCAGGTTGATCGGAAGACGATGTCGACACTTCAGTCGCAGCAGGATTGGGTGTGGCGGTACGAGTAGGAGGTTCGTCGTCGTCAATGACAAAGTCGCTCGGGTCAGGGCCTTTGGCAGGAATGCCACGATTCGAGTCGGCGCGGGCTCGGCCAGCTGGGCGGTTCGGCGATTCGGTTCTGGACAGGCCTCTTCTAGCGGCGGTCGAAGGAGTGCGCTTTATGGGAGACGATGTTCCAGGTTGACCTCTCTGACGAGCCTGTTCCTCTGCGATCTTGGAGTCCAAGAAGGAATCCAAGTTGCCTTTGAGGCGCTGTGTATGACAGTCAGGAGAATGTTTGGATATGGGTTTTGAAGCAGGAGCTCACTTGAAACATAATGGATTGTCTACAAGTTGACAAGCAGCATCGCTACGGGAACAGTTCAGAGGAGAGAGTGCCGAAGAAGAGACAGCAGGAGAGTTGTTGATGGGCGGAGATGGGAAGCTCGGGCGTGGCCTCTGGGCGGCTCTCGGCTTGCATGTGTTGGCCCTCGTCTCGTTGCGCTTTCGTGAGGAAGGTGCGGCGCGTGCAACGTCATCGCAGCTGCTCGTGAGCGACACGTTCGTCTTTCTTTCTCTTGCCGCAAACCAAACACATGCATCTCTCATAGCAGAATATGGTTTCTTTCTGGCCCTTCAAGGTACGTATCCTTCCATTCACTGCTTTCCTGCTCCGCTGACACTACTCGTCCAGGGTCACGACTCTACCTCGGCAGCGTCATTCGAAAAGCTGCTCTCGTCCCTCTCATCCAAGATCAACAAAGAAAGCGCCCGCAATGACCGTCTGCACCAACAACAGCGTCGCTATAAAGTTCTCTGGACTCTGTATACCAGCTTTGCCTACATCCTCGCCGCTGCCATCCTCGTCTTGGTCACCGGCCTGTCAAACTGCTCGGCTGTAGAATATACTGGCCTGGCCGCTTCTCCTCTTCTCATCTATGCCGTCAGGACAGCCCTTGACGCCTTCTTCAACTACCGTCTCGCCTCAAGCCAGTCCTACCTCAACCACCTGAACAAACAACGCGACGATGCCATCTCAAAGCTCAAAGAAGCCACAAAGTACAACTCCACCCAGCAACTGCTGGACAAGTACGGCGGCTCCACGCCCACAAAGTCGCCTCAGCAAAAGTCGAATCTGCAGCAATCCACTCCCACTAAGAAGCAGCAGTCTGCTCCCGTCAAGAGAACAGGCCTGCCTCCACCGCCTACAGCAAATATTCCTGGTCGCCAATTGCCTCCCTCTTTCCAGCCCATGACTCCTCCCCAAGGCGCTCCTCAGTTTCAGTCTCTGCCTCCGCAACAACCTCAACGCGAGCCCCAAGCCGACTTCGCCCCCAACGCCTTCACCGCTCCCACCCCACGCGACCAACCCGCCTACGCTTCCTCGGGCCCTCGCTGGTACGACAGAATCCTAGACATTGTCCTCGGCGACGACGAAACCCTACCCAAAAACCGCATCGTGCTATTGTGTCGCAAGTGCCGCTTGGTCAACGGTCAAGCCCCTCCCGGCACACGTTCTTTGGAAGAACTGGGCTCGTGGAGGTGCAAGGAATGTCACGCTCTCAACGGCCAAGACTCGGAAGCCAAAGCAATGATTAGAGAGATTGCTGGAGAGTCTACCGTCACTGAGGGTGCAAAGGAGATGCAGGAGGTCCAGGGCGCTGAGAAACTGGCTCAAGATCAGGTTGCTGACGTGGATGATGTTGTTGATGATGAAGAATCGGAAGAGGAGAAAACAGTTTCTACCCCTGCCACCTCTACTAGAAGTAAAGTCAGGCAGCGCAAGAAGTAGATCACTGTCTCGCTCCTGTGATCCCAAAAATATAAAATAACAATACTCGTACTCGCGTCAAATCATGTTGAAAAGAACAACTTGTTGATCATCGATTGTGAAACAGGACAATTGGGCTTGGATGATTCAACGGACATACATGGGATGAATGGACTAAGCATGGCGAAAATCAGTATGGCGGAGAGACTTTGTAACTTGAATGTCATGTATTCGGGACAACGAACCATAACTTTATGAAGACTCTATGCAAGATTATGCTCGCTGCTTGCACAACCCTGGCACAAAGGCATAATGTAGATGTCTATGGATTAACCAAGCAGTTTGACCTATGCTAGATCGACTTAGACAGGAGTCTATCGTGATTAATCATATCTAGATACCACTCTCGCAGTATCTCTAGGAAAGAGGGTGATGCACATGCATTGCTTGACTAAGTATAAAATCCTCGCACTACCAAGACTTTTATACGATGTATTAGACCACTCACTTCATCTTCTTTTTAACATGCACAGATTATAACTAACTAACAGTCTATATATCTTCTTATGAACTATCCCTCTATCTCACTCCATCCCTTAAACAAGACAGTTAAGATAAAAGTTAAAATCTTCCATACCTCGCATCTTGAAACATGTAGCACGCAAACATCGAAACAATAGCATCACCTCTTACGCCGCCCATTAAAGTCGCAGGTTAACACGAGTAAAATGCTCAAGAATTGCTTATCATCCCTCGCTTTTTTCTTTCTTTACCTTCTAGATCTTGCCCTGGTGCCATACTCATACAGTTATCTGCCCTTTTTGCTCGAAAATGTGTTTAGTAGCAATTGTAACGAGTGATTACTTCTTCAATCCTTACTTTTTCACTAATCTCTCCCTGCCCCTTTTTCCAGATATCCTAGCTAGAAAAACACCGAGACTCTCATTCAAAGCTAGCCTTTTTTTTTTTCTTTTTCTTTTTCGTGGATCGGGGGTTTCGTCCCATCTCTGTAGAACAAAGGTGATCGAGAAGATTTTTTTCTTTTCTCTTTCCTTTGCCCATATTTCACTATAGAGGTTTTGAGTGATGAGGAAGATGATTGATGATGGGCAACTCTTTCTGGCGTGTGGGATCTACACTCCAGTCAGTATACTCTTGTTCTTCCCTTGTCGCAAAAAGGCTGTGGAGGCGATCTTGGATGGGATTGAGGAATACCACGGGTTTTGGTGTTTGTTGAATTAGAGTTCGACAAAATTGTGATGCCAGACTTCGACTGTTACATTCGTGGGCGATGGGTTTGTTGTGTTTGAGAGTCAAAAAAAAAATGCAACGACACAAAGTGATAGTCTTCGGAAAGAGCATCTTTGGAATTCCACATTCATGTCCGCGAGTGGCACAAAACATGGCTGTATTGGTCTGATGCAAATAGAACTTGGATTACATAGTTGTATGGTGTGGGTTTTGATCCCTAGTTCTTCAGTCTAAGTTGGATGGGTATTTCGACACCATATCAGATTCATGTTTGATTGAATTGCGCCCATATCTGTATTCCTTTGCACGTTCCCTAAATGGTCTACTACTTTCGCTTGTTCTCGCCAGAAAACGCTGATGGTCCTAGAATTTGGTGGCGTGCTTGGTGGCGGAGCTGTGCCTGGGGATGGTCGAGCTGCTCTTCTTGGTGGACGGACTGTGATTCCCGACTGTCGAGCTCTTCTTCTTGAGTGTTGAGCTCTTCTTGGGTGTGAAGCTGCTATTCTTTAGAGTCGAGATCTTCTTGGGGACAGAGCTACTCTTCTTGACAGCAGAGCTACTCTTGTGATCAGAGACTTGCTTCCTGACGGTTGAGCTGCTTTTGGATGAAGTGCTGCTCTTCTTGACCACGGAGCTGCTCTTGGAAGCAGCGGTCTTGACGGAAGAGCTGGCTTTGACGGAAGAGCTGAGTTTGGTGGATGAGCTAGCCTTGGTGAAGGAACTGAGCTTGCTTGTCGAGCTCTGCTTGGTGGAAGAGCTCTGCTTAGTGGAAGAGCTGGCTTGAATAGGAGAGCTGGAAGAACTGAGCTTGGCAGAGGAGCTGACCTTCGAGGCTGAACTGCTTGTCTCGGAGGTAGAGACACTCGAGGGCACCGAGCTGCTAGTCTTGGAGGTAGAGCTACTTTGAGAAGCAACGCTGTTTCCAGAGACCGTCACAGTGCCAGGAGGCGAGCCACCTTGGGAGCCACCGGCAGTACCAGAAGGCATGCCTCCAGAAGGAGCGCCCGATCCCGATGGTGCGCCAGATCCCGATGCGTTGGCATCTCCAGGTGCAGTTCCATTTCCAGCATCACCAGAACCGCTATCACCACCAGTGAACGAGTTCGAAGAGGCATGACCACCGTCTGCATCGACGTAAGCAGCCACAGAGTAATACTCAGCATCGATGTAGTTGGCAGTGGTATCGAGACCGATCTGGATCCAGGCAAACAGACCATCGCTGATATCGTCCCCGAGATAAATGTATTGAGGGAAGGGATCGTAGGTGGTGCCTGCTTGGACAATATCCCACATGTCATCGTCGTTGGTTGTGACGGCCTGGGTGTTAGTACTGTATGGATAGACTTCCTCGACTGCAGCGCGGAGAGCCGTGTCCCAGAAGAGTTGGCCAATGTGAGTGATGTTGTTTGTGGCGGAGATGGTATTGTTGGGGAAGACTGTGACGTTCATGTGGGATAGGAGGTGAGTGTGGGTTGCACGACCTGATGTTGTTAGCAAAGATATGAGATTGGATGAGGTTGTATTGGCTTACCCTCGTAGTGACCAGGGAAAATGGTCTCGAACGTGGCAACGCCATCGGAGTCAGTCTCTTGAATGCCACTGCAACAGAGTCAGGTGTATATTGTAAGGAGGAGTAAATGATGACATACCGAAGATAGGTCGAGTTGTAGCCATCTGCAGCGTAATTGCCGCTGAGAGAGATACCAGAGTAGACGCCAGTCGCATTGGCGTTCCAGATGTCAACCCAAACGTTAGAAACAGGCTCGCAAGTGTTGATGTCGATGTACTGAACCTCGAGGTAGAGATCAACGCCATCACTATACAGGTCTTCCTTGACGTTGCTACGGATCTGTTCGCCAGTGACATAGTAAGGACCATCAGTGACCTCGGGAGTCAAGACACAGCTGGTGTTGGCGGAGAAAACTGAAGCTTCAAAGGCCGAGTAGTCACCGTCCACCGAATCAGTCTGATTGTGGTTGACGGCTTCGAACTTCTCGAGCGTGGCCAAGTCACGTCTGAACTTCTGAGGCGAAGAAGCAATACCACGCTTCAGGCGAAGCTCGGAGGCGATCTTGCTGCGGCGTGCAGCAGAGCGAGCGGCGATCGAGGCACTCTTTGCGCTTCCACTGCAGGTATCGACAGATCGTTTGAAGTGGTTGGCCAGATGTTCACGAGCTGCAATCTCACGCTTAATGGCATGGTGATCGTGGTGCTCGCCGGGATGAGCGAAAGAAGGCGCGATGAATGCAGCAGCCGCAACAGTGCTGGCAACTTTGGACAAATGAACCATGATGGAAATTGATGGCAGGAGGATGTTTGCAAACGATGGTAATGAGATTGAAGATAATTGGGGTCACTGAACTTGTCTTATATCCTTTTACCTCGCCATGTCACCGTTCTGTAATGATCGATTCCTCGGATTCAGCTGACGACTTGTATTGATGCATGGTGCAGTTTGAACATGACGTGTGCTAAAGGTGACGGCTTCCGTACTTAAGGAGGCTTAATCGAACGCACCAATAAAGAGCGGCACATTTGAAAGAATTTGAAAGCTTTGACAGATCAGCGTTGTAGATAACATCCAGGAACATCTCACGCATTGCGCTGCATAGCAGTGACGAGTACAGTGATAGTGCCTGACATGTATGTTTCGGATTCATGATACATTAACGCACAATTCGAGTAATGGCCAGCAGAAGATCCCACAAACCAATTTGGCAGTCAGGATGATAAGATCGGGATGATACCTCTTGTGCAGACTGATCAAGAACTAGCGAAGACGGCATGCGGATGAGAGATAGTCCGCATCCGTCAAGTTTTGATTTACAGGCCATAGATGGGTCCACAAAGTCGTTCTCTGAGCAAACCCTGACACTTTTGGTCATGAATAGACGGGACGAGCTGCCAGATCCAAGCAGGGTAAGGTTCTCGGATGGTCATCAACATCGAGACCATGCAAGGGCACCGGGTGACGCGTGGCTATATGCCTTGGCGTCCGTGATGAAACGGGTGAACGAACATGCCAAGCAGAATGTCGGACTACGCCTCTGGAGACGCGTGCAGACTATTCGCTGGCATGCTGGAGGTGTTGGCGTGCTGTCCAGATCATCGAGGAACACAGGAGAAGATCGATTTCACTTAGGGGGTGGCGTCGACTGAATATGCTGCCGAAAAGACATGGATGAGATCAGGTCGCAACGACATGGATCGTGCTGGGAGTGAGTGAAAGTGGCTTTTCACAAAGGACAAAGTCGAAGAACAGACAGAAGAAGAATAGCGGTAGAGTAGGGGAGAAGACCGTGTTCGGAGGAGAGATTTGGAAAGCTGCGACGATAAGATCAGATAAGCATGTGCCAAGACATGGGTAAGGATCTTATCTACGCCCCTTTTTGCTCGTGTGCTTTTCGCGCTTCATCTCTTTCCGCCAAGATCACACCTCGATATCATGCTGGGCTCCAATCAGACAAACTCATCTGGGCAATTCCTATGGCTCCGCGTAACACGGGCTGAGCAATTTTGCCTTGCGGTCTTGACCGGCGGGAACGTATGCCCAGTCCAGAGCCGGACCAGCGGTACTTAACGACTCACTTGCTTTCTCTGTGTACAGTCGTTCGGCCCACTTGGCATGTGGCGGTGCGCTCCAGTCGACTATAGGGAAGTACGAGATCGCTGCAGTAATCTTGCCCTGGAGCTCAGGAAGTTGACAGGAGGTCAACGCTAATTTGCCGCCAGCACTGAATCCAGCCAGAACCACGCGAGATTTGTTAATGTTCAATGTCTTGTCATCAATGACTGCACGAGCGACTGCAGCGATGTCCAAGACGGAAGTAGGGAAGCAATGGAGCGGTGCCTTGCGATAATTGAGTCCGACGACGATCATTCCCGTACGTTCGCACCGGGAGCGACAAAAGGAATCATCTATCGAGGCATCGCAGGTCGCGAAGGTTCACCCATGGATACTGATGTACAGAGGCAAGCTAGTATGGTCCTCTGGATGCTCATGGCGAGACTTGGGCAGGAACACACGAACCGGGAGGCCTGGCCGACACGAGTAGGACTTGATTATGTCTGGTCGTGTCTTTAGTGGAGATGGGTGGAATAGACGCAGGTATGCCAACTGTCCTGCAACGGTGATTTTGACGGCCCAGACCAGGAGGAAGTAACGAATGCGACAGATCAGGGAAGGCAACTCGGCGGGTGATGGTGTGAGATCGCGTGGATTAGACTCTTTGGGAGAAGCACTCCGGCTTGCTCGAATAGTCGCGTCATATTGGGGTTGTGAAAAATCGTTTTGTGCCAACAGAACAGGATAGGGTAGGTATGCTGTTTCCAAAGCGCCGACAAATGTCCATTCGAGCTTCTCAGTCTGCGGAATCAGCAAGAGATCTTGTCGCGAGAAAAGCCTTCGAAGGATCTTCAGAATTGACCTGTTGTAGTGGGGCTCAAGCGTTATAACGGCTCGAGACCAAGCGACGCATAGTATATGGTTTCCCGTGAGGAAGGTTCTAGCATGATAAGATTGTATATGACAGCCTGTTTAAAGCCGTATGCAATAGGTTGCCAAGATACTCTAATTCTACAACAAAACTCTAGCCATTGGAAGAAGTCGACAAAGGAAAAAGACATAAGGACAAAGCTAAAACTTCTATCCATAAATACAACGAGCACCATCGTTCGTACTCGCCACAGCACCGAGACTCGAATAAACAGGAACCGTAGGATTCGTCAAGTCAATACGCCAAATCTTACCATCGCCATTGTTACCGAGCCATATCGAGCCGTTATTGGACCCATATGCAGCACCGAAACTTCCAGTCAATTGTGAGTACGCATTACCGACGGTCGTCCATGTGTGGTCGGTCAAGCTCCATCTAGCAAGTTGATTGGTTCCGGTGGTGGTACCGGGGCTCAGAAGTGCCCACATGTAGTTGCCCTGGCTGGGCACGTACACCCAATCGATAGTTCTCAATCCAGTGGCTGGGAACGTGGAAGTGCCTGAGGCGAGGGCTGTACCGAAAGTCGATGAGGTCGGTCTCATGTCGATCTGCAGCCAATTGCCTGACGTGTTGATCAACCAGTAATACCCGTTATTGTCGATGTCTCCAGCTTGGTAGGACTGAGCAAATGTACCCGTGAGGGTTTTGACCACAGTCGCTCTGGTAGCATTCAGGCGAACGATTTGTCCTGTCTTGCTGTAGGCGTAGAGGTAATTGTCCAATATGTTGAAACCCATTCCGTTGATGGGATTGGCTGAGCCGAACTGAGAAAGATCGGGGCTCAGCAATGTATTCACTCCTGTAGTGATATTGACGCTGTAGAGTCGTGTCACGGCACTGGAGTCTTGCTGGACGAGGTAGCCCAGAGGTCCGCAGACAAAGGAACCTACTGGCGCGGGGCTTGGAGTCGCGACAATCACGGTGCCTTGAATGGTTCCTTGCGCTGATACGGTACTCGTGTATGGAGGAGCGGATCGATCGATGGTTGTCGTCACCGTTGTGTAACTCTGGGGGTAGCCTACTTGGACTGTACCTGAATTTGGGCCAGATGGTGCAACTGTTGATGTGTATCCTGAAGCCCCGGGACTCAGGTACGTGGTCGTGGTCACATAGCCAAGCTGCGAAGCCCCTATCACTACGGTTCCTGGTACTGTATTGGACGGACTAATTGTGCTCGTATATCCCGAAGAGCCAGCTCCCAGATATGTTGTTGTCGTTGTGTAGCTCTGGGGGTAACCCACTTGAACTGTGCCAGAGTTTGTACCAGATGGTGCAACCGTCGATGTATACCCTGAAGCCCCAGGACTCAGATAAGATGTAGTAGTCACATAGCCAAGCTGGGAAGCCCCTACCACTACAGTCCCTGGTGCTGTGCCAGATGGACTGATCGTGCTTGTATATCCCGAAGAGCCAGCTCCTAGAGACGTTGTCGTCGTTGTGTAGCTCTGAGGGTAACCCACTTGAACTGTGCCAGAGTTTGTGCCAGATGGTGCAACCGTCGATGTATACCCTGAAGCCCCAGGACTCAGATAAGATGTAGTAGTCACATAACCAAGACTGCTTGAGCTCGACGTACTGGATTGGCTTGTTTGTGGGGCTCCGACTACAACAGTGCCAGGAGTTGTGCCTGATGGGTCGACTGTGCTCGTGTAACCTGACGTTCCTGCTCCTAGAGAAGTTGTCGTGGTCGTGTAGCTCTGAGGATAACCCACCACGACCGTACCTGGTGTCGTTTCGCTTGGGACGTTGGCAGTACTCGTGTACCCAGAGGCGCCTGGACTCAGATACGACGTTGTAGTCGCGTAACTTTGAGGGTAGCCAATTTGGACAGTACCTGGCGTTGTTTCACTCGGGACATTGATCGTACTGGTGTATCCCGAGGCACCGGGGCTAAGATACGACGTTGTGGTCGCGTACCTCTGGGGATAGCCAACTTCAACTATACCCGGAGTGGTTTCGCTTGGAGTACTTATCGTGCTTGTGTAGCCTGTTCCATCTGGGCCAAGGTATGTTGTTGTAGTCGTGTAGCTCTGGGGATAACCTACTTCAACTGTGCCCGGCGTTGTTTCACTCGGATCGTTGATCGTGCTAGTGTAGCCTGAAGCACCTGGAGTCAGATAGCTTGTGCGAGTAGTCACACTTTCAGGGTAGCCGACTTGTACAGTTCCGGGCGTGGTGCCACTGGGTGAGTTCAAAGTTGACGTGTAGCCCGTAGCTCCTGGACTGAGATAGCTGGTCGTGGTGGAATAGCCTTCAGGGTAGCCAACTTCTATGGTGCCGGGTGTCGCGTTATCTGGAGGCGTGGTGCTTGTGTAGGCAGAAGCTCCGGGCGTCAAGTAGATGGTGGTGGTTGTATAACTCTGAGGATATCCTACCTCAACGGTACCTGGTGTGGTCTCAATGGGAGCGTTGACGGTGCTCGTATAGCCAGTAGCTCCAGGGCTCAGATAGCTCGTTGTCGTAGTCAGAGTCTCAGGGTACCCGACCTCAACGGTACCTGGAGTCGTACCGTAGGGCTGTGTGGTTGATGTGTACCCCAAGGCGCCCGGACTGAGGAAGCTGGTTGTTGTGACTATGGTCTGAGGGTATCCGACTTCAACTGTACCAGGCGTAGTTCCATCAGGTGGCGTCGAGCTAGTATAGCCGGTCTCCCCTGGGCTCAGGTATCGAGTGGTTGTCGTCACAGTCTGAGGATATCCAATTTCAACGGTACCGGGTGTTGTTCCGTCAGGTGATATCGTGCTCGAATACGCGGTTGCGCCAGGTGATAGATACTGAGTGGTCGTGATTACTTGCTGAGCATACCCAATCTGAACGGTACCGACAGTTGTTCCATTGGGTGGTACGGTGCTGGTGTAACCAGTTCCACCAGGAGCGATATATTCGGTCGTCGTTGTGACTTGCTCGACATATCCAACTTCCACGGTACCAACGGTAGTACCGTCTGGGGGTGTTGAGCTGGTGTAGCCGGTTGCGTCTGGGCTCAGGAACCGGGTTGTGGTTGTTACCGACTGAGGATAGCCAACCTCAACAGTACCTACTGTGGTTCCTTGAGGTGGCGTAATACTCGTGTAGCCACTGGCATTGAGGCTCAAGAATTGGGTTGTGGTTGTCACGGACTGAGGGTAGCCAATCTCGACCATTCCAGGTGTGGTATCAACTGCTGGGGTTGTGCTGGTATACCCAGAGGCGCCAGGTGTCAAGAAAACTGTGATCGTTGTGTACGTCTGTGGGTAACCGATGACGACCGTACCCGGAATAGTGCCGCTAGCAGGGTCTGTCGAAGTGAAAGCGGTCTCATTCGATGCCAAGAAAGATGTTGTAGTCGTGAAATTGGGTGGGTAACCAACAACCACGGTTCCAGGCACAGTTTGGTTGGCTAGGGAGGTGCTCGTATATACGGAACCACCCGGGGACAAGAAAGACGTCGTGGTTGTATATCTGATCGGATAACCGACAATGACGGTGCCCGCAGTGGTCCCTTGGGGAGGAAGAGTACTGGTGTATTCACTTTCGTTGTATCCCAGATAGCTTGTTGTAGTCTCAATGGTCTGTGGATAACCATAGATCACCGTTCCATCGGTCGTGCCATCCGGCGCAACACTGCTAGTGTAGGCAGTAGCACCGGGTGAGAGGAAACTAGTAGTTGTTCGGATTACCTGCGGATAGCCTTCAATCACAGTGCCCGGAGTTGTGCCCTGCGGAGGAACTGTAGTGGTATAAGCCGTCTCTTCTGGAGCAAGGAATGATGTACTATAGTCATATCTCTGATCATAACCGACAATCACTGTTCCAGGGATCGTCCCAGACGCAAGAATGGTACTTTGGTATTCAGCTGCTCCAGAAGCCAGGAAGGTTGTGGTGGTCACTGTCGATTGTGAATAGCCGACGATTCGTGTCCCCGGAACGGAACCACTTGGTGGAACTGTGCTAGTATAACCATCGCCATCTGACAAAAAGACTGTGGAATCAGTGTAGCTTTGAGGAATACCAACGACGACCATCCCAGGGGTAGTACCGGAAGGAGCAACACTACTTGTATAGGCAGAAGCTTCAGGTGTAAGATAGCTGGTCGTCGTCACTGTGGACTGCGGATAGCCGATGATCCTCGTGCCAGGAACAGAACCACTCGGCGGGACTGTGCTAGTGAAGCCTCCTTCGCCAGACGACAAGAAGATTGTGGTCTCGCTATAAGTCTCGGGAGAGCCGATGAGCACTGTACCAGGGACAGTCCCAGTAGGGAATACCGTCGAAGTGTATGCTGTGTCACCAGGTGGGAGATATGTCGTCGATGTGACCGTTGATTGCGGGTAACCTACAATCACTGTCTCTGGGCCTGTACCGTCTGATGGTATGGTACTCGTGTAACCACTTTCTCCGTCAGAGAGATAGGTGGTTCTAAGACCACGAGGTTCGCCGATGATAACAGTCCAAGGACTGTCGTCGTTGGACGAAATCGTTGAAGTATAACTGGCGGCATCTGGCTCCAGCATTGAAGTGGTGGTCACAAAGCGACGAGAAGCTCCTACGATGAACGTTCCTTGTGAGTCTCCAGATGGCTCAACAATACTCGTATATTCTGGAGCGCCAGCCGAGACGAAGGATGTTATGATCGTGTAATCTGTACGCGGAGCGGAACTTACGGCCGGCGTAGTGTCCGATTCCGTGACTGGCAGCGCGGTGCTACTTGTAGGATCCGCGGCAAAAACAGTGCTTGAAGACTCCTGTTCGCTGGTCGAGCTTGGAAGCGTGGTGCTACTTGTGAGGTTCGCGGAAGAAACAGTGCTTGTGTAGTCCTGTTCACTAGTCGAGATCGACAGTACAGTAGTACTTGTGGGATCGGCGGAAAATACAGTGCTTGAAGCGTCCTGTGAACTAGTCAAGCTCGGACTGGTAGTGATTGGACTCGAGGCTAAGATCGAAGAAGAGGACGAAGAACTCGTCAGCACTGTCCTCGATGAGGAAGTAGTACTCGTGCTTGTTTCACGACTAGATGTATCTGTGCTGATAAGAAAGCTCGAGGACGAGGATGAAGAGATTGTCGCTAGCGTTGACATAGATGAGGATGCAGACCTTGAGGAACCGCTCGATGCAGAGGTCGACGTCGTCCCAGCTGCAACTGAAGAGCGAGAAGAAGAAGAGGAAACTGGCGGTAGCCCGACGACCACATATCCTGGATTTGTACCAGAGGGAGGGACAGTTGACGTGAACCCAGTGGCACCTGCTGGCATCTGCGTTGTTCTCGTCGCATATCTTTGAGCTTGGCCAACGACCACGTACCCGGGCATGGTTCCAACAGGAGGCATCGTGGAAGTGTATCCAGAAGCACCAGGCGGCAATGTCATAATAGTGGAATTGAAAGAGGTCTGTACTTGGCCAACCATAACATATCCCGGAGTAGTCCCTTCGGCAGGTATGGTGGAAGTATAGGGACTGGCTCCAGGGGGCAAGAGCTGTGTTCTAGATGCGAATCTCTGAGCAAGGCCGAACATGACATACCCTGAATTAGTTCCGCTTGGAAGGATAGTAGAAGTAAACGCAGAAGCTCCAGGAGGCAGGATGGTGGTTCTTGCAGAATACGCAGCTTGAGGAGTAGCAACAATGACATAACCGGGAGTGGTTCCAGATGCAGGAACAGTGGTCGTGAACCCACTTGCGCCGGGTGGCAGGAGTACTTTCGATGTCTTGGGATCACCAGCCTGACCTACGACAATGTACGCAGGAGTCGTACCAATCTCAGCCACGGTTGAAGTAAAGCCACTAGCCCCAGCAGGCAACCTTGATACCGATGTGGCATATGCCTGAGGCTGACCGATTACGAGATACCCTGGAACAGTACCCGAAGGTGCAACTGTGCTGGTAAAGCCTGTCGCACCAGCAGATAATACTCTTACGGATGTCGAAGAGATGGATTGCGGCTGTCCAACTATGAGAGTACCAGGCACAGTTCCACTTGGTGGTATGGTCGAGGTGAACGCACTCGCACCAGGCGGCAGAGCCTGGATTGATGTTGTCGAAAAAGGCCGGGTCACTCCGATTTGAATATAACCTGGAGTCGTTCCAACGGCGGGAATGGTGGAAGTAAAGGGACTGGCACCCGCTGGTAGCAGCGAGAAACCTGTTGCAAATCGCTGTTGAGGACGGCCAATCAGGAGATAACCAGGCGTTGTGCCTACCGGGGGGATGGTAGATGTGTAGGGATCCGCGCCAGGAGGGAGTATAATTGACGATATCGAAGTGGGACGTTGAAATTGACCGACGATAACCGTTTCGGGCTGGTTACCTGTTGCAGGAATTGTCCTGGTGTAGCCAGGTGCTCCGGGAGCCAGGAGAGACACTGACGTCCTTTGCTTGGGCTGACCTTGGCCAACAATGACAGTACCAGGGCGAGTACCCGACGCTGGGATGGTACTCGTGTAACCGGAAGCCCCAGGCGTAAGAAGAATAATCGACGTTAATGGTGCAGGCGCAGCGGGACCGACGCTGCGCGTATCAGACCGGCTTTGTGAGCTTGGGATCGCACTGGTCTGGCTAGACACCGGAGAAGAGGGAGAAACTGTGCTTGAGATCATGCTGGTCTGGATAGATACATCAGGCGAGGATGAAACAGTGCTCGATGTTGTGGCCGAAGCTGACGAAGCTGGGGCGGCGACAATCACAACATCAGGTGAGCCGTTAGACCCCGCGATCGTTATCGTGTATGGTGTTGCACCAGGAGGTAATGTCGACGACCTGGTGGCAAAGCGCTGCACTTGACCGACCACGAAATACCCGGGATTGTTACCAGATGCTGGGATCGTGCTAGTGTAAGGAGTTGCTCCAGGTGGCAAGTATGAGATGATAGTGGACATGGCATTCAAATTCGCAGAAGTCCCGGGGAATGTTGTAGTGCTGACAGCACCGTTCTCATCGGATGCCACTGGAGTTGCGATGATGACTGTGCCTGGCGATGTGCCTGTAGGTACAACAGTGCTTGTAAAACCACTTTCTCCAGATGACAAAACCAAAGTGCTCGTTGAGAAGGGCGGATACGCGACGACGACATAACCTGGAGAACTGCCAGAAGGCGCGATTGTGGTTGTATACGGCGTTGCACCAGGAGGCAAAGATGTCGTGAAGGTCCCAAAGGCAGCACGTCCAACAACGACATAACCAAAGTTCCCATCAGATATTGGGAAGATGCTAGTGTACGCAGTAGCTCCAGCAGGGAGATACGAAGTGCTCAACTGGTATCGAGACGGGATGGGTTGGTAGACCACAACCGTTCCATCTTCGTTACCAGAAGGATTGACGGTGCTAGTGTACCCATCAGCTCCGTTGGGCAAGAAAGACGTGCTTATTTGAAAACCAGTAGGGACTGCTTGGCCAACGATGACTGTTCCCAGAGAGTTTCCAGATGCTGAGATGGTACTAGTGTAGATATTCGCGCCCGGAGTAAGTAACGAAGTGATCAGCTGATAGCCGGAAGGAACATCATGCCCAACGACGATAGTTTGAGGTGCGCCTGGGTAAGCCTGGATCGTGCTCGTGTACTCGGGTGTTCCAGCGGTGAGGACAGACGTTTTAACCTGGACTCCAAAAGGGACAGCTTGGCCGACCACGATGGTCCCTGGTACACCGGCGAGAGGCGAGATCGTGCTCGTGTAGCCTGGCTCGCCTCCCTGCAACAGAGCAATGCTGAACACGTATCCAGTAGGGACTGGCTGAGCAATGACGACAGTGCCTGGGAAACTACCAGAGGGTGCAATTGTGCTCGTGTATCCACTCTCGCTTGCTGGCAGTAGAGTAGTTGTCGTCATGAGAGTCGTAGGAGCAGCAGGAGCTCCGACGACGATTGTGCCGGGTATGTTGCCAGATGGCGAAATAGTGCTCGTGTGTGGAGTAGCGCCTATCGACAGCGACGTGGTCGTCACCACAAAGCCTGAGGGCACAGGAGTACCGAAGAAAATGGTACCACTTCTATCTTTCGAGGGTTGTAATGTGCGTGTGTATGCATTCGCACCAGCTGACAGCAAAGAAGTGGTCAGGACGAACCCAGAAGGAGACAGATCGCTGGAAACACCAGGATCTGAACCGACTTCTGATGACCCAGCAGCTGCAGGTGTGTGAGGGGTGGCTACAGAGTCACCATTGTCATTTCCAATCGGCCTTGTAGTTGGAGTCTGCGAATCTCTACTCGAAATCAGCAAGGTTCCAACAGACAAGAGATTTCAGCAACCTACAGAGTTCGAGTTTCGATAAGAGTCTCAGTTGTAGCAGTAGTTATGTCAAGTTGCGTAGGCGCAGTAACAGTCACGGTGATTTGATCATCGAAAGTTAGGACTGTAGGTGAGGCAACATATGTTGAAATCAACACCGGACCAACGACCAGCACTGTCCGAACCTCCAGGGCTGGCCCAGGCGTGCACACATCGTCCGCTGGTAATGCCAAGGCCTTACACACCGCGAGACCTAGAAGAAGCAACCTCGACATCTTTGTTCGAGGCGGAACAACCTTGCCTCGCCCCTGCACCGAGGCAGCGCATCTTACTTATAAACAACATATTAGCGTATTCGCAGTCCCTCTCTGCACCTACGATGATCCGAGTCTGTGAGATGACCAAGGCAACGGCATGCATCAGAACGTTATGTAGTCTTGTAGATATGACATGACCGCTTCGTTGGACATGGCCGACATCTGGTGAAGTCGTTGGCCAAGAAGCCAAATGTGGAAGTCGACGTGACTCGTTGTTCGGACCTTCGGCTGCATGTCTTAGGGCGGAAGACGGCTTGGCATCTTCACAGACCTATTTTGACTGGGCTTGGCGCGCCCTCGTTCTAAGGATCCAATAGCACCCGTTACGACCGTCGACGACGTTACCACTAACACAGATAGAAATTGCCTTGAGAAAGACCTTATCACGCCCATCTTGGTGAGAGCTAAGTCCAGGTAGGGTTCACGACTAGTTTCAGATCGATAGTCCTCGGACAGGCACAATGCACAATTGACAGTAAGTGCAACCGTGACTTGAATCAATATGCTTCTGGAATATGTCTCGGACGGATCGTCTCCTGTAGGAAAATCTAGAAGGATGTTCTCGTACTCTAGGTATATATCTGTGATTCCACGCCGTGAGTGCGACAGCCCGTCATTTACGGCTGTTCCTTGCATTCGGTTTGGATTTCAAACTTCTATCCAGGCTCGCTCCATCGGCTACATTCTTTGAGGTAGTGCTTGAGTCTCGAGCAGCTACATCGCGCATTCTTCAGAATATCAATCGCGCATCATCACAGTTATGAAAGGCTACATCGCTCTGTTTGGTCTTGCCACAAGCGCGCATGCCCTGGAATTTTCGCACTCGCAATGCACAAACTCATCAGTCTATCATGCAACGATACTATCAACAAAAGCCTCCACCGCGACTTTCACGAGCATTCCGACCAACGCGAATAACGTATCAGTACAACATACTGGGAACTCGCCCTCGACCTCCGCTACTATTACTCAGCCACACATTGTTACAGGCTCTACGACATCAGAGCAGTATGGATCTGCAACCACATACCCTTCCATCCACGCACCATTCTCGTTCGCCACATCAGATACAAGCCTCAATGCTGCTTCAAGTTCGCAAGAGCAGCCACATACCGATGCTACTTCGGGCGCGAACGATGGTTCAAGTAACAAGGGTTCAATCTCCTTGTCTCACTCCGTTGGCGCTCTTCCAACGTCACAATCGAGCTTGCAATCGCCGCACATTCCTACGACGACACTGGTGGTCTCGACTATCACACCTTCTGGCAACTCATCATCGCCCAAATCCTCCTTAGTTCCATTCACGGGTTCATCATCGACGAACTCCGTAAGCGGTGGCGCAATTGTTGTTGGCTTGTTTTTCACAGCGCTTTTCCTGTAAAGTCTTAGCGACATCGTCAGAGACTATGGTGCGCACCATTTGGTCATATATCTGAACTCTAGCGGATCCTGTTTGTATGATGATCTGGTCTGGTGTATCAGTCTATCGTGGCGGAGTGTCGGAAAACAAGATCTACATAGCGCTATTGGTGTTGGGAGGTGGATTTAGTATGGACCGAATATACCCGATGTTTGAGCTAGCCCCCCTAATCATAGATTGGCGTGCGAAGATTTGCCGAGAACGAAACAACGCCTCGATCACACTGTTTCGGTGACACACGAACTCACCTTCCGTTCTTGTCAAATATCATGGATTGAACGAAGAAGTCCGACACATAGTCGATCAACCCGTCATTCCGCATGACCACCATGACATACACCATCCCGAGGACGTCTGTCATATTTATCTTATTGTCACGCAGACCGACTTGGCAACGCCAAGCCGTTAGCGACACTGTAGCTTATGCCATCTGGCTGGTTTTTCAACGTCACCTACCTGAAGCTCGTAAGATTTGGACATTGTGCTTTGCCGCGGGCTATACCAGCTCGAAATTCCTGCCAAACTCGTTCACCCTGTGACTTGCCAAGTCGCTGAACTCTCATAGAAGAATCGCAAAAGCAAGATAAGCAAAATCATCGAGCGGAATGCATGTATGCTGGAATGAGCACCCTCTTGCACAGCTACAAGGTAAGCCATGGGATATGCGGAAATTGTTTGCAGCTTATGTGATAGCTCTGTCAAACGGCCTGCGCGATGTGTCGAGGACCTTTTCTCTGGAGCTTGGGCGCCCTGTACTGGCTGCTGTGGAGAGCGCAATAAAACCCTTGACTAATACCAGCATTTCTTGTCTGTTGAACGCTCTCCGTGAGGGCTTCAGGGAACAGCATTGCAACACTGCAATGTGGATGGGTTGTTTTTTACATCGATGGCTTGTTTCTCTGGTTGATGGTCATCTGAACGATCATCTCAGGGTGAACGATCAACAAACGGAACCGCCCGACTGCTGTTCAATGGCGAGTGGGACACGTGTGTGATCTGTCTGGTGCCAGCTTCTGATCAGTCGGCCTAGTGCTGTGATTGGTGAAGTATAGCTGACGGAACTTCGCTTTGCTAAGGAGCAGCATTAAAGTCCGAGGATTTGCCAGCTCAGTATCCGTCGCAATTTCCGATTCCTCGAGTTTGCTCAAAAGAACAGGGGAAACCTCCGTGTGTCAACACATGCTTTGTTCGACGTGGGCAATCGCATAGTATACCATCCAATCCAAGCCGACTATGATCAATAGGCGCCGGCGATAGACAGCGTGTCGCACGCGAGGCATCAAGACGCGTGCCCGGAGGAACTATGGATCCGCCAGGATTCTTATCTCGTATTGATTGGCTGATCGTGCTATTGAATCCTTCGGTGCCTTCTTCTCGGCAATCATGCTCGTAACAGCTTAGCAGATTGCGAGCTAGCATGCGCTCGAATTCGATATTCCCGCGATCTGCCACCACCACCACGATACACAAAGATCCTAGCGATGCCGACAACAGATGTGTGGACCTCTACGATGCTTTTCATCACTTGACGTGCCACTCGTTCGGTCGCTGAGATTGTCCGCTCTCCCTACCTGATCCATCGACCAGCCAGCACGAAATATATAGCAGTCGTGATGATCCGTCTTCATCCAAGAAATCCCGATAAATTCACCAGCCATGGTAGCCCTCGAAACGATTCAAGCCTCGAACGAGAGGATTGCATCCACTCTCCCTTCCGGACTCGTCGCTGTGTTCGTTGGTGCGACAAACGGGGTTGGCGAGGTTACAGTGCGACGATTTGCGAAATATGCGTCAGCGCCTCGAGTTTACCTGATCGGTCGCTCTCAAGAAGCTGGCACTCGCATTGTCAACGAGTGCACAGCTCTGAACCCAGATGGCAAATTCACCTTCATCGCCAAAGATACGAGTCTGATCCGCAATGTCGATGAGATTTGCATGACGATTCAGCGGAACGAAAAGTCGGTAAATATGTTGTTCCTGACCATCGGGACTCTTCAGACTGGTCAAAGTGAGCTTCTGGAGAACATGAATCGATTGCGACGATTTCTGATCTGACCACAGCAACTGATGAAGGTCTCCATTACCCTGCGGCACTAGCTGTTCATGCACGCAACAGATTCATCTCCAATCTGATGCCACTGGTCAACAACGCAACTACCTTGCGCCGAGTCATCTCTGTGTTCATCGCCACTCTTGAAGGAGAGATTCAGATGGACGACTTCCAAGGTTGGCATATGAAACTCATGGCCAATAGAGATCATGCCGCTTCCATCACCACGTTATCTCTCGAGAGTCATCACAAAGAGAACCCGAACGTGTCATTTGTTCACAATTTTCCTGGCGTCGTCAAGTCAGGTATAACACGTGGTACATCGGGGCCAATCTTGACTGCTCTCAAAGCATTGGCTCGTGTTTTTGGGTCGCTGTTCTACATGCCTGCGGATGAAGCTGGAGATCGACATGTTTTCCTTGCGACGAGTGCACGATACTCAGCTGGCTCTTCAGATCCAGCAGCTGGTGTGCCTCTCTCGGTTGTTGATGATCTATCCCTCGCGCGTGGGACTGACGGTGAACTGGGCAGTGGTGTCTACTCCATCAACGCCAGCGGGGAGAGTGCCGGCCCAAAAGTGGAAGAAGCTCTTGCATCTCTAAGAAGCAGAGGCATGGTAAAGAAAGTCATGGACACTATCAACGCAGATATCGAGAAGGCACTCGCGACAAGCCTAAAGCCTTGAGATCTCGGTTCTGCCGTCCTAGACACACTGCACAGGCGTCAATATCAAACACGCAATTCAACTTGCAATTTCGTTTTCTCTTTCATCGACTAGTTGGTCAACCGAGTTCATGCTTCGCTCAGCTTCTTGGAATGCACATAACAATATTGTCTTTATTTCATCGACCTGATACTCTGACTCCCGATCTATTCAAGACATAGCTTGAGCATTACGAGTCACCTCGAAACTAGATCAGCTGTATATCTGTTCATTGCACATCTTTTCGTACGTACCGAGGCCTGCCAAGATTGAGTTGTCCCTGAATCAATCGCACTCTAGCATCAGGAGCGTTTCGAGTGTTGGTATGTTCTCATGCTCTCGCGAAGCATCATTTGGTACATCACCAAGATTGATGTTTTAGATCTTGACCGAGTCATCTAATACGACACCTACAGATTTGCCTTAGCCATTTGACCCATAACATACCAGATTCAGACTGGCGAGGGCACTGGGTGCAGCTTCTGGAGATTGCCAAAATGAGGTAGACAGGGCGAGGTCGGAGGTGCACGCAAGTGGGATGGAAACGGACTCGAGTATGCCAGATGAGGGCTCGCAAGGGCTTGATTGAGAAGACAATCTGGAATCGTGCACGCAGACCCTATGCGCCAGGTCTGGAGTGCCAAGTTCAGGATTCGAGCTCGACCATTGGTCTGCACCGAGTCACGTTGGAAAGAGATGATGGCGACGTCAGGCTCTGTTGTTGTAAAGACTGTAGGCGATCAAGTCATCGTATCGTTTGAAAGGTGTATATAGATGTGCGACCAGGAGACGAAAAGAAAAATGCAGGAGAGAGAGGCATAGTAGAGACGATGGCAACACGATGGTGCGCGTGTGCATGAACGATATGTTCCTTTCCAATTGAGCGGAAGGAGCCGCCCTCCACGATTGCGCATCCGAGCGGGGAAGAACAAAGCTACTCCGCATTCGGGGGTCGTAGCCTACGACCAGCCACAAAGACTCCGCAATCCGCAAAATCCTCCTCCGGGGATCTCCATTGCGGGTCTGGGGTGTCACGGCAATGTCTGTCGCGAGATGTCCTTCGGGGAAGGGATATATAAGGATCGGCCGGTGTCCGCGAAGTGCTCTTGGATCGCACAACGCTGCAAGTCCTCTCACTCGCCGACAACATGGGTGCACACTCGAACGCGACAATCTGGCAGTCCATTAGGGGCAACCCCAAGGTCTTGTTCATCGCCTTGTTTGCCTCGTAAGGTCGCCGCATCAATCTCGAAGATCATTCACTCATACTTGGGCAGACTCGGTGGTTTTGAATATGGTTACCAGCAAGGTGTCTTGGGTAAATTCAGCTCCTTGCACAACCCTGAAGTCGCTCAGAGCTGACTTTTGTATCTAGGCCAGTCCCTGGTCATGACGAGGTTCACCGAGAACTTCCCAAATGTTGTCAAATCTGCTGGAGCAACTGGCTGGCTTACTTCAATCCTTCAACTTGGTGGTCTACTCGGATCTCTTACGGCTGGCGTTCTCAGCGAGCTCATCTCGAGAAAGTACACGATGTTCGTCGCATGCTGCTGGGTAGTGCTCGGATCCTTCCTTTACGTCGGTGCTCAACCAGGCGCTTCATCTCTGTTATATGCTGGCAGGTTCTTCACTGGAGTCGGCGTCGGATTGTTCAGTGGCGTCGGTCCTCTGTATAATGCTGAACTCTCAGCTCCCCACATGAGAGGACTGCTCGTCTCCTTTTATCAATTGGCAACCATTCTCGGCATCATGCTTTCTTTCTGGGTCGGCTACGGCAGCAATTACATTGGCGGTACCGGCAGTGGCCAGTCGAATCTCGCCTGGCGCCTTCCCTCGATCATCCAGGGTATTCCTGCTGTCGCTCTTGCTTTTGGCATCTGCTTCATGCCATTCTCACCTAGGTGGCTGGTCAAGATGGGTCGCGACGATGAAGCCAGAAGCACACTCGCATGGCTGCGTAAACTCCCGACCGATCACGATGAACTCGAGGCCGAGTACCTCGAGATCAAGGCAGAAGCACTGTTCGAGCGCAAGGCTTTTGCCCGCGACTTCCCCGAGCTTGCTGAGCAAGGTCAGAGCCGTCTCAAGCAGCAGTTTGCGCAGTATCGCATGTGCTTCCGATCCAAGGATAACTTCAAGCGCATCTGTACCGCCTGGCTTGTTATGTTCTTCCAACAGTGGTCGGGCATCGATGCAATTATTTACTACGCGAGTAACGTGTTTATATCCCTCGGTTTGACTGGAGGAACAAATGCATTGTTGGCCACCGGTGTCACTGGCGTTGTTTTCCTCATCAGCACCATCCCCGCCATGGTATGTGCATTTTGAAGCCTCTTGAGGCCTCTTGAAGCCTCTAAGACTCTACGCTAACCTGACGCACAGTTGATCATCGATCGAGTCGGTCGTAAACCAATGCTGCTTGTGGGCTCTGCCGTCATGGGTGTCTGCATGATAATCGTCGGAATAATCGTCGCCAAGTTCAGTCATGATTGGCCCGGTCATGTCGCCGCTGGCTGGACCGCTGTAGCACTTATCTGGGTCTACATAGCATCATTCGGAGCGACGTGGGGGCCTGTGAGTGAGTGCATTTGAGGGTACAAATGTCCCAGGTGAAAAGTCAGGAGTTGACTTTTCGGCTGGGGGTTGTACCCATTCCCTCTTTTGAAACCAGCAACGCGCTAACTGTGCTCTTCCTCCTAGGTTGGACCCTTGTTTCCGAGATCTTCCCGCTGTCCATCAGAGCGAAGGGTGCTTCGATCGGTGCTTCATCGAATTGGCTCAACAACTTTGCTATTGCTTTCTTCGTTCCTCCAATGCTCAAGTCCTGGAAATGGGGTACATACATCTTCTTTAGCGTCTTCCTTGCTGGTGCCATTGTGTGGGTATGGTTCTGCCTTCCGGAAACAAAAAATGCCACTCTGGAAGAGATGGATCGTGTCTTCAACAGCCAGGCTGGCGAGAGAGATGCTGTGCTACTTAGAGAAGCTCAGCAGGAGGTCAACATGCTTGCAATCAAGGTGGAGAAGGGCGAGAAGGGTCATATGGAGGAAGTCCAAATGGTCTAAGGAGGGTGTATCAGGTGGTAATGGCAATAGCAGCACACAATGGAATGTGACATTCAATCAGACTTTGGCACATCTCGAAACATGGTTCCAGGCCGACTACATTCGTTTGCGACACACTGCTTCGCCTCCAAAAACGTAGAATAGCAAGTTGTGACGACGACGACTTTGAAAATGGCGACGAAGGCCAGACTTTGCGCCAAGCGTCGCACGCCGGCGATGTTCGAAAATGCATCCAAAAAATTACTTTGCAGATACTCACGAGTCGTACATGTTGTTACTTTGAGGTATCAATGTAGTATCACGCGACAAAGCTTGTAGGACTCTTGGGGCGGCTATACACTAGTTTCAAGGAAGAGCGCCAAAATTTGTGCCGCACACAAGACTTCGCTTGCCGGCTCTCGGCGAGCCCGCGGCACACGGGGCACCGACGCCCCTTGGGGTGGCTACGACCCCTGTTTTGGGTATAGCCTCGACGCCTGCACTGTAGAACATGGACATCTTTTTTCGCGCCCTTCACGCCCTGATTGGCATCCTGTGCCTACAGGCATGACACCTGATCAAAGCCATCCCAATAAGCGTTATGGCGACACGTGCGTCTGAAGATCCGTCGATGGATCCGCGATTTCACAATCTCCACGAGGAACTCAGATCTGTGCTCTTCAATGGCTTGTCCGGCCTCTCTCCTACGCAACCGCGTATCGTCCAGGTCGGCGCGTCGGATGTGTCACCGAGTTTGGACTTTTCGACTGCGACAGTCAAGATACCGCAAGCGCGCCTCATACGGTACCTTCAAAATTGGATTACCGAATGCGCGCCGCAGCTGGACAAATTTGACGAAGAGCAACACTTCCAGACCGAGGTTCCTCTTGTCGCTCTGAGGTCTCCTGCTCTGCTGTATGCCATGCTTGCGTTTTCGTCGCGACAGATGGAAAGGCGAGGTATGGTACAAGGATGCTACGACAGCCTCGAACTGTACCAAGAGAGTATTAGGTTGTTGGCACCTGCACTCCAGGCAAAAGACTCGGTCACGTTGGTCACGGCTTGTGTTCTTGCTGTATTCGAATTGATGTCCAGCGAAACAGGAAACTGGAGACGCCATGTCGAAGGTTGTGCTTCACTTTTCGAAGTCTTCGGTGTCAACGGCTTCTCGGGCGGTTTGCTGCAAGCTGTCTTCTGGTGTTATGCTAGGATGGAGCTTTGTGGCAGCTTCACCTCCGATGGCGCCGAGACTATGGTTTTGGCAGTCGAGAAGTGGGTGCCAAACTTGGACCGGTCTCTAGTGTCATCAGAAGATGGCGAGAAAATCGTAAGGTCATTCTTTCACGAAAAGAGCCGAGAGTCTCATGATGCGCATGCCAATTGGGCGATCTATCTGTGTGCGAAAGTATGCGATCTGAAATTTCGAAAAACAAGTTATCTCGAGCTTGGTCGCGCTGACTTCAGCGACAAGAGGCCATTCTCACAACAGTGGCAACAACTTTGGCTAGATCTACAATTCTGGCTCGATGAACGTCCTGCGACCATGAGACCTCTCACTCTCGTCGGTGAAGGCGCCGAGCCTAACTTCCCATCCATCATCTTTCCACACTGGGCCGCAATATCGAGCAACCAGGTATACCATGCTGCTTGCATCTCGATGCTGGAGATGCAGCCACCTGGGAGCGGCCTTGACTCTCAGACATTGTCGCTGTGGCATGCCAGGCAGGTTTGCGGCATCTCGTCTGCAAATCCGCATCCAGGAAGCATGGTGAACTCGATTCAACCACTCTATACTGCAGGTAAACTGCTCACGCACAATAGTGAACGACGAAAGGTAGCTCAATTGCTAGAGTCTATCGAACGTGAGACTGGATGGGCTGCTTTGTGGCGCTTGAGAGATCTCGAAAACGAGTGGGGATATGAGGGTATCGTTGACTGGAGGCACGATTCTGCGACAGCCTTTGCGAAGTCGTAGTTGGAAACACATTTGGCAGTCAAAGTACTGCTTAAAGCGGGGCCAGCCTCACACTAACCCGGCTTGGACTGTTATCCGTACCTGTGGGGCGTGCTCCTGACCCACAGTACTGGGCACCTCGAACAGACTCTGTTCGGGTTTTATAAAGCTACGAAAGCCGCCACCCAAGGCTGGACTATTTGCACATGGACTGCAAAGAATACCTTCCAACTGTACCCTTGGAGTGGCTTCAATCATGGTCTTGCCACTGCCGACTATCTGTGTCCTCGGATCACTCAACATCGACCTTGTTTACTACCTCCCTCACCATCCATTACCTGGCGAGACACTCACATCATCACACTCTGATGTCTCTCCTGGAGGCAAAGGTGCCAATCAAGCAGTGGCTTGCGCGAAACTCTCAAGATCGCGCACGCTAGATAACGCCAGCACGAAGGTTGTCATGGTTGGCGCCGTCGGTGCAGATACTCATGGCGCAACGTTACTGGACAGCCTCCAGTCTTATGGTGTCGATATCTCAGAAGTCGTGCAGAGACAAGGCCACGATGAACACTCGACCACCGGCACCGCCGTTGTAATGGTAGATAATTGCACTGGACAGAATCGCATCATTTTGGCACCCGGTGCCAACGCCACTCTGCGACCCGAGCGTGTCGCCAGGCTTGGCGACTTGAGACCGTCCTTATTGGTGTTGCAACTGGAAGTGCCTCTCGATACTGTCTTGCAAGCGCTGGCAGCAGCCAAATCGGCAGATGTACCAATTCTTTTGAACCCAGCTCCAGCACTCAAACTCCCCGATGCCGCTTACGACGGGTTGTCACACCTCATTCTGAACGAGACTGAAGTGGCTCTGCTTGCGCAAGTCGATGAGAATGAGCTTGAAAATCTGGTCGTTGTGGAGAAGACTGCCACAAGGATGTTGGCCAAGGGCGTCCAGAATCTCGTCATAACGCTTGGTGCAAAAGGCGCTTACTACATGAGCAAGGACGGACAGAAGGGCTTCGTACCAGCGCTGAGAGTCGATGTGGTGGACACGACGGCTGCTGGGGATACTTTCATCGGCATGTATTCGGTCCTTGTTGTTGAAGCGTCTTCGAGAAACATGGAGTTCGACATTCGTGCCGCTGTCACCGCGAGCACGTTTGCGTCTGCCAAAACAGTCTCCAGGAAGGGAGCGCAGATTTCAATACCTTGGAAGGACGAGCTGGAGACAGAGTAGACGCGAGGGATAGAAAGCCAAACGGCTTCATTTTGGATTTGTGTAGTACTGGTGGAAGAAGTAACGACTGATGAAACGTAGGCCGTTGCTCCAAAATGCTGAGGCTGTCATGTTCAGTGGTATCCATGCGACAGACTCGGTGGATCATCTTGTTGGATTGACTGCCAGCGTGCGCGAAGATTGGCGATCTCCTCTGCCATTGGAATCTTGGTTGCGTTCAAGATCTCATCGAAGCATGGCAACAGTGCTTCCTGCTGGGAGGAGTGCGACATTTCTTTGGCACTGAACAGTAGGGCAGCGATGACAATTGGATCCCACTGCTCCTTGAAATGGTTTCCAACCAACATCCTTGCCATTTTCTGAATGTGCCAGCTTCGTGATCCTAGTCGCTGGAACGTCGACGTTGCATTTGTGAGACGAGGTTTCTGTGATAGAAGAACAACTGCTGAGATGTGCATGGTAAGGTTTGCTTGCAGAGAGGTGGCGCTCGTATACACATCGACGGGGAAGGGTTGCTCAGGGTGAGATATCTCGTCGGAACTTTCGAGTACAGGCTTCATCTTGCGAGGTCGATCCTGGAACCATGACATACATCTATGCCAGAGCTCGAACCACCGGTCCCATTGAGAGACATGAGAACCGACCGGCTGCAGGGACGATTCGTGAAAACCAGATAACATGGGTATGATTTCGAAATGAATTAGTCGCAAAGAGAGCGCAAGGCAGCAGAGACAGCGATCGTAAGAAGCAAGGGAATCATCAATGTCATTTAGCACCATATCGACCGAGGGAATGATGAGGCTGGCCGAAGGAGGCTCGTCGATTACGATGCACACTGCAAGATCTGGACAACAGACGCTTTAGTACAATTCTGATGGATCCCGAACTTCGAACCCGCTTACCGACTTTGAGCTGCAGCCGCAAGAGTGACTTCAAAGGCTCGGGTGTGAGCTCGAATCCCGCGCTGGAGATGACTGACTCGGGAAGATGCGCTTCACAAACAGAGACAATGTTGGCCCATTCCGAGGGTGGTGTGTAAAACACACTACCAATACTGAGCAGCGCAGATCCGACGTCTGAGGTGAAAGCATCCTCGCGGACCAGTCGTTCTAAGAGTCTTGGAGGCATAGATAGGCCGGCGGTCGTGGCCGTTGGCAAATCGAGACTCTTGTCTTTCATCGAAACGCAGACGGAAATGCATTCCGAAACGATCTTGCTATCGCGCGCCAAAGTCATGATTGCTGGCCCGAATATCGACTTGCAGTCATTAGATTCGATCCAGGGTACCATCTGGTACCTGAAATGTAGCAGAGCAGGTTGATTGTTCAGTAGGTGTCGCTGGCACGTGCGCTCGTCGACCAAATGCCGCGGTGTGACCTCTGTATAAGTCATGTCAGCCCTGAGGTCAATCGCTGTCCAGGCCGTGCTCAGGTCGCTGTCAAAGACGCCTTGTTCCGGCGCAACCACGGTCGTGGCAGTGGAAGCGATAGATTCGGGGGTTGAAGGCTCCTGGGCATGATTGAGAGACGCATCAATACCGTTAGTCTGATGATAGTTGCCGACGTCGACTGTCGTCGTAGATGGTGATGCTGCTATCGTAGGGTGGGAGTCACCGTCGACGTCCACTTGCGTCGCGTCACCGTTCGCGATTGGTCTTTGCGGTCCGTCAAACACAAAAGTCCAGTCGCCATATCTGCATGTCACACTCCTCACAGAACAGCTCTGACAATTCGGCTTTCCCTCGTCGCCTGCTCCCAAGCTCAGTGACTGCTGTGACGGAAAGGGCAACAAGCATGACGCGATCTAGAGTAGAAATGTTGCGGGCGTTGTGCGTGGATCGAGAACGGTCTTACATTTTCTTCGTCGCTTACGACAAGTCAAGCATCCCGTGCGAGACCGTCGTTTATTATCTGGTATATGTCGCAGTGAGGGCATGTCCTTCAAATAGTAGAAAACAGCACTCTGGATGTGGAGATGGAGCAGGTGCAGCGGAAGACATAATTATGGTGCGGATGACCCACAGACAAAGCGAGGGAGGCCAATCAGATGACTTTGGGCGCGAGCTAAGCAGGGTGGCTCTCTCAGCAACGATTTCTGCCGCCTTTCGCATGCGCTCGCCTCGTTCATGGGAGCATGTCGAGGCTTGAGCTTCTAGAGGTGAGCGCAGAGGCAGCTGTCTAAGACCCACGTATTCCTGAGTTCTTGGTATCATCGAAGAGGTGAGATTTCGTGGGAAAATGTTCGTAGGCAATCTTCTGAAGCGAGCGCTGGCACTCTCACACCAATACTGTCGCCAACATCGACGACCTTGTTTTTATCCATATTGAATGAGCACAGGGCCATCGGCCCGGGCATGAGCATTGTAGTAACTGGAAAATGAGAATTGAGAGCATATTGCATGTGTAGCAAAAGCCGTTCATCTGAGTGGAACAATGAAGTGTTTGTTGACGAAGAACAATGACCGTCCGAGCGCCGCTTCGGCAAAGTGGCATCTGCATAATTCGTATGCAACAAGGGACGACTTGATCTTGGCACAGTTCCACGACTTTTGGATCGTCCGACAGCTCCACCATGCTCAATTATCCAGCTGACTTGGTAGTGTTTTTGCTTCTGTTGCCTCCAACGAATAGCGCAATGACTGTGATGGATTGGAGCTGGTATAGAGTTCGCAGGTACATCGAGTGCAACTCTCGGTCACTGCTGTGTTCGGCTTCCAATATGAGCGCAGAGCGCGTCGTGACCGACAGAGCCTGCGCGCTGTATGCGTGATGCGCAGACGGCCAACCGCAGGCTTTTTCAGCCCATAAGCGTATGAACGACAATCAGCGCTTGATTGACGTACGCCCAACAGAAATGAATGCGCCCGTCCAAGACTAGCCCAACTCGAGCTATTGCGGTCGACCCGAAAGGTGGATGTCAGCCTTTGGACAACGAGCTTTACGAATTTCTCAAGATCTTGGCCAACCAGAATTGCTTTCGACAAGAAGCTGTAGGAGTGGTACTTTGGCCGACAGAATCAGCAACTTGCGTCTTGACGATTCACCCTGCTATCATCGTTAGTAAAACCAGTTTGGTCACGATTCTTACAGATGTAGGCTGCCCGAGCGATCAGATTTACCATACATCGAGATGAGCTCGTTGACCGAATCCGAAGCCTGGAAGACGACTTGTTATCCGACTACAAGATCCAACATACTGTATTCTCAATCGTGCCTTCGGTATCAATGGAGACAAACCTGTGATCACGAAAAATTTCCGATACACAAGTCACTCCGAAGCTGCGTAAGCAGACTAACGCTGCGCGGCTAAAGTCAAGAGGTTCTGAACATAGCCTGGAGAAACACGATCACTTGTCTGGTGTCCCCAAGACACATTTCGAGTGAGGACCAGACAGACAAGCTCCGTCAGAACAAACTCAGATCACCGGAATAGCCTAGGATGCAATTTGCCGGGGAAGCTTGATCTAGATGCTTGGTCAAAATGCCAAGTTCACGCCAATCAAGATCAAGGCCGCGAATGCCAGAAGGATCTGTGGCGCCTGCCGATTTGATCTTCGTTGATCACGAGTTACTTGCAGTCGTCTTTGCCTGGTCGTCAAAGTCATTTTCAACGTTCTTTGAGCGGCTGGGAGACTTACCGGCTTCCATCCAAGCGAGGCTCACCAAGTTGTCGGCTGGCCATGTATATTGCAAGCTTCGAGTGCTTCTGGCAAGAGTTTACCACCTGGCATCTGACACAGGCTAGTGAAAGAGTGGGATGTCCAGAACATCTCCCTGCATTGCAGATCTACTTCCGGACTCGGGAACAAGGCGGGGGAGTTCTGGGGTCCCGCGCGGGTTGCATATTAACCTGGGGCTCCGTCCATCTCATGGCTTTATGGTGCGGGGTACTTGTCTTCAATTTGCTGCTGCGCGTCTTGACCCGTCGCCCCGATGGAGATGTATCGAAGTTTCAAGGCATTTAGCCTATGTGTCGCAAGGTGTCGATGCACATATATGGCCAGGACCAATGGTTCTGTTCGATCATCAACAACAACTCAATTTTGTCAACCAACATGGCGTCGACACAGCAAGAAATTGCACAGCTGATGGCTGATGTTACTCCTTGGTATAAGGATCCTGGTCGCAGAAAGCTATATGCTCTGCTGTTGATTGCACTGTTATCTTCTGCGACTAATGGTTACGATGGGTATGTCTATTGCCATAACTTACATTGAGCAGCAACTGATACAGTCAAGGTCGCTGATGAACGGAGTGCAATCCATAACGTACTATGAGAAATGCAAGTGGTCGCACATCCTGGAACAAGAATAGTATATCCTGACAAGGCGATAGTCTTCAACTACCCTCATGGCTCCACTCAGGGCCTCCTGAACTGTATACAAACAGTGGGAGGCTTGGTCAGTAAGTTTTGATTATTTGTCCCCGAAAGAATCGCACTCATAGTTGCATTAGGTCTCATCCTCGGTCCATATATGGCAGACTATGGTGGCCGTAAATGGACCATCTTCCTCGGATGCTGTACCGTTGTCATCGCAGGCATTGTACAGTGCTTCTCCGTCAACATCCACATGTTCACCGCGGCTAGATTTCTCAGTACGTTTGATCAGCGGCAAAGTCTCCATCGCAGAAACTGATTAAAGTCCAGTTGGCATGGGTTCTGGCTTCTCGGGTCTCGGTTCGCCCCTTCTTATCACCGAGCTGGCCCATCCTGCCGAACGTGGTAAAATCACAGCGCTGTACAAGTATGTTGTTTCGAACATTCTCACCTCGAGTCGCTGTCCTAACATGTCCAAAGCACTCAATACTACTTTGGTGCTTTCCTCGGAGGCTGTGAGTAATACTCCAAGCGCCGATCGCTGCTTGAGGACAATTCTCTGACAAGGATTTACAGGGATCACTTTTGGCACCCTCTACATCAACTCAAACTGGTCTTGGAGGTTGCCGAGTCTGCTACAAGCAGCACCGTCCCTTGTTCAGGTCTTCCTAGTCTTCTTGCTCCCGGAATCTCCTCGTTGGCTGGTGTCAAGGGGCAGAAACGAAGAAGCACTCAAGATACTTGCCAAGTATCATGCCAACGGCAATCCCGATGACGGTTTCGTGCAATTTGAATTTGCAGAGATGCAGGCGACCATCAAGCTTGGCGAACAGAGTGGGCGTTGGAAGGACCTGTTTGCCACCAGTAAGTCCCACCTACAGACCCGAGAGAATTTCGCATACTGACACTGTCGAAAGGGGCTAATCGCAAACGTGTCTTCCTTTGTCTTTGCTGTGGTGTGTTTGCCCAGTTTTCCGGCACTAGTTTGACGGGATACTACTTGCACAACATCCTCGAGGACATCGGTATCGACAGTCCTAACTACCAGAACAAGCTCAACGGCTTCATCCTCATGGTCAACATGGTAGAGGCGTGGTTCTGGGCTTCAATGTTAGTGCGATGAAGGTGCACATACAGCGACTCTGCTTTGCAATTGAGTTCGGTGTAACGAAACGGCGTCTTGGACGCCATTCCGTCGATGTCGGGCTCAAAGATCAAGCGTACTCGTTGCATACGTACCGCTCCTACTCTTCTACGAACTCTGCTGACTGAACATGCGATCACAGGGTTGATAGATTTGGCCGCCGACCTTTGTTCCTGGTGAGCATTCCGAGACGCTGGCTGACAAAACACATTCTGACAAGAGATAGATCGCTGCCGGCGGCATGTGCTGCACATTTGCAACTTGGATCGCTCTCACTGCTAGACAGTTGCAGAATCCCAAGCAAACTTCTTGGGGCAAGGGTGTCATCGCCATGATCTTCTTCCACAACTTCTTCTACAACTTTGCATGGTATGTTCGCCAAGCTACGCTGCTCTTCGAGACCTGTGGACGCTAACAAGACTGGTAGGATCTCTTTGAGCATCTCATACCCTCTGGAGATCTTGAACTTCAAGATTCGTGCCAATGGTCTACTCATGCAAAACATAGCGACCTACGTCTGTCTTGCCATCTCACAATATGTCATCCCACTCGGTATCGCAGCAGGAAGCTGGAAGTTCTACTTCTTCTTTGAGGGCTGGCTCGTTATTCAATTGGTCACTGTGTTCTTTTGCTTTCCTGAAACCAAAGGTGCCACCCTCGAGGAGATCAACCAAACCGTTGACGGTGCCGACGCAGTGGAAGAGATCAAAGTCAAGGCGCACGAGATTGAGGACAACCAGGAGCTTCGCCAACGCCATGGTCTCGTCAAGGACAACGGGGTGGAGGAGAATACGGTCCATGTCGAGGATATCAACGACAAGATGGCCTGAGTGAGGGGATCAAGATCGATATGGCACGGGCCATGTTAGGTTTGAGGTGTAGCATTGAGGTATACAGCAGTCATCGAGAAAGCACTACCAAAACTTGGGAGCAGACTCCGTCTCGTAGCAAGACCATCATTTAACAGGCTTGCGACCAGTGCGATGGCTGTTGATCATCTGAATCAAAGACCGCGAATTCATGTACTGCGACGTTGGGCGAACCGTTCGTCATCGCTTGAGATTATCCATAAGATATCAACCATAATGCAGGTCGATGTGGCCAGAACCTGGCCTACAAGCCCCAGAGTATGCACGAGCGTAGACTTGCCGCGCGAAGTGTCACGGCCTTATCGCGAGTACGCCGTCAGTCGCGCGATATACGAGCTGTCATGCAGCTGTACTTTCGACCAAGTCTAGTAATCTACGTGCCTCCAGTACTCGGGCGTATCACTGCGGGTTCTATAGCTTGCACGGCAATCCGGGCCTTATTGTTAAGCCACGTACTTTGTTTTGATAAGCGGCGAATCACTTTGCGCGACACAGCTAACGCTTCGGCCACTTTTTTTGCGATACGAGAGTTTCCTCTGGACTTGGTCGTTAGCAATGGCTATCAGAGGTCTGCTCAACTATTTCCAGGACACAAGGATTGTTTATCACTCTGCGACGTGCAATTGGCTTTTCCTTCGTTTCTAGACTTGCTTTAGTGAACGATGATTTGCCCACCACCTGCCGCATCTGGTTTGGTGAGATTCTCAGAAAGGCTTGTCTGGCTTAAGCCCAGTCGCCAAGCTGTCGTAATGCTTATCTTATTCCCGAACTTCCGGTGCAAGTAGGCGAGATTCTCGTACCCTGAATTTAAAATTAGCACTAGGCGTTCCTCACATCCGCGTAGGGTCTTCAGCATCCTCGGACACGAGCTGTTGCATCCAATCTGATTTGCTTATCTTGTCTTAGCCTGCGCGACAACCCCCAATGTCAATGCCTGCAATCCGGCCGTATGTGGAAGGCCGCGAGGCCCAGAGGCCACGCGATCACACCATAGATAGCATTTTGTCGTTGTGAGCCATGGGATGGGCTTCTGGAGAATATCGAGGCTCCCCCTACCAAGGTATAAGCATGAGCTTGTGTCGTGCACATTTCCAAGTCCTGATCTCTCACAGACCGAGTCAGCAGCTTCTCATCTGCCACCCAGTATGTCGTCCCGAAAGAACGCCGTCGCTACCGATGGAGACATTGTCGACTCACAAATGGATATCTACTCTGTCGGTCCAAACGAAAAACAACACGACGCCATCCCGGCTTCTCAAGACGACTCTACTAGCTTCGACGAAAAGAACACCAAGGGCCAGGTACAAGACGTCAAGATTGCCTTCGTCGAGCATACCACTCTTGATGTCGAGAATGATGTTGGTGTGGTCATGGACAAGGTCGAGGCTTTGACAGTCGCGGAATGTCGCAAGCTCATCGAAGAACTACTCGAGGAGCACACCTATGACTACAACTTCTCTGCCTCACAGAAAGATAAGCTCTGCCGTCTACTGGAGGGACCTGTCGACGGACAGTCCATCGACGAATGGGAACTCATCCTCAAGAAACAAACAGCCATCAACGTGTTTTACTCACCATATCCCGAGGTCCGCGCTGTCACACGTCCCGACGACGACGTCGACATGCCTTGCGAAACCATCAGAGCCCATGTGATAGGTCTTCTATGGGCCTGTATCGGACAATTCATCAACTCTCTGTTCAACTCTCGTTATCCCAATATCACTTTGCAGTCAAGTGTCGCCCAGATCCTGCTGTATCCCTGTGGCATGTTTGTCGCTTGGGCCTTACCAGACTGGGGTATCACTATGTTTGGCAAGAGACACTCAGTCAACCCTGGCCCTTGGACTTACAAAGAACAAGTGCTTTCGACTATCATCGTCAATGTCGGACTTACTTCTGCATACGTCTTCTGGAATATCCAGACACAGCAAGTCTACTACAAAGACAAGTGGTTGACGCCCGAGTATGAAATTCTTCTACTACTCTCTACTCAACTCATGGGCCTTGGTTTCGCCGGCATGCTTCGAAGATTTGTTGTGTACCCTATCCATGCGATCTGGCCGAGCATTCTTCCTACCGTAGCTCTGAACCGCGCCTTGTTGGTCAAAGAGTCGCACGAAAATAACAATGGCTGGCGCATGTCGCGTTACAAGTTCTTCTTCATCTTCTTTGGCGCCATGGCTGTGTACTTCTGGCTCCCGGATTACCTATTCCCTGCACTGAGTTACTTTGCCTGGATGACATGGATCAAACCCAACAACTTCAACCTCGCTGCGGTGACAGGTTCACAGTTCGGCTTGGGCTTCAACCCAGTCTCATCCTTTGACTGGAACATTATCTCGACATACGCTTTCCCTTTGACATGGCCTTTCTTCAGTCAGATCCAACAGTACATCGGGATGGTGATAGGTGGGTTGATCATCCTGGCTTCATACTACTCAAACTTCATGTGGACCGCTTATCTGCCGATCAACTCGTCGGGCATTTTCGACAACACCGGCAACCCATACAATATCACCAAAGTCATGGTTGGTGGACGTCTGGACTACGAGGAATACTCTAACTACTCTCCAGCTTTTTACAGTGCTGGAAACCTCGTCACCTACAGTGCGTACTTCGCATTCTACACTCTGACCTTTGTATTCATCATCCTCGACTTCTGGAGACCACTCGCTCAAGCCTACAAGCGAATGGTCCAAGCCGCCTGGTCGCTTGTCAGGAACATGACCTTGAAGGGTAAGCAAGCAATTGCCTCGCTCGCAAGAGGGGACTTGAAGCAGTCGCTCCACCATACTGCGCACCTGATGGACAGTGAGGGCAGCGTCTACGACGGCTTCAGCGACCCTTTCACCAGGATGATGCGAAATTACAAGGAAGTTCCGGATTGGTGGTTCCTGGCCATCGCTGCCATTGCCTTTGCTTTCGCCATCATCATTCTCAAAACATATGATGCGCTACAGACGCCCGTGTGGACTATATTCTTTGTCATCATCTTGAACTTGGTCTTTCTGGTCCCGATGAGTTATCTTTATGCAATCTCGGGAACGACACAAGGACTCAACGTGGTGACTGAGCTCGTCGTCGGATATGCCTTGCCCGGTCGTCCAGAGGCACTGATGTTTGTCAAAGCATATGGATACAACATTAATGGACAAGCTGATAATTACACATCAGATCAGAAGATGGGTTTGTACGCTAAGGTCCCTCCGCGTGCTATGTATCGCGGTCAACTCATTAGTGCTATCGTTACATCCCTGGTTGCATACGGATGTGTCGACTTCGTGGACACTGATATCAAGGGTATCTGTACACCAGATCAGGCTGCCAAGTTCAATTGTGCAAATGGATCAGAGGTATACTTCTCCTCATCTGTCGTTTGGGGAGCCATCGGACCTGCTCGTATTTTCGGCCAGTTCTATCCATTCATGAAGTACATGTTTCTACTGGGCTTCCTCCTTGCACTGGTCTGGTGGTCAGTCAAGCGCTATGGATCGTCTTTACGAAACGTCGCCCAGACGAGGCTTCCATCTGCCATCTTTGGCCCTTTGAACCTCCTCGTCTTCACACCCGTCTCCTGGCTCAGGGATGTTCATCCGTCTCTCATCATCAACGGCTTCCTTTGGTGGGCTCCGCTCAATCTGACATACTTCACCGGTGCCGTCTACTTGTCGTTTGGATTCATGTACTATCTGAGGAGGTATAAGACAGCCTGGTGGGAGAAATACAACTACGTTCTGGCAGCTGCTCTTAATGCTGGTGTAGCTTTGTCAGGAGTCATCATCTTCTTTGCCGTCCAGTACCACGCGGTGAATGTGAACTGGTGGGGCACCGAAGTTACTTCACAAGGTGTTGATGGAGGTGCTGGACAGCAAGCACTAATCACCGATTTACCTGCAAAGGGCTACTTCGGGCCTGATTCTTGGAAATGATTTTGATGTGGATGTCCTAGGTAGGAAGAAGATATTGAGCGGTAGCATGCTATTGTTTGCAATGTCCGTGAGATGAACTCTATGGATCGGAGCTTATCGACCATGTCATCATGCCACGAAACTCTGTAGTGACCTGAATTAGTCTTTATAGGTGTGCGATTAATGCAAACACTATCGACTAAGACCTGTCTGATTTTGCTGGAACTTTGACATGGCCGAAAGTCTGGAATTACCAATCGACTTCTCTGTTAGTGATAACTAATACTCGACATCTTCCACACGTGAGTGGATCGATGGATGTCCATTTCTACTAATGCCCTTTAACGATCGCTTTTGTAACAAGCCATATATAGATAATGATCCTCTATAACTAGTTCGTAACCCTTGTCTACGTGTGTTAATAGCCTTATCGCCTAAAACTTCTTATTTAGGAAGGCAGCAAAATCTTGCTATAGTAGCGGCGTATGCTATTAAGCGTAGACCATTAGCTACTAACTACTTAAAGGGGCGCTAACTATAAGCTTCTCCTTCTTAGCTTAGTACTTTAAGCTTACTCTTATATTAAACTTAAGAATAATAAGTATAAAAAAAGCTAGTAAGATAGTCTATATACCTATTACTACTTAGATTAAAGCGCTTCCTAATAGCATAACGTTATAGCTAGATAGGAATATAAAAACTTATTAGAATAAAGCTTATAAATATACTAAGATAGTAGCTATTTAGCTAGTTAAGTCTATCTAATAAGAAAGGATTATTAAGAAAGTTCTTTAATTACTAGGCTATATAACTATAAATATAGAATTTATATTAAAAAGTTCTATAGTACGAACTATAGTTAGATATAGAGTAGATATTATAAGACTATCTCTATATATTACCTAGTACTATACTTATACTAGATTATAGTATATTCTAGGCTTTCTTTTACTAAAACTTAGAGTTCCTTAAGGTTCTTACCTTATACATCCTAGTATAATCTAGACGTACATTCTAGACTCTCTTCTTATAGTAGTAGTAGTATTAATAGTAACTCTTCTTACTTTTTAAAAAGAGAGAGAGTATATATATAAGGAAGTAAGTATAAGTAATACCTATAATATATAGCTTAATTAATCTTAGTAGCCTTACTTTAAGGCTATATATATAGGTTTAGTCTATAGTTTATAATTAGAAATCTTTAGACTAATATTATATATATACTTCTAGAGTATATAACTATATACTTTAGGCTTACTTAGAATTATAATAAATAAGTTATTATAATATAGTAGTTAGAGTAATAGATATTATAAGAGAAAGTTAGGTAATATAGAGAATCTATAATCCAAAAGCTTTAGAGTTATAATAGTAGTTAGATAACTTAATTAATATATATAATTAGTTTTACTTCTTAATATCTATTCTCTCTAGTTATTCTACCTTTTAATACTATATAATACTTTTTAACTAACTAGGAATAGGATAAAGAATAATACTTTACTAATACTAAGCTATTAGAGTTCTTATAGTTTACTAAAGTCTAACTATTATAAGTAGCTTACTATATAAGAGTATACTATAAGTAGTATCTACTATAGCTAGAGGAATTCTCTTACTTAATAAACTATTATTATTACTAGTATTCTTATTTATATAACTACTACCTATACTACTATCTCTAAAAATATCTATAAACTACTATACCTATAGTACTAATGTTAGAAATAAATTTAAGGGAATTTAAAGTCTCTTTTATTAAAGATATCTTATCTTTATATAGGATATATTAATATCTATAGCCTAATAAGTAATAAGTAGCATACTTTACTTACTTTTCTAGACTCTAAAAGCTATAATTTGCTTTTTATAGCTAGAACTTAGTACGTTAGTTATAACTTCTATTCTTTTAACTGAATAGCCGCTCCTTGACTTAAACTATTGTCGCCAATCATCCCGTCTTGGTGTCAAACAAGCTAGACATCGGTAATGTTGGGAGCAATATTTTGATTATCGGTGTAACAAAAACATACACACGGCGTCGCGTCGCCTGAATTGAGTTCAGAACTCATACCGATTGAATTTGGAAGAGGAAACCAAGGCTCCAACACTGGCAGGAGTTCCCTTCCGCGAGCGGCAGATGTCACTGTTCAGTGCGGACAAACGTGTTCAATCTAGTGACTTGTGGCTGTATAAACCTACAGATGCAGACAGTAGAACCTTTCTGGAAACAAACTAGGCCTTGACACTTTCAAATCCCGGGACCTCTTGCCATCTTGGGCTTTGCAGTGTATAGGGCCGAAGATCTGCTTTGGAACACTTCGAAGTTATGCCTGCCAAAACCGCAGTTCGTCAAACGTCGAAGTCGATAAAGTCGTTTCCGGTGACCAAGTACCGACGAACACGGACAGCCGTTGCACTGAGGCTGGAATAATACGTTCCTACTCCGAGGATTATCCAGCCATCTTCCTTGTGTAAGGCTCCTCATCTAACAAAGTGCATTCCTGTGTATCAGTGTATTTGCCGCCGCTTTGGAATGTGCTGTCGCGTTGTCGATGTTCCTCATAACAGCCAACCTTGAGATTCCTTGTCATGATTTTTTTCTCTTTGGTCAAGAACCGAAGCTGAGTAGCGATCTTTATGAACCCATCGCATCGAGCCTTCAAGGAGATTTGTTCAACGGTCGGTTCATCCTTCGCTGTTCAATGTCAGCCTCCACATCATCCGGCTTTTTTCGGTGGTCCACTTCATTCTTTTTTTCGCCGTTAAAGATAGAGTTCGGATCGTGTAAAACCGTTCAATAAAGCTGGAACTTGCTATGGCAGTGTTTCACTGTACGAGGATTTAGGATAAATTTACATTGCCCCCCTTCCCAATGCGCGTTTCAGATTCGACTTTCACCTATACACGGGACTGACGTCCTATAGCGACAAGATCATCATGACGGAGCTGGGAACAGCAGTCGTAGGCTTTGGCTGGGTGTTGACCACCTTGTCAGGTGTCATCGTCATAGCAAGAGGTGTCCTGAAGATCCTACGGTTCCACGGTCTAGCATGGGAAGACTATCTGATGATCCTTTCAATGGTAAATAGCACTCCTGTCTTCCATCTGAACAACCATAGCTCTTTTTGCTAACAATCGTATGCACAGCTCCTTGCAATTGTCTACCAAGTTTCAAGCACACTACTATACGGTACTAACCTTACCGAGCAGACGGCCTTCCACTCCCCCAAATTTGCGGAATATATCTACATCTGCCATGCCGTCGGTTTCATGGCTCCGCTATTCAGTCGCATCTCATTCTGTCTTTATATGTTGCGTGTTCTTAGCACAACATTAGCGACTAGAAAACGCTGCATCTATGCCTTCATCGCGCTCCAACTCTTAATTAACGTACCCATGTCGATCTTGGTATTCACACAGTGCGGAAGCTTCCACAACCTTTGGGCTCACGGCATGGCTGAGTCTGCGCCATCTTGCGTACATCACATAATCATCAAGTCCGCAGCTCTTACAACATCAGTCTTCAACGCCGTTACTGATCTTTTCCTGACGATATTGCCGGCAATGGTTGTTTGGAGTATCAAAGTCATGACCCCGCGTGCACGCCTGGGTCTCGTCGCCACCTTGGGCTTGAGCTTCTTCGCAACTATCGCCAGTGCGATCAAGGTTTACTACGTGTATGCATTGTACACATTCGCACCGTCCATGCAGGAAGTAGGACACTTGATTTTGGTCATGTGCGTGGAGATCAATGTTGTCATCATCGCCGCCAGTATTCCAGTATTGGCGCCGCTGTTCTTGCAAAAGAGTGGAAGGAGCAGAAAGGGCATGTATAAGGACCCTACGTTGCCGACCTACGTTGTCAGCGGAGAGGACACAGGTGTTCCAATGCACTCAGCGAGCAAAACTTTTGGAAGCTCGGCGAAGAGCGAGAACATGTCGATCGCCACGACAGCCGTGAACACGTCTGTTGGGAACAGAAGTGGCTACATGGCACCGGAAACACCCTGGGATGAACTTCCCGAATTTGTATTTTTGAGCGACCACAAGCAATGATTGCCAGCTAGGCATTGAAAGACGAAAGTTTGATACGATTTATCGAGCTTCGACTCCATGAGTGTTTGTTTTTTGTATGATAAGCTTATTAATCTTAGTTGGCCATGCTTGGAGAATGGAGACTTTACGAACCACTATGCTTTGACTTCTTCCATCGTTGATAAGCATGTATTCCCACCCGTTACTATACGCATCCCCTATCAAGACTTCTTTGTTTGAGGAGATCAGTTGTTATATGACGATACCTTATTCACGAGATTGTAGAATATCACTGAGCTTATGTCTATCGCCTGATTTCCCTCTTTGGCTTGACACTTAGGGCAAAGACTAAAGGTGTAGCTATATATAACGATTGCTCGTAATGTACCCCAGACTGGTTACACACTTCGCAGAACAGACATATAGAGCGACAGGAAAGGGCTAGTAACTAAAGTCAACGGTGCTGACCGTCCATAACATACAAGATAGATAGCTTCAGAGAGTGCCCTGCGAGGGTGTAAGGTGGACAGCTTTTGTGATCAGCAGACAGGCGTCGTCTGTCTCAAAGCGTCGGGGAATTTTTGTTCATATCATGAGCGCTTCTCATGTCCTGCGCTGTGGGGATCGTAGTTGGCAAGCTCTGCTTACGAGGATCGGATGAAGTTTGAAAGTCACAACCCAAAGAACATACTTAGGGTCTCGAGTCTGGTCTACCCGGGAGAAGCCACAGTTTGGCAGGCTCAAGTAGCATGATCGGAAACTCCGACTGGGCCTGATTAGCGTATCAAGTCAGGGCAATATTCATATTGAACGGCTAATGATGTTCAATGCTGCGTAATCAGCCTACAAGAGACATGAGCTCCCTAAAGATCACAGCACTGGAACTTTTCCCATTTCTCACATCTAACGGATGCATTGGAAACTAGAGACATTCTGAGGTCATACAACATGCTCTCGAGTACTGCGAATGTAATACTTAAGTCCATGTCAGTCTGCAACCCTGCTCCAGCTTGATTGACATCGCATGTGCCTCTTGTTCAAACCACACAATGTCCTCCTCTCTTGCAGAGATCTCTTACAGAGAAGCTAGCAGCGTAGCCGTTCCCACAGTTTTCCTAATATTCTCTGTCCTCGCAGTTGTTCTGCGAGCATATGTGAGAAAAAGGCTACTGAGAGTTTTCCTTGTCGAAGATTGGCTCTGTGTCCTGACCCTCGTCTTCTTCATTACTCAAACCGGCCTACTTTTCGAGTTTGACAGTCTTCTGCAGTCATTCAGCTTCGACTTCGGGACTTTTGAGAAGATAATCAATGTAGAATTGAGTTCAAGATTTCCTGCAACAAGCAAAAAACTGACACAAGGCATTGCAGGTAGTCATTTCTGACGTCGTTCTCTACCTTTGCAGCTCTATCACGCCCAAGCTGTCGCTTGCGTTCTTCATTTTGCGCTTCTTGCTGGAGCGATGGCAGCGTATGCTAGTATATGCCATGCTTGCCATCTTCGTCGCGGACAGTGTCGCCTCCATGTTCCTTGTCCTGTTTTGGTGCTCCGATCCTACACAGTATGCAGCAAAGACATTGTCAGATCAATGCGTTGGCACGATCAATGGCCTCAATGCTGTCAACATCCTGCAAGCTATCCTCAATGCTATGGCTGACTGGCTCTTTGCTACTTTACCTGTCATCATCATTTTCAGGGCCACTACAATGGACAAGCGCGAAAAATTGATGGTCGCAGGCATCTTCGCATTTGCCATCACCGGATCAGTGGCTGCGATACTTCGGGCTGTCTTTTGGCCAGCTCTGACGCATGGTACCTTTTCTGGATTTCGCACTGGTATGACATGGTGTACTATTGAGATAGGCGCTGATCTTGTTGCTTCTTCAGCTGCTACCTTGAGGCCATTGTTCGAACAACTACATCTGTTTAAAATTCGGCGCAGAGAGACCAGCGGCACTGATCATTCAGGGCAAGGTGTGGCTCACACCGATTCTGAAGCCAAGCAAAGCAACATCACTTCTACATGCACCGTATCCATTACTCACAAGGAGTGGTGGGATTTGGAGCCCTATACGTCAGCATGTCAGGAAGCCCTTCCAATTCCGGGATCAGCTGCACAAGGACGATGCGATTGACGGAATGGTGGCGCAGCAAAGGAAGCAGAAGGTCGATGACTACTCTCCAAGAGTCAGTAGCTCTGTACTGAATCAGGTCAAACATTATGTCCAACAGCTCATTTTCGCCTCTTGTACCATGCATAGAATGAACGCGATTGATAACGAATAGCATAGCGATAAGGACTACATCGGTGCACGCCGGATACAACGCAACATACGACTGATGAGTGTACATCGTGCTTGTGGTGGTCTATGAAACACAAAAATTCGTCAGAAAGGCAAAGGAACTCACCGCCACAGTCTGCATCAAAGTTTAAACACACTCCCGTGAGATCAGAAGCAGGAATGTTGAAAAGCGAATTTGTCATTTCATCCTACCGCAGAGAAACTGCTCATTCTGTGTTCAAGACTGATAGAAGAAAAGGACATTTTGTATCTTCTTGAACAAATCAGGGTCATGCCAATTGCACACTTTCCTATGTCTTAGCAGGATACCCGATAATAAAGATCTGGTCGTCTCCAACAGGGAAAGTTCAACCTCGAGCCACGACAAATTCAGACGTCGATATTTGTAGCTGCCAGGGTCTGGGTGCCAGCTCCGTGCTCTACAGAAGTGGAAAATGAAGCGAACGCGTCCCTATCACAGGACATTACGGTACGTCGTATAGTTTGCGACAGCAGAATTGTTGAGAGTTCATAATAGTCAGCTGAAAGAAGGCCGAGTCAGGGAAGACCTCCTATCTATCGCGGGTGTAAGAGGGCGAGATAGTCATTCCTCTCGTATTGGCATCGGGCAGATGCAACGAACCCAGACGGCTCTCAGATCAGGCATACATTGGCACTGCAGTCGTACATTGGGAGATCGGGAACTCCGTGAGGTCGCGTTCAGCTTGTGAGGGATAATGGCGCGGAGATGGTCAACACAAAGACATTGATCACTATCTTGGCTCGGTATTCAGGCCTGCTTGATAGGCGGCAAGGGCTCGGGAAACACCTGTCGGAAGAGCCGAGATACGTAGGTGTTATCGCACAGTCCAATGGAAAGTGTCCAGTGTAACGTCTTGAACCAATAAGCAGCACTTCGAGGTGTCGCGTATCTTGACCCTCAGCTGAAAAAGATCGGACTTCCGAGGCAACGTGATCGGCTTACTGCATTGTACCTGGTACAAGGCTGGGGGTTCTGGACGCGTCTGGGGATTTCTTAGGGCATGATTGGGCCGCAAGGGCATTTAAGGTTCCGGAGCCGCACTACGTACAAGTACATGGATCTGAACATCACACGTGTCACTGATAGACTTGCTGTAAGCAAGGTATTAAATAGGCGAATGCGGCCTTCTAGAGACCGCGTTGGGGCATTGCGACTTACACACGACTCCACAGATTTGTCAAAAATCTCCGTAGCACACTTTGGAGCCTGCATGTGAACCTCCCTGCATATCGTACAGCTCAGTGATTTTTGCATGGTTCAACCTAGATTTGTTTTTGCCTTCGACATGCGGAGATTTTGGTGCACACGTCCTGTACGTATCTTGTACATCAACGGCATCCAATCGTTGCTCCTGCTGACTCTGAATTCTCGGACCAGGCTTATGAACAGCTCTTATAGGCGCGTATTCTCTGGTGTACTTGTCGCATGTATCTTGCATAGGCTGGCTGACATGAACGGCTAGGTGTGAGACGGCAGAAAGTCGCACAAGAGTACGCATGTTCCAGGTCTACATAAAGCAGACCGCGATGTCTTCGAGTTTTTGGCAAGCATTCCTTTGTGGTCACAGATAACCTATACACGACTAGTCTAAAGACTCATCTCGAGACCCGAAGCCAAGACAGAACAGCACATCAAGAACGGCTCCTCATAATCATCTCATCATGAGTAACAGCGCGCCGTTGCAAAAACTTCTGGTGTGGCTCAGAAGACAAAAAGAGGTACGGGTCTCTTGCGACTGCGACATGGCGTGTCTGACTCAACGCGTACAGGACTCAAGATCACACTCCGCAGGTGCTCTGGGTACTGAACAGAATGACCGCGATTTTGTGATGGATCCGACAACTACAGACAAGCCCGATTGGAGCCAACCACAAAACACATCACTCGATCGCTCTGTCAGCAAATCCACTCGACGCTTCAGCAAGATCAGCGGCAGAAGCTGGTCAACAGACAAATGGTCGGACGATAATGCTTCCGACCTCAAGAGGCAGTCAGGAAGTCATAGGCTCTCTATGTTCAGTAGCCACAATCCGGACGAGGACTCGAAGAGTTTGTCACCTACAATCTCGTCTTCCGCAACCCGTGCGTCCAGCTATGTTCCTCGCCATGCTTCTTCTAGCCACCTTCGTACCACGGCTCCGCTCTCTCCTCATGGACAAGCAATCAAGGATCGCAAAGCTGGTCAGGTCTATTGAGCACTTGTTCAGCTTCATGTGTCTTTTCGGATCCAGCCCGCGGTCTGCCACCGCTTTTGATCAGAAGCCTCACGAGTCACGACCACACGACCACAGTATATTGCAATCCAGTTTTTCATAAGATCGTTCGTTCGTCGACTCTCGCATTGGTACTCACACTCTTCGGCCCTTGCCCCACAAGGCTTTTTCTGCTCGACGTTTCAGCGCCTACTGCCTGGATTCTTGCATCGGGGACATAGACATCTTGTATTAATCTACAGCATGGTCAGGGTCGCCATCGTTGAGACGTTGCCGATCGAGAGAATATAAATTGTAAATCAAATTTGTCAAACTGCAGACCAAGGCTATCCAACCTGAAGTAGGGTTAGGGTTAGAAAAGACTTCTATTCTGGCTCTACCCATCATTCCACGAACGAATCGAGTCGATTCGTTTGAAAGTCCCATACAAATCCATGCCAAGCAATTTTGTGTGAGAGTCGATTCGTTTGAGATTTTGATGTCGATTCGTTTGCCCATACCACCATTAATTCGAGTCGAAAAAATCACAGATTAAAAAACGAATTTTAATGCGTAATTTAGTATATTTAGTTTTAGTAAAAAGCATGTAGAAAGGGAGAGCCATACGTAGTAAGATAGTTAATGTTCGTGGAGTAGGCGACGTCTAGACAGCATTGCGCCCGGGGAAAGCGCCATGTAACCCTAGTTAAGGGTCTAAAGGTAAGCCAAACCCCATCCGCACGCGTACCAAACACGCGTCGCGTCCACCTAGAGTTACATAGTTTAGACATTTTTAAGGCATATTAGTACCGCGAGGGGAGTCATATCGTTGTCACTATGGATTGACTAAATGCAAGTATAGAGTAGCGTTTCTACGAGTTATTTATTATGCGAGCCGAGTATAAGATTATATAGTGCATCTAGTGTTACGACGTAATTAACCCATCGCGTATCGAGGGCCATTTACGTTATAAGCACGCCGAAATAGTAGAGGCCCCCGAGCGCCGGAAAATCGCGTAATACGTAAAGGAAAACGTGTAAGACGTCGTATAAGACAAGATAGAGGTTATATACCTAGCGCCAGATTCACTACTAGTAACCGGATTCCCATTATACTATAACGGATTACGTTACGTATTAGGCAATAAATCTAACGGTAAATGCAGATACATATGCCGTACGATTAAAGGCATATAAGATCATTATTAGCATATATACGATTAGGTAAATTAGTAAAAGCGAGGAGGTAATATATAGAAGAAGTCTAAGTAGACACCTAATCGTTTATAGGTCGAGGGTTAAGCATATTAAGTGTTTTTTCTATAGTAAGTATAGCAAATGTATTTTACAGTTAAACTAGTAGATCCGATCTAGCTACTACCGAATAGCTAGAGCATATAGAAGGAAAGAGTCTATATAACGATATAAGCAAAGTTAGTAGCCGAAGTAAAAGAGAGAGTAGTAAACCGCGACACCATCTAAGACGACGATAGCCGATTTATAACTAACCCGTTTTTAAAAGCATTAAATTACGCGACGATTTTATACGGCTAGGACTAGGAACGAATGATTATAGATAGAACCCCGATCGAAGCACGATTAAGACACTAATCTAGGTAACCTAGACCCCGATACGAGGACGAGCATTTACCTAATAGCGATTTTGGGTTAGACCGTACGTATATAGGTACGAAGCGATTAATTAGACAGTCGTTATAGTGTTATAAGTAGCATATCGTTAGTAGGGCGGCGTTGTTTTTAATTAACTAAAAGCATAGCGGTAGTACTAGGCCCGAGAAGAAGTTTAAAAGTAACTATAGCGTTAAGACAGTACGTAAGTATAGTAAGTAGTGGATTATAATATTATGTTTTTTATGGCGTACCTAGCTAATAGGACGCCTAGGGGGCAACTGTCCCTAGGACGAATCCGGTTAGTGTGGGGTTAGGGTAAGCCGAATCGGGTATTTATTTAATGGCCCCTAATAATGGCCCCTAGCTTCCCAAAATTCTCTGTTATCGGCGCTTTTCACGTTTATATAACTGCAAAAATTATATGCGACATCTCTATATACGTTGTTACATACTACGACAGATACTTATTTAAAATTTTGCTTATATCACGTCTTTACATCGCTAGTGTTAATAGACGTCGCTCGGCTTTTAACGCCCGCGAGGGCACGTACGACACTACGCAAATTGCGACACATTACGACACATCGCATACTAAGTATAGAAAGTATGCTAAACAATGACTTAATCTCTCGAGACCCTAGCTAATAGGACGCCTAGGGGGCAACTATCCCTAGGACGAATCCGGTTAGTGTAGGGTTAGGGTAAGCCAAATCGGGTATTTATTTAATGGCCCCTAACAATGGCCCCTAGCTTCCTAAAATTCTCTGTTATCGGCGCTTTTCACGTTTATACAACTATAAAAATTACATGCGACATCTCTATACACGTTGTTACATACTACGACAGATACTTATTTAAAATTTTGCTTATATTACGTCTTTACATCGCTAGTATTAATAGACGTCGCTCGGCTTTTAACGCCCGCGAGGGCACGTACGACACTACGCAAATTGCGACATATTGCGACACATCGCGACACATCGTACACCGAGCATAAAAAGCATACCAAATAATGACTTAATCTCTCGAGACCCGGTAGTTAAGCTTAAAATTACTGTCGACAACGCTTATAACTAGTTATAGTACGAGACACTATATAAAGTGCTTGTCTATAAACATCACTACTATGCTATATCTAATCTTAGCAATTATCTACGCACCGAGCATAGTGGGACTACATAAGAGAAAGCTGCTATAGTTACGGCATTCTCTTACTTAGACATCTTATAGCCGACTTAAGCAAGCTTACCGCCGCCGCTAGAGCCCCTAATTTAGTCACTCGGTAGACCGTAAGACGCATTTATCTATAATAAAGAAGAGTGTAGTTATATTACCGTTAGTCGAGATAAGGTCCGTAAGCACTATAATAAAAAGCACAAATAGCGGTTAATAAGGGATAATAGAGAGTACTAGCATTATGTCTACGTACAGTCTTTCTCTTCTATAGGCGGTCGATAACGGTACTTTACTATTAACTATAAGGGAGACGACATTATAGAAGGTTCATAAGTC